TGCCAGTGGAGGAGGAGGGACGCTGTCTAGAAAATCAAGCCGGAGACTAATGATGGCGGCATCTCCGGGGAGGAGTGGCGGAGCCGGGACACACATAAGAAAGTCTAGGAGTGCTCAGCTTAAGCTTGAGCTAGAGGAGGTGAGCAGCGGCGCAGCTCTGAGCCGTGCTTCAAGCGCATCGCTCGGGCTTTCGTTTTCTTTCACCGGTTTCGCTATGCCGCCGGAGGAAATATCCGACTCGAAACCGTTCAGCGACGACGAGATGATACGTAAGTCGTCGTGTGAACTTTTTATTTTTTCAATAAACTCTTTTCTTTGCCTAAGGGTAGTTTCGTCGTTTTGGTTATGGTGTTCCCATACCGAGAGGGTAGATTGGTCATTTAAAGATACAATTAATGATACAATAATAATGATATCAACGGATATATGATTGGTGTGCGTTGCTTTGCTTTTTTGCATGAGAGTTGGATAAATTATTTAAACACAAACGAAAACAATTTGACCTTCTATTTTGTTCCACGTGTTATCTTTCTCGTGCAACACAAACTCCCACCACTTATTTTCTTTTCACTTTCTTTTTCTTCTCCTTTTTTTTTTTCACTTTCCAGTTGCAAATTCGGTGGTGCGTGCAATTAATATATTTATATAGGCAAACTTTTAATATGTAATGAGAAAGCATTAAAAGATTGTACATAAATATCTCTGTTGTATAAAAGTTCAAGCTAACCCCAAATATTTATAATCCCCCACACAGAAAGTACTACTAGAATATTACAATTTGTCAAATCCTAATGGTCTGATGAAACGATCATTGCTTTAGTTAAGATATGAGACATCTAAACATTCAAGAAAAAAAGGGAAAGATATGAGACCTGTTATACTGTTGGCCTCATATTCATAAAGATAAAATGCTTTCAATTGCTCACTATTTGTTTTCACAAAAGATCGTACATTAATAGAAGTTTGGTTTTGCATAGATTGGAATTGGACATTAATTAGTTTGCTTAAAAAATTACAAATGATTTTGTCAAAGATGCATGCACCACTTATAATGGGGTATCAAAGTTTAAAGTAGTCAATCTGAGTATTGTTTTAGGAAGTCATTAATTCACCACTAGTGATTGTCGTCACCACATAATTATAACGGTTTTTTCTTTTATTGTCATTCTAGTTCAATATTGAAACGCTTCAATTTTATATGTTTAGTGCATATGTAGGTAGAAACTAAATCATTTAATAACCACTAGCGAATAGAATTAAAGATTATAAAATAAAAACTATATAAGTGATTCGTAAACGTCACGTAGCTATTGATTCTCCAACTTAACAGCTTTTCATGACCAAGTAGGTAAAATTTAGGTGAGAGGAAGTCAATAAATCTCTACTAGTTAGTCAAAATTGTGGGTCCAAATTTCGGAGGTTAGCGACTGATCTACTGTTCTTTGTAAATAACGTACCTAAAAGTCCAAATCTCCAAGAATGACGGTTGGTAACAAAGATTGGCCAACATACACATCGTCTATTATAAGCTCACTTACCATAGAGTTTAGGTGTTAACATTCACCTACTTGAAAAATTCACCCACTTAGTCTCATTGGCCTCTTTTCCTTAGTTTAATCAGTAATGATGAATCAAGGTAATTGTCTAACTGTTTCAGCGGAGGGCATTGAAGCGGGAAAGAAGAAGCCAAAGTTTCATGCAGAACCAACGTTACCCATCTTTCTTAAGGTAATATAATCATATCAAACAAGACAAAGAAAAGAACATAAAAGTTGGGGTATCGAATAGAAATTTGAGGGGAAGAAGTGAAAATGTGTAACAAGATTTATGAAAAATATATATGTTCATCATGAGTGAGCTAATATCAAAGGCTTAATGGCTGTTTTGTGATTTTCCTTTGATCGATGTGCAGTTCAGGGAAGTATCATACAAAGTGGTGATAAAGAAACTGACTTCATCTGTGGAGAAAGAGATTTTGAATGGGATAAGTGGGAGTGTGAGTCCTGGTGAAGTTCTTGCTCTCATGGGTCCTTCAGGGAGTGGCAAAACAACTCTCCTTAGCTTACTCGGCGGTCGTCTCTCTCAGTCCTCTACTGGTGGCTCTGTTACTTACAACGACAAGCCTTACTCTAAATACTTGAAAAGCAAGTTAGTATTTTGTCCCAAGAAAAAAAACCCTAACTGATCTCTTGGAAGAGTATACATACGTTGGACACTTTTTTTAAAAATGTCCTATATTTGTTGTTTGGTGGCAGGATTGGGTTTGTGACTCAAGACGATGTTCTGTTTCCTCATCTTACCGTGAAAGAAACGCTAACCTACGCTGCTCGTCTGCGTCTACCCAAGACTCTTACAAGGGAACAGAAGGAGCAACGAGCTTTGGATGTTATCCACGAGTTAGGTTTGGAGAGGTATATATGTTGGATCTTTAAGAGGTTCCAAACACATAACAAACTAAAAATTTGGTCTTCTTTTTTTTAAATAACTTGAATCGTTTTGTTGCAGGTGCCAAGACACAATGATTGGTGGAGCATTCGTGCGTGGTGTATCTGGTGGAGAGAGGAAACGAGTTTCTATTGGAAACGAGATCATCATTAATCCTTCTCTGTTACTTCTTGATGAACCAACTTCCGGTTTAGATTCCACCACTGCTCTTAGAACCATCCAGATGCTCCTCGACATCGCTGAGGTTTGTTTGTTTGTTTCAGACAATTTGTATCTCTAGTATTTGAGTGTTGTCTGAATCTTTGATGTGTTCTGAAACAGGCGGGGAAGACAGTGATCACAACGATACATCAGCCCTCGAGTAGGCTCTTTCACAGATTCGACAAGCTGATTCTACTGGGAAGAGGGAATCTTCTCTACTTTGGGAAATCATCAGAAGCTTTGGATTACTTTTCTTCCATTGGATGCTCTCCTCTCATCGCCATGAATCCTGCAGAGTTCTTACTCGATCTCGCAAATGGTAACATCAACGACATCTCTGTGCCTTCTGAGTTAGAAGATAGAGTTCAAGTTGGCAATTCAGGCAGAGAAACACAAACTGGGAAGCCATCTGCTGCTGCTGTTCATGAGGTATAATCACAGAAACAACAAACCATTTCTAACAAACTTAAGATCATCTTATTTACGTATTGGAACATTGTGAGCAGTATCTAGTGGAGGCGTACGAGACTCGAGTTGCAGAGCAAGAGAAGAAGAAACTAATGGATCCTGTTCCACTCGACGACGAAGCTAAAGCTAAAGTCTTGCGCCTAAAGAGACATTGGGGAACGAGCTGGTGGGAGCAATACTGCATACTCTTCTGCAGAGGACTCAAAGAACGGCGACACGAGTACTTCAGCTGGTTGCGTGTCACACAAGTTCTTTCCACGGCTGTCATTTTAGGTCTTCTCTGGTGGCAGTCTGATATTCGGACTCCACGAGGACTGCAAGATCAGGTATGTTGCCACAAACAGTGACTACAATACACTTTACTTACCACAACGAAGATGAAACAGTTATGGTTTTTGTTTTTGCAGGCTGGTTTGCTCTTCTTCATAGCGGTTTTCTGGGGATTTTTCCCAGTTTTCACAGCAATCTTTGCATTTCCGCAAGAGAGAGCGATGCTGAATAAGGAGAGAGCAGCGGATATGTACAGATTAAGCGCGTATTTCCTAGCTCGGACCACGAGTGATCTCCCTCTAGACTTTATTCTACCTACTCTCTTCCTTCTCGTGGTTTATTTCATGACAGGTCTTCGTCTCAGCCCATATCCCTTCTTCTTGAGCATGCTCACTGTCTTCCTTTGCATCATCGCATCTCAGGTATGTCCGATTCAAAATAAAAACGCATTTTATTCAATGACGATAAAATGTAATCAAGATGCTGATTTTGATTCTGTTTTCTCTTTGCTAGGGGCTCGGACTTGCTATTGGTGCCATTTTAATGGACCTGAAGAAGGCTACGACTTTGGCTTCAGTAACTGTCATGACGTTCATGCTCGCCGGAGGGTTCTTTGTCAAGGCAAGTCCTCAAATCTCCTCTGTTTCTCGAAATCCTCTGTTTCTTAGTACCCCTGTTTTTCATGTCCTCTGTTTCTGTGCTCCTCTGTTTTCATGTCCTCTGTTTTTATGTCCCCTGTTTCTTGTTATCCTCTGTTTTTATTGTTTTCCCTCTGTTTCTGAGTTCTTTTGTTTGTCTCCTGCAGAAAGTGCCGGTGTTCATCTCATGGATACGATACATATCCTTCAATTACCACACGTACAAGCTTCTTATTAAAGTACAATATCAGGACTTCGCTCAATCTATCAACGGGATGAGAATAGACAACGGACTGACTGAAGTGGTTGCACTCGTTGCCATGATTTTCGGTTATCGCCTCCTCGCTTATCTGTCTCTTAGGCAAATGAAGATCACAAGATAACCCATTTTCCACAAGAAAAAATAAAATAACAAGAAGAAGAAGAAGCACTAAAACATAAAGAGTGCGTTTGAGATCTTGATGATGTTGACCCGACCAAATCCTTGACAACAATTAAGAGACTGGTCCTAAGATAATTCTTGCTTAATTACAAAGGTGTTGTGAGTTTGATAATGATTGGGTGGTAAGAGAAGTCTTGATCTGTCTTAGTTTGTATTAGTATATATCGAAGCTAAATGGTTCATGTCTATTAACAAGAAGAGCCTTGTGAGTTTTTAATTTTTAATCAGATCTTCGCACTTTGTAAGCTTGTGATTCACTAATCAAGTCCGATTCAAATGCATTAAAACGTTGTAGTTTGTTAATTCATAAATGGCGAATTACAATTGAGAATTTTAGTGGTTAAAGCTTACAAGGAAAAAAATGGTGGGTTTATTTGTAAACAGACGATTAATTTGGAGGTTTTTCTTAAATAATAAGACTTCCTTTTTTTTTAAAACAAAAAATACATCCTTTGTAGCGCGTCCCCTTCAACTTTAGGGTTTATAGCGCGTCCTTTTCAATCGCAAGCCTTTCTCTTCTCCGTCTTCTCTCTCACATGGGAACAGAGGAATCAGAAATGGCGGAGAGGACAGTGATGTGTCTGTTAACTGACGCAGAAGGAACTCCTTTAGGGTCTGCTATGTATATCCCTCACAATGCAGGGCCTTCGCAGCTTACCCACTTCGTCAATACGCTTCTCAACAATGTAATCCTTCAATACTTTCAAATCTAAAATACTGATCAAAGACTTGATTAAAGCAGTGATTTTTCGTTTTTTTTGGGTGATCGATTCTCTCTGTTTCTGCCGTAAGCTACCAGAAAAATTGTTGTGAGTTTTGAAATAGATTCATTGGAATTGGTAAATATTCAGGAGGAGAAGTTACCGTACAGTTTCTATGTATCAGAGGAAGAGCTTCTTGTCTCTGTCGGAACTTACATGGAGAGAAATACAGGTAAACAAGTTTGGTGTCTTATGGTCCAATGAAAATCTAGTATGTTTTGCTAATGTTTTGGCACAAATTGTGTGTTTTAGTGTCCGTGGAAGAGGTTTTGAAGATAGTTTATCGTCAACAAGCTGTTTTCCGAATCCGCCCGGTTAACCGTTGCTCACAAACAATTGCTGGTATATATATGTCAAAGTTCTCTCTTAATATCTTTATCTGAGTTCTGAAATGGTTTGAGTGATTATGAATGGCTTTGTCTGAAAATTAGGTCATGCGGATGCTGTTCTTTGTGTTTCTTTTAGTCCTGACGGTAAGCAGTTAGCAAGTGGTTCAGGTGATACAACTGTAAGGCTTTGGGATCTGAACACTGAAACTCCAATGTTTACATGCAGAGGTTTGAAAAGTCTTCTCTCTTTTCTTCTTCTTAGGGTTTATGTCTCTGTACTAAATATATAGTTTCTTCTGTATGTCTTGTAATGTTTTCAGGGCACAGGAATCATGTTCTCTCAATTGCATGGTCACCGGATGCTAAGTGTCTTGTGAGTGGTGATGTAGATGGTAAAGTCTGTTGTTGGGATCCAATCAAAGGAAACTTGCAGGGCAATCCACTTACAGTTAAAAGTCCTTTCTCTTTTTTACTTCATAATATTGGTCGATTTTAATGTTTTTTTGTGTTTGTTACTGATGACATTGATCTTGACCTTCTCATAGGGACATAAGCAGTGGATTACTAGTATAGCGTGGGAACCAGTTCATCTTAGCTCTCCAAGCCGGAGATTTGTGACTAGTAGCAAAGATGGGGATGCAAGGATTTGGGACTTTAAACTGAGGAGATCTCTAATTTGTCTCAGTGGACACACACTTTGTGTGACTTGTGTCAAATGGGGTGGAGATGGAACTATCTACACAGGGTACGTTTCTAATAATTTGTCTTTTTTTTTCATGGATATGATATGTATCAGAAATCTTTTAACATGTAGCATATGGTTGAAAGCTTAGTTATCTTGTTCACATGTTATTGTGTTTTGGCAGCTCCCAAGATGGTACTATAAGGATGTGGGAGACAACTCAAGGGAAGCTTAAACATATATTGAGGGTAACTTTTTTTTTTTGTCGAAACTCTGAAAAGTTTTCTTGGCCTTATTGTAAGCTGCATTTTTCTCAAATTTCTCTCTGTTTATTATTCAGGGGCATGGACATTGGGTGAATTCTCTTGCATTGAGTACAGACTATGTTCTTCGGACAGGAGCTTTTGATCACACTAGACAAGAAATATCTTCAGATGAAGAAATGAAAAAGGTAAATAATAAGCTTCTGGTTCTATATAGGTTTTTTTTATAACCTGATTCTGATCCTCTTTCTTTATGTTCTGGTTAGATTGCTCTGGAAAGATACAACAAAGCAAAAGGGAGTCAAGATTCTCCTGAAAGATTAGTGTCTGGTTCTGATGATTTTACAATAATCCTTTGGGAACCATCTGTTAGCTTAGAACCTAAAAAAAGGTTAGCTACTGTGCGCATGACGGGTCATCAACAGGTTAGCTACTTGAAATTTGAAAACTCTTTTCTGTTTCTGTTTTTCGAATTCTTAGCTAACGCCAACAGTCAACAGCCTGTAAACCATGTGTATTTCTCACCAAATGGGCAATGGATTGCAAGTGCATCGTTCGATAAATCAGTGAAGCTATGGAATGGTGTCACAGGGGATTTTATTACAGCGTTCCGAGGCCATGTTGGACCTGTCTATCAGATCAGTTGGTCCGCCGACAGTAGGATGCTTTTGAGCTGCAGTAAAGATTCTACTCTCAAGGTGAAATCCTGTTTTACGTAACCGTAACTTATTTGTTTGAAGAAAACTACCAAATTAAACTTCTAAAAATTCTTCACTTGGACAGGTATGGGAAATCAGAACGAAGAGTTTAAAACATGATCTTCCTGGTCACGTGGATGAGGTATCAAACACCTTCAAAGCTCAAGTTAAAACCCAATCTCTTTTTTTTTTCTCTCTTAATCTTTGTTGTTTTTCTTGTTGGAAAGGTTTATGCTGTGGATTGGAGTCCAGATGGTGAGAAAGTAGCCTCTGGTGGTAAAGAAAAAGTTCTCAAGCTTTGGAAAGGTTAAAAGAGGAAGGAAGAGCATTTTGGAGCTTTGTTTACTCATTCATCCAAACACATTTTTCACCTTCCTCCTTTTTGAACTTTTTGAAATCGTTTCATTCATAACAATGTGAACATTACGTAGACAACAAGCTTTCTTACAAAACATAGACGAAACTTGAAATTCTTACCCCTGTTTCACAAATACATGCACACACTGTACATCAGAAATCAAGGCAAGCAGAGTTTTTTACGACACACACAGCTAGTTGGAACAAGAGGGCAGTAGAAAATCCATCAGCTGTTCTTCACTAGTTTTACTTTTAGTTGAAGCTAAACCAATGTTTATTGACCGTCTTTTTTCCGCAACTCAAATCCTATGGAGATGCGTAGAAGAAAACAGACGAAGAAGGAACCCTAATGAAGGATGAGCCAAAGATGAGTTGCCTGTTTACAGCCAAACGGGATGGTATAAGGACCATTTCTTGTAAACCAAGGAAACTTGATGTCCCTTCTTCGTTTGGCTGAAACATAAGGGACAAGACAAGAGACCCGGTTCACCAAATCCTATATCTTGTCCCCATTTTGCTGATCAGGTTTTGAGATTGCAGCAGCCAATATCCATTGCTGCTGCAATCCACTTGCTTGGCATGACCATACCACCAAGAGAATGGACCGAGGAACTTAGAAAGTAATCCATACTTCCCGAGACATTTGGCACGTATGAGTTCGTTGTTACTTCAGACGAATCCTGAGAATTGCTTGTTTTAGACTGCTTACCCGGATCAGCTTTCTTGGTGTTCAAGAAACGCCCTCCGGATCCTCTAGGACGACGCATAGCGTGGAGATGGCGAGAGTGATGCATATACGGCTGCTGCAAACATCATAACATAGGGCAATATTTGGGATTTGGGAATACACATTGCACAACAAAATAACAATTAGTTTTTCAAATATGTTTACCTTACGGCATTTACTCAGTTTGTTCTTCAGAACAGCCTTGGCACGTGACTGGCGCCGCCTGATGATTCCGTGGTACTGCTTTGAGTTAACATAGATCGTAACATCTTCTTCTGTCTCCATTTTCAGAGGCATCATTACTCGGCTTGACGGCATCTGAGATCCATAGGATGAAACTACTCCATAGTATTGTTCCCCATGAGGATGCTTTGTGTAGATCTACATGAAAACAAAAAATACAGCAAATATACTAAGTTACAAACACAAAAGAATTGATAGGTTTTAAAGATGTTCCAATGCAAGAAAAACCGCACCGTTGGTTGTGCGAATCCAAACTCGAAGCAAGATGATAGCAAAGCAAAAGCAACATTAGGCTTTGGGACATCTCTTGAATTCTTTCCACCACCTAAGTTAAATTAGAGAATGCTAATTCAAACTGCCGCAAAATTGCCTTGAAAACATGTATATTTGTTCTGTAATGTACAAGAAACAGAGATGGTGATGAATAGAGTTGCAGAGTTTTGTTTATCCACACCTTCTTCTGTCTCCGGAGTAACTACCTTAACTCCGGCGAATGACTCATAAGATTCTCCGGGAAGGCTCTGCGTAGTCAACGGAGGAGATCCAAAAGCACTCCACCAAAAAGAAGGCTGTGGAGGAGGTGACAAAAGCGCCTCTCTCTCCTTGCATTTCTCAGTTTGCATAGCTTTTTATGTCCAAAGTCCAATGAAGAAAAAGCGAAAGATCTGTTGAACAAGATCCAAAAGTCAACAACTAATCAAGGCTTCTCTCAGTTAAATCTTTCTCGAAAAGCAGAGGCAAGAAAATCGAATCGCTAAACGAAACATTAGTGAGCACAAAGCTATAACAAGATCCCAACAGAAACCACAAAAAAAATAGAAAAATGAACCACAACTTCAAACATACCAAATGTTACAATAACAATCCAAATTGGTGGAAGAAAACATATATAAACAGAGAAAAACTTACTCGGAGGGAGTGAGACTAAGAGAGAGAAGCTTCAGATTCCTATGTGTTGGGAGTCATGTCGGTTCCAAAGAAGAAACAAAGATTCAGAGAGAGAAGGAGAGAGATGGGTGAATATAAGTGTAATGTAAAGCTATATCTGCATCAACCAATGAGCTTCAACTTTCATGCGAGTCTTTTGTTTAATATTTACTCTTTTCTTTATTAGGTGACACAAAAATAGACAAAATTATTGCTCTTGTTAACTGTAGCGTTGGCTTGACGTGCTCTCCCCACAAGCTACAATGATCCCACTTCATATCAATTTTCATCCCCATCTCCATTAAGTAATTATAGTACTGTTTTTTTGTCGTCAAGCTCCACTTTTGTTCCCATCTTCAAAATATTAAAGTTAGTTCAATTTTTCAACAATAACTTTGTAACTCTTTGTCTAATTACATAATCTCTAATTTAGTGGATAGAATTAACATAGAAGGAAGAAGAAGAAGAAGACAAAAGCAAATTAAATCCTCCTACCAAAGAGAAAATATATGATTTCTCGTCTTTTTGTTTTGTTTAAAAACACTAATTAATTATTATTATGGAGCGTAAAATATGATATACCCAAATACCCAATTGATTAAAGGCCCAATAGAAAACCGGAACAAGTGCATATCTAATCTTTTTCTACTACATTTTCTCATACGTTCCATATACATGATATCTTAATATGTAAATAGACATTATTTCTTACTTTATATTAGCTTATTTCTTAACATGATATCTAAAAAACGAAAATAGCAAATAAAGATATATATTAGCTTTTTTTTTTCGTACTCGTTTCTTAAATATATTAAGGTGCATGAACCAAGTAACTTTGTAGTCAACGGCCGAAAAGTAATTTGCCAATTTGGTATAGCAAAAAAATCGAATTTTATGGTAACGAGAGATTAACAAGATAATGTTAGATTTTTAGGGTTTTTAAAAGCATCATAAAAGAAACGATGAAGAAAACTACTCCATATCAAACTGATAATCCAGATGTATCTATGATTTTACGTACATGTCAATGATATATAATCTCATTTCAACCCGATGCTTTGCAAAGAAGAGCTAGTAAAAGAAACATTCCATTTATTAATAAGGTGACATGACAAACAAAGACACGAGTTTAAAGCACATCGATCCAGAAACATGACCAAAACAAAAGACGACACAGCCACAAAGCACAAACATGACCGAAACTTGAATAAAACAACAAAAACTAGAAATGTGAAATGGGAAATGAAAACACAACAACAACTTTATTCTTCAACGGCTACTTCATTAGGCATCGTCTGCACCACCAGATCTGCTGCTCTCTCCTGGATAGATATTCTGCATGTCCTCTTCATCATCATCTGGTACCACGTTTAGGTTGAATCCATGAGATGCCACTCTGGGTAAAGGATCAGTCTCATCGCAATGGTTTTGGACTTTTGGCTCATCATCGAATAAGATCCACTTATCGATGTAATAGACACTTCCCCTTTCCATCGGCCTAAAACCACTTTCTCCCCATTTGGACGCAAAATCCAAAGCCTTCGGAGTCTCATCCTCCATAATTGGCTCGTTAACATCTTCTATATAAGGATGTTTTGCATAACCTAGCTCTTTCCCCAAACTCGTCATCTTCTTCTGTAAGAATGCCATTAATTTTTTAACCTCGGTGCCGGAGAGATCATCAACTCCACGACCATTGTGGAGCTGAAACATCAGAAGATCCATCTCATACCCAGCGATCACCCTCTGCGAATTTGCGATCTTAGTCTCAAGCTTCTTGGTATTGGACTTGATGAACGACTCCTGATCCTCCGCCTTCAGGTTCCTCTGGAGGTCGGGTAATGAGAAGTAATGGTCGATGAGAGATTTAGCCTCCTCTTGAGACGGCCACGCCACCAACTTGTTATCATCAGGGCTGTAAAAGACCATGCAAGCACTCATATCACAGAGTATGGTTAGTTCATGAACCTTTTTAATCAACCCTTGCATCCTCTTCTTGTAAGCAGCTTTTCTTGCCTTTTCATTTGCGATCCAAGTAAACTTCTGCCTCGGTCTCGCCACCACCTTCAATCTTGCCATCGCCTTCGCTTAGGAGTTCTCCCTTTGGTTTTATTTTATTTATTTTGATCTTGCTTTGAGGTGTTGAAAGAGAGTCCTGCACTTGTGGTCTTATATAAGAGGAGAGGAGAGGAGATAGGAGGGTAGCTATATTTAATTAACTACCAATATATTTGAGGTAGCATATGGTAATAAAGTAATTAATTGTTTGACTAGATGTATTTGGTAATACATTAAAATTTGGTAATTTTTATGCTCCGTATATGTTTATTATCACCTTTCCATTTAGGTTTACATTTTGACTACGTCAATGTTACTTCAATACTAGAACTTAGGACATGAATATATATCGTGATCATGACCAAAAAAAAAAAAGCTTATATTTCACTAAACATATGAAATCATGAATCTATCACTGACAAAAATAAAAATTAAACAGTATCAAGATAATAAATAGTATCATAGAGTTTAAGGGAGAAATACTCACAATGTGCGTATGTATTTCAATCGATAGATCCTCTACCACATTTAGCGTGAAAGAAATAACATGCGAGTATGCGACATGGCGAATCTCTCCCCTTCCACCGACTCGACTCCTCAAACTCGTGGGCAAATATGTGCCAAGCAGATTGAGCTCCATTCACATGGCGGGGGACCAATCCTATGACGAAGGGCTTATCTTGTGGTTCAGCATATACATGCACCTCGAATCTTGTATATTTCTCTTAATCAAAGTTCCAGACTTTCAAAATGTAACTAAAGATAAATCTCAAAATCAAGAAGAATTTCATTGTGCAAAACAATTTTTGGTTTGAATGATTTTACATCTAATTCCAAAAAATAATCATAATGAATAATTTGAAAAAAACTTTCAATGATAAAAATATCAGAAAGAAACACACAAAGAAGACGGCGATACAGAATTTTATAAATTAGGTTTAAACTAAACAATAACACATATATACGAACTACGTATATAGCCCAAAGTCCATACATGTATAAAGCCCAAAACTTATACGCATATCAATACAGTTCATGTCATTTCAATATTTTATTAATTTTGTAAATATTTTCTGAAAATAAAATAAAACAAAATTTGGGATTATTGTTGATTTAAGAATTACTATTATATGAGATTATTACAAGTGTTCTTGAATGCATTGCATTATTATTACTCTGCTTAACCACTCAACTCATGCTTTTGCAAATTCACACAAGATATCAAAGGTAAGACTCCAACTGAGCCAGAAGTTCTACCAAGTTCCACCAAAAACAAGAAGCCTCAGAACGAGGACGCTTCAATAAGTGATGACAAAGCGTATCCCAAATGAAATTAAACGTATACCAAATGATTGATTGACGTCTAACCAAAAAACAAAATGTATTTGTGAAAATTATTAACACCACTTGGACATTACTTAGCAACATATGACATAACGCATATCATAACGTTGACTCTCAAAAACTTCATCATCGTGATGACCAAAAACATACATTCCCCAAAACATACACACCCATCATTTTATTCAAACTAAAATAAATTCGAATCATTATTAAAATCCAACCGCCGTAATGAGCGCGATGATGCCGCCTGACCCCGGCAGCTTGATATCAGCCACGGATAGGATCGGTGGATTCGCTTACGGGCTCGGCGTCTCCATTGGTATACTTCTCCTAATTACCACAATTACCCTCGCATCTTATTATTGCACTCGTAGCCATATATCCGCCTCTTCCACGACCACTCCAAGGACAAGACGCCGACAACAAGTACAGACCAATGGAACTTCGCCACCTGGCGAAGAACGGTTTTACTTCAGCGACGATGACGAAAACGACACCGTTGTGGTGGTCGAAGTCGTGGGGCTAAACGAGGAGGTTATCAAGAGTTTTCCTAAGCTTCCGTACGAAGAGGCTCGTGTGAGTTATAGCTTGCAAAAAGAATCCAGTGCGACGTCGTGTTGCTCAATATGTCTTGCGGATTACAAGAAGACCGATATGATCAGGGTTTTGCCGGATTGTAACCATTTGTTCCACGATCAATGCGTTGACCCTTGGCTAAGGCTTCATCCTACATGTCCCGTATGTCGCACGTCACCATTGCCGTCGCCGGCGATGACACCTGTTGCCGACGTTGTTCCTTTTTCCCGCCGGCCGATGGATATTTGACTTCGTACCGTTTATTTTATTTATTTTTAATTCTTGTTGACATTTTTTCGAGAATATATATTATCTCCAAGCTGTAAAGTTTCACGGGTGTTATTCGGTTCCTTAACTATACTTATACAAACAATATAAAGATGATCTAATATTAGTCTGTTTGATGTTAGACGATTGTTAAGTTAAACAAGATTTATATTATAATACTATAATAATGATGATCTGAACCAGAGAAAGAAAAGTAAATTGATTTAGACCATTGCCAATTACGACATTTTCCAAAACAGAGAGGAAAATATGTTGAATGTTTTTCTAATTTCTTGTTGACATGTCCACTTGACTTAGTCGAGGTCTGCTCTTGAACTTTTGTCTTGTATATATCCTTCCTTTGCCTTGTTTGTACTTGTGCAAAGACACACGTAAACCATACACGTTCGTTACGGTACATGCATGCAGTCTGATCTTCTGATGTTCCCAAGACATGATCTGCACTATCTCTTATGATATCTCCTCTAGAACGAATAACAAATGATTTGTTCGTATATCCAAATGATTTATCAATATCCTCTTATCATCTGTGTTTTTACCTTTTAGCCCCTGAATCTCAATTATTAATTTTTGGTAGTATACAGTTGAAATTGGCAAATCCTTTTCGGTCCCAAACCACTGAAATTTCCCGGTTACTTTTTAAATTAAAATCCCACCTGACGGTTCGGTATAAAGGGCCGATCTCGTGTGATCATTCACACCAAAACAACTTCCTTGATGAAATCTAGCCGTCCGTTTGAAATAAATAATGACCTAGCTGAAAGAAGGGTCCAGATCTCGTCCGAATCCGCTTTGCAAATATAAAGAATCCAAAGAAGATTCCGCATTCCACGCTGCTCTCATTTAACCTGTTTTTGATCATCATCATCTCAAACTCTCTCTACTTGGCTTCTTTTGCCCCTTTTTTTTGTTGTTGCTAGGTTTCTAGACTCTATCAATGGTGTCGAGGATTGTGATTCTCCCTCTCGCTGTTACTCTGCTCCTCTTTGCTTCAACGATTGTTCGAGCCACCGATGTCCATTACTGTGGTACGTTTGATGCTCTCTTCGAAAAAATCATCACTTGAGCTCGTTGTTGATTTCGTGATAGCTCTTGTTGCTAAGTGTTGAAACAACGGTTGATTGAAGTTCCGTTTTTTCGTTTGTTTTCTGAGGAAATCCCAAATTTTTGCCAGTTATTACTCTTTCCTTCTTCGATTCTGCCCTGATTTCTTGTCATGTGTATGTTTTGTAGAGGAGAATGCAGAGTATGAAGTAAAAGTGAAAGATGTTGATATATCGCCTAATCCTATAGCTCGAGGCGAGCCTGCTACTTTCACCGTCTCTGCCAACACAGGTTTGCTTCACTTTTTCTGTTCGGAGCACTTACTCTGAAGATTTTGGGGTTAATTATGATACAAAGATGTGAATTTCATATGGAGATGATGATCTGTGTTTGTTATGATAGAAAGACAATGTGATTGCTTCTGAGATTGTAGTCATGTGTCTTGCTGCTTCTTAGTAGATTCTCAACAATCCGTTTATGTTATATGATTAATTTTGATTCGTGTTTGTGGGTGGTGATTTGTTGTATTGTGGTAAAGTTCGTAGGATCTCTGGTGGGAATCTGGTGATTGAAGTTTCATATTTTGGATGGCATATCCACTCGGAGACACATGACCTCTGCTCTGAGACAACCTGTCCTGTAGAAACCGGAGATTTCTTGGTCGCACACTCTCAAGTTCTTCCTGGTTATACTCCTCCTGTAAGTGCCATTTGCCTTGTTTCCTGATTTTGCTGCAAATCATAATGTATGGCTTATAGTTTGAATGTATAAAATGTTGCATATGACGGTTTCAGAAACCGGAAGATGACAGAACCTACTCTTTATCTATCTTGCAGGGTTCATATTCGCTGCAAATGAGGATGCTTGATGCGCATAAGAAGGAGTTAACATGCATTAAGTTCTCCTTGGACATTGGAGCCGGACCATCTGTGGCTGATATTTAGATCAAATTCACTGTCAATTACTTTCTTTGCCATTGTAATAGTTTCATTGGTTTTCTAGCTTTATCAGTTTTGTTAGGCCTGGATTTTGATGATCTTCATCACAGAAATATAAATACATGCGTTAGTGTTTAGTGTTTGCTGCTTCAATCAAACATATCACCAGGTCTCATTGCGTCAGTCAAATGCTTGGAACGGTATGATTGACGATTTCTTAATTATCATTAATTTAAATCGAAGCATAATGTAATGCGATTAGTAATCAGATTAAGCAATGTGATTAAACAGAATTTGTGTTTTTTGACTAATTCGAATTTGCTAGCTAAAGCTGAGCTACTTTACCAATCTTACATCATTGCACGTTTACGGAATTGTAAAAGACAAGACAGGCATTATTATCATTCTAATGACAAAACTTCTTTTATTAATCGATGACTCTTACCAGAAAGATTTATACTTTTAAAAGATTTCTTGAAGCTCCAACATGTAGCATCTTCTTTTATCCTCTGGCAAATCGGGTTTGATTGGGTAAAATCATTATTACTCATGAGTCTTTTTGTCTCTGTGATTTGAGGTGTGAGTTTTATCATCTACATTATTGTAGCAATGACCCCATCAAAAAACAAAAACAAAAACAAAAAGACTTTTTTTTTTCTTTTCGTTTTCTGAATAAAACCCATCAAGAAAGACTTTTGAAAGCTAACCCAGAAAGTGGCTTTTGAAACTTTTTTTCATCAAAAATTGGGTACCCACACGTTAACCAAAGAAGAAACTTGAAAACGAGAAAACCACTACGTTTTGTTTTTTGCTCGTGCCCGATCTTTTATCTTTGGTCTGATCTTGATCGGAATTCATCTCTTTAACCTCTTTTTTCTTCAGATTCTTGAATTGGGTTTTTCCAAACAGAAAGATCCAATTTTAGCAATGAAGGGAATGAAGGAAAGGTTGGCGAAGAAAATCAAACTCATATCCATTGTTACGACCTTGAAGCAAGGCTTAACTCTTCACAAGAGTAACATTGATCGCACAATCCATCATTTGAGAGACGAAATAGTCGCTGAATCTGGTCAAAGCAGAGGTTGTGTTACACCAACGCTTCTAGAGCTTGAAGGTGTGGATACGTCACAACATAATCTCGAAGGAGAAGAAAGAGAGATTCTTCTGGAATTCGAAGAGAATTGTCCACCTGGAGGAGAAGATTCGGTCATATTCTACACGACGGGTTTGCGAGGAGTGAGGAAAACTTTCGAAGCCTGTAGGAGAGTAAGATTCTTGCTGGAGAATCACAGGGTGATGTACAGAGAGAGAGATGTTTCGATGGATTCAGAGTATAGAGAAGAGATGTGGAGGTTGCTTGGGGGTAAAGTTACATCTCCGAGGCTGTTCATTAGAGGTAGGTACATTGGAGGAGCAGATGAAGTTGTGGCGTTGAACGAGCACGGGAAGCTCAAAAAGCTTCTAGAAGGGATCTCACGGGTTGATTCGCCTTGTGAATGTTGCGAGAACGAACGGTTTCTGATATGTTCTAGCTGCAATGGAAGCTCAAGATTGCTTGCAGAACATCACGATGAAGAGACGACTAGTAATAATGGTAAGATTTGGACGAGATGCAGAGAATGTAATGAAAATGGGCTTGTCAAGTGTCCTCTTTGTAGTTGAAGTTACTATAACTATCTGATTTTAACTTTGTACTATGTGTGAAAATTATCATGTTTTTGTACTAGTATTTGCTCAATAAGTTCGCATATTCGGCGAAATATCATAGCAACATTTATTTCATCACGAGACTATAGTAGTTGAAAAAAACCAAATTGAAAAATTGTTTCGAATTTAACTAATGTCATACAGCAAAACTCTCTTTTCTCTCTATCTCTCAAACTCAACTTTACCTCCACTCACTTCCTTTGAGATGCTGCTTCTCTCTTTGAGCCGTATAAAGACTTTTGGGGGTATGTAAAAGTTCAGAATCAGGCGTAGTAGACTGAAACGAGAGGGATATCAACGTCGTCTTCATTGTCATCCTCGCAAGCGACCACAACATCCAAGTGACGTCGATAAGCAGGCAATTCAACTTTAGCGACTTCTCTAGCGAGATCCACCACATGCTTGTCCATCCTATCTCTGTGCCTCGGGAACATGCTGTTGTACAGTAAACAGCTTCCGCACGAAATGCTGTACGCGTTTAAGCCTTTCTCTTTTAGCCAGTTTAGCAGCTGCTTTAGAGTCGGGTTTCCCTTGATGACCCAACGGTCCCAAACCGTCCAGCTTTGGTCTTGGTGCTTCACTACTTTCGGTGGGACAGGCTCGGCTATGGAGAAGAGTGGAAGCGCTAGGTTTGCGAATGTGTTTCTGTAGTCTTCCACTTTGTGTGACCCGTCTAAGACCTTGTACAGCTCCAGGCAAACAAAACCTGTTGCCATGGCGGTTGATGTAGCAATGGCCGGAATGATTCTTCCGGCTATGAACTTGGCTTTGAGCTTGTCCACCTCGGGAACGCTGTAGTTCCTTGCTCTCATGTTGGCTAGCCCAGCGATCATATCCATGTGGTAGTTGGTATCGTCGTCCTATAAGGAGTATAAATGTTAGTTGCTCTTATAATGCAGATTCATAATTTGAAAAAAGTTAAGATGTAATTCTGATTCACCTTTTCAAACTGGATTGGCTTCATCCTGAACTCCGGCTGCAAGCTCAGCCTGCACCGCTCTAGTTTTGCGATTAGTTCATCGATTATTGCTGCATCATCGACTGAAGCTGTAGACATAGTTGTAGCCTTCTCATCTGTCACAATTTTTGCATCTTTCCTCGGTTCAAATTTGGGGACTATCACTCTTTCCGCAGCCTCGGCTAGTCCTGTTGGGGTTTTAGCCCACTCAGGAGTTGGGATTCCGAATGTCTCTGCACGCAAGATGGCTGCAGCCATGACAAAATTGATATGGCTCAGGTCGGTTGAGGAGAATTGGAGCGGGCGAGGGAATCTCTTTGGGGCAGACCAGAATGGAGCTCCGGTGCTAGTATTAGCGTCCTCAGGAAATGTGTAGATCAACTGCTTCACACGGTTGACGAAGTAATCCTCAAACCTGTAAGCAGAAAAAAATTATGTTAAGAGAAGAGAATCGGTTGTTTACAGTTTAGAAGAAAGGTTCACACCATCAGAGCATACCTTAGACGAGCCCAGGTTATGCAATCCTGGAAGGCATTGCACTTCTCTTTCTCGAGGCACTCAACAACACGTCCCAAAGTATCCCTGGCTTGAGCATCACCAGCAGTCTTCATCGCATTCATGTATTCAACAGGACTTGAGAGGTATGCATTAACTTCCGCTGGTGTTTTTTCAAGCAGACCCTCGAATTCAGAGCGAGCCCATGTTAAGCAATGGTCAATGTTGTGAGGAAATGAGTGCACGGTGCACATCGGAGCCTGTTTCTCTGGTGGGTCTCTCGAGGCACCGTAGTTCTCAGTGAGATGAGGGATGACCATCTGTGTGTTGCACTTTGCACCTAGAGTTCCTGACTCAAGTAGAGGCTTCTGGAAATACACACACCTTGAATCGACGTAAAGCCTTGCAGTGACATTGTCCAGCGCGTTGACAACAACTGTCAAATTCTCCCAGAAGCTGTCGTGAAAGACATTCTCAGTCTCAGGTCCAACACGATTTTGCAGAGCATCAATGTTGAGGCGAGAATTTATCCCTGCTGCTGCTGTTGCGGCAACTGTGGATTTAGCCTGTCCTATGTTCCAATCTCGAAAAAGAAACTGACGACTCAGGTTGCTCTTCTCAATTACATCATCATCGGTGACAGTAAGCTTCCCTTGAACGCCACATGACACACCCATCAAAGCTAAGTTCTTCAAGAACTCACATCCAAGAGCACCAGCCCCTACAACAAAAACTTTGGCATCCTCGAGTTTCTTCTGAAGAGTAGACCCAAATACAGAGATCTGTGCATCGTAACGGCTATTTTGTGGTGTAAACTCTGATGCATCAAGTGGCTCCTTGGGGAGTGACTCCAACGAATCAAAGTAAAAGAACTGCAAAGATAATGCAAATTCAGTATGAATATTAACTGAATATTGCTCAACAAGTGGAAATTTTACATGCAAAGACTGAACAGATGTGCATCAGAAAAGACTTTACCTGAAAGAGAGGATGGAATTTCCCAGAGCAAGCCTTGACAACCTCCTGTCCAACAATGCCACCAAACATTGCAGCCATGGGATTCAGAACTGCCCTCGATCCAAAGGCCAAATGTCGCAATAGTTTAGAGTTGACATCATCCAACCTTGCATCACCCGAACTCTCATTTATGTCAGTTGCAATTTCCACTAGTTTCTGGGCATCTTCTTCTGAACCAGCAAACGGGAATCTGCCTGCTTGAGACGAAAACCTATCAAGTGCCTGGAATGCTAAGTGGAGAAGAGGTGGCCGGTCAAACTTGGAAAAGTCACTAAGAAGAAAGTCGCCTGGATCTTTAATTGCTTCTCTGAGTGGTTTAAACTTCAGCACCTTTGGTTGTTTCACCTGAGTCACAATCCCACCCTTCTTATATGCTCCATAGCTAGTGGTGTCTTCTTCAAGGACAAATGAATATGGCTTCACGCTTTTTATCTTCCTTGGTTTTCCATCATTTAATTCTGTCATCCCCTCAACTTCAGAGAAAACTACAAGATCTCCATCCTCGAACTCGAGCCTCTCATCATCGACACACGAAACAAATGCAGGATTTTCGTTGCTAACAGAAGCGATGATGCCAGAGTGCGGTTCCTCACCATCAACATCAAGAACAGTAAACTGGGGTCCGAAATCACAGAACAATGACCCAAACAGGCCCCTAACGTCAGCCTTGATGAATGCAATAGGAGGCTGATGACTATGACAGTAATCATCAAACTGTGTCGCTTTCTCAAAAGAGATGTCCACAAATACCACGGCCTGCATCAAAAACAGAAGAAACTTATGAACAAGCTAAACATTCTGAACCATTGTGGAAACAGTATATCCATGTGAGTATTGAGGAGAGTTCAAATAGTCAGGGGAAAATTCAACCATGTTCACTCGAGTCTAATCTTTTCATGAATCATCACAGTATTATTGACAAGTTGAAAAAAGAGAAAAATACAATAAACCACATCAAGGAAGGATTTGGATACCTGGAAAGCAGAAAGCTGCTCTTTGGTTAACTTCTCAGTCAAAGCTGAAACAGCCACGGCATTGTTGAGTTCTTGCAACTTCTGAACAGAAGCAAGAGCCCTATTCTTACCAACATCCTCCTCCGAGAAAACAAAGTTACTAGACAAGTCCCATAGCTCAACCACATTTTCATCGTGAAGGGTCACAGACTTCACACCAGCGAGAATAATGTTCTTGGCTATATTGGAAAAGAAAACTTATCATCAGCAAGAAGGAAACAAAGAAGACAATATACAGATATATCACTACAAATACAGTGGATGTAGAATACAGAGTAAGAAAACAAACTATAAACCTTCCAAGCATATGATGCCACACTCACTCATCAGGGAAACAGACTTAACAAGTTAAGCTACAAGTTTAACATACTCAAGTAAAAGTGCTCAAATCTACAGGTAGAAACTTATGAACAAGAGAAAAAAACCACACAAATCAAGCACTTAATCAAACTATACGTTTAGAAAACCTCAAATTGGAGCAAATTTTATGGAAAATCACAACAATCACGAAATGTTCATATACAAACACAGGCACAGAAGCTACACGAGCCTGAAGCTCTTCAACAATCAGCAGGACAAGCACAGAAGTGACATGCACGATGATTTTAACATTGAAACGAGCAAATTAGAAATGAGAGTTAAGAAAGCGCTACCAATCTCGACACCAAGGCCTTGCATCCCCGAAATGAGAACGTTGGAAGCGAAAAGCCTCCTCATGGTCTCTCGTCCGTACACCGCGAGCTGTCTGCTGTGAAGATCTTCATCGATCTCGTGATTGTTGGAGTTGTTACCAGACGCCGCCATGTTCAGCTGCATCTCGTCACCGCCGATGTTGCTCAAACCGATGTTGGAGTTGGAGGCGAGAATCGCGGAACCATCAGCCTTAACCTCAGTCCCAGTGTGATGATCGATCCGTCGCTTCTTCAACGGCGACGAAGCAGACGCGAGACAGCTCTCCTTTACAACGAATGGTTCCATAGAGTCACTGAAGAGAATATGTATATCAAGTAAACAGAAGAAGCTTCGAATAACAAACAAACGAAAAAATAAATTCCGACGAGAGGTTGTATACACCTAATCGAGCAACGAATCTGCAGACGAAATGAGAATCGGAGCTGGAGATAACGAAACCGTACCTTTGGTGTTTCGGAGAAGAAGAAGATCGGAGGTGATAAGCGGCGAATTTGCTGAAAGTAAAGAGAGAGAGTATGCTTTTTGGCTTTGTAGGTTGTGTAGAAGCGGCGGTCTATGGCAAAATGAGGGATGATGGGCTTAGAAACAGTGCAGAATCAGCCTGTGTGGTAAATTTGGATAAATTCAAAGATCTGGTTTTGGTCTTGTAAACCGAAATTAATGGTTTGATTTTGGTAAGTAAGCAAACCAATTAATGTAAAGTGTGTGTTTCAATTCTGTGACAAATTTTATATTTAGAATTTGAAAATATTAATCAAATCAAGTAGTTATGATTGTTGATGAAGATAATAGTTGTTGAGTATTTCAATGCGTGTCGTACTTCCTAACACCTAGAGATTAATAGACGTTCAGTGAAGAACTCGTAAGTCTACAATGAGTGAAACGTTAGCATCATGTGTGGAAATGTACCTCATGAACTCGGCCGTTTAAGCATCAAAAGTTTGGTGTGAGCACATGTTTTTGGGATTTCATAGTGGGATGCTCTCCACGGTCATCAACTCCTAACGAACACAATCTATCTTTATTCTATGGTTAATTATTTCTGATTAGTAGTGATACTGTTAGTAAAAACTTTTAGTTTTCGATTCGTTTTGGAGGTTTATCATATGTACGACCTAAGAAAATAAGGTTGTTACAACTGAAAATCATGCATAATTAAACTGAGAATGCAAAAAACAATTCAGATCCTTTTTTCCGAGTCGCAATAACAAACTCGATCATGAGAATCCAACCCTTGTCGCTAACGACATTTATCTTTCTGGTGGAATCAGGACTGTATCTACTAGACATAGTGTGCTCTTCTAGGAAGACATCCGATATAATCAACATTAGACCCAAAAAATTGAATATCCAACATGGCCCATACAATATTTGCTAAGCCCGGCCCACGGTAATCTAATTAAGGACCAAGAATTTCGCTTCGGTTCGATTCGACTGAACCGGATTGGTCATCTAAAATTGCAAACGCATGGTTAAAGCAAGCGGAAGACATGTGTCGATCAGTGGCCTGAGAATTTGTCCGCTCTCCATTTCTTGATTTCTTCTCCTCTCGATTGTTGATTCTTCTTTCTCTTGCGACGGAAACCCAACAACAGTTTCTCTATCCCGAAGCGAAATTCAAGGTTCGTCCTCTTTTCGCCTGTATTTCCTTAGTCTCGAGTCGTATAATTCCGATTGTATATGTGAATTAGGGGGTTACAAAAACTGAGATTTGATGAATCTGTCTGAAGCTTTTAAAGTCAACCAAATTTTGTCTCTCCACTAGTTAATTAGTCCAAGAGATGTACAGAACTAGGGATATAAACAATTGTAGCTAAACCCAGAAAAGTTGTTTGCTTTTTACTTTTGATCATTTCATTGTTTAACTATTGGTACACTCAAACTTGTAATCATTTTGTGGTCCTTCCTTTACCTAATTTATCCTAATGTTTATGCATTCTACCTAATAGTGGAAGATTTTCGTGCTACACTACTAGTCTATAAGTGCTAATTAGATTTTCATTGTATCTTTTAGGTGATCTAGAAGAACTGTATTGATTATAATTGAAAATCTGATACATTTGCTTCTCATTTGACTTTGGAAAAATCTCTAGTGTTCCTTGATCACAATCACATGGCTTCTTTTGATGGGCCAAAGTTCAAGATGACTGATGGCTCTTACGTTCAGACAAAAGCCGTTGATGTCGGATCATCAACAGACATCTCTCCGTACCTTTCACTCATAAGAGAAGATTCAATCTTGAATGGGAACCGAGCTGTGATCTTCGACGTGTATTGGGACGTCGGGTTCCTCAAAACAGAGAACAAAAAGTCGAGTTGGAGTCTGTCATCGGTGAAGCTGAGCACGAAAAACCTTTGTCTCCTCCTTCGACTTCCAAACCCATTTCACGACAACCTCAAGGATCTATACCGTTTCTTCGCTTCAAAGTTCGTCACTTTCGTTGGCGTGCAGATCGAGGAAGACCTGATCTTGCTCAGAGAGAACCACGGTCTCGTGATAAGAAACGCGATCGAGGTCGGGAAGCTGGCTGCGAAAGCACTTGGGACACTGGTGCTTGAGTATCTCGGGACGAGAGAGCTAGCTCACAGAGTGTTGTGGTCTGATTTGAGCCGGCTTGATTCGATTGAGTCGAAATGGGAGGAGAAAAGTCCTGAAGAACGTCTTGAAGCTGCAGCTATCGAAGGATGGCTTATCTCCAGTGTCTGGGATCAATTAAACGAGTGATTTGCTGTTATTTGTGGTTGAATATAATGTTTTTATCACTATGTATGATATGGTACTGTAATCATTAAACAATCACTGAAAAATAAAACATATCATTAAATGCTGCTGGTACTAGCAACTGTACCAGCATCCAATGCAGTTGAAGACACACAAATCTGAGATTATATAAGTGGAAATATGATTTTTGTAATTTATTGGTAGGCTTACTATATATAAGCTGGCAGAAGAGAACAAACACTCGTTTAATATTCAGGAGATATGCCAAATTTAAATAGACTGTGTATCATCATCACGTTCTCCTATTTATGCCTATTTTTGTCGTCTGTAAATATAAAATCATAATAAAGAAATTGAAGAGTGAAGAAGATGATGTGAATATGTGATTAAGAGGCAGAGAGCTTCCCACCTAGCTTTTACCAATCTGACACCGACACTTATCTGTCTGCACTTAAAACAACTTGTCTCGTCAGTCTCTCATTGCCTAATCTCGACGCTAATCGTTATCATTACGCATCTCCATCTCTCCCTCCTTTATTGGAAACTCCGACTATCCCTGGAAAATGATTTTTCTCGAGAAATTTATACTACAGAAAAACTTATCTCCTTCTTTCTCCTCCGTCTTGTCGGTCACGTTTTCTCCTCGAACCTGAACAATAAGCTTTCTTGAACTCCGTAAGCTTTTGTGCTAATCCTCTTCTCCTTTCTTTGCTCCTTTTCAAATTGTGATCGGATCATAAAAATAGAAAGAACAGAGAAAGTTATGCAATTAAAACTTTGTTCTTACTGCTGATTTGGCTGTGTAGTGAGAGATTATGGAGAAGAAACGAGAGATCTGTGAGTACAGAGACAAACTAGACAAGACCTTGTCTTCTCCTGAGCTCACCGATCACGAGACTCTCAAATCACTTCTCAGAAATCAGCTTTGCTCTTCTCAAGGTTTTGTTCAGAAATCTTTTATTTTTGCTTTTTTTAATTTTTTATAATTCCACTCTGAGATCTTGGTTAATTTATGTTGGTGTGATAATTAATTTGTAGAGTGTGATGAGAATATATTGGAGAAAAGAACAGAGGATGTATCGAATCTACTCAGCAAGCTTAGAAGTGTATCCATGACGGATCATCAAGTTTCTAAAGTAACCAACGATGCATCATCATTTGGTGATTGGAAAGTACGTTTTTTCTTCTTCTTATGTTGTGCTTTTAAGACGCATTCTCTTCTTTTTAAGACACTTTATATATAAAAAGAAGTGTTTGTTGTACAGTTGAAACATGATCATGAAGATTGCCGTGTTATGTACCGTGAAGGCCTAGAGGGAAGTCCTTTTCACACTTTGCTCGTTGAAGGTTACATGGATGGCCCTATCCAAGACTGTACGTTTCTTTTTCTTTATTACAATAATATTTGAGAGTCTTAAAACATGACCCTAATTGGAGTTATGATGATGCAGGTTTGTGCGTTTCGTGGGAAGCAACACTCTACCAGAAATGGTAAGAATGTCAATATTCTGGATAATGAACAACAGAGATCTCATGTCTCATTGGGAAAATGTTTACTTTACGAGTTTTTTATGTATTCCAGGTGGCCACAGTTTACATTTCCGCCATTCAGGATCTTGAAAAGCACATGCTTGCAAAAGGTCGGGATCGGTGAACAAGTATGTTTAGCAAGGTTTGTTCCAACTGAGAACAGAGGATTAAGTTTTGTTTGTTTTTTGAGGTTTTCTTTGTAACCATTGAAGCTAATCTTGAATATTTTTAATATTGTGGCAAGAAAGGATGAAGGTACCATGGCCATTAACGGACAGAGAGATTATTGTTCACTATTTCTCTTTTGAATACTTCAAAGATGGCTTAGTCGTCATCCTTTTGAACTCGGTAAAACCACAATCCTTCTTGTGTTTGTTTTCCTTCTGACAGTGTGACATTAATCTGAAATCATTTTTTGTTTGGTTGTGACTTATAGATCTCTGACTTAGACAGCATCGGAGTTTCCTCTACGGACACATTACCTGAATCACCGGATGCAGTGAGGATTGATCTCGTAGGAGGATTCGTTTTACAAAAGGTTACTCCACAGAGAAGTTACTTCAGGTAGTTACTGATCATTTTAGTATTGCAACATGTTGTTAATTGTCTTTGGTTATGATGCTTATTAAAATCTTAGCATTTTGTAGGACGATAGCGGATATGGATATAAAGATGGACTTAATCCCTCCATCGCTTATTAATTTCATATCTAGGCAGCTCATCGGCAACGGTTTCAGACTCTACAAAAAGGTCAGAAAACAAACTGATTTTGGTTTCTTTGCTGTTTTTTTACTTGTAAGCTTGTTGTGTGAACACTGTCTTCTTAATTTGAATGTAACAGTCAGTTGCGTCGGTGGCTAAATTTGATGAAGATTACAACAGAGCTTTAGCTGATCCTTTGTACACTAAGATACGTAGAGCTCTGTATCCAACTGATAAAGAAATTGAACAAGAGACAAAGTTGGAGTTAGTCAACGAAGTGATTAATGGTGATTCTCTGGCAAAGAAGGAACATGATAATGCTAGTGAAAATGAACCTGTCCATTGCAAAAAAGCTGTTACTGAGATTGAGGAAGAAGAGTTTGAAGAAAGCGCATCTTCAGAGGATGGAAATGTAGTTTGCAAGAGTGATACAGGTATGAGAAGACGTTTTTGCATAAGTCCAGAGGTAGAACAAGCTTTAGGGACTCTAGAGAGAGTAATATACATGGTTAGAAATATAACGCCGGTCCAAGAAGCAGAGGAAATGTCGCCACATAGAGCAGCAGAGGATCAGGCAAAGCAAGTAAGTTTGTTAGAGAAGATTGTTGAAAGTGTTCCTCAAAGATCACAGAGGCAAGATTTTTCAACATCGACAGTCACACAAGCAGAGAAGCGAGACAATGAGTCACGACAAGAGAATGGGATGTTGAACAAAGGTAAGAAATCGAGCTTGCAGAGAAAACGCAAGGCACGCTGCTTTGCTCTCAGGTCTTGGCTCTAAAGACTTAAAAGGAAGGTCAAGTTCCCCATTGTTTTCCAAGAGTTTGTGATTTGGAAATATCTTTTCTCATTTGCATGATTCATACAAATTAAACTTTTTTTTTTAGGGGTGATTGGTTGTTAATTTTAATTTAGCTTTAATTTTTTTACTGTAGAATTTTGGCTCTATGTTTTATGGTTGTGACTGTGAATTTGTTGTTATAGGATATTGGTTGTAAGATTTTAGTAAAAATGAAATAGAAAAATAAGAAACATAATAATAAGGAAAAAGGTAAAGAGGGAAAATAATATATGGAAAGAATGAAACAGAAAAAAAAATCTCACGACTCTTAAAATTATGCTGTGCAAAACTAAAAAGAGAATTGAAAAATCAAAGAGGGCTATGGGTTTTAAAACAAAACTGAAATAAATCAAAGAAGGCTATGGAAATATACTTTTTCATTTCTTTAATTTTAGAATATTAGGTATGCAAAAATATTTGTTCCTTCTTCCGTTATAATATGAAACATTTTTTCCGTTAGAATATTGCAAATATATGTTTCCTTTTTTAACACAATTTTAAATAGTTTTTTTTGCCTTTTTTTCCAAAACACAGAGTATCAAACTCTTAATATGAGTAAAATTAAAGTTGACATACTGTAAAATCTCTATAAAATAATAATGTTTGGGACTTTGAAAATTTATTATTTTATACAGGTATTATTTAATAAATAAATTCAATATTTATTAATTTATACAAAAAAATTAATTCATAATCTTCAAAAATTATTCTCCATATGATAATGTATTAATAAATTAAAAAACTTATTTTTTAGTATGGCATAAATAAATTGAAATTATAATCAAATCTTTTGGATATAGTAATAAAACATATATTATCAGCTTATATAAATATTTATATAAAATTTTATAGATGATTATTATTTTATATAGTAATCTTTTTGAAAATATATTATTTTATAGAGGTATTACTTTATAAATAAATTCAATATTTATTAATTTATACAAAAAAAATTAATTCATGATCTTCAAAAATTATTCTCCATATCATAATGTATTAATAATTTTAATAAAATTATTTTTTTAATATGGCATACATAAATTTGAAATTATAATCAAATCTTTTGGATATAGTAATAAAACATATATTATCAGCTTATATAAATATTTATATAAAATTTTATAGATGATAAAAACTATAGCTGCTAATGAAGTAGAATATAATGTGTTTCAAACATATTTAACAATTTTGCATGTTTTTTATATAATAAAAATTTAAAGCTAAACTTAAATTCATAGTTTAATAATTTTCTTAGGCATATACAATGTATGTTTTTATATAATTATTACTTTAACTTATAGCTAGGACCATATTTTTATATATGAGTTTCTAAAATATTATTATTTTATTATCGTATCGCATTTTGCTTATTTTTAACACTGGTCCGAGTTGGGACCAGAGAAATTTATTATCTTATAGTGATTATTAGTTTATTGAATACTAGATTAAGGTCCGCGTATACGCGGGTATATTTTAAGATTTTATAATAAAAGTATGGAAAATATTAAACAAAATTTGATCATTTTTAAACGTAAACAAAATAATATTGAAAACCCGATAAAATATTTAAATAAAATAAGATTGGTAATACTTTTACATTTTTATTGTAATTGATTTTTCTTTTGAATTTATGATATGACAAAATGAATTAATTTGTTTTACTATTATTTTTATCCAATACAGAAAGACTTACACATGTCTAAATCTGATCAACTGATTAATTAATCAAACTTTTATTATTCCATTCAAGAGATTTTAATTGATGAAATCTTTATTTCAATTTTTTTTACCTAACAAAAATTGAAAATCAAACTATTTAAAATTAGAATATCAATTCTAATTTTTTAATATTAGTTAATTGCTTGATAATTATTTTGTTAGTTTTTCTATTTATATTTTTTTTTCTCAATTTTTTTTTGCCTCAGACCATTATAAATACTATATATTGGTATTTTTCCTTTTCGAAATGGATTTTTCCTTTTCTTAATAGATGTAACAAAAGAATTTAAATTATTTGTTTCCTGTTTTTTTATTACTTTTAATGGATGTATTATTTTTTTTCATTTTAATTATTTGTTATCTGTTTTTCTAATTTTTAGTTAGTCTTATACATATTAATTTTTTTTATTATTTTTATTCCATGACACATGTTACGATCTTCATACTTCCAGTTTTTTTTTTTTTCTAAAACACATGTCGCAATTTTGTCAGTTATAAAATCCTATGTATCGCAAAACTTTCAAAAACATGATTTTTAAATTGGAGAAATAGAATCAAAGGGATTTGATGAACTTTGATGAATTTATGATTGAGAAACTTGACTCTCTTTTATAGGGTTCAAGTAACCTATTACATGCAGTTATAGGAAATTTAGTTTACATAACATATTCCATGTACAAATAGGATTTTATTTATTACATTATTTTGATTTTATTATTTGTTTGGATAATATTAATTTGATGAATGGGAAACCTTTCTCTATTAGGATATGACAAATATATTTTTATTTCTTTTAACTGTAATGGATTAATTTTTTAAAAAAATTCCTTTATCTAATTTTTTTTATTATTTTTTTTTTTTTTTTTCTCTAAGACATGTGTCACGATCTTAACGGACGTAACATTAAAAGTGACACATGTCGCGATCTTATAAATTATAAAAATCTATGTGTCGCAACCACGTCGTGCGCATCCAACTTTATATAATAAAAAATTGATGAATGAGAAACCTTTTTCTGTTTGGATTTGGCAAATATTATTTTTTCCTTTTTGATATAATAGATTAAATTAAATTTCGTTTTTTTTAATTAACATTTTTCTGGAATTCTTTTTTTTTTTAAGTTCTCCTTTTTTTCTAAGACACGTGTCACGATCTTAACGGACATAAACTTAAAAGTGACACATGTCGCGATCCTGAATTTTATAAAAATCCTACGTGTCGCAACCACGTCGTGCGCATCCAACTTTATATAATAAGATTACTTTATAGAGACTGGATGTTATGACAGTCTATTATAGGGGTTCATATATATAACCTATATAATGTAGTTATAGGATTACCATGCAATTATAGGATTTTATTTAGTACATTATTAAGATTAGTTAATGTAACTTATTTCATGTACTAATAAGATTTTGTTTAATTGAATTTAATATGTGTTTACCTACTCCATATACTAATATGATTTTGTTTATTTGGATTTCATATTTGTTTGGATAGTATAAATTTGTTGAATGAGAAACTTTTTTCTATTAGGATATGATAAATATTTGTTTTTCCTTTTCAATGGATACAATTTTCCCCTTTCTAACTTTTTTTTATTTTTTTTTTATTTTCATGATACATGTCACAATCTTAACAGCCATAAAACTAAAAGTGATACATGTCGCGATCCTGTAAATTATAAAAATCATACGCGTCACAACCACATCACTTGCATCCAGCTTTATATAATAAGATTTAGTTTTAAGTTTGAACCTGAACACCGAACCTGAACCTGAATGGCCCTGACCGATATCGAACCCAAATTCATTTGGTACTATATATGGCTACAAAAACTAACTACCCGATAGACCCGGACCCGAAGTACCTATCCAAACCTAACCCAATCACCCGCAAACCTATGAAGAAATATGTGAATCGATTAATTAACATATTTGATTTCTGGTTTGACTAAACCATCTTCCTGTTTGTTTTAAATTATTATGCAGGATTGATTTTTATTTTTTTTCTAAATTATCGATTTGTTTTAAGTTATTATTCTTGTATCCAAACAGTTTTTCCTCTTATTCTATATCCAAACAGTTTTTTTTTAATGTTATTTGGATATAAGAATGTACTAAAAATAAGTTCATGTATTTTTAAGAGTTTTTCTAAAAATACCTGAACTGATTTTTATTTGCTAGAAGTACTTTGTGTTTGTTTTTGCCAACCTAAAAAGTTGGTGGTTTTTTTAGCAATAAAAATATATAGTATGATTGTGGATTCTTTTTGTAAATTTTGCCGTCTTAAAAAAACATCATTCATATACAAATTTGCCAAAGTTAGTTCCAGATTGACAAAGAAAACTTTTACCTAATATTTGATTACGGTTTTGTTTTTTTTTTTTAAAAAGAGAGTTTCTAATAGGTTTAAACCAAAACCTAAAGAACACAATACTTTCCTAATTTAGTTAGCTTTTAAACCTGGTTGGGTTAAATCAAAGAGAAAATCTGTAATTTCCTTATTCTCTTCTTCCAAAAATCCGAATGGATTGTAAATCACATATATGGGATTGTAAAGTTGTAATTGTTTCCAAATGTGTTTTAATATTATAAAGATAATAATAATACATCCTCTTCTCAACCTCATATTTCTCTTCTCTCGTCTCAATCTTTCTGCAATTTCTCCCACTCGAATGTCAGCTTACCTTCCAACCTATCACATGATCCATGTTCTGTCTTTGCCACCATATAATTCAGGTATTTGATTGACGGTGAGAAGTCACCATCACGAGTTACTACCAGAACGCGATTTTCTCCGAGAAGAGCTAACTCGAACATCAGCAATATTGCGTAGCTATCGGCAATATCCGTAGTTCGCATAAGGAGTTCTGCCAAGAAAACAAAACAAAATTACTAGATAAGCATAAGAAAGATAGGTTTTTACCCAAAAACAAAAAATAAAAACAAAGGTTTACCTTCGTCATATCCACCTACGATAACTCTCGGGCACCTCCCACACTTCTTCCCAATATTAGGGGTTTTGATTACTGTGAAATCCGAATATCCCTCAAGCAGTCTAGAATCTCTGTTATCGGGTCCAACAGCAAATATTTTCTTAACCTCAAAATCTCCATGATGCTTGAGAGAACCCTCGATCTTTTGCTTGAGCGTATCAACTTGAACTCCTTGGTCGACCCAGGAATTTTCAAAATCCCAAATGATATGAAGGTCTCTGGATTTAGATATGCTCTTCGGTATCTGCAAAAAAAAAAAAGAGTGAAAAACATAACATCAAACATATCTATATCTTTAAAAACATGATGATGGTCTCAAACTAACCTCTAAACCCTTAAAACCACTCAAGGATCTTGCCTGATCTCCACCGCTGCTGCTACTAGATGCCTGAGAGTATACACTTCCCGTCCTAACTCTTTTTGTCATTGATTTTCGGTAAACTCCCTCAGGCAGAATGGGGAATGCATCTATGCCACAGTGCCGCAACGTTGAGACGACAGTTTCGTTGAAAAACTTATCCCCTGAGAGGATAGCGATTGAACTATTTTCCACCTTCGGCCTTTTCAGGAACAGTGCATGTTTGCAGATGTTCTCAATCAAGGAGATTTGTAACAGCTCTCCTATCTTTACCCTGTCTCCAGCTTGAGCAACATCTCTTTGACAATCACCGCATAGCATGTGTCGTTTGTGATATGTATGGAGAACAATTCCTAGCCGTAGCAATTTTTTCCGTATGTCCTCCATTCTTCTAAAGTCTTCGGTTGTTCCAAAACCTCTTACCCCAGCTAGGTGATATTTCTGGTGCTGTTTATCATGACCCTGAACTGCAGCCAAAATGTTGGATAAGAGCTGATCCTGCACATTTAACGAAGGTTCGAATCCCACTGTCTCAAAATCCACAAAAACGATTGTGCCATGATCCAATCTGATGTCTTGTAGAAGCCTTGAACGTTTTCCACGTTTTCCTTGACACGTATAATCATCATCTTCATTAATCTCGCCTTTGCCTTCTCGAGATGCTGATGAACCTGAACCTGGGTTAAAACTGGCAGCGCCGGAAATTCCACTCAAACTAGACGACTTTCCATCGTCTTGTTTATTACCACCAGTGCCTCCATGATTACGCCATGCGCCTTCAGTTCTAAGCGTGTCAAAAGGTGGAAAGGAACCAGTCCCCACATTCCCGCTATATAGCAACAGACAGCGTGCAAGAGAAGTTAGCATTTCACAGAAAGGGCAATCAATGATACAGATACATGGAGGAAGAAACGAGTCTAAGCAGTGTACTTAAGGAGATTCATGGGAGCTTACCTTGTCATAGTAACATCAGAATAGCGTAAAGCTATTACACGGCAGAGGTACCCTTTCAACGGACCCACACGTATCCTCAGTCTTTGGCCTATAGAATACATGCTACCTTTGTCTCCTTGGTGTGCTGCATTTGATAATCATTCGTGAGAAGCCTAATGGGATTGATAGAAGCTAGACTATAAAAGGTCTCCGTAATGTGTATCCGCATACTGTAACTATTTACCTTCAGGAATGTCATGATGACGAGGTGGTAATGGGATGAGAGTTGTAGGTATTTGAGCTCCTTCTCTTGTACTGAAGTGAGTTTCATCATCTCCTTCGATGTCAAACCTGAGATGCCATTGAGAAAGCAAACACAGAAAGGAAATGAACAAAGAATCACAGAAATAATGGAACGCTACACACTTCTAACCTTCAACAAATTTTGGAAATGGTCTAAACTCTGGGAATGAAAGATGAAATATAGACAGTGAGATTGAAAGCTGACCTTTCAAATCGATCGTAAGTGTGGTATGAACCATGATACTCAAAGAGTGTGATGTTGTCGGCATCAGCTGGGAAAGTTACAGAAATTCACAAGTAGTTATAAATTGAGTAAAATAACATAAATGGTTGAGTAGTTACTCAAGTTATAATCACGAAAGACAAGTCTCACAGAAACCTTGATGGAATTGCTGTCCAAGATCTTCCTGCTCCAGGTTATCCTTAACAATGGGTTCATCTAACCGCTGCAAAGAGATAAAGCCACGGAATGAATTAGTTCAACTGAAGATGCACACAATATTTATTGCTTTACAGAAGATACGAACACTGTGATCAATTCACATTAGCAGTTAGCCTTTAGAGAGAAGCCATAAGGTAATATGATATATGTTGAATAGCTAACTATAACTACATACCTTGTAACCGTCACCTTTGTCATCCACGCCCACAATCAGACCAAAGTATTTTCGACTACAAAGGGGAAAGGGATGAGGTGCTTAGCATATGAAATTATAACAAAGACTCACAGACAAGCACAGTTATGGTCGACTCCATACCTGAAGCAAACTAGATTATATAAATCATTGCTACCCTCTGACTTAATTAGCGATGAACCTTCTTCGTTTCCAGCCCCTTTGCCACTTGGAAGAATCTTTTTCTTCTTTTCTTCACCACACACCACATCACCACTTTCTTTGCGTTCTACAGGCGCAAATTTAAGTATCTCCTCCTTTGATGGTATTATCCCCCAGGATACTTTTCTATATGGAAACCCATCCGTCAGCATCATGCTATCATGTTGCTCAAAACTTATTCCAGTTTCACGGTCACGGCTTTTTTGAATGCGAGGCATGAACTCCATGTGACGACAGAGTGGGACAAGCGACAATACTCTGCTCATAATAGTCTGCTCATAGTCCATCTTTAAAGTATCTGTCTTTCTTCTTCTTTTTGCTCTCTGTGATCTATCGTGTTCCTGTATGCAGAACAAAATCCAATTTCATGTCTTCTCTCACGAGATGAAAGTATTCCTAGTGAGAGAAAGTACCTCTCTATCCGGTATGTTTTGTTCCTCCATCTGCTCAGAAAATACGTCCCTAACATGCTCCTGTTGCTCCTGGCGCTGATTGCTTGTGGGGTTGCCTCCTGCGGATAGTTAGAGGTAAGTAAGTTTGTTCAGTTCCATTCATGAAGCTCAGCTTTCTATAAATAATCGATCTTTTGTCAAGGCTTCTTAAGAAGTACATTCCCTGGTCAAATTCATGATTATTGTACTAGAGGTTCGCTCAAGCCATTGTTCTTAGCTTCATGGACTTGGCACAATTTCATCTTTGACTCAAAAAGTTGTATCCGCATACTGTAACTATTTACCTTCAGGAATGTCATGATGACGAGGTGGTGATGGGATGAGAGTTGTAGGTATTTGAGCTCCTTCTCTTGCACTGAAGTTAATCTGAGTTTCATCATCTCCTTCGATGTCAAATCTGAGATGCCATTGAGAAAGCAAACGCAGAAAGGAAATGAACAAAGAATCACCAATATTTCACAGAAATAATGGAACGCTACACACTTCTAACCTTCAACAAATTTTGGGAATGAAAGATGAAAAATAGACAGTGAGATTGAAAGCTAACCTTTCAAAACGGTCGTAACTCTCGGTGTCAGTCTGGTATGAACCATGATACTCAAAGTCAAAGAGTGTGATGTTGTCGGCATCAGCTGGGAATGTTACAGAAATTGACAAGTAGTTTTAACATAAATGGTTACTCAAGTTATAATCACGAAAAGACAAGTATGAAGATAGAAACCTTGATGGAATTGCTGTCCAAGATCTTCCTGCTCCTGGTTATCCTCAAGAATGGGTTCATCTAACCGCTGCAAAGAGATAAAGCCACGGAATGAATCAGTTCAACAGAAGATGCACACAATATATTAGCAGTTGCCTTTTTTGTGTGATGTCCTTTTCCACAATCCATAGGTTATACGTTAAATTTAGAGCGATGTTCAAATGATATGTTTAAAGTGACCCTTGGAATTCTCTTTATATCCTTTCAACTTATTATGTTGAAAATGTCAGCAATATTGTCTACAATTTATTCGTATTAATGAAGATTGAACTGAAAAAGAAAATAAACACCCAATATATTCTTCGAGACACAGCAGGTTTGGACTTACTTACCATGGAAAACTTTGGTAAGTTACGAGTCTGTTTGCCATCTTCAAAATCCGCTTCTTCGTTCTCAGGCAACGTAACAGCTATTTTGCTGCAAACAAAAACCCAAACACGCCATTTTCCTCCAGAATCCGCCGAATCACGCCAAAAATTAACTGAAGCGAAATGGTAATTTACCTGGCATGGTTTTTTCCTTTTGGTAGTAAAGTGGGATCCGGAACAGCTTTTGTGCGCCAGGCTCCATTAATTTCAACCTAAGAAAATACACAATATGAGAGACCCAGAAAACGAAGTACGGAAATATGATTTTGACGGAAATAGTAAAGGATCGGAAAAGTCTGGTTACCAGAAAGCGAGTTCCGTCATCTGAACATTAAAGAAAAACCCCAAAAAATCAAAGTGTTATCAATTTGGAAATGATCAAGTGTAAACTGAAATCCCGAATTCAAATTTAATCGAGATTTTAACAAAGAATAATTGATTACCAAATAGGAGCTTCACTTTTCTTTCATACACGATCACAACCACACCTAACAAAGAGACGAGAGGCTGAGAATCATCAAACCCAGAAAGAGAAGAACGAATAAAGAGCTAAGCTTACCCATTAATATCCCAGAGAGTCTGAGAGCCATTGGAACCGACGGATTCAAAATCTCTTCGCTGTGAAAGAGTCAAATAACCAACAACACAAAACAAAAAAGGAAAATCAACGTTCGTTTTCATATAAAATCATGGCATGAACACCCAAAAATCAAACGCATAAAACAAGGAACGAACGGATCTCCCCTCACCAGATTTGAATGATATCGAGCTTGTCTAGCTGCTTCCGATTGAACTTCGCGTGCAACGTCGCAGCCATCCTTGAAGAACAGACACCATAAACAGATAAGGAAAAAAACAGAGGTTGAGATTACACTCTTGCATTCTCTAATCCACAGAGAGATTAAAAAAAAAGGAAACCCAGAGTGGCGATTGAAGCAGTAACAAAAATGCTTGATCGGAACCAGGAAATTCCCATGGCGGATTAAAAAAAACAGACGAAGGAACTCCATACGAAAACAAAGCTTGCAAAATCACGAAACATCGGAAAACGTTTGACTGATAGGATTCGACTCACCATATCTGACCTAACGGCGCTTGCCGAGCTAGAAGCTGATGAGAGTAAAACATGCTTCAAGTTCTAAAAAAAAAAAATCCAACCCAGGAAGAGAGAAAAAGAGAACATCAACGCAACTGCGTTGCGTCCATGGAATCTGTATCTGTAGAAAAAGGGGCTGACTGATAAAATATTTATTCTGGATTTTTATAAACCCGCCATGAGTATAAGAAGGGGAAGGTCTCAGACTGTACGGGGGGAGGGAGGGGAGGGTGTCGGGAGCAATGCAAAAGAAACAGCCCGGTGATGAAAATAACACTAGTAGTCCTCTTGTATTTTGACACGTACGCAGGGTATAATTAACCACATGTGACACTACAAAAAGCATATAGCAATTCCGTTACCGCAGCTGGACCCCACAGTGTCACTATCAAACTCACGAGTCCCAACATTTCAATTGGACTGCCTGCCATTTTGGAATGTAATAACGGCACGTAGTTGATTCTTAGAAACTTAAAACGATCTGGTGTTTATTCATGGCCGCCCATGCCTCTCTCTCCATTGACATAGAGCTTTGCATCGGCGAGATCGGATAATCAAATTGCACAGAAGTTATCATGCCGGAGAAAAACCAAAATGGCGCCGTTAAGCTTTTCCTCACACTTGCTTTTCTCACTGCTACAACCGCTTCTCTTCCTTCTTCCCCGGACCGATTCCTCAAATCGGCTTTGACTTCTCTCCGGTCACCGTACAAGCCAAAGAAGTACGAGGAACTCAGTCAGCCCTTACCGTCCGATCAACTCATGCCGTCGTGCTCCCATGTCCTCCTCCGACAATCATTCGCCAACCACATCGACGCACCTCCCTTTACCACTCCATATACTCCACCTTCCGGCTGTACATCACCGCCATGGTCTTATGTCAAGAGCGCCGCCTCGAGTGGCGATAAGTACGATCATAATTCCGGCTTGTGGCTCCGCGGAGTGGAACTACTCCACACCAGAACGGCTGAGCCAAATCCAACCGGAATCTTCTGAAATGTTCGGAAGGACGTGTCTAGGTACTCCTCGCTCTTTATGCGATCCGTCCGATCTAAACGTAACACTGATGTACACAGGCATTTATCATACCAATGTCACTCTCCACTTTTACAAATCCAATTCTGTTGCGTCGAACCCGAAGATAAGCAGCAGATTAGGGGTTGCTGGATTCCAGAGAAGAGACCAAACACCTGCGGATTTGATAATTCCGTTATGTGACGAAGGAAATAGAGGTTTCTGGTTCATGATCGAGAATCCCGAAGAAACTGACTCTAAGAGAATTCAAATTCCGTCCTACACTCGTCGGATTGTGCTGGAACTGTACATATTATCCCATGGAAACGACGAGTTCTGACCCGCTAAATTCTTACATCAGAACGAACAATCTACCAACTGGGCGTGGCAATGGCGCATTTCCGGAGGTTGTTGTGAAAATAGACGGGAGGTTCCATTTCCGGTGATCTTTACAGGTGGAATCAATCCCTTGTTCTGGGAACCAGTTGTTGCAATCGGTGCATTCATTCTATCTTCATATGACATGGACTTGACACCATCTCTCGGGTTGCTTTTGGATGGAAAGTCTCATGAGTTTTCACTCGGGGTCAACGATGGGATATCGTACTGGCTTGTGGACGCTAATTTGCACCTCTGGTTGGATCACAGGTCGTCCAATGTTGAAGCTGGGTCTGGGCGGTACGATAGTCCAAGCCGTCACATGGTGGGACAAGAAAAGTTGGAAGAACAGCTTGATGGGACTTTTAAGGTTGAAGCAGAGGTACACAGTGAATTTGACGGGTGGGTTAAATCAAGTGAAGGTAACCTGACCACCGTGGTCAAAAGCATGTTCAAAGTTGGCAACTTGGTGAAGTTCGAGCAAAACGGATCATACAAGAGGGTAGAGCAAAGTGTGAAGACCAAGCGGGTCGTGGAGGTGACTTTTGAATCAGGAGAACCGGTGAAGCGGGTTGTTCAGCAGCGGACATATTCACTCACGGTGATTACTTCCACTCGTTGAGAGTTCTCAACCAATGACAAGGATATGTATCTGCTCGTGACAAATGTATCGTACGCGTTGAACGAGAACTATTCCGCTGGAGGAACTTTGACAGAGCTTTATAAGAGACATGACTCAGAGGGTTGGATGCAGGTTGAAGATCATAATGTCTTGGCCGGTGAAGCGAGCACAAGGCAGAGCTTTAGCTACGTGGATGAGCTCAGCTGTTATTCACGCATTAGTGTTGCAACCAATGGCGAGATCGCCCTCGACAGTTCATCTGATACTTGCACTTCGTCTTCTTCCTCGTAAGTTAAGCGCAGCTGATCATAACCAGTGTGAAATTATGATGAAATTATTGTCTTGTATGATGATGTTTGTACTTCTAAGTAAAACACAAAATTGTGGAGCTAAAGTGGAAACGATGGTTACAATGCATTTACAATACTATCTTCTTCTCATTCAAGCTTATAAATAAAAGTATTTGTCAATGCAATTTCCAAGGAGAGCAAAAAGAAAAAGGAATCACAGCAAAGATGATATCCAGACTTACGTGAGACTATATGAAACCAATAAATTCATAAAATTGTTCAAGGAGTTTCATAAGGACAACAAGATAATACAAAACTGTAGTTGAAGAGCACCCGCCTAGTAGTTATCAACATAGGCGTTGGTGTATTTATATCAACAGGTTGTAAGTCCCATGAATCGCGAGGGTAATGAATTTCAATAATCACAGTTCCAGTTAAACCAATACTACATTCTATTGTACCTCTTCAGTTTGCCAGAGTTTACTGAAACCCTTCACCTCGAGTAAGCAAAAACACGATCAAACAAACAATATAATACGCAGATGCCATTTAGAATGCAAATTTTCTTAGCTCAGTTACGCATTTAAAGACACCAACATACAACGGAGCGCAAGGGAGAAAATTTTCCTTACCGTTACGGGGTATGAGGACTCAAAATTGGATTTCTCCGTGGCTTTGAATACATCACCTACACCACCTGCATTCGTGTTCACAAAATGGAGTGTTTCAGCAACTAGATGAGTTAGACAATAGCTTGGCAAATCGCAAACTACCAAGCAGAGAGCCAACTTTTTTCCATTAATTAAACTAACTGTGTAGAAGCTAAACCCATAGTACTCGACGAAATCAACAAATCGGACGAAAACATGGGAAAAGAAAAGCTGCGCTCATGTAACCATTTTTGCAACTGAGAAACAGATGCTTATTAACTAAGGATCGATTATATATTTATACCCTCAGCGAAAAAAACAAGCTACACATAAATTCCAAATTTCCTCCGGAAATGTAAAACTCACCGGCTTTCACGCAATCCAAGACATAATCGGCACTGAGAGCGTATAAATCAGCCGGAGAAAGACAAGTTGAGGAACCAGATGGGGAACGAAGCTCCTTTACCAAACCCGAGGACATAAGAAACTCCAGGAGCATGCGGCGATCGTTCCGGTAACGCTGCAATAGAGAATTCATCTTTGCCCTCTCCAAACGATCCACTTCGTTGTTCCCCTCTCACGGAAGAAGAATGTGAAAGGAAGAGGAGCTTCGGTTTTTGGGTTTGACGATATGACTGACTTTTCTTTTTCAAATTTTATTTGAAATTCAAATTACATCAACGGCGAGCGAAACTGACACAAGAACGACGCCGTTTTGTCTTGCTCAAGAAACAACTCCGTTTTGTCGCGCTTCTGAAGAAACGACTGCGTTCTGTCTTGCTCAAAAGAGCGACGCCATTTTGTCTTGCTTAGGAAACGACGTCGGTTTGGTCTTCTGAAGAAACGGGGCTGTTTTGTCTTCAGATTTGATTGCCAAGAAACCACGCCGTTTTGTCTCATTTTATCAAATCAGCATTCATGGTTGTGTGGAAATCGTGGCGCATGGTGGTGACAAAATGAACCACTCAAACATGTCTACTTGTGTAAAGCCGGAATCGTATACATACCAAAAGGTGAACTACTATTACTCAATCCCTCTTTTCGTTTCTACTTATTATAATATAGACTGCTGAGTGATTTTGGTTTATGTTTCTGGAATCGACCTTTATTTCATTTTCTATTTGCTGGAATCTCTCTAGATGAAGCCGCAAGACGAGCACTATCGCTAGCTTTTGATCGATTTCGTCCATCAATAGCCAGGTATTACGATTTTCCTGCTCAAATGTTTCCCGATTTGCCATTTTTGTTCGATACTTTATATTTGGATCAGTCCTTAGTTTCCCAGGATTGATAGATTCGTATATGACTGTCTTCTATGTAGCTAGAACTAAACTATTGCTTCTGCAGATGCATTGCTCTCAAGGTTCATCGGTTCAAAGTCTTAAATCATTGGACAATAAATTGATTATAGAGTAGCTCTTCACGGTTTGGGACCTTTTCTTCTTATGTTCGTAGGCTATGCCATGAATGATCCAAATATAAAGTTTTGTTACTAATGTAGAATATGGCTTTTATGTTAAAACTTGTCTTTTTGTCTTGTACAAGGCTCACGTTGCACCTTCATCAAGTGATTCTGGTTCATGTGGTAACCTGTTAATTGAATGTTGTCGGGTTCGTTATTTCTGCTTACCAGATTCTCTTTTTTTCTGAAATTACTGGTTGAGATTTACTTAAGGAACTCACGTCTTGTCAATGTTAGCCATCTCCTCTTGAATTTCTTGCCTATTTGCTAGACACTTGGAGGTAGCTACACAGTTAGTTGACCTGTAATGTTAGTGTCTTCTTAGAGGCATTTATTCGTTTAATTGACTTAACACAAGAGTGTTCGTTTGGTGTAAATATTGTCTTAAATGTCAGAAGGTGAAGGAAAAGAATAACGTATTCAGTATGATGGTGGCTTTGGGTTGATCCCTGGTTCTGAATCTCACGGTGAGTTGAATACAATTCCTCTATAATCTTTAACTTCATTCTGTAGATGTGCTGTAAAAGTAAGTAACACAAATTTTATGTGAACTGAGTAGAAATTATTACCGACCTGGTAACTGAGAACGCTATATAGTATAAATAAGAAGTTCCACTTAATTAGTCACTGGCTTTTACTTCATTGGCTACACAGCCTACATATATACACCAAGGCAAAAATCTGCTAAATTTTACTTGACTGAACTCGTTTATGATTCTTACCTACGTTCTGCAACTTAGTTATGCAGGTGGAGGTACTTATTGTGCTATCGCATCCCTTCGACTGATGGGATTCGTTGGAGTTGATTTTCTGTCTAATGATTCATCAAATTCAATAATATACCCTTCATTGCTTCTCAACAGAGTCTACAGGTACTGATGCATAAAAAATTTGTTCTGAGGTTTCATGTCTTCCTTTTAAACTTACCTGGTAGTATTACCTTTTAGTATCGTAATGCTCCTGAGTATCTGATTGTTTTTCTTTCCTTGCCTTTAGAGACAAGCTAATGATGCTGAATTTCAAGGTAGGGCTAACAAACGGAGCGACACATGCTATGCATCTTGGTTAGTCCCCTAGTCTTTTTGCTGTCACGGTATCTGCTTGTTCCCATCTGCTGATTCGGGCCTTGCACTACATGTGTGTAGGATTGGTGCTATTCTTTCATAGGAGGCGATGCATTCATCAACAAAGTTGCTCTTCGCCAATTCTTACTGACTTGTCATTTTGACTTCTTTCTCGGTGCAATCTTTGTTAGTCTAATCTGTGTACTTTAGAAATGTACAGGTTCAAGTTTCAGCAGTCCTGACCAATGGACCTTTCATCTTGAATCTTGATTGTGATCATTACATCTTGACATAAGATATTCTGACTGGGTTCAAAGTGCATGCCCGTGGATGGCGACGATCCATTTACTTCGGTAGCTAATTTTGATGAAGATTACAGCAGTGCTTTAGCCGATCTTTTGAACGCTACGATACGTCGAGCCCTGTATTCGACTGATAAAGCAGTTGAAGAAGTAACAAAGTTGGAAGCCAATGAAGTGAATAATGGTGATTCTCTACCAAAGAAGGAACATTAGAATGATGAAGATGCTAGTGAAAATGAACATGTCCATTGCAGAAGAGCTGTTACTGAGATTGAGGAAGAAGAAGAAGAAGAAGAAGAAGAAGAAGGTTTTGAAGAAAGCGTTTCTTCAGAAGCGTTTCTGTCTTTCTCCGGAGAATTATTCACCATTTTTAACAGAGATCAGGAAGCTATTTTCGTCCGCTTGGCAAACTCTTGTTGCTCATTTCTCCGGTTTCCTCTTTGCAAACTTTAAACCTTGCGTCTCCATCATTACACTTATAATAATGAGACTCTATAATAATCCCATATATTAGTAGTTCCCAAATCAATAATAATCCTTCTTTTTTTTTTTGTGTGTGAACAACGAAATCAATTATCTCATCCATTAAGCATTGAAGCATGTTTGAACCGTTAAAAATGCACAGGTCGATCTGACGGTTGAGAACATGACACAGATCTAACACCTTTAAATTTGTTTTTAATTTTAATATTCGAGATCTAAGGGCTAAAAAAGTAAAAACACAGATGATAAGATCAAGAGGTTCTTGATAAAAACTAACGAAGGCTCTCTCGGTCTCTCTCATCCACTCAAAGCCCAATCAAACCCTAATTTATCGAGAAAGCCTCCAATTCTCTCCGTTGAACCATGGCCGGAACGAACGAACATTTGGCCGGTAAGATATCTCCTCCATCCCCTTACCCGAAATTGTATTGTTTATAATTGTATCGTAATTCGTTTAGTTGACCGATTGTAATTCGTTTACCTATTGTTTAGATGTCGAAGATATCTCGGGTAAGAACACTCTCCATGCCGATGAAATCTCGGGTAAGAAGATCTCTCTCCATCCTTTAGCCGAATTTGGGCTTTTTTATTTACTATAGATTTCATAATTGTATTGTAACTCGTTTATTTGACCTACTGTTCAGATGGCAAAAGCATGCAACAACTCTTGCGTCAGAAGAACCATCTCGTTCTGGGAGATCCTTCCAGTAAGATTTCTCTCCCGAAATTGTTTTTTTTTGTTTGTTTGATTAGATTTCATCTGTTGGATCTGTCATAGTTAACTAGCGGGATCTAATAAAATGAAAAATGATGGTCATTGAACCTATTGTATCTCTTTGATGATATCGCAATTCGTTTATGCGTTTGTCCGTTTTGTGAAACCGCACAGCCCTCGTGAGAATGGGCAATACAGGCGTGTTCTGGGACGCTGTGGCTTACCCATTCCCTCGTGGTCTGACTCCTGGTGACATCTACGAAAAAATTGAGTCAGCTCTTCGTAATTGTGAGGGTGAGGATGAGGATTGGGATTGTATGGGTGAGAAATCAATCTGGGTTTATGTTGATGACAAAGGGGATTATCCGAAAAACAAGACTTGGGAATCCAGAATCTACTTCCTTCCCGGAGGTGATTTATTTGCTCTTTTCTTATCAGATTATATGCTGTAATATATATATATATATATATATATATATATATCTCATCAGTTCCAATTTTTCCAGGGGATAAATCCGGGAGACGTAACAGAATGCTACATGACATCCATTTATGGGGAATGGACTTTCCTGTGGCCCATCCTCGTCCATCAACTTTGGTCATAGTATCGGATCAAGTCAGAGATGACTTGTTTTTCTTCCGGATGCTTAATTATTTCAGTATGAGAGGTTTCTGTGTTTTCTTAGCAACTCAGCCTGAGAGCTACCAACCAGAAGAAGAAGTTAAATGGCCTGCATCGCTATTAGCTGATCTCTACTCTTTTGAAGAAGAAGATAACATTCGGTTTAACCGACCACACAGCATAAGGAGGACTAATGCTACTCGAGGTTATAGCCGTCTCTCATGTTTTCTAATAATTTCTATTACGCAACACTTAAATTCCACGGTTTGCCCATTCTGTTACATTTGCAGGAGAGATATATATATATATATATATATATATATATATATACATTGTAATTCGTTTGTTTGACCTATTGTTTAGATGGCAAAGATGGGGGAGACAAGTGTCTCCATATCGAAGATTTCTCCAGTAAGATCTCTCTCCCGAAAAGTAAAATAAGGTGTCACTGGATCATTGAACCTATTGTATCTCTTTATTTCGCAATTCGTTTATGCGTTTTGTGAAACTGCACAGCCGTCGTTGAAGGGGGTCAGCTAGGCGTGATATGGTACAGCTTGCCCAGAAAGAATGAAGATTTCTACTGTAAGATGTCGCAATTGTTTGCCTAGATTAGTGTTAATGGATCTTATCTAACCTAATGTATGGTAAATTCGTTTATGCCTTGTTTGTCAAGGTTATGAGAGGCCAATAATGGTCTTCTGGAACGTGACGCAATGCCCAATCCCTTCTAGTGAGACGCTTCCTTGTGTTATTGATAAAATCGAATCAGCTATTCATGAAATGGGCTTTCATAGTCCGGTGGTAATCTTTGCGTATGCGTATGGTGACACGCCCGACCAACGAAATTTATTTAAGAAAGCCGGAATTTGTTACGCAGTAGGAGATGAACACCTGCGAAGCCTCCCAGTCGCAGATACAGATGGTTAAATACTATACTTAACACTCTCTTTGTGGTTTCTACTAGTTACTATATACGTCTGTAATCTGTTGATATATTGCTTGTTTCAGATTATGGTGAAATGGCTGTGGACCTTATTCTTTTCGCAACACCGACCTATGAGAAACCAGCAATTTTAGTGGTAATCGCGAATCCAGACGCAGATAGCGAGTTGCACAGGGTGCTCAAGTGTTTGCAGTCTAGAAATCACGATGTTCTCTTATTTGATTCTGCAAAGTCAATAGTTAGAAACACTCAAGGTTTAGTTGGAGGAGCGCACATAAGCAGGCCGCCTTGCCGTTGTGACTTTTTTAGATAGATATTGTCTTCTGTCAAAAAAAATCTATATATATTATGGGGTTAATGTTTCATCGTTCTGTTAAACTCTGTTTTGGCTTCAAATGATATTTTCAGTGTTATTCCTTTCGGTTTTTCTAAGCTTTTCTAAGCTCTGCCACGCCTCGACCTAATGCTAATTTTTTTAGTTTCATAATAGGACACATACAATTGACTGTTATCACTATCTTTATAACTGCGTGAAATAAATAAATATTGGGTTAAGGACTTAAGGTGCATACAACTTGTACGATGCTTTTGATAAACAGTTTTTCTTAGCTGACGTGAAAATGGGTAAGACAGGCGTGTTTTGGAATGTCGTGGGTTACCCATTCCCTCCTGGTTTTGAGTCCTGATGTTATCAAGGGAAAAAGTCGAATCAGCTCTTGGTGATGGTGATAGAGGATTGTGATTGTATGGGGTGGATTGATTTTTAGATATATTAATTTAAAATCGTGTACACAGAAAGTCAGAAACAGTCGTGTGAGTAGAAATTTAGTGTCATCAGATCAAATATATATTGGAATTAAAAAGTCTTCAATAAAATGGCAAGACTTTTTTATTATATTTCTTTCCTTAGAAAATATGTCATTTCCAGAATTAATAAAAATATTGAAATGACATGAGCTGATAATTTGTATCAGTATGTGCATGAGTTTTGGACTTTATATATGTATAGATTTTGGAAGTGTTTAAGCCGGTTTTAAGCTAATGAAAAGGGGAAGCGTCTCTATTAAGCCGATGGAAAGGGGAAGCGTCTATTATACACATGGATAAATGGATTTTATCCGATGATTGTGATGATCAGGCTTGGCCCAATGAAAACTTGAGCCATGTGATATAAAATGGTTTCAAGCCGATGGAAAGGGGAAGTATCTATTACAAGTATCTAGAAATTGCAGAGTCATTTCTAGAACACCATGCTTTCTCAATTCGGTTTGGTTTTTAACCCAATTTTTAAAATTAAAACCGGTTTGGTTAAACCGAAGAGACGACCCCTAATTTTTAATCCCTTCCAAAACCCCCAAATTCTCAGCGTCACAAATTTGCGTCCTTGTTGATCGCCTTGTAAGTTGTAATCATCGTCTCACCATTGCCTTGTTGAGCGATTGTTGATGGAATCAAAGATTACGAGCGCGTCTGCTCCAACAAAGCCTTCCTTTTGCTTGAAATGGCCATGGGATTCAAACAAACAACCGGAATCTTCAAGCGTCTGCGACTTCCAAGGACCGTGGCTCTTCAGATCTATGCAAAGCGTTGGATCAATTGCTCTCAGCTCTTTCAATTCACTCGGCTTCGGTCAAGGGGTCACAGGACCAAAGAAGAAGCCGCTAAGTGGTTACGAGCAAGGAGAAGCAGAGCAGAGGGCTTTTGCAGCTGCGTTAGCCAGCGAGAAAGATGCAACCGTACTTGAATTCTACTCGCCCAAATGCAGACTCTGCAATTCGTTGCTCAATTTCGTCTTGGAGGTAGAGAAAAGGAATTCGAATTGGCTCAGCGTAACCATGGCAGATGCAGAGAATGAGAAATGGTTTCCTGAGGTAAAAAATAAGCTCTTTCTCTGTTTCTATGTTTCTCTGTTTCTCTCCTCGCTGTTGATTGGTAGAAAAACTCAGAATTTTGACCTCTCTGTGCTTTTAATGCTTGCAGCTTCTCCACTATGACATAAAGTATGTTCCTTGGTTTGTTTTGCTGGACAAGAATTGACAAGCTTTGGCCAAAACAGGAGTTCCAAGTAGCCGTAAACATGTCATTGCCGGTATCTCTCATCTTCTCAAGATGAAGCGACGACCACCCTCTGAGTAGGTCTGAGACAATGAGACTCTTGATTCCACATTTGATGCAAACAAGTACGTGTGCATATTATGATTACGGTTTTTAATTTGTGGTGCATTAGACAGCTTTATTTGGAATTGGAATTACGGTTCTACTATGTGCATGAATGAGATTACGATTGGTTATATATATTATACCACAATCTTTTTACTTTTATATTTTTAAAGGCTCTTCAAGAATCAATCGATAAGTTGTTTTTTTTTTTTTTTGACAATGATCAATCAGACCTTTACCATAAAATATGTGAAATAAAAAATGTATAGCTGTGTCTATCAATGATATCGCTATCGATAAAAAACAAATTGTATAGCTGGATCATGAAATCTTATCGTCTACCACCAAATTTTTTCCAACTAGTGCAATTTCATTTATCTAAGTCAAAATGTCTGACTCACATAATATAACAGCAGGTTCACAGTTTACTAGTGTCAATAGAAAACACGAAATCGAATTAAAAAATTCCTTTTCCTGACAAACTTGGTCCCTAAGTTTAGCAGTTGAGCAGAAAGAAAAAAATAATAATTCTTGAGTATAAATACCATTATGTAATCTTTTAAGATCATAACGGAAACACACTTGTAAACCATAGTCGTCTTGTTCCGAAGCTGATTCCGATGGAGGACAAGATTGATCTGGCTTCTTGATAAAAACTAACCAAGGCTCTCTCGGTCTATCTCATCCACTCAAAGCCCAATCAAACCCTAATCTAGCGAGAAAGCCTCCAATTCTCTCCGTTGAACCATGGCCGGAACGAACGAAGGTTTGGCCGGTAAGATATCTCCTCCATCCCCTTACCCGAAATTGTATTGTTTATAATTGTATCGTAATTCGTTTAGTTGACCGATTGTAATTCGTTTACCTATTGTTTAGATGTCGAAGATATCTCGGGTAAGAACACTCTCCATGCCGATGAAATCTCGGGTAAGAAGATCTCTCTCCATCCTTTAGCCGAATTTGGGCCTTTTTATTTACTATAGATTTCATAATTGTATTGTAATTCGTTTTATTTGACTTATTGTTCAGATGACAAAAGCGTGCAACAACTCTTGGATGAGAAGAACCGTCTCTTTCTGGAAGATCCTTCCAGTAAGATTTCTCTCCCGATTTTTTTTGTTTGTTTGATTAGATTTCATCTGTTGGAGCGGGATCTAATAAAAAGTAAAATGATGGTCATTGAACCTATTATTGTATCTCTTTGATAATACCGCAATTCGTTTATGCATGCGCTTGTCCGTTTTGTGAAACCGAACAGCCCTCGTGAGAATGGGCAAGACAGGCGTGTTCTGGGACGCCGTGGCTTATCCATTCCCTGTTGATCTGACTCCTGATGCTATCTATGAAAAAATAGAGTCAGCTCTTCGTGATTGTGAGGGTGAGGATGAGGATTGGGATTATATGGGTGAAAAATCAATCTGGGTCTATGTTGATGACAAAGGGGATTATCCGAAAAATAAGACTTGGGAATCCAGAATCTACTTCCTTCCCGGAGGTGATTTATTTGCTCTTTTCTTATCAATTTATATGCTGTAATCCAGAGACTAACATATCTATATATATATATATATATATTTTTTTTTTTTTCCAGGGGATAATAAACACAAGAGACTTAACAGAATGCTCCATGACATCCATTTATGGGGAATGGACTTTCCTGTGGCCCATCCTCGTCCATCAACTTTGGTCATAGTATCGGATCAAGTCAGAGGTGACTTGTTTTTCCGCCGGATGCTTAAACATTTTATTACGAGAGGTTTCCATGTTTACTTAGCAACTCAGCCTGGGAGCTACCAACCAGAAGAGGAAGTTGAATGGCCTGCATCGCTATTAGCTGTTCTCTACTCTTTTCGTGAGAAAGGGAACGTTCGGCTCAACAAACCTCACAACATAAAGAAGATTGATGCTACTCGAGGTTATAGCCGTCTCTCATGTTGTCTAATAATTTCTATTACGCAACACTTAAATTCCACGGTTTGCCCATTCTGTTACATTTGCAGGAGAGATATATATATATAATTGGGTTGAAATCGATACATTGTAATTCGTTTGTTTGACCTATTGTTTAGATGGCAAAGATGGGGGAGATAAGTGTTTCCATATCGAAGATTTCTCCGGTAAGATGTCTCTCCCGAAAAGTAAAATAAGGGTCACTGGTTCAGTTAACCTATTAAATGTATCTCTTTATTTCGCAATTCGTTTATGCGTTTTGTGAAACTGCACAGCCGTCGTAAAAGGGGGTCAGCTAGGCGTGATATGGTACAGCTTGCCCAGAAAGAGTGAAGATTTCTACTGTAAGATGTCGAAATTGTTTACCTAGATTAGTGTTAATGGATCTTATCTAACCTATTGTATTGTATGGTAAATTCGTTTATGCCTTGTTTGTCAAGGTTCTGAGAGGCAAATAAGTGTCTTCTGGAACGTGAAGCAGTGCCCAATCCCTTCTAGTGAGAGGCTTCCTTCTGTTATTCGTAATATCAAATCAGCTGTTTATGAAATGGGCTTTCATACTCCGGTGATAATCTATGCGTATGGTGACACGCTTGACCAAGGAGATGCCTTTGACAAAACTGGAATTTGTTACGCAGTAGAAGATGAACACCAGCGAAGTCTCCCAATCGCAAAAACACTTGGTTAAATACTATACTTGACACTCTCTTTGTCGTTTCTACTAGTCACTATATATGTCTGTAACCTGTTGATATATTGCTTGTTTCAGATTATGCTGAAATGGCTGTGGACCTTATTCTTCTCTCAACACCGAGCTATGAGGAGCCAGCAATTTTAGTGGTAATCGCAAATCCAGACGCAGATAGCGAGTTGCAGAGGGTGCTCAAGTGTTTGCAAGCGAGAAATCACGATGTTTTCGTAGTAAAGCAGCCTGTTGATGGCAGTGGTCTATTTGACTCTGCGGAGTCAATAGTTAATAACACTCAACGTTTAGTTGGAGGAGAGCACAGCAAGCCGACTTGCCGTTGCAGATCTTATTAGTTAGAATACCATCAATATCTACTGGAGGAGCAGCAATGACAGAACATATTAATGTTTCATGTTTGTTCTGTTAAACTCTGTTTTGGCTTCAAATGATATTTGCAGTGTTATTGTACCTGAGCAAGATCTCCTAATTGATATAAACTCTCTTTATTAGATTGATACTTGAACTTGAAGAAAGAACAAAATTACATGAGAAGGAAATGGTATTTTCATGATTAAATTTATAGTTATTTTCCAACTACATAATTTTGTTAACTGATTCAACTTTCATGCGAGTCTTTTGTTTAATACGAGGTAGTTGGCCCGCGCCTTGCGCGGTGAGTTGTTTTTAAAAATAAAAATATCTATAAACAAAAACCAATATTTTACATAATTCAAACAATACAACAATTTTTCTAAAAACCTGAAATAACAGAAAACTATCAATAGTTATTAAAATAATTTAAATATTCAAATCATACCAAATGTTTAAAAAACTTCTTTATATTAATTGATTAAAATTACTTTCAGATAAGCATATCTAGCATTAGGTTTGCTTGACAAAGAAGATGGTCTACATTAGGGTTTTTTTAATGATTATTTTCCTTTATTTTTTTTTGTTATATTATTCTCATATGTTTTATTTATATTACTGAATAAAATATCATAATTTTAAAATTTATAATTTAATGCGCAAGGTTTTTATTTAATCAATATAATTTGAATAAAAGATTAAAAATTTTAGTTGTTTTGCTATTTCTCTTTTCCTTAGAATTTGTAAGAAATAAGGATTTAAAAAACACACAAAAAACTAAACTCTATACTCCCACCAATATAAATCCTCTATTCTAAACCCTAACCCTACAAATAAACATCCCCACCCCATATGTACAGTACACCATAACCACATAATAAACAACTCTTTTTTATTTGAATTAAATATTTTTTGCTTAATTTGGTGTAATTTTTTGTTGTTGCACAAAATTTCATATGATATTTTAAGAATTTGAAATGTAATTATTTAATCGATATGATTTGAACAAAAGATTAAACAATTTAGTTGTTTTGCTATTTCGCTTTTCATTAGAATTTTCAAGAACTAACAATTTAAAAAACGCACAAAAAACTAAACCCTACATCCACCAATATAAACCCTACCTTAATGAATCAACTTTCATGGGCAAATCTTTTGTTTCAAAATATAAGCAGTTTACATATTTCAATGCAACTTTTACTTTATCAAATATTGTGCGACCAATTATGTTCTGCTGCTTTTTGTTATGATTGGTTAAATTATATTTATTTATATTTTAAGTGATATTTTATTGTTTTAATTAATTTTCTTGATTTATGTGTTTACCTAAAACTGCTTATAAATTGGGACAAATGGAATATTAATATTAGATTAATGTATTTTCTTTTAATTATTTTTCATCTTTTTGTAATGTTCTTATTTTTCAAAGATACCATAGCTTGACATTTTTGTTAATTTGATACAAACTTGTAATGGTTATTTTCTTCTTCCTCTTATTTTTCTTCTTTATTGATCTCATCTTCTTCTTTTTTCTTCCATTTTTTTATTCTTTTTCATCACTTTTTTTCCCTTTCTTCTTCTTATTTTCCTTTACTGAACTCCAACTCACTATTCTTCTTTTTCTTTCTAATTTTCTTACATTTCTTTTCTGGGTTTTTTTCTTCCTCATTCCTCATCTCACTTTATCTTTATCATATTCGTCTTCTCTAACATAATCTTATTTTAATTTTTATTTATCTCTTCATTGTATTTTTCTCTTAACATTCCATATTTTCTTCATTGTTTTCTTTTTCTTCATGTTCGAGTTTTCTTCTTCTCGAAGTTTCACATCTTCTTTTCTTTTCCTCGTGTCTTTATTCATTCTTGTTTACGTCTTGTATTTCACTTATCAATCCATTCGATAGTTTAGATTTTCAAGGATTCATGAAATAGTTTTTATCTTTATATAGTCTAAATCTTTTAAAAAACTATTTATATTGTTATATTTTGATTTTGTATTTGCTTGATTTATTTTAGAATGGTAGATATAAATTTATAATCAATGATTTTTAGTTTTGATATACTTATATAATAGTTCAAATTTTTAAAAATGCACAAAAAACTAAACCCTACACCATCAATATAAACCCTAAACCCAAACCCGACATTATAACAACTCTCCTTTAAACAACCCTACACCCTAAACCTAAACCCCACATTATAACAACTCCCCCCTAAACAACCTTACACCCTAAACCCACACCCACCTTATACCGCCCCTAAACCACACAGCTGAACCCCGCATTACAAATTGGTTTTGGATTTACATTTATTTTATATTTATTTTTTTGAAAAAAAAAATCTTTTGTAATGGTTGTTTTCTTCACCCTCTTATTCTTCTCTACTGATCACATCTTATTCTTTGTTCTTCCATTTTTTCTTTATTCTTTGTCATCATCTTTTTTTCCTTCTTCTTCTTCTTCTTTCAACTTTTGTCCTTCAGTCTTTTCTTGTATCTTCACATCCTCCAATTCACTATTTTTTTTTTTTCTAATTTTCTTTCTTTCAGTTCTTTTTCTGGTTTTTCTTCTTCTCCATTCCCCTTCTCTCTCTATCTTTATCATCTTCATCTTCTCTCGCATCATCTTATTATAATTATCACTTATCTCTTCTTTTGTTTTTTTTTGTGTGCGGATGGTGGTGAACACATGATCATGATCATAATTATCAAGCTATCAACGTGGTGAACCTTTTTTGGCAATCCGTATAAAGATGGAAACTTGAGGAAAAAGAGAAACAAATTGATTGGGTTAAATCAGCATAATGCACTACATAAACCAAACATAATTTAGTAGAATTATATAACAACCATGAACATACTGTATTTGTTTCCAATGGAATTAATATAGATACATAGACTAAGTTTATATACACAGGATAAGGATACGTAGACGATAAGCAATCTTTTTCACCCACACCAGACACAAAAACAATACGGATATTTATTTTATTATGCTCTTGGTTGTATTCTGGAGGCAGAGGCAAGCCATCTCCGCGAAATACTCACAGTATGTTTGGCCGAATCCCGCATGCAATTCCAAATCACCTACAGGTTTGATACCGGCTAAGCAATACAAAGGCCTAAGCCCTGGCTCCACGTAAAACCCCTGAAACCATATGCAAGTTTAGTTAATTAGATATTCTTTCTATTTAAAGAATTTAAGTTCTAAGTGAAAAGAAACAATCAAACAAAAGTGTATGATGGTTGTTACCTTGCTCCCCATGACCTGGCGTTTGTAGCAGCGCCATTTAATTCATCTGGCTCAGCGGAGTGATACTTGTAGCCGTCGAAGCTGTCAACATCCCATTCCGGGACGGTCCACATTCTTGTAGATATGTGCACGTCTTCAGGGTCACCGTGTTCATCATCGTAGCTCTCTTCATTTTCATGCACTAATGAAACATACATTAAATTAGTTTATGGTACTTAATCAATTCCATGTCACCGGTTTATTAAGATATAAGTTGCTAAATTTTTGGAGATGGTATAGATTTGTATAGTCGTGTGTCAAGTACTTGTTTCCTTATTCACCAAACTTCCAATTATATTATGATTAATAATAATGGTATTTGACTCCTCTACAACACGATATTTAATTTGAAGATAACATCAAAGGTTTGTGTAAAAACATGAGCCTGTGACAGATTTTGTTTGCTTACTTTTAAGCTAGGACAGTTCCGGACTTGATGCAATCAATATACACTTTCACGGTTCTGATCTGTGGTGAACCAATGTAGAGAACCAAGCATTCATGGATGATAACTAAACTTAAACTTTTCTTGGAACATTATTAAAATATGATTAAAGAGACATGTGTGCTTTATTTTCATACCCAGATTTTTACATGAGACATATACTTGGGTTTTAGATGACAATTCATGATACCTTCGATGTGATTCTGCAAGATTTGAACTTTTGATCAACAAACAGAAAATAACAGAGCAATATAAGCATGTGGGCGAGCAAACTTACCGGGTGCAAGAAGTTCTTTTGTTCTTCTTCTTCGGCTTCAATAAAACAATAGTCAATTATCATATCAATGTTTGAAGAAAAAGACAATTTCAAATTCAACTTGTGACCTATGAAAAATCGCATAATGATTCCCTTATGTGTCTCTAATCTATTCAGTTCACCCCCTGCAAAAGTAATGGACAAAGCAACAACCTTTTAACACCTTTGTTACATCTGTTATGCCAATGCAGAAAAATTAGCTGGTTTGTTCTTGTTGAACCTTTACGAAGCCATGTTTCTCTTGTACCAGTACAAACCTCGTAAACAAACAAAATTTAATAACAACAAAGAGAAGAAGAAAATCAGCTAAAACCTAACTATTTGGAAATTACAAAATAATTATCTACGAACTAAAACCTAATTTCTAGAGGATTTGGTATGAAACCCTAGGTTCAAACAGTGATAAAGCCATAATTTTTAATACGTTTTGTATTAGATCAACTTTCTCACAACGGCTCTTTTTTCTCTTCTTCAGATGCTATGAAAAAAGAGATCAGAGAATACAAATTATTAGGTTTGTATTTAAACCACGTATTGGCATGAACATATAACACTTCATATAACTAACATGAACGATCCATCTAAAACATAAAACAAAAAGAACACTAAAATCATGGCCGACTTTTACGACGATGTCATGTGATCATATCGACTTAAAATCAAACAATTCCACGTTATTGAATACATGTTCTTATGCATGTTTAGTATTATCCACCTTCTTTGCTCATATTTTATTGGTTTTTCTATCTTTGGAATCCTACATGACAAAAGGAAGAATTTAGAAAACGAAAAAAGAAGAAACGAAAATTCTGTTTATTTTGCTTGTTACAATCTATTTATATAAATAGGACTAAGTCGGTTGTAAAATTTAGGGTTTTTGTAAAATACCTAATTATTTGATTTTTTTCCAAAAAAGTGGTAAGGTAATATGGTAGTTAGGATATTTATTTTAGTGATAAATATAAATTGAGGAAAAAAGAAAAGGGTAATTATCAATATTTAATAAAGAAATAATAAACTTTTATATAATAAAACGAAATTGTGAAATAATTAAAAAAGGAAATTCAGAAGATTTAATAATAGATTTTCATTAAAGGTATATCGATAATTCCGCGGCTGAGAGTTAACGTGGTGCCTCCATTCGAAATTCTAACTTTGCAAATAATAGTATGATTTACTCTTTTCTTTATTAGGTGACACAAAAATAGACAAAATTATTGCTCTTGTTAACTGTAGCGTTGGCTTGACGTGCTCTCCCCACAAGCTACAATGATCCCACTTCATATCAATTTTCATCCCCATCTCCATTAAGTAATTATAGTACTGTTTTTTTTGTCGTCAAGCTCCACTTTTGTTCCCATCTTCAAAATATTAAAGTTAGTTCAATTTTTCAACAAAAACTTTGTAACTCTTTGTCTAATTCCATAATCTCTAAATAAGTAGACAGAATTAACATAGAAGGATTGAAGGAAGAAGAAGAAGACAAAAGCAAATTAAATCCTCCTACCAAAGAGAAATATATGTTTTCTCGTCTTTTTTGTTTTGTTTAAAAACACTAATTAATTATTATTATGGAGCGTAAAATATGATATACCCAAATACCCAATTGATTAAAGGCCCAATAGAAAACCAGAACACGATCGAGTTGTACTAGAGTATAAATATGCGACTGTGTCCATGATCAGTTTAGGAGAATCTTCTTCGTCTCCTTAATCCTCAAGCTTTAGATCTCGAAATCGTTCATTCTCCGAAGGTTCAAAAAAGAAGCAAACCCTAGCGTGTGGTTCAGTGACTTCGAGGGGTAATTTCTCGTTGTTTATTGGCTTAATCGGCACACTATCGACCCATTCTAACACTCTTATTAATATTCACTTATCAATTTGATATTATTTCTCTAACTTTTTTTTCTTTTTATTGTCAACAATTTCTCCAACCTTATCACCTTAGAAACATTAATCTTTTTGTTTGTTTGACAACCTGTATTTACCTTACAATGTCTTTCCTTTTACTTTTGTGATATTCATATTTGTTGTTTATATGGAAACAAGATCTACAAAATCCATATCTAATCTTTTGTTACTACATTTTCTCATACATTCCATATACACGATATCTTAATATGTAAATAGTCATTATTTCGTACTTTATGATATTTCAGTAAAAAAATAAAATCTACATAACTAATAAGGCTTGGACACTCTCAAGCCTTTGACACGTGGCACTCTTTTTTTTTTTTTTCGTCTTACACCAAAACGACGTCGTTTTGCGCGTTATCTTTTTTTTTGTCTTACACCAAAACGACGTCGTTTTCGTAAAAAAAAAAAAAAAAATCTAAATCAAAATTATGTGTAATGTTGTTCGTTTTGATAGGCTTGATTATTTATCGGACCTCTTCGTTTCCATGGTAGCTTTAAATGGGCTTACTGGCTAATTAGCTCATTTCATTTCCTTTTAAAAAGGGTTGCAATTATTATTATCTATGAGTCTGTAGGATAATAATCAATCTATAATGATTGTTAGTATAAGGAAAATTAGAAGAACTCAACTCCAGTCGATAAATTATTGTATAAAAGAACAAAAAACATATGAAACTATTCACTATGAGTCTATATAAGATTTTACGTAAATAACAACTAAATTTTAAAACTATATGAAAAAAAAAAAATGCAAAACTTACAGAATCTAATATATTCGAGTAAAAAACAAATGATATATTCGAATCTAATGTTCTGAATAATTAAATTAAAAATATTTGGTTTAATAAACCCGCGCATTGCGCGGGTTCTCTCCTAGTAGCAAATAAAGATATGTATTAGCTTTTTTTCGTACTCGTTTCTTAAATATATTAAGGACCTTAATTTAAGGTGCATGAACCAAGTAACTTTGTAGTCAATGGCCGAAAAGTAATTTGGTATAGCAAAAAAATCGAATTTTATAGTAACGAGAGGATCTCGATAAAACACAAGTACACAACAAAGGCTCTCATCAGTTAAGGATCTCGAAATTGTTTGTTTAGATTTCATCTGTGATAGCTAAGTAGCAGGAACTAATAGAATGAAAATAATGGTGTTTGGATTTGCATGATAATCTCTTTGACACAGTCGTGGTGGAAGGGGGTCGGATCGGCGACATATATGAGGACATGTATGAAGACATAAAAAAGAAGCAAGATTTAACCTGTAAGATCCTTTACTCGAAATTGTATGTTTGTTTAGATTTGTGAATCAATGGTAGTGCATCTCATCATCTCATGTAACCTATTATTGTATGGTTATTGGATTGTCAAGGTCGTGAGAGGTCGACAATGGTGTTCTGGAACGTGATCAAGTGCCCAATCCCTCCTGATGCGCTTCCTGGTGTTGAATCTACTATCAGCTCAGCTCTTTGTCGAATGGGCTTGCATGGTCCGTTGCAAATCTTTGCGTATGGTGACAAATCGTTGCTCGACAAAAGAGATGTCTTTTGGAAAGCCGGAATTTCTTACTGTGTCGAACGTGCACAACTCCCTGATGCCGGTATCCTAAGTGAACCAAAGGATGCCGATCTCTTAGGTGAATTACTACACACTCACCACACTCTTTTGTCGTTCGTTTCTACTAGTTACTATATATGTCTGTAATCTATTGGTATATTGCATTCTTCAGATTATGGTGAAATGGAGTTGGAAGTTATTTTGTTCGCGGAACAGACTTTTGGGCGTCCAGCAGATATAATGGTAATCCCAAAACCAGACCAAGATAGCGAGTTTCACAGGGTGCTCAAGTGTATGCAATCGAGAGATCACGATGTTCTCCTAGTAAACACGCCTGTTGGTGACAGTGGTGATCAATTTCTTGAATCTTTAGAGTCAGCAGTTGCTTGTACACGTGGTTTAGATGGAGAGGCAGAGCCCATAACCAAGCCGGAATGCGCTTGTGATTACAGTTGATGATATTCTGTGTCGAAATAAATTTATGGGGCTAATGTATCATCATGTTTCATCTTTGTTTTGTTAAACTCTGTCTTTTTGGCTTCAATTGATATGCATGCAGTTTTATTCCTTGAGGCTTTTCTCGACCTAATTCTAATTTGTCAGTTTCATAAGACGACACATGCAACTGACTGTTATCACTATCTTTACAACACAAGTAAATAAAAATATCTAGTACCTCAAGTGATGCTTTTGATAAATAGAGCCTTGTTTGCTTGAGATTAGTATCAAACCTGATCCTGATAACAGGAACTCAGGCAGCCATTACCATAACGTATGAGAGGAGATTTCTCTTTTTTTTTTTTCTTTTACTTGATGCGATTGAAATGACTGAGATCCAAGGTCTGAAAGGTAAAAACACAGATGATTATAGGATGTCGATAAAACACAACAAAGGGCTCTCATCAGTTCAAAGCCCAATCTAAACCTAACTTGGCGAGAAAGTCTCCAATTCTCTCCGTTGTAACTTGTAACCATGGCCGGGAAGATCGAAGATACCTCCGGTAAGATCTCTCTCCATCCTTTAGGCGAATTTGGGCTTTTTTATTTACTATAGATTTCATAATTGTATTGTAATTCGTTTATTTGACTTATTGTTCAGATGACAAAAGCGTGCAACAACTCTTGGATGAGAAGAACCATCTCTTTCTGGGAGATCCTTCCAGTAAGATTTCTCTCCCGATTTTTTTTCTTTTGTTTAGATTTCATCTGTTGGATCTGTCATAGTTAACTAGCGGGATCTAATAAAATGTAAAATGATGGTCATTGGAACCTATTGTATCTCTTTGATGATACCGCAATTCGTTTATGCGCTTGTCCGTTTTGTGAAACCGCACAGCCCTCGTGAGAATGGGCAAGACAGGCGTGTTCTGGGACGCCGTGGCTTACCCATTCCCTCCTGGTTTGACTCCTGATGACATCTATGAAAAAATAGAGTCAGCTCTTCGTGATTGTGATGAGGATGAGGACTGGGATTATATGGGTGAGAAATCAATATGGGTTTATGTGGATGAGACGGACAAGGAAGGGCCTTGGGTTGGGGATTATCTGAAAAGCAAGACTTGGACATCAAGAATCTACTTCCTTCCAGGAGGTGATGATAAACACAAGAGAGTTAATAGAATGCTCCATGACATCCATTTATGGGCGATGGACTTTCCTGTGGCCCATCCTCGTCCATCAACTTTGGTCATAGTATCGGATCAAGTCAGAGGTGACTTGTTTTTCCGCCGGATGCTTAAACATTTTATTACGAGAGGTTTCCATGTTTACTTAGCAACTCAGCCTGGGAGCTACCAACCAGAAGAGGAAGTTGAATGGCCTGCATCGCTATTAGCTGTTCTCTACTCTTTTCGTGAGAAAGGGAACGTTCGTCTCAACAAACCACACAACATAAAGAAGATTGATGCTACTCGAGGTTATAGCCGTCTCTCATGTTTTCTAATAATTTCTATTACGCAACACTTAAAATTCCACGGTTTGGCCATTCTGTTACATTTGCACAAGAGAATATATATATAATTGGGTTGAAATCGATACGTTGTATTTCGTTTGTTTGACCTATTGTTTAGATGGCAAAGATGGGGGAGATAAGTGTCTCCATATCGAAGATTTCTCCGGTAAGATGTCTCTCCCGAAAAGTAAAACAATGGTCACTGGTTCAGTTAACCTATTGTATCTCTTTATTTCGCAATTCGTTTATGCGTTTTGTGAAACTGCACAGCCGTCGTTAAAGGGGGTCAGCTAGGCGTGATATGGTACAGCTTGCCCAGAAAGAGTGAAGAATTCTACTGTAAGATGTCGAAATTGTTTGCCTAGATTAGTGTTAGTGGATCTTATCTAACCTAATGTATGGTAAATTCGTTTATGCCTTGTTTGTCAAGGTTCTGAGAGGCAAATAAAGGTCTTCTGGAACGTGAAGCAGTGCCCAATCCCTTCTAGTGAGAGGCTTCCTTCTGTTATTAGTAATATCAAATCAGCTGTTTATGAGATGGGCTTTCATAATCCGGTGAGAATCTATGCGTATGGTGACACGCTCGACCAAGGAGATGCCTTTGACAAAACCGGAATTTGTTACGCAGTAGAAGATGAACACCAGCGAAGTCTCCCAATCGCAAAAACAATTGGTTGAATACTATACTTAACACTCTCTCTTTGTCGTTTCTACTAGTTACTATATATATGTCTGTAATCTGCTGATATATTGCTTGTTTCAGATTATGGTGAAATGGCTGTGGACCTTATTCTTCTCTCAACACCGAGCTATGAGGAGCCAGCAATTTTAGTGGTAATCGCAAATCCAGACGCAGATAGCGAGTTGCAGAGGGTGCTCAAGTGTTTGCAAGCGAGAAATCACGATGTTTTCGTAGTAAAGCAGCCTGTTGATGGCAGTGGTCTATTTGACTCTGCGGAGTCAATAATTAATAACACTCAACGTTTAGTTGGAGGAGAGCACAGCAAGCCGAATTGCCGTTGCAGATCTTATTAGTTAGATATTGTCTTCTGTCAACAAAACATATTAATGTTTCATATTTGTTCTGTTAAACTCTGTTTTGGCTTCAAATGTTTTATTCCTTTCGGTTTTTCTAAGCTCTACTTGACCTAATGGCCGACTTGCCGTTGCAGATCTTATTAGTTAGATATTGTCTTCTGTCAACAAAACATATTAATATTTCATATTTGTTCTGTTAAACTCTGTTTTGGCTTCAAATGTTTTATTCCTTTCGGTTTTTCTAAGCTCTGCTCGACCTAATGGCCGACTTGCCGTTGCAGATCTTATTAGTTAGATATTGTCTTCTGTCAACAAAACATATTAATGTTTCATATTTGTTCTGTTAAACTCTGTTTTGGCTTCAAATGTTTTATTCCTTTCGGTTTTTCTAAGCTCTGCTTGACCTAATGGCCGACTTGCCGTTGCAGATCTTATTAGTTAGATATTGTCTTCTGTCAACAAAACATATTAATGTTTCATATTTGTTCTGTTAAACTCTGTTTTGGCTTCAAATGTTTTATTCCTTTCGGTTTTTCTAAGCTCTGCTTGACCTAATGGCCGACTTGCCGTTGCAGATCTTATTAGTTAGATATTGTCTTCTGTCAACAAAACATATTAATATTTCATATTTGTTCTGTTAAACTCTGTTTTGGCTTCAAATGTTTTATTCCTTTCGGTTTTTCTAAGCTCTGCTCGACCTAATGGCCGACTTGCCGTTGCAGATCTTATTAGTTAGATATTGTCTTCTGTCAACAAAACATATTAATGTTTCATATTTGTTCTGTTAAACTCTGTTTTGGCTTCAAATGTTTTATTCTTTTTGGTTTTTCTAAGCTCTGCTCGACCTAATGGCCGACTTGCCGTTGCAGATCTTATTAGTTAGATATTGTCTTCTGTCAACAAAACATATTAATGTTTCATATTTGTTCTGTTAAACTCTGTTTTGGCTTCAAATGTTTTATTCCTTTCGGTTTTTCTAAGCTTTGCTCGACCTAATGCTAATTGACTGTTATCAGTTATAACTGCGTGAAATAAATAAATATTGGGTTTAGGTGTATACAACTTGTATGTATATCCTTAACATTAAAACCAAAAAAAAAAACTTGTATATATTTCCAGTACCGCAAGTGATACTTTTGATAAACAGTTTTTCTAAGCCGTCGTGAAAATGGGTAAGACAGGCGTTTATTAAAATGAAAGCGAGGTTGTGACTACATGACTAAAACTACAAACTTATCTCATAGTTAGGTGCACCGTTTTGTACTACTATCAAACCAAATTAATCATACTTATTCTTTCTCAATTCGGTTTGGTTTATAACCCAATTTTTAAAATCAAAACCGGTTTGGTTCAACCAAAGAGACGATCCCTAATTTAAATCCCCCATCCTTCCAAAACCCCCAAATTCTCAGCGTCACAAATTTGCGTCCTTGTTGATCGATCGCCTTGTGATCATCGTCTCACCATTGCTTCGTTGAGCGATTGCTGATGGAATCAAAGATTACGAGCGCGTCTGCTCCAACAAAGCCTTCTTTTTGCTTGAAATGGCCATGGGATTCAAACAAACAACCGGATCCCCCAAGCGTCTGCGACTTCCAAGGACCGTGGCTCTTCAGATCTATGCAAAGCGTTGGATCAATTGCTCTCAGCTCTTTCAATTCACTCGGCTTCGGTCAAGGGGTCACAGGACCAAAGAAGAAGCCGCTAAGTGGTTACGAGCAAGGAGAAGCAGAGCAGAGGGCTTTTGCAGCTGCGTTAGCCAGCGAGAAAGATGCAACCGTACTTGAATTTTACTCGCCCAAATGCAGTCTCTGCAATTCGTTGCTCAATTTTGTCTTGGAGGTAGAGAAAAGGAATTCGAATTGGCTCAGTGTAACCATGGCAGATGCAGAGAATGAGAAATGGTTTCCTGAGGTAAAAAAATAAGCTCTTTCTCTGTTTCTCTGTTTCTCTGATTCTCTCCTCGCTGTTGATTGGTAGAAAAACTCAAGTTTTTTGACCTCTCTGTGCTCTCAATGCTTGCAGCTTCTCCACTATGACATAAAGTATGTTCCTTGCTTTGTTTTGCTGGACAAGAATGGACAAGCTTTGGCCAAAACAGGAGTTCCAAGTAGCCGTAAACATGTCATTGCCGGTATCTCTCATCTTCTCAAGATGAAGCGACCACCACCCTCTGAGTAGGTCTGAGACAATGAGACTCTTGATTCCGCATTTGATGCAAACAAGTATGTGCGTATATGATTACGGTTTTTACAAATCTGTCAACTGAGTTTTGGTGCATTGAAAACAACTTTGTTTGGAATTGGAATCACGGTTCTACTATGTGCATGAATGATCACGATTGGTTATATATTGTGGACCATAATCTTTTTGTTTATATTATTATAAGATCTTCAAGAATCAATCTGTAAACTTTTGTTCTTTTCCTTTGAGAATGATCAAATCAGACCTTTACCATAAAAGATGTGGAATTAAAAATGTATAGTTGGGTCTATTAATAATGAGTCAATAAGATCACTATCGATATAAAAAAAAATGGTATAGTTGATCATGAAATCTTATCATTTACCACCAAATTTTGTCCAACTAATGCAATTTCATTTATTTAATTCAAAATGACTGAGACTCACATACTATAACACCATATTTACAGTTTACTAGTGTCGCTGTTATTTTAATAAAAAAAGCGGTAGTAATTAATTACTAATTAGTGTGCAAGGAAAAAAAGAGGGGAAATTTGAAAGAGAGATTTCACTTGACAAAATAAAAATAGAAAATACGAAATCGAAGTAAAAATTTCCTTTTCCTGACAAACTTGGTCCCTTTTTTTTTGACAAACTTGGTCCCTAAGTTTAGCAGTTGAGCAGAAAGAAAAAAAAAACAATTCTTGGGTATAAATACCATTATGTAATCTTCTAAGATCATAACGTAAACACACTTGTAAACCCTAGTCGTCCTGTTTAACCGAAGCTGATTCCGATGGAGGACAAGATTGATCTGGCTTCGAGATCCATGGAGGTTGGAGGTGAACCCCTCAGCAAAAAGTAGGTTTTCTTCTTCTTCTTCTTCTCCTTGGTGGGATGCTTCTGAATCAATCTCTTGCGATTACTAAAGCCCTAAGTTGTATGAATCTGATTACTCTGCAGTGCTGCTAAGAGGGAGGACAGGAATAGGCGCAAGGAAGAGGAAAAAGCCAAACAAGTGAGTGGTTTTCTTCCACTCTCAAAAACACCAATCTTGGAAGTTTTTGGATATCCTGAAAGCAAATCTTAGAAGTTTCTCAATCACGGAATCCGACTTTTAATTTGTTCTAGCAGGGTCCAAAGGCCAGCTCCCAAAGCCAGAAGACAATGGCAGAAAACGATGATATGGACCCAACTGTATGTTGTATATCCATACAGTTTCCTATAAATCATCTTTACCGATTGCAACAATCTGAGGTGTGAACTTTTCCTTTACTTTTGCAGCAATACCTTGAGAACAGATTGAATTATCTTGCAGCAGAGAAGGAGAAGGGAGAGAATCCATACCCACACAAGTTTTCTGTGTCCATGTCAGTCTCTGAATACATTAACAAGTATACTAGTTTAAGCGACGGAGACCATGTTGAAGACGACCAAGTTTCTATAGCCGGTTTGATAGTTTATTTTAGTGTTTTTTTTCATTAAAAAAAAGGAGTATGATAGTTACTGATCCACTCAATGTTTTCTTGAAATTTTGGTTAGGACGGATCCTGAGCAAGAGATGTTCATCTTCCAAGCTTTTCTTCTATGATGTGCATCATGGTAGTCTTAAGGTCCAAGTCATGGCTGATGCAAGGAAGTCGGAACTGGATGAAGCTGAGTTTGCAAGGCTCCATGCAAATGTCAAGCGTGGTGATTTCGTCGGTGTCACTGGATTTCCAGGTTCCCAAAAGATTTTAGCGTCTTACTTGTGATTTAAATCTTATGTTTCTTCTTTATCTGAAGGCGTTTATATGATTCTGTCTCCAGGAAAAACTAAGAGGGGAGAGTTAAGTATCTTCCCAAGATCTTTCCTTGTCTTGTCTCATTGCCTCCACATGTTGCCGAGTCAAAAGGGTCATCTCAAGGTATATGGAGAATTCATTGTGGCTTAGTACGTTTGACTCGTCTCCTTTACACTAAACCAAACTTTTTCGTTTTCTCTTCAGAAACCCGAACTCTGGTCTCCAGGAACCCCAAGGAATCCAGAAACATATGTTCTTAGAGATATGGTATGTATTAACGTTTTTGAGTGCCTAAAAGTTGCAAAGGTGCTATTTTTGTGATGATGATGAATCTGTACTTTTCTTTAATGTCAGGAAACTCGTTATCGCCAGCGTTATCTTGACTTGATGCTGAACAACGATGAGGTTCCCAAGATATTCAACACCAGAAAGGATATATGCAAATACATAAGCAAATTCCTTGACGATCTGCATTTCTTGGAGGTATTTGAAACTGTTTATCTGTTTCTTGCAAGCTAGCCTTTTGTTTTCCATCTTTTTTTATACGATTTGTTTGTTAGGTTGAGACTCCAATGCTGCACAAGATTTCCGGAGGAGCAGCTGCGCGTCCATTTGTGACGCATCACAATGATCTGAACATGAAGCTGTCCCTGCGGATCTCACCTGAGCTGTTTCTCAAGAAGCTCGTTGTTGGTGGCTTGGACCGTGTTTACGAGATTGGAAAGCAATTCAGGAACGAAGGGATTGACTTGACACACAACCCCGAGTTCACCACTTGCGAGTTCTACATGGCTTACGCGGACTACAATGACTTGATGACAATGACCGAGGACATGTTGAGTGGTATGGTTAAGGAGTTAACCGGTGGTTACAAGATCAAGTACCATGCTAATGGGTATGATAAGGAGCCTATTGAAATCGACTTCACTCCTCCTTTCAGGTTAGGGAGATATTCAGAAACAGAGCTCTTCTTGAAAACGTATCTTTATGAGAACAAGAATCTGATCTTGTTAATCTCTCTGTAGGAGGATTGACATGGTAGGTGATTTGGAGAAGATGGCGAATCTGAATATACCGAAAGATTTGTGTAGCGAAGAAGCTAACAAGTATCTGGTTGATGCATGCGCGAGGTTTGATGTCAAATGTGCACCTCCTATGACAACGGCTCGTTTGTTGGATAAAGTAATTGTTTCTTGGTTTACTATATGAATATGGAAGTTAACAATGTGGTTTTGGTTGAATGCTTATATATGTAATGCTTTTTGGCAGCTTGTTGGACATTTTCTGGAAGGGACATGTGTGAACCCAACTTTCATAATGCACCATCCGGAGATTATGAGCCCCTTGGCTAAATCACACAGATCCATCAAGGGCCTCACTGAACGTTTTGAGTTGTTCATCAACCAACACGAAGTAAGCATGCTTAGAGTTTCTTATTTGATTAAGTAGAGGGTAGAGGCTAGTTAGAGTTTGCTCTCAGCTAAACCGTTTTGATATGACTGCAGCTTTGCAATGCCTACACTGAGCTGAATGACCCTGTGGTACAGCGTCAGCGTTTTGCTGATCAGCTCAAGGTATATTATATTTGCCCTATCATCATCAAACTCCTAGTATTATATACTCTAGTATGCATCTCTATGTTTGATGCATCATACTGAATGAAATCTGTTAACAGGATCGACAAAGTGGAGATGATGAAGCGATGGCAATGGATGAGAGCTTTTGCACAGCTCTGGAGTATGGCTTGCCTCCAACAGGTGGATGGGGATTGGGAATAGACCGGTTGGTTATGTTGCTTACCGACTCACAAAACATTAAGGTCCTTTTTTATAATCTGAATCCAACGGAATAGTGTTCTTGTCTTGTCTTGTCTTACGCATAACATTTCTGAAAATGTTGTTGCAGGAGGTAATTCTTGACCCATTGATGAGGCCTCAGGACGAGCCAGCTACTGCAAAAGGTATATATTCTTTTCTTTACTGAACAAGGTTTGTTTTTGCCAGATGACCTTAGACGTATAATTCACTCCAATTAATTCATGGTCTTTTGCCTTTTTGCAGCTCCAGTAGAAGCAGCTGCTACGGAGAAGAACAAGTCTTGGGAATTGCCACCATTGTTGAGCTCTTTTGGGAAAACTAAAGAGTCTATGGGTTTGATAACTTTTGTTTTTGTAACTGGTTTTGTTTTGGGTTCTTCTCTCAGACTGTTCTGAGGAGACTCTTTTCGTCGGTTTGTTTCATTGTTTTCAGCATCTTCAAATTAAAAATAAACAGACGACAGTTTTTTTTATTAAGAACTCAAGTTGAAACAGTTGTGAAATTCATCAAAGCTTTGTCCTTAATATCGAAGAAAGCCAAACTGTAATTCCTTAACCAAAAGCTAATCCAATTTGTGCTGGTCCAACCGAAATAATAAACACTACTCTAACGCGAATAATACTAAACCGGTTTGGTTCGACTTGTGACAAGTAGACACGACGATCTCTCGAGAGCCTCAGCTCTCTCTCTCTCTTTCTCTCTTTGCCGTCGTCGTCGTCGTCACCGATGAACAAAACGAAGAAGCTGGTGGCTTCAATCTCAACCCTTTTACGAAGACGAACCTATTATCCATCGACTTTCCGGTGCAATCCACTCGCAACGGTTGCGGTTAGTTCACAGACCTACTCGAGTCGCGAATCTCTGCAACCATCTTCAGCTAAACCCCTGCCGATTTTCCAATTTTCCGGGAGAGATTTTTTCTCGGAATCTCGCGACAAGAGAAGCTCGGTTTGCTGGAACTGTGGTTCCTCGTCTGCGTTTTTGTTCTGTGAGTCATGCCGCAGCATTCAACCTGTTGATCATTCCGTCGATTACTTTCAGATTTTTGGCCTGTAAGTATACAAATATCACAACGCTTCGTTGCATATTAGAATTTACAAAAATTCTGCTTCTAATTGAATCAAATTGATAATTTGGATTCTTCTCGTTGGGCTGAGGGAAAACGATAGAAAGATTTACACTTTTAGTTGGAATCAATAGCTGGTCATGAAAAAGATGAGGCCTTTCATTTTGGTTTTGGATCCTTTTTTTTTGGTCTAATAGGGAGAAGAAGTATGAGTTAGATCCTGGAAGCCTCGAAGGCAAGTACAAAGACTGGCAAAAGAAGCTACATCCTGATTTAGTTCACAATAAATCACAGGTCTGTTTGTCTTACAATGTGTGCAAATATTACTGCTTGTTCTCATAAATTTTCCTTACAAATTGAATATTGTCAAAACAGAAAGAAAGAGATTACGCAGCTGAGCAGTCTGCAAAGGTGACTGAAGCAATGCGGACATTAAACAAGCGGCTCTCCAGAGCAATGTATATCGTAAGCTCTTCACTTTTTTCAAATCCCTTTTTCGTTTTTCCTGCTGCTTCTATTGGTTAAGGGTTCTTAGAAGTTGGTTAATATTTGACGATATTGGTTCCGTTTTGTAGATGAAGCTGAGTGGCATTCATGTCAATGAAGAAGAAACAATAACAGATCCAACGTTGTTAATGGAGGTAAGTGAATTTGCTCACACAAGATTGTTTCAATGATTTGTGTCTACTTTTATGCTACAGAAAAAAAGTGCATACACTCATCTGTTGCAAATGAAACACTTAAGTTTTACTGACTGAAAAATGATGTCAGATTATGGAACTCAGAGAGGCCATAGCAGAAGCAAATGAAACAAAAGAGTTGCACCAGATCCGATCCCAGGTACTTTGAAAAAATCCTGATTCATCTCTTAAGATTCTGCAGCTTTGGGGGACTAGTTGCATATACTACGCCTGATCTTGTGAATTTGATTTTGTCGTTTGTTTTTGTCAAAGGTACAAGAGAAACTGAAGCAGTGGTCTGACTCTTTTGACGAAGCATTTGGAAGCCAGAGGTTTGATGAAGCTGTTAAATGCATACAGAGAATGACTTATTATGAGCGAGCCTGTGAAGAAATCGTGAAGAAGCTATGAGACAACTAACTAGTCCTTCCTAAACATAAACATCTTGTTGTAGTTTAAGAAATAAAAACACTACACTTTTGAGCTCTCTTTGTGATTGAAACACTTGAATCAGCGGGTTAATATATATGTTCGTCATCAACACTTGCTCTGTTTTCACCAACTCCTCGAATAGTATGAAGCAATTACGAATATTTAGCAAAGTTATATCTTCTACTAAATAAAATTATTTTTAAACCCTGTGGATCAAATTATATAACTTGTGCTTATAAATGGCTAAATTAAAGAGCTAATTAGTAAAAAAGTTGCAAGGGATATTAGTCGGATGATTCGAACATGAGGTGGCATGAATTTGAAGCCCTGGCCACATTAGCCAACTCGTTGAGCAGCATCTCACGTTCCTCTGACTTTATATTCGGCTGGATGGGTTCTGTGTAGAAAGTTGCCTTCTTCAACCGTCTTGCGTTCTCTAAAATGTATGTTGCCACTTGTTTATCATCTTCACGATCCCATGCGTATCTTGTCCACACCAATGTCTCAAGATGAGACAACAAACATTCCGGTACACGTTTGGGATGTTGCTCCCATTCACATTCCCCGGCAGTGGAAATTTTTTTTTGTTTTGTCATACCAATATGCCTGAAAAAATGATATGATATCTCATCACATACCTAATAAAAACAAAACAAAAAAAACTAATAAAACTGCTTACATCGATGGTGAGCTTGAGGGTTTGCAATTCAGGTGAACTATCGAGCATGTGCGCAAGTAGATTAGACCAGTCGCTTTTACTTGTATTCAGCTCCAAAGATACCAGCTGATAGAAGACAATACCAGTAGGACACTTGACTGTGCATGCATGCATGATAAAACAAGAATTAATTAATGTTATATGTTAGCCCGAAAATCTTATAAAGTTATTTATATACCTTTAAAGGTGAAAAGTCCAAGGAAAGACGTTGGGCTGAAGTTAGAGATTCCATTATGTTCTCATTGTGTACATGTATATCAATAACGCCAATGATTTTAGCCTCCACCAGTTGTGGCGCATTCTCAATCAGACAAAACCCATACCACTCGGACTCATCGATGCCTTGGCCTCCCAATGAACAATGACCGCCTATGAATGAAAAAGAACCGAAACGAGTATCTATAGACCCGACCCCTTTGATTTTCAAGTACTTCAAACAAGGGGCTTTTATCACATAGCCTCCATTACGTGTTCCTTGGAATGAATCTTTTATGGTTAGTCTCCGTAATGATGGCACCGCAATAGTGAAAGTCTTGGCATCATAATTGCCCTTTCGGTACACAACCAGATCTTCAAGACTAGGGCAGCCACCTAAAAGGTTGCAAACACATTCTTCACCACCTTCAAATCCCACATAGCGAAGGTCCAGCTTTTTAAGGGACTTCAATCCGACCCGACAAGGAAAGTCTAAAACAAACAAATATTTGTATTTGAGTTCCAAGATCTCCAGTGTGTTATTACAGCCACAGAAAACACTCGGAAATGTAATCAAGTCCTGCACCTGGTAATCAATACGCAACTTCAGTACTAATTTACGCACGTGGCGTGCAAACGCAATTCCAATCCATGATTCGAGATCCTTTGAAACTTCAGACTCGGATATATCTACCAAAGAAAAACTGTCTAGAACCGGAGAGTTACTTGAAAGCAAAGTCCTGCAAACAATCTCTGAAAAGCTACCGTGTTGATCACTTTTGTGAGACCCAGAATCAAACTTGATGTTTGGAACCATCTTCCACAGAGATCTCCAACGTTTAGACAAAACACTCGTCGCTATCACATTTTTTGTGTCAAGTGAAGATAATATCTGCATAACCAAATCTTCAGGCAACTCACTGATCCTATCCTTATTCACAACATCTTGTTGATTTCTCAGACTCTCATCACCGGTTTTGCTGTCAAGGATTTCAAGTACGAGTTTTAGGGTTTCGAAGAATTAGGTTAGGGTTGCCTGTTTACAGGCACATATAATTCAGAGCAAAAGAAAACACCCATTAACGAAACTAAGAAACATACCTTTTATGTTCCATCGTCGTTATTAGCAGATTTATGCCTTAACTTTCATTACTCCAACGCAATGGCAAACATACGAATCCGGGTAAAGCTATAATGCCGAATATTCAGTTTTAAAAGGTTAGCGAGTCACAAAACCCTAACAAGTATGCATAATATATATATAGATATATTTAACATGTGTTAAATGTATGATTGACTAGATCACCTAGAAAACATAAGAGAAATTTGGCTAAAACTTAAAGGACCATTAGGTCAAAAAGTGCCATTGTATAAGGACCATTGTATAGTTGGAAAAAAAGTGCAACCATATGCATGGTTTTCAAAGTTTCGGGCTTAGTCACTCATAAAAGCTTAGTCTAACGATGATTAATTTGTGCGACTTTTTTGCCACCGCAAAAGTGCATACACGTATCTGTTACAAATAAACACATTCACTCAGTCTTATTGACTGAAAATGATGTCAGATTATGGAACTCAGAGAGGCCATAGCCCATAGCAGAAGCAAATGATTCAAAAAGAGTTAAACCAGATCCGATCCCATTCCTAGGTACTTCGAAAAATCCTGATCCATCTGGCTTTCTTCAGATATGCTTTAGTCTTTCGTTAACTTCTTTAGCTTTTCTGAAACTGAAGTTTCAAGCACCTTTAAAATTCTGCAGCTTTTGGGCATTAGTTGAATATACTACACTGATCTCGTCAATGAGAAATTGAAGCAGTGGTCTGACTCTTTTGACGAAGCGTTTGAAATCCAGAGGTTTGATGAAGCTGTTGAATGTATACAGAGAATGACTATTATGAGCGAGCCTGTGAAGAAACTGTGAAGAAGCTACGAGACAACCAGTCCTTCCTAAACCTAAAGACGTTTTTATGTTATGTCCTAAAGCCTTACCACGCACGTTTTTATAACAGTATCTTAGCTTGATGTTTTAGTTTACTTGTTTTTATATAGAACTGAGGACTTTATAATAAGAGCATTGACAGATTCATTGCTAAGAAAAATATTTGATCTGTTCCGTTTGCATGAATTTCTTCCCATGGATACAGAAATCTACCTACATTAAAATGTCAGAGAGTGAGAGTCATGTAGATACCTTTCGCTGTTCTGCTAAAGCCGACTTCTTCTGTAAAACAGTCCGAGCAATATCTTGCTTGCCTTCTCTGTTTAACCCGTAGAAAACTGTTCGGTAATTGACAGTGCTTGGAGCAATACCCTTATCCAGCATCTCAGACAGAAGACTCAGGGCATCTTCAGATTTACCTGCTTGGCACAAACAGTTTATGAACTTGCTGTATGTTTTGAAATCTGGCAAAGTTCCCTTCTCTTGCATATTGCGAAATGCTTTCCAAGCCTCTTCTGCTTTTCCCAGGCTCATGTACCCGCATATCATTGCCGTGTACGTCACAACAGAAGGCTCGCAGCTTTCTTCTTCCATTTTCTGAAATATCTCTAAAGCCTTCTCAATCTGTTTCTCCTTGAAGAAGTGAACAATCAGAGATGTGTAAACATGGACACCGGGTTTTATTCCCATTTCCTTCATGGAACTCACTTTATCCAATGCTTCTTGTAACTTTCCCTTGTGCAATAAACCATGGACAATGCTTCCGTAAGTATACTGGTCTAGTAAAGATCTCTCTCCTTTAAAACTGGCTAATTCTGACAGAGCTTCCTCTACTTTCCCAACTCGACAGAGAGCTCTTATGTAAATGGAGTAGGCCACAGGAACTGGGAAACCTTTCTTGCCGAGAGAATCCAAACAATGCTTCGCCTCCTTTGTGTTACCAACTTCACATAAGCATCCCAAATAGTCCTGGACTAGTTCTCTATCTGGGACAAAACCAGAACGAATCATCTCACGGAATGTTCTAGTGGCTTCTTCAACGTTCCTGCCTTTCTTCTCGCAAAGAACTGTGATCAAACACTTGAAGGTCGAAGCGCTCGGAACTAGACCCATATCTTTCATTTCCTTGAACGTTCTGATAGCAATGTTGGTTAGACCGGTTCGACCATACTGCATTATCATGATCGCCCATGTATCCTGTGTTATCAAGCAGCCTTGTCTTCTCATCTCGTAAAACAGATTTCTCATCTGCTTGAAATCTTTCCCGCTTCCCGCGACTTTGATGCTCATGTTGTATGCCTCTGCACTGTGCTTATAGCCATTCCTCTTTCCCACCCATGAAAAGAAGCGTAAAACAGCGTTCCCATGTATCCTGCCATTACGAAGAACCTCAACAACTAGTTCCGGTGTGAACTCGACTGCCGATTTCTCTAGAGCTTCTTGGATTCTCTCCCAATCTCGGGAGGATGATAAGATGCGACAGATTTCTTGCACGTCGTGTTTATCAACGGCAGATGAAGCTAGTGGAAGAGCTGAGTGCTGCACCACTTGTGGACGATTATAGTCATCAACAAGCTCCTCTTCTTGCTTTGATTCTGTTTTGCAAGATGTGTTTAGTTCTTGACGGTAGGATTTGCATTTTTTCTGGATTTCTTTGATATGTTCAATCTTCTCCTTTTCACCATTTCTCTCCATAGAAGAGATAACCCAAGAAAATACATCATCCCTGATAGCTATCTTGGAGGCGAGCATCTGATTTAGCAGCTTCAAGATCTCATCATATTTTGCTGATCTACAGAGCTCCTTCAAAAAGATCGAATAAGATTTCCATGTCGCTTTAATGCCCTTTTCCTCCATGCTTCTAAACACTTTCCATGCCTCTGCTACTCGGTTTTGCCCCAAGTAACCAGCAACCACTGCTGTGATAGCGACGCTATCAGGCTCGACCCCATTCTCTATCATCTCTCTGAATAAGTTACAACCCTTTTCAAACTCTTTCATCTTGAAGAGTTGTTGCATGATCTCGGTGTAAGTAGTAACTCTAGGTGAACGCCCTGAATTTTTCAAAACCTCGAGCTGTTCAAGTGCTTTAGAAACATTTTGTTGCCTGAGATAACCGCTGATAATGATTCCGTGAACATTTGACTCATCCAGTTTCCTCTTCTTCATTATCTCAACAATCTCTAGAGCATCTACAATTCTATTGGCTCTGCAAAGTCCTTTAACCAAAATCTCAAAATATCTACCGTCGAGGCACACTTCCTTGTTCTTCAACTCACGAATCAGCTCCAACGCTTCTCTTATCTTCCCTGAAATACAAAAACTCTTGAGCAGATAACCAAAAGCGTCATGCTCTGAAACCTCACATATCCTCACCATGTCATCTGCTACAGACTGGACCACATCAACTTTCTCCGATCTCGCTATGCAATCCAGTAACATCTTGTACGTTCTCAATCCAAAAGTGATACCTTTTTCAATCATCTCCTTATAGAACTCAAGAGCAAGATCACCTCTGCCTGCAATGCAGAGAGACCTAATCATGATATTGTAAGCCGCAGCATCAGGCGCGAATCCACTTTTCCTCATCTTCTCAAAAACAAGCAGCCCTTTTCCAATCTTTTTCGCTTTCCCGTACACTGAGATAAGTATAGTCCACGTCCTAATATCCTTATCACAAGCGTTCCTCTCCATTTCTTTCACCAATTCGTCTACCAAATCGAGATCCCTACTCGCTTCCCCAGCTATGCTTAGCATGGTGTTGTAAACTCCGACTGTATGTGAAAAACCGTCCTTGTCCTTCACCCAATTGAAGAACCTCAGAGCCAAATGAGGAACCTTGAAGCACCTCTTTAGTACTTTCTCTACGATTTCTGGCTCAAACGGAAACCTCAATTTCTCTAACCTGTCCTCCATGGAAACCAGAATATCGTCATCTGCTCTCACGACGCTCGTAATCTCATGAACCAAGGGGCTTACATCGAATTCTTCTTCATGAACAACACCTGAAAACACCATTTTAGCATTTTCACGAACATCTTGTGTGCAAGAGACCGATTTTCCATCACCACAGTTAGCTCCTGGCGCGTGGGTTTCTCCCGACGCCGGAAATCTGAGCTGCGTGGTTTCGTCGGATTCGATAGTATCCGATCCTAAAATCTCAGTAATTTCGTTAAAGAGTGAGGTGAGAGTAGTGGCTTCTGCTTGGATCTTCGATGGGGTCTCGCGGGTTTTGGATTTCGATGACTTTGAGAAAGCTGAGAAAGAGAAAAGTGGGTTTCTTCGGGTTGGTTCAAGTGAGAAAGACTTGAATCGAAACAAAGCTTTCATTTTTGCTGTCTTTCAATTCGGAAGAATCGTAAAAGTCTGTTCAAATATCAACCCGAAGAAGAGAGGGAAAATAACGGTCAAAATCGAGCGGTTATATATCAACAATAATTTAACAATTTGTTTTGCTCAAAAAGGGAAAATATACTAACAATTTGTAATCGTAATCACATGTTGTGTCTAAATTTCTTTGAGAAGGCGGCCACAAAAAGTTCCAAGTTTTAAGTTTGGAACATCAAAACCAGAAAAAAAAAGCTAAATACTTGTATATTTTTTTCTTTCATACACATATTATGTGAAACATTATTTTATAATCACAAGAATTTTGACCCAAAAGACAGCTAAGTTTGTGTTTGTCCTCCAATCAATCAACAACCACAGCCAAGAGCCAACCCATTGTCCCATGTTCATGTGATTACTTATTCTACCAAATATTACATACTTATATAATAAAGTCAGAGACATCTAATCATAGTGCTGATTAGGAATTTAATTATTCTCTTAGTGGAAATATATACCTTCCCTATAGTAAAAGCCAAGAAGTCCAGAACAATATATTTTCTGTTACCAACAAATCCTTGAGATGAAAGAAAAGGTTATGTTCTCTCTTTTGTTTCCCTTTTATTAAAATGTACTCAACAACATTCTCATACACCACCAAATTAATTAAAAAATGATTGATACATCTACTTACAGTATTTATAAACCAAGACCACATATAAAACACCCTCCCAAAATATATCTAAGGAAAACAAAACATTCCTTCTCATTCCATGAAAGATTGGTTCTCCGAAAGTTGTCATCTTCTCTTCATTCAAGGCCAAATCTTCAATCAGCTAAGTAAAGAGAAAGACACTGAATACAGTTACCATCGCTAATCGCTTTAACAGATTATTACTATGAACCACCGAAAGATCAAAAGATAGCAAAATCCTTACCTTTTCGAATCTGTGTACGTATAAATTCTTTGGCAGTTTTTGCGAATTCACCGGCATTTGCTGAGATAAGCGTCCTTCCCAAAAGCACCAAGCATTTTACAGGCTACTTCCAACAATTTCCCTGTTTGTTTCAATCACAAACAAGTCAATAACACCTTTATTAGGTCAAAGTCCATCACAATCTAATCTCTCTATCATTGTCCCCTTCATTATTATAATATACTATTTCTACTTTACATAAAGCCATTAACAAGCTACCCAATAATTTAACTAACAAACCATGTTGAAGGTAAGAAACGTGACAAGATGCTCAATAGCCAGCTTAGCTAATGCCTATGAGTCTATGACCAAACAAACACAAAACAGCCTAAAACTTCTTTGATTCGTGCTTGTGTTTAATATCATCCAATAATCTCACAAATCTACCATTCTTAAAAATCGATCATGACTCTCAACATCAGATCAATTTACCAAACTATTGGTGCTTAATCATCTAGCTTGACGATTCTAAACTTGCCAATTGAGGAATTACATCCACGATCTATGATACGGTCAAAGCAATGAAAATAAAATATAGACGTACCTCTTCTCTGCTGAACAACTTTCTTAACCGGTTTCTTAACCGATTCAACAGTCTCCTTCTCTTCAGGGAACAAAACACCATCAATCCCCTGAACCGAAATCCGACCGTCCGTATAAATGTCTGGATCGAACAAATACGCCGACCTCTCACCGTCTCCGAACTTAACCGAACCATCAGCTTCTTTAGCCGCAACCTTATGAGGAAAACGCAGCGTATCGAACTTCACCTTCCCAAATCTCCGAACAGAATTGTACATACTCTCCTCCGTCTGATACTCCGGTATGATGTGGTAATACACGATCTGCTCCGGAGCCCCTGGCTCGCTCAGCTGATCCGTCGTCAATTTCGCCATGGCTTCGTCGTTCGGAGCCAAAACCGTTAGCACATAACCTTCCGACACCAAACGACCCATCTCCGTCGCGAGTGACGTCAGATTCACGAGAATGTCTGCCATTTCGTTGTAACCGCCGTAATGCAGCAGCGTGTGGATGAAATCCTTGACTTGAGCTTCACCGTCGAAGTGGCCGTGCTTGCCTCCAGGTCCCGGAGCCGGCGCCGGAGCTAGAGACGGACCCGGAGCCATGGCGGATTGGATCGGGAGAGCCGGTGGGGATCCGGCGGGAACTGGAACGGGTTTTTTCTTGAGACGGTTGGTTCTCGGGTCAACTTCAGGAGCTCCTTCGGGTAAAACGGCGGAGATTGATTGGAGGCTACGACGGCGATTGAAATCCTCTTGAACGGAGCGAGGGATGAGAAGCCGTTCGATCCCGTGGATCAATCCGTCGGGTCGGGTCAAGTCGTCGGGTCGGATTATCTCAGCCGAGTCAACCATCTTTTTGCCGTCTTGTTTATTCTTGCTCAAATGGACCTGATCGTTTCCCAGCGTGTGGTGCTTGACCCGACCCGATTCCTCGTTAGGCCATTGCTCTGACCCGACCCGATTGGGGATAATGTGGAACATGAGGAGGGTTTGGAGAGATTTGAGATTACCTGGCTCGAGCAAGAACCGCTTGAACTCCGGGTCAAGGTCACGCTCGAGAGCTTCATTGCGAGGGGCAAAAATGGTAATATTGTGACGACCAACGGCGTCTTCAAGTGTCTGAAGGAGGAGAGCCTTCTCGACGAGCTCGGAGAGTTCTGTGTAACGAGAGTCGAGGAGAGCTACGAGGACGGAGTTGGAGTTGATCTGACCCGACCCGGATGAGAGATTCGTGTTCTTGGATAATGCAGATGCGACGGAGGAGATAAAGAGGAAGAGAAAGAGATGAATGACGGCGGAGCCACCATAGATGCGGCGATCCATGGAGCTCTGTTCGATCGGATAATCAGAAAGATGGAAGCAATAATTTTCCCCCTTTTTTTTCTTTATTCTTTGTGGTGAAAGAGTTTACTTTTTTTTTTTCCTTGAAGTGTCGGCGATGTCAAGTGGAAGAGTGAGAGAGAGAGAGATGAGTTTGGTTGTGTGTCTGTGTTGTGTAGTTTCGGGAGTTTTTCGACTTTTCGGACCAGGCTGGTGTAGGGACCCACCCAAAATTTATAATTGTTGCTTACTTAAGCTTTCCTCATCCCAGGTCAGCTCGGCTCGGCTGCTCAAACTTCCTCTAAACTCCTTCTGTTTGTAAGCGATATTCTAATTACTTGACAACAAAAAATCATGTAATATGTGATTTGGTGATAGGAAATGATGTGAATGTGATGATACTTAACTTGAAAGTGAAATTTAGAGAAGGAAAGTTAAAAGTAGAGAGACATGTGACATTGTGACTGGAAGGGAAGAGGAAGCCGAGGGACGCGTGGCTGTAAAAGGAAGCTGTCGGTTTGTGACGTAAACATCCATCTAAAAGAGAGCGAGTAAATGCGCCAATCGGAAAACTATTCTCACGCGCCCTTTTGTGCGAGTAAAGGTCACGCCACATAACATTCAACTCTAGCTTTTCTTCTTTTGAAGTCAACTAGTCTTTGCTTCAAACCGTCCACAAGAAAAAAGCTTTAGGTTTCCCTTTGGGCCAATGGCCCATTTATTAATAGTTTCGATGATTCTTGGACATTGAGGTCCTCTGAAACCTCTTCATCATAGTCTCTCCATTTCCCGAATTTAATTATAACCCGTCATCTTGGTTTGTGTTATAATTAAATTTAAGCAGCATAAATTCTTCAGGACGACAACCACGATATCGTCTTGATCACATCCAGGTCTCCCTCGCAATCTTTTGCTTTTTTTTTCTAAAGGTCTGGTTATAGTTTGGTATGGAGAATTTATCTGCATGTGTTTTAACTGCAGTATAACAAAAACAAAAAGTCTAGATATAGATTTCAAATTCCATCTGTACTAGGAAAATTTTGTTTTCAACAAAATATGGAGATATGATTACCAAACTACTCTCTACATACTACTATCCACCACATTTTACCAAACATTAAAATTGTTAGAAAATACTAACATGAGAAAATTGAAGTATCATGAATTAAAGCCAACATTTTAATAACAAACGAAGGACATATACAACGACAGATAAATTCAGAATGGGTAAAGTTTTCGTTATATGTGACTTGAGGAGTGAAAAAAAAAAATGTATGAATGAGTGAAAGTTTTCTTAACCTTGATGATATAGAAAAACATGTGAATATATAATGCATGGGATTCAACGCATGCTAAAAACCATGAAGGATTGTCGCATCACAGCTGCATTTCTAATGTAAGGGCAATTGCAACTAAACAAAAATGTATTGTCAATAAGATATAAAAGAGGAAATAAGAGTCCATAAATGATGGAAACAAAAATAGAGTCAATAAATTTGGAGAGGAAAGTAGTGGTGTGGTAGGAACTCTGTGAATCAATGTGAAAAAATAAAAGGGTCCCCACAGAAAAGAAAAGGCAAATGAAGAAAAGGACAGTTTACACGAAGACTCACACTGTACTCTGTATTCACATGAAACCCTAAGTACTTCCCTTTATTCACTTTTTCACTCAACTTCCTTTATTATTTTACCACCTGACTCAGTCCCTCTCTCTCTCTCCTTAGCCCTAGCTAAGCTGTCACCTATATAGCTTTAGCACCTATATTCCATATCCCACGCTTCTTCCGAATCTAATACTGGATCTTTCTTTTTGTATTACTATCTCCCAACCAAAGCACGCAGTTTTTAATCCAAAATCGAATTCAAAATACCACACCAAGCAACTAATCAATTTCGGTTGTGTGTTTTAGTTTTTAGTTTTGATGTGGTTTGTGATGTTATGTTATCATCCATCACTGTTTTCTTCAGTATTTGATCCCATCCATACTTAGACTATTCATTAGGCATGTATGCCACGTTCCAAACTCACACATGACTTTTCTCCACTTTCTCATTAAGCATGTGCGTGAATTCGTAAGTTATTGTTAACCTGACATACACACAAAACTTGCGTTACTTTGCTCTCTTTTTCAAATCCGAACACATTCAACTTCCAGCCAATGAATCTATAGATTATTTACGCATCGTGATTATGACTTATAAAAATTATTTTATAATTAGCTTTTGAGGATGATTTGACAACAATATTCTATTTATTTGTTGGAGTAGAGATCTCCACCTAGTGATCTACTAGTACGGCTAAGCATAATGATCCTCGTCCTTGACAAAACAGCCTTAAACAAAAGGTTGGATTCGATTTAGACAAATACATAATTCGGTCTCTCGAGTCTTCTCACTTCTGCAACTGATGATCAAAATAAAATTGAAAGAGGCACATTCATATGCACATTTACTAGTAAATCGATGAACAATAGCACATATTATTTCATCAAAAATAACAAAAAACAAGAGCATATATTTGATCTTACAATTCAGAGTCTGCTTTACACTTAAAATCTATCTCCTAATCGGTTTTCTGAGACGACGCCGTTTCAGCTTGTGAAAGGCTTCGCCAGAAACCTCCGCCGTAAAATCTGCTCCACATCTCTTTCTCCAATGCAATCACTGCCTCGTCTTCTTCTTCTTCCAACAATGATTGATCGATGTCGTCATCGTCTTTGCTCTCTAACGGATGTACAGCGAATTGCGAACTCCCAACTTTGCTCAGCTTCTTCTCCAAATCTCTATTCTCCAACGCCGCTTTCTTCGCTAGTCGCCTCCGTTGCAGACGCCGGATTGCGCGGCGGCAGATTCCGCGAGGGAGCTTGTAAACGGCGAGGACGACGAGTTTCACGACGCCGCAGGGGCCGCAGCAACACAGGGCGGCGCAACCCGCAGTCGTTCCACCGCAAAACTCCGCCACCGTGGCTCCTCCTCCGCACAGCGACGGCGTCGAGAGACTTCGACGGAGACTCAGTTGTTTCCCGCAGAGAGACGATCCAGAAGAAGTCGACGGATTCATACTCAGGTTTTTGGTTCCGATCCAAGAGACAAAAAGAATCAAATCTGACAATTTCGCTCCCCGATCGGGAGTGATCTGATATCGAATCAGAAAAAAAAATATGCCGATAGAATATCAAATTCAATCACTCTGAAGCCTAAACTCAAATCTCTCGATCCTCTTCGTCTTCTCCCCTTCGTATTTTCTCAATGTGCCTCAGCAATCCAAAACAAAATCCAAATTTTCCGAGAAAATCGCCAAGAAAATCAGGCACTGAAGAATCTCAGATTTTCCCAAAGAAAAGATGAAAATGAACGAAAACGAGAGACAAAAACACACGAATTCGGACGGTTTATCTCTCTCGGCACAAAAAAGAAAAAAAAAATCTCGAGAATCTGAAGGGTTTTGTTCGAAGCAGAGAGAGTGAGCGTAGAGGAGATACTATTGGTGGGGAGGATGATATTAGGCTATTTAGCCTTTGGTGATTCAATCTTGGGATTAAAGGCAAAAGCTTTAAAGAGCGTAAATGATTTTTGGGTTTCTGTTTCGGTTATGTATGTTGTTGCCAATAGATGAAGACGACCAATCACATTCATACGTGTATTATGTATATCTTCTATACTGGATATCTTAATGGATAAACTATTAGAGCACAGGCATTGCAGAGGCTCGACACGGGATCATAGAAGAAAAGTAAACAAAAAAAAAAGAAAAAAATGAGGTGGCTTTAATTTTTATCAGAGACGTATCTCTGGGAAGAGGTTATAAAAGCAGTCTCTGGCCACATGTCGCCACACAATTGGTCAGTTTCTTTTTATTATTTTTTTTTTCAAAAAAAGACAAAAATAAATTTCGAAAATTATTTTGATTTAATTTTAGAGAGCCCTGGGCTCTGGCGATGCCTGTGCTCTTACCACTAAATATTTGTTGGTTGCATATCTACACAAAATATGTCCTGCAAGAGATTCCTCCATTTGTGTTTTAATTAATGCTTGGCTTGAGAGTTTCTTTACTCGATTTTTCTTTCTATTTGTGTTGTGATATTATTCCAATATTTGTTCAGTTGTTTAGATAACTTTTTTTTATAAAGTCAAAGAATACACAGTCATTAATTAAATTTTATAAATTGAAGAATCTTGTTTTATATACATGCATCTTATCTATTTAGTTTTGACTGTTGACTAACCATGCACAATTATGTACTGTAAGTGAATATCATTACCAGTAGATAATCATCACATCAGCATTCTCACTAGCAATAAAAAGATTTCTATATAATGCATCAATATGTTGCCAAAGACTTTAATGCTAAGATAAAAATTATGAAAATATGTTGTTAACCGATACAAATCAGTCAACCATCTTATTAAATTGACTCCAACTTTAAGTTATTGGAAGTTTCTCACAAAATTTTACCAAATCTCATAAAAACACACTCTAGATTACTGCAGTAACTTTTTTTTAAACAGCAGATATATCTGCCAAAAAGAAAATCAAAATAATTGCAAATAGATTCGTAGGTGACCTTCCCATCAAATTAAAGGCCCATTATAATTGTATCAAAACTGGCCCAATTGAAATTTCAGTTTTCTCAGACTGAGAAACGATGCCACGTGAAAGCCACTCTTCGTCACACCTGTCCCCGTCTCTTCCTCTCTGTCTCTCTCTTTTATCTTTTTCCTTAACGACGAAGGAAGCATGGCGAAATCCGAAATCCATTTAGCATAATACTATACTTTCTCGTTCTAAATCAGTCCCTGAAGATAAGTTCACAAAAACGTCAGCTTCGTCTTTTCTGCGGCACTACTCGATCAAAGAGATCATAGATGGGTCTTCTCTCCAACAGGTTTCGTCTTCCCCTCTTGATAGCGTTCTACTACTTGCGATGCTCTACATTTTCTCACGAAATTTGTGTATCGTTTATGTTTGAATAGAATCGGTAGATCGAGTTTGAAACCTGGGGATCATATCTACTCATGGAGGACTGCTTATATCTATGCCCATCACGGTATGTTTTCCTCTTCGATTTCGCTTCTTCAAAGCCCAATTGTTATCGTCTTCACTAAATTTCTTCTTCTTTTAACGTAATTGTAGCTGTCTAGTGTTAAATCGATTAGAGATAATCCTTGATTTGAGAAAATATTGAGTTTTTGGGGATTTTGCCGATAAATTAGGGCTAATGAAAATGACATTTCTCTTGCTTAAGAAATGTTGCTGCTTTGATTGCTTTTTTCCACCAGACATTTCCTTAGTTTACAATCTAATACTTACTTTTCCTGAGCAGGCATCTATGTTGGAGATGACAGAGTCATCCATTTCACAAGACGAGGCCAAGAAGTTGGAACCGGCACTGTTCTAGATCTCATACTGGTGAGCTCAGGTCCATCGCGAGGCCACACGCACTGTCCAACATGCGTTCCACCAAACGAAGGCCACGGTGTTGTTTCCTCTTGCCTAAACTGTTTCCTCGCCGGCGGTGTCTTGTACCGGTTTGAGTACTCGGTCAACGCCGCTCACTTCCTCGCCAAAGCCCGAGGAGGAACCTGCACGCTCGCGGTCTCTGACGCTAACGATATAGTCGTCCACCGTGCCAAACACATCCTTCAGAACGGGTTTGGATGCTACGACGTTTTCAAGAACAACTGCGAGGATTTCGCCATATACTGCAAAACCGGATTGCTGGTTCTCGAGGGAAGGACCATGGGACAGAGCGGTCAAGCGGTGTCGATTATAGGCGGGCCTATCGCTGCGATTCTGTCTTCGCCGATGCGGCTTGTGACGACGAACGTTTATGGGATGGCGGCTACAGCAGTTGGTGTGTATTGTGCGAGTAGATACGCTACTGATATCGGTATGAGAGCTGATGTGGCGAAAGTCGAAGTGGAGGATCTCACGAGAAGGTTGTCTATGGGGCTGTTCCAAGTGATTGAGCCTCCATTGGCAGCCATAGCTTTACCAACTACAAGTTGATGGATGAGCTTTAAGCCTTTAAGCAAAAGCTTGTCTCATTGCTGTATTCTGTGTTTCCATGTTACCAAATACCTTTGAAACGAAAAAAATTGTAATAAGTACACACTCTACTTGTTTGATGCAAAATTACTCATCGTGTGTTACTGTGATTGAGTTAACTGTAGAAGAAAAAACCAAAGATAATCAACCATTTGTAGCCGAGGTCGGTTTGGTTTAGTTGAATTTGCCTAATTTTTTATGTGTCATAGTTGAGTCACAAATTTGGATTCTCAAGGCAAGGCAACGGGAGAGGAAGAGGATCACAATGTATTAAAAGCAACAAATTTAATAATAATTTGTATTCTTAGAAAGCTACAAGAGTTGGTTAATGTGATGAGAAGACAAACCACACCGGTACATAGAAAAAGCTTCAGATAACACAAAATTGTTTTCAGGAACAAATAAAAAGTAACCGCCATGAGATCTTGCTTCACAGATCTCTGTAAATGCCGTAGATTTTGTTTACACAAGCAAAACTGCATTTATACACCCGTCATTCTCTGGATTGTTAGTCACTTGAGCGTATTTTCCTGAAATCAAAACGAAGTGAGGATTGTTAAGTCACTGACATCACATCTACAGTTTCGTATAAGGTTCTGTATTAGTTTGTTACTCACCCCAGACAACTTTTCCACCTGGTGTAACAAGACCAAGCTCACTCACATTGACCTGGAAAATCAAATTCACATGTATAAGAATTCAAATTCGCAGGTTGCAGCTTAAGTATAGGGAGACAAGTGAGAACCCAATATGCACAGAATTGGTTTTGTCACCACTAACCTCAATGATTGTTCCTCTGGTCATGACACCGAGTGAAGTATACATTGGACCGTTAGGGTTCTTCTTAACTCCGATGATCTCAAGACAGAAAGTACATTTGAGCTCAGGGTGAGTAACATGGGCCTTGGTGAAACGCAGACCAGACGGGCGGATAAAACGCTCATACTTTGGTGGCTTCCTTGTGAAACCAGGTCCAACAAATGTTGCCTTTGTAACCATCCTCTTCCATTGTTTTGCTGTTATAGATGACGCAAAAAAGGACAAATCATTTCAATAGCTGTAATTGACTATCTATCAAGCCTGTCTAATAAAAAAGTTAAACGATCTAAAACAAAAAACACATACTTTTCCTCTTCCCAGATCGGATCACTCTGAACATTTCATCTTCAGCCACTGGACGGACCTGGAAATGGAAAGGATTATTAGCTGCCAAGTGGGATAATTTGAGCTTAACCATTTCTTAGGAAGACATCATGAAGAGAGTTATCACCTTTGGTAGAGGGACCTCCCATTTCCCAGCTTTCTCTTTCCTCTTTTGTTTAATGGTGTTGCTAAGAACCTACACCCAAAAACACCTTAGTCATGTATTGCTTTCACCAATTTTCAGAATTTATCGATATGAAATGGTAGAAATATCAAACCTTGGCACGTTTGGTCTCCTCACGATCAAGAAGATAAGCGGGACGAGCTCCGTCCTGAACATCCTCATCAGCTTTACGTCTATCAAATGACTCCTCATGCGCTCTTATTCTGTTGTATCAAAAGTTAAACGATGTAAGAATCTCAGAACAGAGCACAAGGTTGCCAATTTCATTCTACAGAAAACATGGGAATTCAATTTATCGATGCGGTAACCACAATCAATGCTACTGCTAGAACATAATCAAATCTTAAGCTGTCAAAAGCAAAAGAAGGCGAAATCACTTACGTTTTCTTCATTTGAGCTTTCTCAGCATAGTTTTTCTTGGCAATCATCTTACCCTTGATACCTAGAGACTGCAATTCACCACAAAAAAAAGAAGAAGAAGCAAAAGACGAATCAACAAAAGGAAGCCAAAATTAGTTGAATTACAAATGGAAGAGGAAGGAGAAGAAGAAATCGGAACCTTTTGAGCTGTTTTGGAGTGCCTGTGAACTTCACGGGCCTCCTTCTTGCGCTTACGGTCGAAGTGGTCGAGGCGATATCCATGCCTCTTCCTGTGTTGCTCAATGTAATCTCCCTGCGGCTGTTTTCCATCAATCAAAGAAGCAACCACAGAAAATAGTCAGAGATCGAAAGAATCAAATCTTCATAGCTGAGAAACTATAAGCTATGAGAATACTCCGGCGGCGGAGAACGAACCATGGTTACTTCGTAGGGATCAGACGGTGAGACGGAGATGGGAGGGAGAGAGAGACGTTCTCAGGAAGTGTGAGTTAGGGTTTTATGAACGAGACGAATTTTCGGTGTATATTTCTTCCAATGGGCTATAGTTGTCAAACAAAAATGGGCTTGATTAGAGTCTAAGCCCATCAAATCAAAGTGAAACGGTGAAACAGAAGAAATCAGTTGACGATTTTGGTTTTAAGGTTGATTTTTTAGGGTTAAAAATTTAGTTTTAGTTTTGTGGTATTTTTGGAAACATAATGAAATATTGTGGCATTTTTGGAAAACATCGATCTTGTGGTATTTTTTGAAAATAAATTTAGTAGTGGTAATTTTGGTACACAAAATTTTTTGGTGGTATTTCTGAGAATTTCCCCAAAAATTTTGTAAATAGGTAAATCGATGGAAAAACTTTCACAAAAAGGTGGTAATGTGGTATACATAAGTGTCATCAAAATTGCTGCTTTCAAAAACAAGCAAAAGCAAATACATGTCTTTTTAGCATTCTTTGCAAAGAGAACAAAATATATCATGTTACAGTTGTGAAGCAACTATCTCAACTTTCTCCAACTTCATTATACGAGTAAACTATTGGATGCAATCTTAAGTCGCTCTCCCGCAATTCTCATCGTGTGTTTTGCTTCTACTGTCAAGCTCTGGCTTCCCGAGGACTGCGCAATCAAGAGCAAAAAAAACTCACCAGTCATCATCACATGGTTTTTTGCAGTTTGTATGAACACTAAGAGACTAGAAATGATACCTGTAACGAGACAACGTTCTGCAGAATCAAATCGATCTCTGACTTGGATGACGATATGATCTTCCGTAATTTGACATCGTTGTGCATCAGCAGGACCACAGAGACAACGTGCTGTATCAAGTTCAATGAGTTTCGACCGCTCTCCTTGTCTTGCACTGATTCCAGCGCTTTAGTGTTTTCACTGACTATGGACTGCATTCTTTTCAGAACCTCTTCTGTGAGTCTGGAGCTCCGGTCGAACAGAGAATAGCAAGGTACCAAGTAGTAGAGACATGTTTGCATGTAAAGGTACGAAGACTTCTCCTTATCTTCTGGTATAGACTGCAAGAAGAGCGCAGAGAGATGAGCCAATCTCAAGATTATATATGAAAACAGTCAAGGACACAAGAAAAGGGTATATTAGGAAAGAAGTGCTCACCTTGACTATGTCGATCAGATATTCCGGTAAGAACTCAATCAGAGTGGTTATGCTGCTTTCAGAAAGTCTAGTAGGTTTAGAGTCCAACGCGCATATCATCCTAAGTATGGCACACCCATTGTCCAACGCAGGCTTCAGAGTCTGCACCAAGAAGAACATCTCATTAAGCAATTTTTTTGGGACCTGAGATGTTATTCTATGAGAATGTAACTATAAGACAGACTTACTATTTGTTCGAGTAGAATTTTCTCAAGAATCTGGAGGACAAGAGGGCCATCACCCATTTCTGACAAACATGAGCACACACGGTTTGTAAGTGCTTTGAATGTCTCCTCCTCATTAGACTCCATTGCTAACTGGCCTTCGTCTGCATGAACGTAAAAAACATAAGGTACGCTATCAACAAAAACGAAAAACATGATCATCTCCTAAAGAAGCACAAAACTGAGCTCTTGTTGACGGTACCTGGAACAACTTTAAAACGTGCAACTAAGGTGACGAGGAAGCTGAAATGATCGGTAATCTGGATATATCCAGCTCTGTAGGCAGAATGAAGAATTTCCACTATCCGATACAACACAGCTGGTTTAAGTTGTGGATCTGCAATATACATCAAGTTCAGTCAATTACCTTCTTCTTTTTTAATTCTGTCATCAAAAGAAGTCACTTTAAAAGTTGAATAAGTGCATCTGTATTTGCAACGGAAATGCGAGACTCACTTAGACAGCATGAAACTATTGATTCCAGCAAAGGAGCACTAAAATTGTCTGTTGTGAAGTAGAAAAGGAAACAGAGAGCCAACTCTTGGGCTTTCTCAGGGAGACTTGCAAAAGGTCCACCAGAGACATCACCTGGATAATTTCAGAGACACGAAAACGACAAACACTGTTTTAGTCTAGAGACGTTAAGAATCACACAACACTATTTTTTCTATTTTGGTAGCAAGAATTCCACCTTTTCCCTGAAGAGGGTTGAAGAAGCTTCCGATGGATTCTTCAAATGTAGGCTCTTCTTCAAATGTAGGGGAAGCATTCAAACACCCAAATCGCCCAAGATCAAGCAAAAGTTGCAAAATAGCCTGAAGAAATATACAAAACGGGCAACAAAATAAAAGATAAGTGAGAATAATAGAAAAGCCGTTCATGTACTAAGGACTTTCGCCTTGAAAGTTCAAAGGTAATTGGATTGAGAGTGAATCGTATGCGTCATAGATTAGTACCTGCGTAGATAAGGGATGTTTATCACCTAATTTATTTAGCAGTGATGGAAGTTTGTTGACCCAAGCACTCTGGTAGTCAACTACTGTTGGGTCACTTTCACTGGAATAAAGAATATCACCGTTCTGCAGATATTTAGCGTTCAACGTGAGTGGAAAGATAGACTAGGAATCAGCCAATATCCAGACTGAACATATCGACTAAACTTGTACTTACAGGGATAATCAAGTCTCTAATGGTTGAAATGCAGGCCAGTTTAAGTTGAGAATCTGGCTTGCAATCGTTGAAGACAATAGTAAATGCCTGAAAAATATATGTGATACCAAAAAAATCAGATATACCATGAGGTTAATGCTAGCTATCAGAGGAACTGAAAAAGTATATACTCCTGTCTAGCTCAAATTACTCTAAGAATCTTAGACAAACCTGCAGAATATTATCTCTCCAATCATGGTCCACCCTCAAAATAAGTTTTGGAAGAGAGGGCAACAGTGCAAGTAAACTCTTTTCGTGTGTAGATTTACTATTGCCCCTGGTGATCTGCAAAATAGACACTCGCCAGTGAGAAATTTGTTTTCCCTTCTAGATTTGCAAGTAAATTATCAGATACAATGCAGACAGAGAAACAGACATCTAAAATATTCCGTAAACAACTAAATCAGCTTGAATTGTAGATTAATTTAAAGCAATGAGAGCTCACCTTGCCTAGTAGTGTCCTCTCGACAAATTCTAGAAATCTCTTGCAAAGATCAGTAGGAAGGTGGCTCCATTTACTTACTTCCAAAAAGGTTTCGGTCAATACAGTATTGAGGATGAAGTACCATTCAGCAACCTGTCAACAAACAATCAACTAGTGTTAGGCAGGTCTATAGAACAATACACAGGCCATAACGTATAATCATAAAGGAGATAACAAACAATTAACAAAGCGTTGTGATGCACACCTTTCCAGGAAGATTGTTATCTGGATTAAGGGGGAAAGAAGCAAGCAACTTTTTAAATAACATTGATGCAGTTTCCTGATCCAGTATAGCCTGTCTTTGAATGTGCATACGGTTGGAATACTTGATTGCGTAACGTATGCCGCAAAGTATATGGTTTATACAATCAAATGATGCTTCATCGAATCCTCCGCGAGCACGAATCAGTGGAATGAAATCTTGGAAACAATTGATCAAGACTCCAACAATCTCCTTCAATCTCTCGGAGACATGGGCAAATCCTACAAAAACCCAAAGAAAATTGGTTAGATCAGTGTAAATTTCAGTAAGTGCAAAATCATAGAAAAGGGAACCATTGTCGATATAGTGCACTAATTCTTTCAAAGCTGTGCAGAGACAATCTAGAGCTCTTACTAGAGAGAAACAGGGCAAAGGAGAATGGACTACTAGTACAGTAGCAAAGTGCATAGACTCAAGAAAACATGACGCAAGCCATATACCAGTAACTTATTAAAGAGAAAAAAAAAAAGAAGACAAATGGCACGTACGAACAGATTCCTCCGCAACATCTTGCTCATAGGCAAGTAGCGTCTCATTCTGTAGATGTCCCTACAAAACAAAACAAGTACGTGTATGAAATAATCAAAGACATCTTAATATATGCATTGCTATGCTACTTCAATACTTCATGGCATGTGTGAAACAAGAACTTTGGAGCCATACAGAGTGAAACTGATTAGCTACCTTTTTCTGTGATTCGGTGTCGCTCTCATCACATGGCAACAAAGACAGGCAATGTTCCAAGCCCGAAAGAGCTACCTTGAGCTTGCTTTTGTCTTGCACATAGAAATGGTTTTTCTGAATGATATCCGTGTAGTTCTCGAGAATCTGTATGAAGTAGCATATGGAAATTTCAGGGAACATTCTTGCATGAAAAAAGAAATGCTACAGCAAAAGTATGGAAATGTCAATGTATCATAACTCAAGAAATCAAAGTAGATACCTTTTCAGCATACAATGAAAAGGTAGGAGGGTAGTTCTTCACAACAAGGTGGAAAAATTTGAAAGCCATCAAACGAACATCAATAGAAGAATCGGCCATGGCGCTAAATATGTATGGCATTAAAAGTGACACCATAGGGCCCAGGTTATCCTGAATAGAATCCAACATAGAGAAGGCTGTTAGACACAAGACTAACACAACAAATGTAAGAGTAAAGAGGAAATAACAGGTGAAAGAATCAATACCTCAATACAAGCAGGAAAGATATCAGCCTCAAATAGTTTATAAAAAGCATCTCTCACTAGCTTATCGCCATCCGTGACGCGTTCCCTAAGTTTCTGTATGATGGCATATTTATGTGACTGCATCTCTCCGGGATAATGCTTGAAAAGGTCTTTGATGCCAAGTAATGCATCTACACAGAAAAAAAAAAACCCAGAAAATTGATCCAAGGAACAATGCAACAGGACCAAAACATGAATGAGAATAAAATTAAGACCTTTGCGAACTTTGGGATTGTGGTGTGAAGTTTGTTGCAGAAGCTCCTTCAAGGTCAAGCCTTTCTTACTTGTAGCTATGCCACTCTTTTCTGCTCCCACACTTTGCTCAGGAAGTATAATTGCTGAATTGTAGAACAAAGCCAATTTCAAAACATAAGCAGAGAGCTATGAGGTAAGGAAAACAAAAGTGTGAATTGAACGTGAAAGCAGATACCTTTGGATTTAATCTCTGTGTTAGTGGCATTCTTTGCCGGAGGTAATTTTCTGCCGAGCTTTCTCTTAATTTTCTGCGAGAAAGAAGAAGAAGACCAATTAGAAAGAAGAGAAATCAACCAAACAATCCATCAAGCATTTGAAGAAAGAAGGTTCAATTAAAAACTCTGTAAAAAGCACCTTAAAATCAATAGCTTTCTTCTGCTGCTTCTTCGCCGGAGCCTTGGAGCGAACCATTTTGTTAACTTTTTCAGCTACGTAAGAACTAAGTGACTCGAGTTAGATTCTCCGGAAACTGGAAGATGAACAATCACACAGAGAAATCGAGAAACCAATCAGTGTAGCAAAGACCTAATCACGAGACAGAGACGGTGGCGGAAGAGCGGCTAGAACTCTGTGTTATTATGTTAAGCGGTTAAGGCGTCTGATTTTGCCGGTTTAGATGCTTTTAGACCGAATCGGCTATTAGCGACGCTGATTATGCCGGTTTAGATGCTAAACCCATAGGGTTTTAAGAATTTTTAGCATTTTGGCTAATCAATAAGTTAAACCAAAGACCAACAACAGAACCATTGCTATTTAACCTATATCTTATTGTTGTTATACAAAATACAAGTGTGAAATAAGAATCTTAACATACCATCAAAATAAATAAAAAATACAATGTCAAATTTCTGTAAAATTTAAAACCCAACTCCCTTGTTACTATAGCACAGTAGTTTGCATTTCATAGATACAATTTATTGGCAATGATTGAGGAGATTCAAGCACTTATAATGATGATAAACTGAATTTCCTCCTCATGAGTATCCACTTGATGAATCTTGTGCACTTTCAATCTTCTTCACAGAATCCTTCTCTTCATCCACAAAATAAGGGTTGAATTGCTCTATGACATGCTCATAGACAGGTCTCTTGAAATATACAGCCTGTTCAGATAAAGAACGAATCATGATGATCTTATGCCAAGAGCCCGAATAATTTCAAGTATCCTAAGCCAAAGAACTCACATGTTCAATCACTTGTTCCGGTAGCATCCACGACCACACCTTAAACTCTGGCTTCGCGGTACCATCTCCAAGTAGATTTATCTCTTCCTCCTTCCCCGTGAACTTGAAGAGAAACCTGTATGTATCAGACAACAATCATCAAGAACAATTAAATATTTGGATTTAGTCTGTATTTGCAGTTGGTTCTAAGAATATATGCTTAGTAACCACTTCTGAGCTTGGCCTTTGTAACTTGTTCGCCATTTCCGGTTCAGCTTATCCTTCACTTCTCGGGGGAAATCATACGTCAGCCAGTTTGGTATCTACACGTTTCAATAGTCAAACCTCAGTTTGTTGATACACAGAACAATTCTAAACTCTTACTGTTGAAAAATAGATTAAACAATTTACTATTGAGAGAGATGTGAAGAGCGTGCCTCCGCAATGAATTCCGCCGAGGTAACACCAGTTTCTTCTCTAAGTTCTCTAAAGGCAGCGTTTCTCAGATCTTCTCCCTCATCAGCCCCACCCTGCAAAAGCAGAGTTGATTAAGCATCTGCCACATTGATACACAGACTACAGGATCATAAACTAGCGATTCTCCATCCTAAATTACTAGCCAAATTCATTTTCTCTCCTCCAAGAGATCTTTGATCTCAAAAATGAGCAATCAAAAACATCTTTAGCAACAAATACAGGAACTTCCTCAATGACAAATGGTGAGAACTAATTTCTCCGAAGCAATCGAAGTACACTCACTACTCTCATACACCAAACGATTATAAACCTTTTTTATTTGCAATCACAAGAGAGCTATAGAGGAATCACCTGCGGCATTTGCCATGTATCCGGAACATGAATCTTTGATGCAGTGAAAATCTGCAAACCAAAACCATCTCAATTCCAATCACGTTAACCCAAAATCCAATTTGAAAAACAAACAAAAACAAAATATTCACACGGGAGACGAAATTGTTCAAAATCAGATAGAATGGTGAAATTGAAGAAGGAAATTACCTTTCTACATGGACTAACGAGACAAATCCCAACATTTTTCCGGTAACCGGCCGGCGGAGACTCAACTGTTCTAGCTGGCGGCGATAAGGCGACGGACATAACCACCAGAGGCTTTGATACAGAGACTGGAAGTTTCAAGCATGAGAATTTGAGAGGAACCGAGGAGAAATCTAGATGAACGGAGATTGCTGGTTTCCTTATGAATCCAGACGCCGCAACGGCCATAACGACGGGAACTTCTCAGGCTTCCTCTCCCTCTCTCGTCCGCTCAGTAGAACACTCGGCTACTGATTCTCATTTTCTCAGAAGTGATAAAAAAATGATAATATTACGACACTACCCTTGGACATCAAAAACGTCGTCGTTATACCCTCCAGCCAAAATTAGAGTTACTAAAGGCAACAGTTATTTACAAAGTTTACTAAAAGCTGATATAATTCTGATACGGACCGTTTTTATCCTTCTTAAAACGTCACCATTGTATAGACAAAACATAGCATTTTGGTGTCTGCGAAAAGAAGCTTCGTCCTCGTTTCCGATCCATAAAAGTGGGCCATCGTTACTTTTTTTATTCTGCAAAGTGCAATCAAACGGTTCTAAATTTCCATAGCTTTTCATAAATCGTGATCATTGTGGTATAGCCGTATAGGTGAAACTATATTCCAAAGGCAATGACGAAATAGGACGACTTTCGTTGCTTTTAGGTGCGTCTCGTTCATAATTCTTTTTACATATCCGGTAAGTTTTCATTCAGTTCCTTTTATTATATTTAGCAAAATTGACAAGTTGTAAAATCAAGTCTGTGGATGCCTTTGAGACATTTTTGGAATACTCTCTACAAAAATGTTAGTCGTATAGGTGAAACTAGTCCCTACAAACATTTTTGATCCTTTTTTCTTTCTTGTTGAAAAACTAATATCAACTTAAGCTACATATCAAATAGGTTGGTCCGGATATTAGGTGCACGTCATAATTAACATTTGTTGAACAAATGAATAACATTAGTTACATATTAGCAGCTCCGGCCGCTACTGCTAATATGTAAAATTTTCATTTTTTGTTTCCTTCTTCTAAGTATGCATAACATTAGTTTCATACCATAAATAGATATGATAGTACATATCCCCCACTCGTAATATTTACATGCTTCATACTTTCTATAACTTTATCTTCATTAAAGTAAATAATATTCAGACTATTCTTTTTTTTTCATATATATAAAACTCACCATCTTCGAGAGTACTTTAAAGATATCTTAACTTTTTTAACTTTCTCTCCACCACCAAAAGCAATCACCATCGTCTCCGGCGCTCCGCCACCGAAGCTCGGACGACATGACTTCCAAAGACTGTGGCTCTCACCACAGCCACTCCCGGCGCCGTAAGATACTGCGCCGTATAGTCTTCCCAATTGTAGCATTCATCGCCCTGATCCTTGTCGTAATTTTCCTAACCTGGGCAATCCTTCGACCATCAAAGCCACGCTTCGTCCTCCTAGACGCCACGGTATACTCCTTCAACGTCTCCGGCGATCCACCGAACCTCCTCACTTCCAATATCCAGATGACTCTCTCCTCTCGTAACCCTAACGACAAGATCGGAATCTACTACGACCGTCTCGACGTCTACGCTGCTTACCAGAGCCAACAGATCACTTTTCCGACGTCCATTCAGCCGACTTACCAAGGACACGAAGAAGTCAGCGTTTGGTCTCCGTTCGTCGGTGGAAACTCCGTCCCCATCGCTCCGTACAACGCTCTGTCTCTTGAACAGTCAAGTGGGGGAATCAGGTTGATGGTTCACATCGACGGGCGGGTTCGTTGGAAAGTCGGAGCTTTCACCACTGGGACATATCATCTCTACGTTAGGTGTCCGGCGATTATCAGTTTCGGGGATAGCCCCCGCGGTGGTGTTATCGTCGGAGATAACGCCGTAAAGTATACGCTCACCAACGGTTGCAGTGTTTCTGTCTGAAACAGCGACGACTTAACGGTGACGTGGATATCAGGTCACGGTCACGGATTTTCTTTTATAATTTCGTAGAAGTTAAAGTTTTATATTTCTTACTTACGCCACATAGGTATTTTAAAAAAAAGAAAAACAGTTTGCGTTATTGTTATGACGGGGCTGTAAAGATTTAAAAATGAATACAATATTATAGTTATAAGAAAGTTGATTTTTGTAACAGTTTGTGGCTATTGATGATCGATGGTTTATCAACTGAATGATATTATCTTCTCCTCTTGTTTCATTGACTTTAATTTTGAAGCTATCCAGTGTGACGACAAGTGAGATAATAAAAATAACGGAAAGATAACGGCTCGTTAATGTCTGTGGACGGTGTGTTACGGTGTCATTATTTAATGTTGAAAGTTGAAACTTCAAAACACTCATTTTTCTTCAGTTCATTACTAGTTTTAATTTTCTCCTAAAATTAGCTTTTTTGCACTCTAAGTACATTCAAAGAAACCCTTACTTATAAATTTGAATAATCATACTGTATATTGGTTATTAAGTCCTCTAATTTGAATAATCAAGTCTTCTAAAGATTAATTGATCTTGGAATGAGAAAAAGCAGAATCATGTTGCTTGTAGCACAAGAACTAGCATTTTTATCGTTATTATTTTTGTCGTCCTGTACAAATTTTATGAATATTCAATAGTATATTCAGATTTTTTTTGTTTATGGTTAACAATCTAATCATCCTATCTTTCTCTTTTCTGTTCATCTTGTAACCAACTGCTTAGAACTAATTACCCGGAAAAAAATAAAGCGAAAGAAAGGTTGCCTCTTTTGCAAGTCAGTATCAGGAGAAGAAAACTGGAAATGTTCTTTTGCAACTGATCGATCCCAATTCCCATCTGATTCTCCAGCTGGAATCCACTTTTCTCCAAGAGAAAGAAAACTTGCGAGAAGAATCACAGTGACTCAGTGAGCTGTGGATTGTTATGATGGTTATTTGATAACTCTCACGCGTGTTTGGTTTCCTTTGTCTTTGTGATACACATGCTGCCTAATCCAGCTTGCCATACGCATGAGTTTTTTTTGTTTGTTTCTTAACTTTAGTATATGCACGATTTTGAATCCTTGAATTTTTGTCTAGATTAGGTAAACAAGATTTGATCAGGAAATAAAAGCAAGTATCTATTACACTAAGTATTCCACCTAACCAAATCACAATGTAGGTTAAAGGAAGCTTGCATTTGTATATTATATTTGTTATTTGTACCATGGGTGAAGACAATATATTTCGAGTCATGACTTTAACAAGTGATTAGCCACGCAAAAATTTGGTGGGATTTAGCTAATTTTCGGAAGAAGGAACACTACTGGAAAACCAAGCAGAGGGAATCCGAATAGAACCCTAAAATTTATCCTCTCCCCCATAAAGAAACGTTTGTTCGTCATTTGTTTCTTTCAGATTATTTTAGTAATCATAAAAATACAATAAATTTTAATAGTCATAAGAGATGCAGATTTCCTAAAATTGTAAAGAATATCCTCATAAAAAAACTTGACATCTCATTACATGAATACTTTAATATGGATCTAGACTTATTCCATATTATATTTGCTTGACCTTTCTCATGTAAGAAAGATGTAACATTTGAAAACATGTTTCCACCTAATCTTCGTTTACAATTGGTCAATAACAGATGACAAACATCCATCTTCAATACCAATCATCCTTCCTTTTCTTTCTTTTAGCATTAAAACACTATTACAAGTTGTAATTTACGACTCTTTACAATCATTTATTTTCTTCAAAGCTTAGAAATCTTTCACAAAATGTTATAAACATTTTAAACTAATCGAAATATTAGTTTTTAAAAAAAATTCTGTAGACTTTCCCGACAGTCTGTTCAATAGTCTTATTGTTTCGACAGTATCCAAATTTTGGACGGGGACCAGTTTGTAATCTTGTATAGACTTATTGATATTCTTTGTTCGTTTTCCAAACTTTCTTCAAAAGCTTTTTGTCAAGCTAGAGCAGTCAATTTCAAGGAAGTTTCTTGGAAGGTTGTATTACATTAGTAAAGACGACTCTCATCAGGATTCGCAGACCAACCACCGCACTAAGGATCACCACACGTCCACACATTCCCACTTGTAGATATCTCTTTGTATTAAATATATAGATATAAACCCTTTTTTCACAAACAAAATATTTTATGAATCGTTCCTTCAAGTTTAGAGCAAAGAAGCGTTAATCTTGCTTTGCTTATTGGTCTGCCACACCATTAGACATTAGTCACCAAATTATCTATCTCAAATTGGAGAGAAACTATTAAAAAGAAACCCATAAAAGTAAAAATGAGAAACACCAACAATCTTAGATGTTAATTAAACTGTTATTACCCTCGTAAATATCCAAGTAAAATGAGAAACACCAACAATCTTAGATGTTAATTAAACTGTTATTACCCTCGTAAATATCCAAGTACTCAGTACTATTTTACCAAAAAAAAAAAAAGTACTTAGTACTGTGCCGTAATTCGCAAGTAACCTCTAACTAATCAAATCATCTAACAATATTAAACGGCCGCGTCACCATTGACTTTGAAAAACAAACCGCGTCAAAAAGTAATCGTTTTATCTATCTAACACACGTTATCTCTACAGTGTATATATATCTCTATTCGTTGTTCTTCACTGAATTAATAATATTTCCATATTTACTTTCTCTCTCTCACTTTTTTTCAAAAACATTTACTCAAAAGAGAAACTTTCTTCAGAGGCATTTCATCGAACATATGGGGGACAGACAACCGCAATTGAACGGTGCGTACTACGGACCGTCGATTCCTCCGCCGACGAGAAAATCTCACAGCCACGGCAGAGGCGGATGTGGATGCGGCTGTTTAGGTGACTGCCTCGGCTGCTGCGGCTGCTGCATCTTAAGCGTCATCTTCAACATCCTCATAACCATAGCCGTCGTCCTAGGCATCGCCGCTTTGATCATCTGGCTCATCTTCCGACCCAACGCCATCAAATTCCACGTCACCGACGCCAAGCTCACCGAATTCACCCTCGGCGCAGACAACAACCTCCGATTCAACCTCGACCTCAATTTCACGATCCGAAACCCGAACCGACGGATCGGTGTCTACTATGACCAGATCGAGGTCAGAGGCTACTACGGCGACCAGCGATTCGGGGTCGGCAACGTGTCTCCGTTCTACCAGGGACACAAGAACACGACGGTGGTCGGAACTAAGCTCGCGGGACAGAACTTGATTGTGCTTTCCGGCGGAGACCGGAGGGATCTGGACGAGGATTTGAAGTCGGAGATTTACAGGATCGACGCGAAGCTGAGGCTTAAGATGAGGTTTAAGTTTGGGTTGATCAAGTCGTGGAGGTTCAAGCCGAAGATCAGGTGCGATCTCAAGGTTCCTCTCAGTAACTCTAATACAACCAGCGGGTTTAAGTTCCAGACGACCAAGTGTGACGTTGACTTCTGATACTAGTCAAAGTCAATGCTTTTATTCCACTTCGTATACACTCCGCTCTGTTTATTTTTGAGTTTAGATTATTATTTGCTTGATTATATTTCGTACATGGATTTTCTGTGATATTGTTGAGAGACATTTACCTTGTTTTATTGTACGGTTCCATGTGAATAAATAATGATTTATTTTGTTCTTTTATTCGATTACTTAATCTCCAAAACTGCAATTTATGACCTTAAAATTTCCAGCACTAATATTGTTACTGTTAATAACTTTATTACCACTACTAACTTCATCACTGTCAGTGAACTGATATGTTAATATACATCTCATGAAGCGTTGATCCATGTATCAAAAATCCTGAATCTTCTGCTTCCCCATTGATCCTTCTTGTTTCTGTAAAATGAGAACAAGCAACATTGCACCCATGGAGGATTTCTTGGTAGCATTGGATCCATCTCATCACCTCCCAACAATCTATTCAGTTTCTGGAACATAGCCTCTTCATCAGTTTGGTGGCACCCAAAAAACTTCTCCTGTCAACAGATTTGCAGATAAGAATAAATAATTGACAATCCTCCATGAACTCAACAATGATTTAGAATCTTACCCCTTCATCAGCATATAGAGAAACGCATATTCTTGCGGTTGCATCTTCTAGTATCGCTAGTAATCTGAACTTTCCATTGGAATCACGGAATTTTCTGACATCTTGGGGATACACTTGTATGAACCTAACAACACACCTGAATTTCGCCGTCACCTGCGTAAGCATAACTAAACATCAACTCGAGAAAGTATTTAATACTCCTGTTCTGCAACTTTGGAGTATATTTGAGCTTCTAAGGTACAATACACTGTGATAGGTCAAGATATCCATCAGAGTAACGAACGGAGCGTCCTCATGAGCAACCCCTAAGAGAAGAATTAAGCCATAGAATATATTACCAAATTGTTTCGACATCATGTTAAATGTCAAAAACTCAAAACTATGAGCTTCTTATAACCTGTGATTCCTGAGTGGGAAGGACTAACGCAACGAGCGATGTGGTTCCATCGCAATGAAAACTTCTCTCCACACATCCTGTATTTGTAGAAAAAAAAAGCTTTCTTTTTTTTAGCTGAAGAGCAAACGGGCGATGCATAACATCAAAATCACATAGGATAGGAAAAATCATTAGAAGAAACCTTTGAGGTCTAAAGGCTTCAATCTCTGTGCTCATTGTGTACTGCAACTTTGTAGACGGACTAAAAGTTGCGTTCCATAATCCCATATATACTTGAAAGAAAAGGTTCAGAAACTTCACTTGTTGACCAGGTTGAAGAGAATGAAGCGCCTTCTTCTCACTAACTTTGTCTACTAAGATCCTCAAAACGGAACCAAAAGTAGGAAATTTGCGTAACACGTGTAATGGCAGAATCGCGGGTTCGACACATAAAGGAAGCCTTTCTGACCTGTTATGATGTCAAATTTCAGAACATAACACTGAGCTTTCAAGAGCCAACACTATACGTTTGGAATTATATGAGCAGAAGCTAGGAAATGAGTAGCTGTTTAAGAGGAAAAGGGTGAAGCACTCAGACTTACTTTACCATGATATTGCACGGAGGCATCTCAGTTCCATCCCAAACAAAGATGTACCACCTATCTTTTTCGTCTTTGGAAATGTGAACAATCTTCAGGGGGCCAACAAAGAATGAGAAACAATGTCAATAACAAAGCAGGCATAATCTCTACTTTGATACATATAAACGTGAATGATAAACCAAAGATATCAATGTTTCAAGAAAAGATCAATGTACCATGGAGGATAGGTTTGAATATTCGCCTTCTTTGACATCTTTCAGAGATGTGAAACAGCATGACCCTACCATCAAACAAAACAAAATCTTCAGCCTTGAAACAATCGGAGCTTACAAAGAAACATAACCATTTGCGTTCAAATAAGAAGCAACCGTTTGGATATTGGGATTTCAATGAACAAATGTATAGGACGCTGAAGAAATGACATCATTGTTGGACCAATCATGTGATTCTATGATACTTACCATCTTCGAAACTGTAAGTTATCATCCATTCTCTCAGATTTGTCAAGAAGTTCTTATCCTGTTCTCTCATCTGAAATTTAGGCGACGACTGGTACGGTGTAAAATCCTCTCCGTGTTTCCCACTGAACACAGCAAATGACGAAGATGTTTCATTGCAGAGAGCAGTGATCTTGCGGTTCACAAGCACAATCTGCGTTTGAAATTGGAGAGTGTAAATCCAGAGGAAAATTGATTCATAATATCTGCAAGAGCTACGAAGGATATGGTGTATCGACCTTTACTCGTGAAAGCGAGATTATGTCCCCAATCGATTCAACACGAGGAAGCGCTTGACTGGTGCGAGCGATGAACTTAACAGTAAGCCCAGAACCCGAATGCCATGGATCGACGATTTTCAACGTACACGAAAAATCTGCAACGGATTTCAATCAATCGGAAGAAGGAACTCTTGAATCGGATAAATGGAATAGCAAAGGATTTTGGGAAAGGGATCAACGATACCAGAGCCAGTGAGGAAACCCAACTCGACGACGACTCCTATGAGGTTGATATGTAGATGCAATGCCTTGAAAGCGTCTTCAATTCTGAGGAATTTGTAGTCATCCCTAATCTCCATGTCTCTGATCGTTGCCGTTAGAAGGTTTTTTGCAAAATTTGACGGAGACTGAAACCCGGCGCCGGCGCCATTTGAAACTCGCCGAACGATGTTGAGGCCTCCGTATCTTAAATGGGCCTTAAAGGCCGACAATTATAAATTGATGGGCCGCCACTACCGTGTTGCTGTTTTTTTCCTTAATCGAATTACTAAATTACAAATTAGTGTTGTGATTTGAAAATGGTTAGATTTTGAACATGTTTAGTTTTTGTTTCACTTTTTAAGAGGAACGGGAACTGATTAGAATTAGAAACAATATGAATTTGTGTACTCGTAAGATTTATAAGATGGATGATGGATGATGTATGATGGATGATGGATGATGGATGATGGATGATGTATAAGATTTTGGATTTCGTTATTTTGTGTACTCGTAAGATTATGGTTAAAAGCCCAACGGTAACTTTTTGATAAAGAACCCTCCAACGGTAATTTGATCGCGATGCATTGTATTTCAGGATGGATTTTTGTAAATAATGCTGTTTTATACTATTTTTACTTATCCGTTTTATGCATCGTCATTTGTCCACTGAAATAAGATACATAAATGTATTTATTATTTGAAATGGGGTGTGAATACGCGGGAGGGGACTATTGCTTTAGCGGGTTGAAATTTGATAACGACGTGAAGAACCAAATAAGTAATTACGAGACATCTCGCGAGGCTAATAAAATCCATTATAGAAAGTTAAAAACCCAGTCTGAATTATTATGAGGATTTTCTATTCCGAGCTATCTACAATTAGTTTCATCAAAGAATGCTTTTTTTTTCGTTGTTGTTTAAAAATGCTCTTTTTCAATTAAATAGAAGACAAACTGACAAGTACACAAGTAGTTCTGTAAAACTAGGATTAGTGATGTAAAATGGACTAGGCCAATCTGACCAAGTATAGTTCAAGATATGTTTTCAATGAGATGGACATAACTTATTTTAGAAATGGACATAGCTTATTTTAGAAAAACGAAATGTTCGTTTGCAAATTTGATCCATGAGTCTGGTTATATTGAACTAATCAGATACAAAATCTGAACAGATCTTCCAACCTGTGATAGATCTAATCTAATCCTTCCACTCAAATAATTAAAATAGAATTAGAGATCATATTATGTAGATCACGGCCGTATACAGACATAAAATGACTTTTCAAAGAAATGTATTCTATTACAATAACGTTATTTATAATTAAAATTGCTGGATAGTGAAGATTAAAATATATTTTTAGCCGAGTTTCCATGGAATATTCAAAAAACACAATACAAAATTAAATAAAACATAGAAACAATAGAGGGCAAGAATAATTATTAATAAAAGGGGAAGGGCATGGGAATCGCATTTGCATATATATTCTCCTCTATATAAGTATATATAAATACTAACACAATTCCAAAGTGTGGTCTCATTCATCATAATAATCATAAAACTTAACTTTTAAGCTCTAGAGAGAGAAAGAGAAAGAGAGATACAGAGAGATGGAAGAGACAAAATCGAGATTCAAGAGGATCTGTGTGTTCTGTGGAAGCAGTTCCGGCAAAAAGCCTTCATACCAAGAAGCCGCCATTCAATTGGGTAACGAGTTGGTACGTTCTCTTCACAAACCTAGCTGTACATACTCTGATGTTCACAAATTTAAACAGCGAACCCTTATTTCAAAAAGAAAAAAAAAACTTTGAACAGAGATACATTATTTATCACCTTTTTGTGTCATATGTAAGTAGAGAGCTTTTCTAGATGGTTTTTTTTGGAGTATTTGTTAGTTAAAAGACTGGTTGAATAAATGGTTTTATGATAGTACCTCTTAATGAACTTAAAATGAAGATTTGATTTGAGATTCTTCTTTGAAACATTGGGTTATTATGGGTTTTGATTGTGTGCTGCAACGAACAATGATGAATCTACCAAACGTGTGGATGCTGATCTTTTTAATTTTAATTTTTTAAAGTTCTGTTGAAATCGAATTTGTGTTAAGTTTTATTGTTATTGCCATGAAAGAGAGATGAGAAAATAGTAACTTCTACTATTCTTAGCTGTAACCCGCCTGTCACTCGAGCAGCACTCTTGCATGATCCATTTTTATTTTCATTTTTTTGTTATTTATGTTTCAGTAATTTACATTATCACCCACACGCATATTTCTTGTTTTTCCAATGCTCCGACACTTCTTATGATTTTTCTTAAACCTAAAACCTAAGTTTCCAAGTATAATTAATGATTTTGTTTACGGGAAAGATAAATAATAATGACAATTTTTATTGCCTCGAGGGGCCAAAAAAAACAAGACAATGTTCGTTGGAAGAATAATGACTCTATGTCTCTATGTACAAAGCGTGTGTTGTGGGGTGTACTTATTCAACAACACAAAATATTAGAATAATAAAAATTATTAGAACTCCCCCCCCCCTTGTGCAATAACTTTATGTGATTGATCTGTAGGTAATAATAATAGGACTAATAGGATAGTGACCATTGAAATTAGGATTGATGATGATGAGCTATCTTTCCTTTTTGCTCTTAATTGAGATTTGATATTTGATGTGGTTGCTTCTTTTTGGAGTCGATTGTGGATTGGATTTGCGACACGTGTTCATTTTTATCATGAAAACTCTGTTATCATAAATAAATACTTATAATAATAGTAGTATTATTATAGCCAATATATAAAGAATTAAAGAAATTGATGGTGGGATTGTGGTTGAAGGTGGAGAGAAGGATTGATTTGGTATACGGAGGTGGCAGCGTGGGGCTTATGGGTCTCGTCTCTCAGGCTGTTCATCATGGTGGTCGCCATGTTCTAGGGTTTGCTCCCTTTCTCTCTCTTGAAATATATATACACACATTCACACATCTCTATGTACATATCTACTCTCTATTCATGTGATATGATGCATTTGCTAGTTCCAAGCTGTTCCAAGTACCCCATTACTCATCATTGTGTTTCTAAACATTTGACTGTTGATGATGACTATCTACATGATGCCTAGTACTTGCTAAATCAATCCTGCTAGAGATTTGGAATTGATTATTATCTTTGATTATAAGACGATATAGTTGAGCTGAATCAAATAAGAGAGGTAACATAACAACGACAAAAAAGGATCTGTGCATGTAACCTTTGTCCAAAAGTGTCTCTTTGCATTTCTGAATTATGTACTAAAAATAAGCTACAACTAGTTTTCTTATGTGTGTGGTATGTTCTATGAGAGAATCCCGTCTTAATCATCTATAATCAAAATGGGGGTCAACTTTTTTTTTTCCTTCTTCTTCTAATTAATTGTAGATTTATATCATAACCGGTTGTTTTGGTTTTGTGATTGATCAATATTATTAACCGGTGTCATCTCTTATCTCTTGTAGGGTCATCCCAAAAACCTTGATGCCAAGAGAGGTATGCACCATATAAAGCTCTATTGAATGAAATTTTAGTTTGTTGGACTTAGTGTTAAATTAGTATTATTGAGATAGAAATTGGCTTGCAATGATCCTACATAAAATAGTGGTAGGACCAAAAGAGGAATGATTGAGACTTGGAGCGTTTTTGGTTTCCTTCACGATACATCTCCTTGACCAACTTATATATTTATATGTAAAAACCCACACTGAAAAAAAGACCATATAATATAATATTTAAGATATTTTGCGGTGTTCACATTTTAGAGGCAATAGCAAAGAGAAAAATATTTTGTAAATTATGTGCAGATAACCGGTGAGACAATCGGAGAAGTGAAAGCCGTCGCTGATATGCATCAAAGGAAAGCCGAAATGGCTCGTCAAGCCAACGCCTTCATTGCTCTTCCTGGTTTGTAATCCACTTTTTGTTTCTATCCATTTCAACTAAATTCGAGTAAGTATAAGATCTAAATATTTCGAATCAATTATTTGGTAAAATATTAGGTGGGTACGGTACGTTGGAGGAATTGCTGGAAGTCATTACATGGGCTCAACTAGGAATCCACCGTAAGCCGGTACGTAATCAGAGAAATTAAAATTCTCGTTAACCCCTTTAAAAAATAATATACGATATGAGTTACGACCGGAATATGCGTGTTGAATCTTTTTTCTCTTATTTAAACCTCAAGGATTTTTTTTTTTTGTTTATGCAATGTTCGGTTTAATTTGACTGAATGGAGATACAAATGGTTGCATATGGTACGTCGTAATAATCACATGGAGCAAGATTCCATTTGGGATTCTTTATTCCTCCTTAGCTTTTTCTGTACTATTCCAATTGAAACATTAATAAATTGTACACATTCTAAGGTTATAATTGTATGATACTTTGCATGAATATAAAACACGATGTGTTGTCACGACGTACGACTACATAACCCCTGATTGTGAGACCGGAAGCTTCCCATGTCGTAATCTTGTACATATATAATAGTACTAATTTAAGATATATGGTTTCTAACATTATTTTGGGATCAATAATTTGTGACAGGTGGGTCTTCTTAACGTGGATGGTTACTACAACTCGCTGTTAACATTTATCGACAAGGCCGTGGACGAAGGGTTTATATCACCAATGGCTCGTAGAATCATCGTCTCTGCACCAAACGCTAAAGACTTGGTTCGACAACTCGAGGTATAGTAAACGAAGTTATTGAACGTGGTATTGAATCACATGACTTTGGTTTATTGATTTAGTTATAAAAACATTGTTGTAGGAATATGAACCGGAGTTCGATGAGATCACGTCGAAATTGGTTTGGGATGAAGTGGACCGGCTCAGTTATGTACCGGGTTCGGAGGTGGCTACGTGAGGTGCGAGGAAGGATCAAAAGGGGGAAGTATTTTTTTGGGGTAAAAGCAGTGTACAGCGGAATTAAAAGAAGTTTTTAATCAGAAGGAAATGTCGGAAAGAAGACAAAAAGAAGTGTTGGGGTCGTTTTGGTAACATTATTTTGTAATGGGGTCTAATGTCTGAAATGCATAAACCACGTGGGTAACTGCTAACCGCGTAAATACTAAACCCATAATCCCCACTTGTCTTTTGTACATTTTGGTTAATGGTTAAGAAGAAAAAGGGTAGGGCTATCTTAAAAATGACAAAACGATCCTTTTCATCTGGGTAATTCGTAATTTTATATATCAATCATCTTCTAATTTTTCTGGTTGTACAAATACATTTATTTATTTTATTTATTATTTATTATGTAGAGTTCTTCGTACGATTATTCAGGATCAAATTAGAGAATATTCCCGGTAAAACGTATACGTACGTATATACAACATAAAAATTAAAACAAAAAAAAACATAAAAATAGTTGTCGGGTAAAGATGTGGATAACTAGCTTTGTAAGCATTTACATTAAACAAATCAATACGAAAGTCATCTAAATCCACCTGATCTCACATGCTTTATTTTAATTAATTTATTTTCGTAAGGTTAAAATACTCTACCTCCTTGCATTATTCTAAAACTATTAACACAAACGATAACTTAAACGTATAAATCCCTTTATTCTTTATTCAATTTTCAGGAGAATCATATATCAGAAATGAGGACATAAGAATGTGGAGAATCACAAAGACTTTTCAAACAAATGTGAGGTAAACAAACTCAGCTCTCCGACATAAGAAAAAGTAAAAATGCCTCTGCTTTTCACATGGTAACATTTGTTCTATTAAAGGCCTTTAAATAGCTGAAAAATACTCTTTGCTCAGCTTTGGGTCAGGCTTCATTGATTTCTCACCGGGCTTCCATCCCGCGGGACAAACTTCATCTGGGTTCTCTTGAACATACTGTAATGCCTGCGAGATAATAATCCGGAAGAAGCACAATCACACTCCGAACCTTAAACTGCAAAACAAAATCTCTCTTTTTCTCTCAGTGATGATGTTTTTGTTGATTTACTAACCTGGAGGGTTCTCATAGTCTCATCAACGCTTCGGCCAATACCGAGGTTGTTGATGGTGGAATGCTGGATGACTCCTTCCTTGTCTATTATGAAAAGCCCTCTCAGTGCAATCCCCTGTTTTTTTTTTTTTTTTTTTTTTTTTTTTTTTTTTTATATACACAGCAATGCTTCAACTTCAAAGAACACAAAGTGTATTTGACTCAATGCCACGTACATTTCAGACGAAATAAAATCGTTTACCTGATCAGGGATGAGCACACCAAACGATTTTGAGATGGACTTAGTGATATCAGAGACAAGTGGGTAATTCAGATCACCAAGCCCTCCTGACGTTCTCTCTGTTTGGACCCACGCAAGATGGGAGAACTACATGAACCAAAAACTAAGATGTGATCAATCCATTATCAATCTGCCATAGCCATAGTTATGACTTATGAGAACAGTTAGAAAATAAAAACATATGACTTACCACACTGTCGACAGAGACACCTAATACTTCAGTGTTCAGTTTCTGAAATTCTTCATAACGGTCACTGAAGGCAGTAATCTCTAGAATATGCAAAAGAAAAAGGAAAAAAAAAAAAACAGAAAATGAAAGACCAGAGATGAGAATTCAGTGAGTAGAGGCATAAGTTTCAGTTTGGATCTACTTACTAACCTGTAGGGCAGACAAAAGTGAAGTCCAATGGGTAGAAAAACAGAATCACATACTTTTTCCCTATGTACTCAGAGAGCTTCACCTGAAAACCATTCATACGTTCGATTACCATTCAACAACAGAACATTCCTTTACTACATTAACCTTAGCTTATGACAGGATAACACATGCTAAGGAATTGGTTCTATGTACTGAAGTGAAGTACCTTGATGAACTCTTGATCAAAAACAGCCTCTGCCTCAAAATCAGGCGCCTTATTACCGACCAGTGGCAAATCATCCTGAGTACATGAAATAAAAACTCACTCCTTACGCACTGATCATATATAATTGTTAACTTCTACCACACAAATATGTTCTAATTGGTCGTATTTTACCCGCAATTACACTAAGCAGGGCTTCAAAAAGACTTCTTCTATCAGACAAATGTGAATCAATATTACAAAACTCAGAGCATTATAAATCATTTCCTCCACAACGACGGTAGCACAAAATGCCACTCAATTCAAGATTGTCCACGGTCTCAGAATTCTAAAAATCGATACTTTTTTGCCTCTAACTCTAATTAGCTAACGAATTCCTTCTACAATCACACACTGAATGAGAATGAGAAATAGGAGAAATTGATGGCATTGCGGATCACTTACGGCTTGGGCCTTGACGGTAAAGTTGCGGCGAGAGGCAGAGCTGCTACAGGTGTGAGAACCGAAGCGGGAGAATCCGGAGCTGAGATAAGATGAGGATGCAGAAGTAGAGGGTAGAGTTCGGAGGAAAGAGACGGCGGGAGAGAAAAGGGAAGACTTGGAAGGAAGAACCCTAGGAGAAGAGATGAGTGTGGTAGTTGAAGAAGCCAAGGAAGCCATGGACATGACTGTGTTCTCTCTCCGTGTGACTGGTTAAGGTAGTCTAGAAGAAAAAGGGGTCTTGTGGTGTGGAGTGTGAGGTGGAGAAATGTGAGAGAAAGAGACGAAGCGGATAGAGAAAAGACAAGTTCTGTTCAATGTCAAAACGACATCGTATTGAGGCGCGTATACTCTAATAATATAGGGTGCAATCGTGCATCATCGTATAAGACTTTTCTCCGAAATTTTCCATATTTCACAAATTAAATTTGCTACTGATAAAGTGATAAGTATATGAAAAGTGATGATTATTTTGGTTGGTTGGATTCCGAATATATTTCGTCGAATATTCACATCCACATCTTTAGTTAATATGCATTTTATTGATAAATCTTTCCAGTTTTTAGTCCTTCATACTACTTGGATTATGCTAATATTTTTCTTCTGTCATTTGGTATTTTATTAGTACATCTTAAAACAGCAAAAAACCCTAGAAAATCGTGTACCTACGACACTTAACAAGGCAACAACCAGAACAAAAGCCAGCAAACGAATGAATGTTTCCGGAGAGAAAAGCCCAAACGAAGAAATATAACAACCATAAATTAGTAAAACCAGTGAGCAATAAGCTCTAAACCAATCTCGGAAAACTTCAACGAGAGCTCATAAAAAGCCGGAGACTTAAACTTATGCAAGGAGGTGCAAACGCTTGATACTTCGAACGAAGAAGGAGAAGAATCGGCACCCAAAAGATCCACTACTATCCATCCCCGAAGACAAATTGGAGAATAACATCTCAAAACCAGCTTGACAAACTCCTGAGCCGGAGAAAGAAGACACAACAACCACCCCTTTAACAGCCGATTCAATAACCTAAGTAACTCAATGCGTCACTAGGGCAGAATGCAAAACGAATTTCTTAGGACAGTCACGTCCATCAAACCTGAGCACGGATTTTGTCCATTCTACACAACCTCGAAGCCCTCTTACACCTTGTCTCTTAAACGAAATCTCTGCGCACCAAATATCCGTTACCCATTTCTCTACATAACGGCAATGCTTCCACCAAACTGTCACTCTCCTTCCTCCGGAGTTTGCCACCGTGACAAGAAATGAATAAGGGGACAGTTTTTCAAGTCCCTCAACACTCCTCCACGTCAGATCTACGTATGCATCACGCCAACGTAGTTCACCACTGCAAAGATATATTTCGCACCACACGTTGGTCTCTGTCTCTACCAAGCAAATTTCTCTCTTCAAGCTGAGCTTCAAACCATTCGTCTCATAAACTCTTCCACCCATTACCAATCTACCTTGAACCACACTCTTTTGATTGGTAAGATCTAGGGTTGCGGGCGAAAATGGCTCCCAAGTTAGCGTTTGTGGGTCATAAACCTCTCCCCAATGCTCAACGTTTTTGTCCTTGCTGCAGCCTCCGATCACATAGATCTTACCGTCAATTACTTCCGCTGCTGGTCTGTCTCGAGGTACAATCATGTCAGGGAGGCTAAACCATTGATGAGATCGACAATCGAGGAATAACACTCTTCTGCTTCTTTCTTCATCTACTAATCCGCCGATCAGATACATCTTTGAGCCCATTGAAACGATGGTTGAGGTTTCTGGATGTTGATAAGGAAAGGAATCAAGGATTGGAAGCAACTTCTGCCGTTTGGGAATTGGTGCAAGTGTGAACCAGCGAGGATTAGGGTTGTTCTCATCACCCATCTCCAAGCAGACATAGAGGCAATCATCGACTATTCCCATTCGTAAGCGTGTTACCTCGAGCTCAGGGGAGGCGATGATTGATCGGAAACTCCTGGACACGAGAGATAAGGCTGGACGAAGGATTCTCGGGATACGAGCCAAACAATTGTCGACGATGTCGTGCGGTAATGACAAAAACGAAACCGGAGGAGGAGACTCTAATGATTTCTTCATCTCTTCCATGTTCATCATGATGCCTGTGGTCGGTGGATGATTTAATTTCTTTGAGGATCATCACGCTAGGGTTTCGTCTTTATAGAAAGAGTTAAACAGTGTGTTACGAGGATTCAGAACCCTTGAAGGCTTTAGGTCAGGGTTTTTCGTAAGAAATAAAAAATCATAAATCATAAATGAAAAAAAAAAGTACAAAAAGTCGGTTGTACTGCTCCTGCGTTAAGATTTTTTGTAGCTTTTGGGCTCAAATTCTCACGCGTGCAGTTTCAAGAGCCGAATCTCTCATGTTCTGACTCCTGACGCACCGTTACTTTTGTCGCCTAGTGGTCCGTGCACGTCAGAATTATTTTTTCTTACTCATCAATGTTCCGACATCGATTCGGTCGTCGCTTAGTCGTCCCTTTATCTGATCAAGTGAGACAAATCCGAAAAGCTATAGAAAGCTGCATCTTTCAGAACACTCCAAAGTCCAAACATGCTTGCCATTCCTTATTTACAGACATGAACTTTATGCCGTTTCTTTGGTTACAAACTAGAGTCATTTTTGTGATCTATACCAAAAAAATTGTGAGAAGGATAAAGTTAATGATAATCCATACAAATTTTAATACATGCATTTTGATAAGAATCAATCAATAAGATTTCTAGTAAAGAAAATTTACTGGTTTGAACTCGAACGACATCGTATTGAGGCGCTAAGTGGGGATCTTTCTAAATTCTAATAAACAATATGCCATATTTTACAAATTAAATTGGCTACCGATAAGTACATATGGAAAAGGGTTGATTATTTTGGTTGGTTGGATTGGGAATATATTTCGGTCTAATCTTCCCATCCACATCTTTCTTTTTGCAATTATTATCCTTCGTTATACTTGGATGGTATGTTATATACACTGAAGAAACTCATGTCAAAAAAGGAAAATCGAATTTAAATAGAAAACAAATTTTCTATTTTGTAATATGTCTCTCTTCCAAACCAAAATAATTCAGAAAAATACAAATAAAGTAAACGTCTATTTATTTATATACACAAGATAGTGACTAATGTCCCCATATTATAGAGATTAATAATTGGACCTCACACAGCCCAATCAGCCACAAACCTTCACAGAAAATAACAAAAAAACAGAGAGAAAACACTATGGAGGAGATTCGGCCGTCAACGTCACCGGTGACTCCGCTCCGCCGTAGAAATTCCATAGCCACGACAACGGCTGCGATCACCTCCGACATCCCTTTCGCGATCGATTCTTCGACGCCGACGTCGTTTGATTTTGAGCTCATCACCCTGAAACCGTCCTCCTTCGTAGCTTACACATCACTCAGAGACATCCTCTCATCTCCGAGTAGCTCCTCCTTCAACATACCGTCGATTAACGGACACGGTAGCAGCTCCACCGTCGGAGATATCTCAATTCGCAACCCTTTAGTTAAGCAAGCCGCTTGGTCTTATCTCCAGGCAACCGCGCTAACTTCATCGGAGGACTCTGCCGGCTCTCAATTCCTCCGCCGCATATGGCTCCACTTCTCCGCCGGAATTCAGTTCCTGCGACGCATGTTTGACTGGATTTTCCAGTCGATTCGGATTCCTTTTATTGCCAAATAGCTCATATCAATTTTCAAAATTGCATAATACTTGAACACAACTGTTTGTATACAATAAAAGTGTTGCAAGAATCAAAAGATATCCAAGGAAAGAGATTTTTTTTCGAATTCTTCAAAAACTGTTTTTTTCTTGTTCCGTCAAATTCCTTCCTTTAGGATTTTCTTCGACTAAACTAAAGTCATGAGAACTTAACAAACTGAGAGAAAAAAGAAAAACAAAAGGAACATAAACCTATAGGTCACAGCAAGTGGATTTGGCATTTGGAGGAACGCTCAGGAAGAGCAACAAGGTCTTGAGTGAGTTGCAACTTCTTGTCATCATCTACGTTAGCGTCAACTCCGACTTTCATCAGTTGAAGAAACTCCATCTCACACAAGAAACGTTTCACCTGTCTCAGTTCTCTAGCACTTCCTCTATACCCATGAATCTCCAGCAATTTCATCGCATTTCCATTGACGCTGACCTCGCGGCTCCTTCTTACACCGTTAAAGCCCTGAGGTGAAACAGAGAAGGCACATATTGTATGAGAAAAAGTTTATAACTGAGAGAAATTTGATTATATGCATGTATGTACCTTGATGATCAAATTCTCGAGCATTGGAGAGTTGTTGATAAGACTCCAAAGTACTTTCCAACCATTTTTGGATTTACTCTCGAAAGACAGACAAGCAAGGTTCTTAAACAGAGGAAATCCACCATTTTTAAGCCAATATACTAAGCAATCACACATGAGCTGCAACAAACATACACATACACACACACACACGCAGAAACAAACAAAGTGGTCATGATATATGAATGGAAACAGAAAAGGAAGCAACAGTAAGACAATGAAGAAGGAGAGACAAACCTCAACAGTAGAGGAAGTGAGGTGAAGGGTGTGAACATTGCATATCCAAGAAACGAACTTGGAAACATCTTCAGGGTCACACCGCCAATCATGTGCAAAAGCATCTTCAGGGTCACACCGGCGATCATGTGGAAGAGCGAGATCGATTCGGGCTTCTTCAAGGGAATCGACGAAGGCAGCGGCAGAGTAATCGTCACAGGAGTTAACATGGTCAGAGTAGTCTAGGTAAGTAAGCTTGGGTGTGCTGAATGTAACCACACGGTAGTCGTGATTCTGAAGATCCCGGTGAATCGTGAGTCTCTTGAGGGTTGGATGAACGATTTTGTAATATATGTCCCAGTATTTGGAATCAATCTCGGTGTGATGTATGCATAGCTCCTCCAGAACAGGGCAAGCAGACAGGAAATCTCCTAAATCATTATCGTCGAAGCAAATTGAATGGAGGGAGAGACTCTTTAGCACCGGAAGAAAAATTTCACCTGTAGAATCACAATCATTCTCTCTGTCTCCGATGAAGACCCGTGTCCCTAGTGTGAGCTTCACCAGTGTATCGCTTGTGAAGAGAGCTGGAAGAAGAGGCCAATGGTATGGCTCTAGTTTCTCTGGTTCGTCTGGGTCGGCAACAAAAGGTGATTCGGAGATCAAGCTCCGAGACGCCTTGTTCCAAGGCACTCGATATCCATCGGTTGGCGTGGTTTTCGATTTGGTCGAATCCATGTTCGACTTTCAAAGAGAGCTTTTTTATGGGACTGCGATGAATCGACAGAGTTGAATCGACGAAAGCCCTGAACCTCTCAATGCGGTTCTCTTTGGGATGGTGATAAAGTAAATCGGAGGCGTCGAATTGGAGATGGTGTTGAGAGGATGAGTGGCGAATCATCTCCGGGAAGAGATTCCGCCATCTCTTGGAGAGAATCGCTGTGGAAGCAGCTCGTTTAGTGGGGAGGAAGCACAAGATCTGGGTTAGTATCTCATCTGGAAGGGAGCTAATTGCATCTGCAGAGTAAGACTCTACCTTTTTCGCATCCATGATCGGACAATCGATACGACTGGGTTTGAAATCAAAAGAGGCTGATGAACCCCAGAAGAGAGACGAAGAAATTTTAATCTTTTCCAATTTGATTCCATCGCTGAATTCGATTTCCAGCTTAAAGCCTTAAACCCAAAATCTCCGGTTTAGCAAGCTGTAACCAACAATCTCGACGCCTAATTGAGTTGGTCAAACCCGGAACTAACTGGCTGGCGCGCTCAAGGACTCCATTGTCACGCGCGTGTCACGCCCTCGCGAATCCAAAAATATTTTTTAAGGGTGCCAATATATCAATTAAATGAGATTTAATTATGAATAATCAATTAAAAATGAAAATATGGTGTCATTCTAGAGTTTAGAACTTCGGTTTGGGGTGTCAATGACAAGAGTTTTGGGTTAGTCTTGTTTTTTGTATCTTTATTTGGGTTTTACAGTTCATAATTTACTCGAGCCAAAAATGAGTAGATGATAGTAATATAGTGCAACGTCCAACATGTGAAATTAACTGCATTCTATAACCTAAATATATACTATTATTCATCGCTTTATTCGTTTTCATGGTTGATGATTATACAAGAAATTAATAACAACAATTCAAGTTTAATTTTCTGATCACAGTATTGCTCCCGTATAAATTGATATGAAAGATGGCAGATACACTAATAAAGAGAAAGAAATATACTTCCTCTGTTTCAAATTAGTTGTCGTTTTGGCAAAATGTATCTACAAATATTTGGACGTATGTGGACATGTTTTGCATAGTAAATATATCCAAATAATTGCAGATATTTTTTCCCAAAACGACAACTAATTTGAAACGGAGGAAGTAGAAGATACAAAAGAAAATTATTGAAGCTTAAATGTGTACCTTTTTTTTTGCTAAAGAGCTTAAATATGTACTGCGCTCACCATAAAGAATAGCATCATAAGATTTCAACCACTCAAATTTAAATGCATTTATAGAAGCATTAACTAATAGGTAATTAAGCAATAAAACAACAAATTATAAAATTAAAACTATATATGCCATATATATACCCATTTCAAAGATTGGTTAAATCTCTCCATGGGAGTTTTTTTTGTGTGTGTGATGTTAGTGTCAAAGATGTCAAGGATCATCTTAAAGAAAAATACTTAGGCATATCAGGCAACATCCGGAAATTTCAATATAGTATACAACATACGTTCTGCATCTTTTACCACTTTGTGTGTTCATCATCAACTTTATGAATAACATGTTTAATATTATGGATAAGTGGATCTGGATACCTAATTTTAATTAGAGACTGTGACTAATACATAAAGCTCGTGTACACATATTTGTGTGGGCGAAGACTTTCGTACGTGGACTTTAGTGGACTGATCGTCGAGTTACATATCTAATTATATATTTGTAATTAATTAGATTGGATATGTATCTCTATCTTACGAGTCAGAGAGCTTATAACTAATTAAGCTTATTATGGACATTATCCTCTAAAGAAATTATCAGAAGACATGTTTGTCAAATTCAAAAGTAGGGATCGATTTTGCACGCTTTCTTTGAATTTGTGGACGTGCAACTGCATGCGAGAAATAAGTACATTTCTAATAGTTTTATGCCTAGTGTAGTTGTTGATCAGATACTCTCTTGGTCCTCAAATATCTTTGGTGGGCCTCTTATTTTCGAATGGGCCCACACCAAATCTACTTCTCCTCTCTGGCTCGCTCCCTCCGAACGCCAATCTATCCACTTGGCTTTTCGTCACTCACATGTCTCATCGTCATCATGTAATTCACATATACAAGTATGTCCGACATAATTATGATTATATGACATATTTGAGTAGAGTAGATGGAATTAGTAGTTTTAACAAAATTCGTTCACACAACGATTTTGTTACTCTTACGGTTTGATTGTTGTGTTCGAAAATGGGGAAACTTTTCTCTTCTATATAATAAAAGGAAACTTTTGATAGCAAAAATCTTCTCTTCGTTATGGACTTAGATGGAAAAATTTCCCCCTCTCACACTTTTTATCTAGTTAAGTGTAACTTTGTCCGACTTTTCTCTTCTATCATGGAAGAATTGTAAATTTTTGGACTGGGAAGGCGAAACCATAACGGTTTAACTACCTTTACGAATTATTTCTTCCCGAGCGTTAAAACTCTCTTAAGAGACGAAGAAGTCTCTACACTTTGGTTGATGTCAATTCCAATAACCTAAACGAAGTTAATACCATCTAACTAGTTTGGTTCTATGTGGGGTTATAAAATATACTCTATGAAGGTAGAATGTTAATCAAAGAATCGGCATTATTGAGAGAAAAGGAGAGGTAGGAAGTAGGAATTGAATAAGGGAACATGGAGCTTTGAAAGATGAGATTGCTAAAATTGGAAAGCGGCAACAGAAAGGTGGCATTTAGTGAATGATAAGAAGAGAAATGGAGTTCTTTAAAAGACATGGCAAGTAGTGTAATGACGAAGAAAGAAAAATAAAAATAACAAGAGAGGAAAAAATAAAATTCGTATAGCATCATCATGATCATGATAATAATTATTAGTATTTCTTTCTTTCTTTGAAGAGGTGAGCGAAAGAGAGCAATGAAGGTGGAATTAAATTCGTATTTATAATCTGACGTAACGCTCATTACAATTCTCAACTGTCTCAATTACTATTGCATTTATATTTTGGTTTTAATGATCTCTAAATCTTAACATTTTGAACAGCTGTTATCGGAAAAAAAAAATATAAATTGAAGCACCTTCTTCTGTTTTCTAATTTATTTTTATTTAAATGCTCTGAACTACTTTCCTCTTCGATTTTAACCAGTTTTCATCTTTTTCACTCTTCTTGTACTTCTTCGTCGGCAGATTCTTCTCTTTCAAAATATTTTACAATCTTACCACTCCTCTGTTTCACAATTAGAAGCACCCAATCTAACTATGTTTAGCCATCACTTCTTATTTCTTTTTGCCATTTTCAATCTCATGTTCTAGATTTGTCTGCTTTTGTCTTTAATCAAACCATGCAGTTGTTCAGGACAAAATCTTGTTATGGATTCTATAGAACAGGAAAGGAAAATTCAGTTTTTTAGGCCTATGATTAGGCTACAAAGTCTGAAAGACTTTTTGGATGAACAGAGATCTATCTCGAGTTAACATAATAATAATAAAAATAAAAAACAAAAACAGGGGAATTTCGGGTTTGTGTGTATGAGTTTGTGGGGTCAAAGTAACCATGTGGGACCAAAAAGGAGTTCTTGTCTGATTGCCAACCATTTCATTTTACCATTCTTTCTTTCTTTCTCTCTTCTGAGCTACTTTTTCAACAAGTACAAGGAATCTATATAGTTTTCTCTTCAGTTTTTTTTTTTTTTTTATCTGGGGATCAGGATCAAGCTACATCTTTCACAAGTCAATTTGATCTTCCTTTTCGTGATGTATAAGCAATCTCTCTGCCACGCTAAGAAAAGCATACTTTTACACACAAAACGTCTAATTCTCTTATACATCCGAAAACAGAGTATCACATTAAAACATATCCAAGAAACAGAGAATATCAGAAGATTTGAAAATTATGTCATCGATTTCCGTTGTATGAAATTTGATGGATAAGATGATCTATAAGAACTTGGGAGTAGAATATGAAGACAATGACACATGTTTTCACAATATATATAGAGAAATTCTTCTTCCATTAGAGAACTCAAATGGTAGAAAAATGTTAAAAGAAAGAAAAGAAAAGTTAGTGCTATTCGCGCTCCACCCTTTTGGTTTTGAAATTTCGTGAGTAGGGAAACCCTAATTTCATCTCCTACTTTCTTCTCCGGGTTTTGAAAAGTGGAGCGTGATTAGCACTACTCTCATAAACAACAACTACATTCGCAAGAAAAAGAAAAAAAAAAAGAGAAAAATAAATAAAATAAAACGTAACATAAAAAAAGACAGGATTTTCGGTTTTACTGGTCTTTTTCAGTTCCTCCGAGTCTTGCGACCAGAAGAAGCAGAAGAAGCAGCGGGTGGAGCGTTTGCGTTTGCGTTGGCGTTTGAGGCGTTTTCATGGAGGAAATCAAGAAGAACGGTGCTTTTGCATTTAGGGCATTTTGGGTCGTCTTCTGAGAGCATAACGTACATGAGACAGCGAGGACATCCGACAAGAACCATCGAGGTTGTCTCTGGACTTGTCGAGTATCTCACAGACGGCTCGTCCTGGTTCATCTCCGACGAGACGCACGAGCTAGGCGGTGACGTCGGTGAAGTCGTCGCAGAGCGGCTTGGAGATCGTACCATCCTCCTCTGGCTTGACGTAGGCGGAGAAAGATTCAGCTTCAGCTCCAGCTTTGGACTTCTTCGACTCATCTTCTGTGTTGAGTTGAATTAAAATTAGTTCAGATAACTAGAAACAAAAATAAAGCGAAAGTGAGTTTGGTCGGAGAAAAAATACCTTGAAACCTTCGGACTGAGAAGGAGAGTTTCTGTGATCTGAAAGACTTTTACTTAGATGAATCACAAAGAGTCTCTCTTCTAACTGGTGGTTGGATTGCTTCAGCTTAGGTCTTTATATACAAGAAAGAACACAGAGAAAATTAAAGGGAGAGAGATAGATTTTTCATTAAGGCTTAATTTAATTATGAGTGAGAGAGGGAGGGAGTGTGAGAGAGAGAGAATCATAAAGATTGAATTGAAGTATACTAGCTAGATTCATATCAGATGGTTAAATTTGCTTTAATTCTGCCTCAAGAGTATCGAATTTAATTACTTTTCAACTTTAAACCAGTAAATTTTTATCTTAGAAATCTATGTATTTATTAAATACACAAGGAAAATCTGTAGATATTTGCAGGAATCCAATTCATTGCTTAATAAATATAGGAGGAAAAGAACAAGAGAGGTGTTTAATGGCTAATACACAGAAATCAAATTAAATACTCAACAGACTACCATTATTTATTTTATTTTCTTTTCGTAGGAGTTAATATATGGAACCAAAAATTAAATGGCAACCAACTTGAATTAGATGTTTATAATAAAATTTGAAAAATTTCGGAAGTAAAAAATGTACAGTCAAAGAGATTTAATTGAAATTAAAGAAACGCAAACAAAATTAAATGGCAACACACCAGAATTGGTACAGAGAACCCAAATACAGGCAAATATATAAAGTGAACCACCTCCTGGCCTTAGTTTTATTAAACGTTTTATGAGAGGGGGACAAAAGAATAAATTTTTCAATTCCAAAACTGCCCATGAAAATTTTCTAGAATTTCAAATTTGCATTTCTAGTATATATTTGGCTTGTTGAAATTTTGGGGACAAGGAAAAATTTAGGATCAAGTATGAGAGTTGAGTGTAAGTAATAAACCCCATGAAGCATTTCAAGTGGGTCCAATGTTTGGTAGTCAAATTTCCTAGTTGTTTATGAATAACCAGATATGTGGGTGGATCTTAAGCTCTCAATTATGTCTATCTGTTAGACATCAAATCATTTGATTGATTATAGGAGTTTCACTATTCAACTACAATCTTAAGTCTAAACCAATAGTTTGGTGACAATTCTAGATCTCTTGAATAAATGTTGTGCTATTTATCGTCATATTACCATAACAGCGAACGAAGGCTACAAAAACAACCAATGCTTACCAAAATTTTAACTTTGGGACATGTTTCATCTTCAGAAAACACATTTTCGTATATGTATATTTTCATCCATTATAAATATATACAAGTTGGGGGAAAAATGCGATACAAGAATCTCAAGCGTGTGAGAGAAGCAGGAGAATGAATATGTGTTTAGGATTTGGGTGGGACCAATCCAAATTTTTGTAGTCTTAGCTTTACCTTCTTCCTCGTAAATATATTTTTCCTTTCTTTCTCTGGTCCCATTTTCTTATCTCTCTGTTTTGACCCGAAACAATCTGACTTTTAAGTGATGAAAAGAAGCTTCGAATTCGTTTCTTCCTAATAATAATAATAATAATAATAAATAAATAAAAATATACCAATGGCTACATCTGCAAACCGTTGTCGATCTCATATGAGTAAACCAGCGGTCTTAATCAATTTGCTGCTTTTCGGTTAAATAGAAATGAGTTTTTCAGAATATCACTGAAATCATATTTTTATTCTGAAATATCATCATCCTTAGTTTTATTTTTTTCAAAAATGCAATTAGCAAAGAAAACACAACGAGTGAGTGATTGTAAATTTGGAATACAAACTTATTGCCCCTTTTCAGAATACTACAACTCAAAGAAAATAAGCAAAGCGAGCATTAACAATTCGGCTCCTCTCAATAAATTGGGTACCCTTAATTACACCAATCAATGTGCAACTTGATATCACATGCCTCAAGATCATACTATCATTGTGAAGATCGTATCGTTCAACACAATGACAAGAAGAAGAAAAACACAATCTTCTTAACAATTTGCCTTCATCACATATAGTCCGCTGACGAATTATTAAATACGATGTATGATTTAGTTACGACTTACGACTAAGTAAGTATATAGAGTAACATAAAGTAATCGTACAGTTATCTTTGGTTGTAAATCTGTAAACTTTTGTCGCGAGCATTGAGACTTAGATCAAATTTCATCTACTATAGAATGCATAATTAGCATGGTGCATGTAAGAAGTATAATTGGTTTTGTTTTCGTGTTGTTTTGTCCAAATAGTCGTAAAGTAATAGTAAATGAAGGATGGTATCAAAGCCGAAGCGGATTAGTTTGTTCAACACGTTAATGATGGAAAATCGAAGATGTCAAAGCAAATTTAATCAGTTTTACATCCAGTTTAGGGAAAGATTGACGAAAATATGTCCTGACATGTCTGCTCAGAAAGATCAAATTGAAATATTTCTGCACTGAAGTAATGTTCGAAACTTATATCAATATTAAACAAACTTAAGGTGCTCAACTGGTCGAACCATTGAATTTTAGCATGTTTACTTAACCATCTCTCGTCGCCCATCTGATCACATAATGAGATCTTGTACGTTAGAAATCTGGATATTAAAAAAAATCGTAGTTGACTTTGTAGAGTTAATAGCATTCGTGTAAACGACGTGGGCACACTTACAAACACTAATGCTGACTCTCTCTTTTTTTTTTTTAATGAAGATGTTACTATTGCTGACTTTAGAGTTTAGTTAGTTATTCCTCGCGTCACACAACATGATATAAAAACCAACGTGATATGTTACTCAAACTAAAAATTATCTTCAATATTCACCTTTCACCACTTTACTCTACTTTATATACGAGTACCGATCAGCTCTAGATATCTTCCCTGTAATTATTCTGCAAATTTTAGTGCCACGGTGTATTCTTTATCAATTAGTTGGGTTAACTACATTTGGATTAAAAACGTATATTTGAATATGTTTGACTTGATTAAATGTGTTAAAATATCAAATTACATTAAGTTAGTCAGAAAAATGGACATCGATTGAAAGTCAAGAAATCAATTAAAAACTGACTTGCCCTGGTAATTAGGAAATCACAACTAAATATTTGTCACATGAAATTCATCCGAAGCTCAATATCATGTTACTCACCGGTTTATACTGAGAAGACAAACGTTGCTTGCTTATATAACGTAATTGCCATATAGTAGGATAAAATAAAATATCTTCAATATTCAACGAAACGCGAGTACTGTATATATTGAAGCTGAAGACCACCATATACTGTATATACATGATTCATGACAATTGATGCATATGGAAGTACATAAATAAAAACGATGCGTGGAAAATGGGTCAGCGAGGATCATAAAGATAGAAACGATAACAACGGATCTATTTCATGTGGTGTAAATAACCAAAACTCTTTAAAATAATTCAAAGTCAAAAAGATGTGATGAAGTGGAGATGAGTAATTACATGCTACTGTATATTACATACTACTGTATAACTGTTTTAGAAAACCCTTTAACAATTTGAATTCCGAGAGTAACACAGGCCTTTAAAATAATATTTTGATTTACATAGTAATAAATTATCCATCTAAGGTTTGTGATACGCGCCTAACCTCATTATATAGAGTTTTTCTTCTTAGAAATTACATATAAATTTCATCAGTTTTGGCTTCTTGTTTTTTTTATTTTTCTTGTGTCCTATATTTGCAGACTCTGGTCTTCCCATAAATGTCCAAGTTATTGAGTTTACCCATTAGTCCCACACCACACGTTGAGTGTAATGATAAAAAGAAATCAAAGGTGAGAGAGAGAGAGAGAGAGAGAGAGTAGAATTACATCCAAGATTCCAATAGCATTCATCTCAATGACATGCCTTAGCTAATACATACTTTGTTGTACCTTTTGATAAGGACCACTCTTCTTTGATTTCTCCTTCAAAGTACATAACTTTCAAGTCTATTGCTTAGAAACAGGGCTATGGTTTTAGATTGTCAACAACAAAAATCCGGATTTACGCTTGAACCCTACGGAGGGTTAGAGAGAGATCTTCAGTCTTCAGTTTGGGAACAATGATGCATGTAAGCTGACCAAAGAAACAATGAAAATCATATGGAAAATTTAGTTTTAATAAGCATGGCCCAGATAAATTAACTTAAAAAGCATGCGCCACATTCTGTCTTAATCACATCCAATTAGTTGGCACTTAATTTTGCCCATCCATATCTAATGCCTAAACCAATAGGTAAATTCCAAGATTCATCAACCATCACTTCACATAAGTTTCAATAGGAAAGAAATCAACCACATGTGGAACATGTGCTAGAGGCAAACAATTTACCTGTAAAAATGGACTAGACACCACTTAGTGGCAGCCGATCAAGCTCGGTTACTTGCTCTGTCAACTCAACCTGATTTTCATTTCTGCATTGCGTCAACTGCCTCCTTAGATCTTCAACCAGCTCATTAAGCTTCTGAATATTCTTCTCTTGAGAGAGAATTTTCTGCCACAAATAGATAGTCATATGAGCATTAAGATCATACTATCCTTTGGCAATTACATATGAAGTTAGCTATGCATCTTTGGACCCGAAACGAATGAGAAAAAACAAACCTTTTCATGCACAGATTCTTTGCCTTGTGGTAGATGTTGCTCTTTATCTGAAAGAACCAGAGGACGACTACTCTCAGCTTCACTCTCAAGTTGCTCCTTCCACTCGAACTGAGAAGTCACCACAATGAACATAAGAACAAACAAAAGCACCCACGATCTCGACATCTTCCAGATAGATAGTGATGCTCCTTATTTGATCCTGTACTTTCTTGGCTTTAGCCTCCTACATAACATACACCAAACACCACATCTCAAAATTACAAAACTAAGAACCGTTGGCAAAAAGGATCCAACAGTACTCAGTGAAGATTCCATCTACAAGAACCGTTGAAAAAGATGTAATTTTTCACATTCCAAACTCTCTGATTCTAGTGTGGATTTCTACTTCCATAGTTCCGAATGAATAATTAAATCCACAGCCAGTAGAGGAAAGAAGAACAATTCACAGCTCCAATTAAACATTAGAAACGAGCTAAGCTCTGCTAGTTTGGTAAAAAAATTTGTCGGAAACAAAGTCAAAACAGACCGGAGAAAAAGTAACACCACTAAAAAATTCAGAGCAAAACAGAGCTGTAGATTCGACAGAGAGCGAGGGAAACTCAATAACAAATACCAAATTGCAATTAAGGTTTATTTAACTGATTAGACTCACCAGTCGAAATCCGAAAGCATGAATCTATTTGCGCTCTTTGTCTTCCCCTTCTTTTGTTCTCTGAGTTAGTTTTTCAACGAATACATCTCACAACAAGAAGTCAAAACTTTTTGATATTTCACTCTGCTACTTCGAGATGGATCTGTTTTCAACGGATTAAAATTAAAGGCAATTCTCAAAAATACCATAAAATTAGTTTTTGTTCCAAAACCAGCACTGGTATTTTATTTTCCAAAATTACCACAAAGTTTAGTTTTCTCCAGAAAATACCACAAAAGAAGTTTATGGTATTTTTGGAAAATTAAAACTAGTTATGGTATATTTGGAAAACAAAACTAACTTTTAAGGGCATTTTAAGGTGTACTCTCTAAAACTAATGGGGTAAGTTAAGAATAATTATAGTAGAAGGGTGTGAAGTTGTAAATCTGAATAAGCAAAGATCAAATCAAATACATAGAAGAAGAGAACAGAGGCGAAACCTGCCGGAGAAGAGGGAGAGAACAAAAAACCGGCGAAAAATGGGAAATTCGAATTCGTCTTCCGTCAATCATCGCTTCACTTCTGCTTCCAGGTTTTTTATTCATCGGAACCATTCTCACCTCACTCTCTAATATCTCTTTCTTAATTGGAAAATCGAATCTTTTCAATTGCGTCTTTGTTTTTGTTGCAGAGCTTTTACTCAGAAGAAGCTCGACGATCTTAAAACTCTCTTCGCCTCTCTCGCTTCCCAATCGGAGAGCAATGGCCTCTACGTATCGTACCCTGTTTTCCAGGTTTCTTACTACCTTTTGTCTCCTTCTCATCGGGTTTCTGTGGTCAATAATTCGAATTAGCCTCACGAAATGTGTTGGATTCGAATTTTACAGGCATACTTTGGTCTGAGTGGTACTTTAGGGGAAAGGATGTTTGATATGGTCACTCAACACAGGAAAGACGGTAAATTGACTTATGAAGATCTTGTGATTGCTAAGGTATTATTCACTTGTCTTTACTGTAATCCAGAATCCAATTGGAATTTGATTTTTCTGGGTTTCGATTTGGCCTCTGCTTCGCCGAGAGATCACTGTGTTGATCATAACTCTTGTTGCGTTTCAGGCGACATACGAAAAAGGAACTGATGATGATATTGCTGAGTTTATTTACCAGACATTGGATGTAAATGGCAATGGCGTCTTGACAAGGTATCGCTGTTAGTGATCGATCGATGCTTATAGCTAGTTTCATTCTCAGATTAGATTGTTATTCCGTGAATGTGACAGTCTAGTATGTCTTCAGGTCAGATTTAGAGTCGGTGCTGGTGGTGATTCTCAAGAGTGTGTTCTCCACTGAGAGCTCCGATGCTGAATCGAGTGATTACAAGGAGATGGTGGATGCGCTCCTCAATGCCGCAGCTTTCTCAAAATCTGATGATGCTTCAGATAAAGGAATGTCTTTTGAGGATTTCAAAAGCTGGTGCTCACTCGTTCCAAGTATCAGAAAGTTCCTCGGAAGCTTGCTTATGCCCCCGGGTCCAGGTTATACTTTACTCTCTTCTCTCCTCTTCTCTTCTCTTACACATTTCTTGTAGACCAAATTTGTTTACCTTTTTTTTGCAATCTTGACTTTGCATAGCGAGACCTGGATATCAAGTCCCGCACCTGGTTTATGAGGATAGTGTTGATTCAAATATGCTTTTGTTGAAGAAAGAATACGCTTGGCATATCGGAGGAGCTCTTCCTCACCACGAGATTCAAGAGTGGAAACTGCTTTATCACAGCTCCTTGCACGGAGCCAGCTTTAACACATTCCTTGGTCACGTATCGTGAGTATCTTCAATTGTAAACTTAACATCTTCTACCTTCTTTGCAACTTTTTTGGTTCCTAATGCAATGATCTTGCAGAAACACTGGCATGTCGTCGTCGGTGTTGATCGTCAAAGACACACAAGGCTGTGTGTATGGAGGATACGCTTCTCAGCCTTGGGAGAGGTACAGCGATTTCTACGGAGACATGAAGTCTTTTCTTTTCCAGCTACACCCTAACGCATCCATTTTCCGACCTACCGGAGCTAACACCAACATTCAATGGGTATGCCTCTCTACAAACACACTCTAATGCTACTATACGTGAGAGTGCGCTTAACTGATATCAATCAACATGTGCAGTGTGCTACTAATTTCACATCGGAGAACATTCCAAACGGCATAGGGTTCGGAGGAAAGATCAATCATATGGGTCTGTTTATATCCGCAAGCTTCGATCAAGGCCACACGTTTTCCTGCACCACATTTGGTAGCCCGAGTCTCTCCAAGACGAGCAGGATTCAGCCAGAAGTGATTGAATGTTGGGGAATCGTTCAGGCCAACGAAACAGACACTCAGCAAAACGCCATCAAAGGTACTGTTCTTGACAGGTTTAAGGAAGATCGTAACATGCTCCAGCTACTAGGCATGGCAAGCAGTTCGAATGAGTGAAATGAACATTCTGAGATTCAATCTTTCATAATACATTGAATACTCGTGTGCGTGTGAAAATACATTATGTATCATAACAGAGTTTTGTATATTTCATCGTTCCAATGTGTAGAATCATGATCCAATCAGCTATTAATCTACCAATTTTGGGATGAGTTCACTAAACTAAGCATCAAGAACAATAAAAATGTAAGAGATTCAACGATTGCAGAATATGGTATAGAAATTTTATCCAGATAATAAGTGTCATTAAAGCTTATAGAGAGCATTCATAGCTTAAAACGATTCAGCAAAAATAAAAAGGCACAAACAAAAATTTGCAGATAATAAGACTATAAAAAAAGACCCACATTGGAGAGACGAGAATCGATTCTCTAGAACTTCTTTCCACGGCCAAATCCGAAGGCGGGAATCGGAGCGGCGGGTTCGACCTTGACGATACCTTGCAACTCAGACATTCCCAAGGAGGCAAGCATTTCGAGCGTCTCTTTGTCGACGGCGATGTGATCGGTTTTAATGGCGGATTCGTCGGGGACGAAGTCCATGCGGCGCTCACGCTCTTCCTCCTGAAGCTTGAGGGAGATTCCGCGGACGGGTCCCTTCTGGATCCTCTTCATGAGATGGGTGGAGAATCCGGCGATCTTGTTGCGGAGCCTCTTCGACGGGATGATTGCGACCTCTTCCAGAATCTTCTTGTTGGTGTGGAAATCGAGCGTCATGCGCGAGTAGTATTTCTCGATCACCTGACGTGAGGATTTCTTCACCGTCTTCGTGCGGACGCGACCCATTTTTGCCTCTGATTTGGGGGATTGCGAAACTTCACTGAGTCTCTCTCTCTACTGCTGCTTCTGTACCGGCCGAGATTAGGGTTAGGGTTTTATTCTGTGGATCAGAAAGTAGTAATCACTTTAGAAACACCAGTAACAGTAATGAAGCCCAATCTTAAAGCGCAGAGCCCGTGTGTTTGTATATTCTGGAAAGGGCCCATTAAGTGTTTGAATATGCTGCAGGTGGCCCATTAAGTGTTTGAAGAAGATTCTGGAAAAAAGACAGGCATATATTTCATATTTGTCGTGCGTACTTTGCAAGTCGATTCAATAGTTACGGATGTCTCCTAAATCTAAATGTGTGATACATGTATACTCTTTTTTTTTTTTCACTGAAAATGGGGATTCATATAAAGCTCAAAAGAGAGCAAGGGTTTCAAGGAACAAAACAGAGCACTGGATAAACCAAGTCTCTAGACCAAAGAAATTAAAAGAAAACAATAACCGGTAGAGCAACCAAACGAGCTCACCGTGAAAACACAGGCCAAAGACCAAAAACATCTCACAAGGGAAAAGGATGTCACTTCCTTAGTCTCCACGCAAAGGTTTCTCTTTCTCAAATACTGCCTCCATCCACTTGGGTGCTCCTTGAGCTACATAGGATCGCCTTCTATTTTTCATGATCACACTCTTAGCTATCTTAGATGCTCCGAAGTTTGCTCTTGGCTCCTCGTATGACATATCCCAGCCGACCTTGTCTGTTGTAAAGCTTAATAGACCTGCAATATGACCAGTGAGGGACGGCCAAAGCTGGGGTTCATATAAAGCGTTTATAAACTCCATCGTTGATGCCGCAAACGTAACATGTTGATACCGTAGGTCCTGCATCCCTTGTAGAGCCCATTCCCAACTTAGCACTTTGGCATCAAAACACGATCCCACCTGTGTAAAGGCCCTTCTACTGTGACAAATGACTGAACCCGAGGCATCACGGAGCACCCACGAAGCTCCCGCGATGTATGTTCTCTTAGTCCACGCAAAACCGATATTGCACTTGAACCTCCCGACCTCCGGTGGTACCCACTGATGTTTCGCCTCAACCGTCTTCTCTTTCATCCTCTCTGTCCGATGTTGGGCCACGGACCACTGTCGTGCATCGTCATATGCTTTTGCCACCACTTCATTGGGTAGAAACATTTTGCCCTCGAACAGCTTTACATTCCTGTTCTTCCACAAGACCCATAGTATCCAGGGTCCAACAGCTCGGATTTCTTCAGGGATAGCCTCCCGTTTACCAATCTCTGTTAAGTATGATATATTTTGGAAAACAGAGCCACAGAAACCACCTTGCGGCGAGGGGACATTGGACAGGGCCCAGACTTGGCGCGCTTGTGGGCACTCAAAGAGAATGTGATTGATTTCCTCTGTTTCTGCCGAACAAAAAGAACACCCCGAATTGCAGTGAATTCCTCTCGTCTTCAGTCTCTCGGTGACAGCCAGCGATCCCGTAAGTGCCTTCCACAGGAAAACTCTGATCTTAGGAGTGGTCTTAATCTTCCAGCACTTCTCGATAACCGGATTAACCGATGGTTGCATCTCTGCTTGTAAAAACAAGGAGTTGTGTTTCTTGCGACTCATCATCTCGTATCGGTTTTGACAGAGTAGATTCCATTCCTTGTATGTGCCCATAAGAATGAATCTTGTCTTGTTGGGAGGGGTTTATGTCTGCATATCCTCGTGATATCTTCCTCGGTGAATAAATCTCTTAAGATCTGCATATCCCACCGTGTTCCAGAGTTATCCATAATATAAGGAAAACAAATAATATAAGGAAAACCAACCATGGGATCGGAAATAAACGTAGTAAAAAGAAAATGGAACAGAAGGTGTATGAGGCAAAGAGTGTGCCTTTGTACGTTGTAGTAGTTTGTAAATTTGTTCTCATGTCCCACATCGATCAGAATCAACCCTCACACTCACTCCTTTCAACTCCAAGATTTTAATTCGTTTTTACATAAAATGAACTATATATTTTCATACGATTTCTACTATTTTGGTATGTACTATCACTTTTACCCTGTCGACATACCCTCTAGTACGTATCCCCAAATTGAGCAAAGTGTAAAAGTAACCACTGCAAGTTACTCATTTACATTAGCTAGGTAAGCAATATACTCGAGAGGGCATATTTTACAATAACATTTCTTTAAATTGGTTCACTTTATAATTTTTTTTGTTACTACTGATTAGGTGGGTAATATGATCTGTTTCCAGATATTGGAATTTGTTGCCATCTAAATTTCACAAATTCTGAAAGATGAATTTGAAAATTAATATTGTTGGGTCTAGCTAACTGTTAAGTCTAAGATATCGGCTGCATAAAACCTTTAGTGTGTGGAACAGTACAGATCATTGTTTATTATATTGTATATATATATATCAGTTATGAAATTAAAGGAGAAGGTGTGGTCCACTCCCTTCTCCATGCCAGTTTTGCTTAGAATTTAGTAACTACAGCAAGTGTCTTTGGTCCCCTGCTTAGGAGATATCAATATCTTACTAATATTACAAGATATATGTACATATAGGGTTAATATTATTTTTGAATCATTATTACTCTACATATTATCTTCAGATACCCGAGGAAGTTGTAGTCAAGTCAAGTGGCTTAGTCTTTGTGAATATCTCTCGAACCACCACCATTTGAGATCGATCCTTCCTTCCTCTAAGTGGGATAATAGATGAGAACCATATATGCCCAGACAACAAAGTTATACATCTATTATCTTCAGATATTATACTCTCAACATCTAATCGTATGTAGTGAAGTTCTTTTATTCGTGCCCTCTGGCAATATAATTATTATTTTTGGATAAAATTTGAAAGTTTAGTACTTCTTCAAAGTTTTCTTTAATGAAAGATTTGGCTCACCGAGTCCCAAAAGCAATTTACTCCATTAGATCTAAGCACTGCGTAGACACACCTTCGATGCCTTTATTTTTTCTTTTAATTTTAATACTCTAATGCAAACTTTTGGTAAGCAGAGCTGGTGCGTTTTCAGATAAGTTTGCAATGCATATTCCCATAGTCCCATCCTTATTCCAACGTATATTTATGTTCCAGCATATCTAGTAGACTAGTACATGTTGTTTTCTATAACTACACCATAAATTGACACTTGCAAAACTTCGTCAAAACCTAAGAAAATAGAATCTTAAAATGCACATATTAATTAATTAATTACCTCGATTCCTGTCGACGTACCTATAACCTATTTGTATAATGTAAGATATACACTATTGGTTTCAACTTGAATGAGGTTAATTAACAAGTGAATCAGGTATTATAATTTTATAGTATACTCACTCATTACGAAAACACGAATAACTGAAGGGGAACAATTTTGTGGACAAAAGTATAAAGAGATGGTGCTATTTTACTAGGGAATTGAGAAAACTTCATTGATAAGAATATTAAGAATAGAAAATAGCAACTCACCCGAAGCTCAGTGAAGCTTCTCGCACCACTTTCCAAAAATAACAAAGGAAGGTTGTCGTTTAGGGACATTTAAATAAACAAACTTGCAGATTATAGACACCCTCCACGATTTACATTGCAGATTTCTCTCGGATGGATCATAATATAATGCATTGTGTGTGTAAAGTTTGCCTAAATAATATAATAACATGTATATGTGTGTGTGCGTACAATTTGCTCATATGATAATATATGCGACTACAACTCACGTACCACCAAGAAAATTTATTGCTTGAAATCTCTTTATATAGCAGTGATTGTGTATATTATGCTTATTTATATAGGGTTTATTACAAGCATGCACTATGATTATCCAAAATGAAACTTGAAAATTCAAGAGTTTATTGTTTAGAGAAAACATAACTTTTGTGAAGCTTTATACATTTTTAGTTTTTTTGCTTGTTTTATCATTCATGGAACTCTAATAGATAAGATTATATCCCTTCGTTTCTGTTTCAAATTGCATAGGATTTAAAGGCCAGAAATATTAAACCATATAGCAAAAAAAAAGAGAGAGAGAAAGAGAGACAAAGTACATACAAGAGCCAACAACCTCTACTATCATTGGAGAGCAAATGACATTAACATGTGCAATACTATTACTTAATGAAAATTTTAAATGATTTTCTTTTACATGGAGATTTAAAATTACTTATAGAAAAGGACATAAATAAGATAACAAACTGAATTGAAATTGATGCAGACGTACATGCAAAAAGGTGCCTCGAAATCGACCTGGAAATGATGTCACACTTTTGTCCATTACTCAAATTTTTTATGCAACACTAATTTAGTCATTATTTGCAGAAGAAAATTGTCGTAAACAGATTCTGAAACTATGTTCCATACATAATTACAACCTGGCGAAGAAAATACCAAAATGATTTTGTCATCTCAAAACGATCATCCGTACTTAAGTAGCATCAATATATAGCATTGTATGCCATATATACATATATCTCATACACAGTACATACTTTTTACGGAAAAATAAAAGTAAACAAATTTAAGGGTTTAATTGTCATATAAAATACGAACACATAGAATTTTGTGTAATATAAAGGGGAAAAAATAATAACTTAGTTAATTTATAAGCCAAAAAGACTATGTAACTTTATTTAAGTGGTTTGAAAATTACAACAACGACAGAGATCTGAGTGTGGGGAGAGGATTGAAACACGAAAAGAGGAGGGAAATGATCCAATGGGACAAATCTTATCGCATATTTGTTGTTTTCTTGTTATAATTGTATTGGAAATAAAAAGCCCAAACTTTCTATTTATATTTTATCATTTGCTATTTTTATGAGTTTATATATATGTAAAGAATATTTTGATGGTCCTCTTTACTTGAAGCGCAGCTAGCCCACACTGTCAGCAATAAAAGCTTGATAAAAAGAATCAAATACAAAGAATAGAGACACGTTGACATAGATTTTTATTTGGTACTATAGTTCTCTTTTTGCTAAAACTCCAAAGGCAAACGGATAAAATGTGAGTCGTCAAAGGATATCTGTGTGAATGTTTTTGAAATCCATAATTATATTTAGTAGCCTTCAGATGAGATTAAGAACAAAATAAACGTCTAAACATCAATAATGGTGTCAATCAAGCACGTGACATATATTTCATAATTTGAAAATGATAAGATTTTACTATAAAAGAAAATAAAAATGGAAAAAAAGTCGTCAAATAAAACCAGAATAAAACAGAAGAGGACCACGTAGGTGCCCATTTGCACGTCTCTTGGATTTTCCAGGTAGCCCTCATGGTTAAGATTTGGGTCCAAATTCAATTTTCACTCTCTAGAAAACGATTAAAAAGGGTTAAATACGCATACGACTAAAAACAGCTCAATTTGGATATCAGAGTTTTGTTTCTCACATTGACAGTCATCCTTTCTTCTTCTTTCATTATTTTTTATCAAATATAATTGTACAAGGAAACTTACATACTCAATAGATTCATTTTTGTTTTCTTATTCTCTTAAAAATCTAAATATAAGATTCCGCTGTAGGTAAAACATTCGTGTACTATGTATGTGACAATTCAAACAACACAATCTAAAGCTATATAGCTAGCAAGCAACTAAATCCTAAAACCATCATTTTCGCAACACAGAAAAAGGGTGTCGTAATTGTTCTATAAATGTCAAATTTTCTATCCTTTTCGGCTTTTCTCGAAAGAAAAGGTGAATTTTTTATTATATACAGTATGAGACTTCAGACCAAATTTTTATAAATATATAAAAACTAGCATAATTGGTTTTCTTGAAAACTAAATTGAGCTGATGATGACATATATAAAGTTTTATCTATCCTGGCAACTCAATTTTCGACCAACATAAAAAAGATGTTACAAAAATGAACCTAAAGTAGTCGAATCTCCGGGGAATAAAAATGAAAAGATAATGTGAAAAGGGAAGAAACTGAGAGAAGAATTGAAGAAGATTGCATGGAATGGTGTGTGGGAAAGGCAAAGGCACATGCTCCACAAGTTGCGTGAGGGGTAAGTATCTCTTGTGCCCTCTTTACTCTTCGGGTGAAAATTTCATCACGCTCTCTCAGCCGTTGGATCTCTTACTTCCTTCATCATGCTTCCGTCATCCTCTTCGGTCCTACGCCATCTTATATTTCTCTCTCTTTTTTTTCCATCATCTAATAAATCAGTAATACTCCATTATTTATGGATTTCGTATTTAACGGTCATGTTGGGTTCCTAAACTATAACTTACGACTTTGAATCGTTTTTTCCGAAATAGGTAATGCAGAGTTTAATGTACTAATGTACCTGTGTGTCAACTATGACGAAACTAATACATAGATAAACATAGACTACATTACTTTTTTTTTCAAAAATACAAAGTTATGTGTTTGATTTTTTTTTTCCTTTTCAATAATGAGTGGAGAACTGGAGATTGGTTTTATTTTCTTCCAAAACTATGTCAGGCTGAATATATTTTAATCAGTATTATTAATAAATGTTGGAATTTTTATATTTAAAATACTGGTTTGTACGCAGGGGTTAGGTTAGATGGGTAGTATAAATATATGTAGCAACGTTAAATATGAATATATAACTATTTAAAATATCGTTTTTTCACAAGTGAACTCAAGATCAAACATGCTCGTCCTAATTCAGTAGTTTTTATAATAGTCTGCAGCTACGCTACTAGTGTTTTACTCCTATATATCTCTTAGACCATCAAATTGTTTTTCATTTTTATCTGCATAAGATAGACCTAGCTAGTAAACAAATCTAGTATGCGTGACGTAGAGAAAAGAAAAAACAAATATACCTTAGTTAGTGTACTCGGATCAAATAAAAATGATTCGTATCTTTAAATCATTGTGAAGTTTAAGAATATGAATTAGTCAATAAGATTGAATTGTAGTCTAGCTAATCAAAGACTATTGGTTTTGAAACTAGTAACATAACTTATGAGAATGTTAGAAAGTTCGAATTAAAACAACTTTTTGAAAACTTTAACCTAACACTGATGGTGAATGCTAACGCGCGTTAGTATCGACCATCGAACATATATATAAATATACGCATCATCTATCACAAAGTTGACTGTGAATTACGTCTAGCCTTTACTGTCAATTAATTGCGTCAAAACAACAAGGACCATATCTTTGTTTTTCTTCTTTTGGTAACATTTCGAGAAGCACGCAAAGAACATAATATATTTTTGTTTTCAGGATGTTATCAACAAGTGACATCATAGAATTTTGACCATTTTACTCTTTTTTGTCTTTCGAACAATTGCATTTTCTTTTCAAATGGTCAGGTCATTCTAACTCTAAATGGGTTGATTCTTTGGGTTTTCGTGTAGCCTAACTTTTTCTTCTTTTCAAAACAAACCTTTTAGTTCTTTCTTGTCTAGATCCTTCCTAATCACCAGCCTCACCTGAGAATTACTTTCCATATCCCCTGAAAAATTGTACATAATTAAAATATCCTATTAATAAAAAATTCAAAATTTCATACTAAGAATCACCGATATACTATACTTCAAGCTGTGGAATCCAATGTGTTTTGAGAATAATTACCGAACGAGAAATCGTATAGTATACTGTGATATATATATGTGTGCGTGTGTATATGTAGACAAATAGAACAATAAAAATAAGGAAATACGGACTGCAAGAAGTAGAAAAAAAGTAATAATGATGGAAAAAGATAAAACATCACGCAAAACCTTAAAAGAAAGTCGTCTGGTTGTCGTGTGTTGCTCTCTCCTCAAATAGTTTGCCAAAGTTTTCACGTCATTTTTTCACATCTCAATAAAAATTTATACTCTCTCTTCTCTCTACTCTCTCTCCTTCGTATCATACTATATTAGTACTACGAGTACCCACCTCTCTCTTTCACCTAACCTTCTCTCTCTCTCTCTCGCTTTCTATCTCCCAAAGAAAAATGTCAGTCAACCATTACTCCTCAGACCACCACCACACTCTCCTGTGGCAGCACCGCCACACAACCGACACTCCTCCTCCGGAGATACCCACCACAGCCGCCACGTGGCTCAACGACGACCAGAAAGAGTCTCTCTTCGAGAAATCTCTCACACCAAGCGACGTCGGCAAACTCAACCGCCTGGTCATACCAAAACAGCACGCAGAGAAATACTTCCCTCTCAATGCCGTCATCTCCTCTGCTGCTGCTGACACGTCATCGTCGTCTTCGGAGAAAGGGATGCTTCTAAGCTTCGAAGACGAGTCAGGCAAGTGTTGGAGGTTCAGATACTCTTACTGGAACAGCAGCCAAAGCTACGTGTTGACTAAAGGATGGAGCAGATTCGTCAAAGACAAAAATCTCGACCCAGGCGACGTCGTTTTCTTTCAGCGCCAACGTTCTGATTCCCGGAGACTCTTCATTGGCTGGCGCAGACGCGGCCAAGGCTCCTCCTCCGCCGTGAATACCAATACGACGTCGTATGCTACCTCTATGGCAGCTCCTCCTTATCTTCAACTACACGCTTCTAGTAACTACTCTATTCCTCCTTCTCACTCAGAGTATTCCCACTATGGTATGTTATATTATTTCTCTTTTTTTTCTTCAAATTATTTGCTCGTTATGAAATATCTACAAGTAAAATTAGTTTCAAATCTTTTTTTTCCAACTTTTAATTTTTCTATAATTTCTTTAGTCGTGTTCAAGAGTATCGACTATTTAATGTTGTCGGGAGGATTAAAACATTAAACACCCATTATTTTTTAATAGTGTATGATCATTATAAAAAAAATATAGTGTATGATAATTTATAAATTTTTACAAGATATACTGCCTGTTACGTGCGTATTATTACAACCTGAGATGAGTAACATTCGATTATACAGCTATGAATTTTTTGTTTTTTCTCTATAATAAAAAAAAGACCCCGACAATGGAGTATTACTTAATTTCTCCGAGCTGTAATTAACATAGCTACACGCGCATTTGAAAGCGCGTGAAGATAACCGTCCAATCCACTGGGACAAACGTGCTTTTTGTTCATTTGTGTACTTTTTTTTGTTTTTGTTTCTACTTCAATTAATTAAAGACGCGCACGTGTCGTGATTGCAGGCGCCGCCGTAGCAACAGCGGCGGAGACCCACTCCATACCGTCGTCTTCCGTCGTCACCGGGAGCTCGAGGACGCTGAGACTTTTCGGTGTGGATTTAGAGTGTCAAATGGATGAAGACGACGGAGATGATTCCGTTACTGCCGTCGCTGCCGTTGAGTCACCGTGTCCCGACGATTATTACGGCCAAAACATGCACTACTACTACACTCCTCATCCTCACAACATGGTAATTTGACTATTTTAACCTTTCAAAAGTTGTTATATCTGATTCAATTTTGGTACGGTGCATTACATCATCATCGTATATTATATGGTTTTTAAGATACATGATTTGGAGAAAAAAGATGGGTGACGCTGTTTCTCGAGATGAGACAGTTGAAACTATAATTTAATAAACGAGATTGATTAGGAGAGATTTTTTGTTAATTAAGTAATGTAACGAAGAGGAATCAGGAATCTGTTAGAAACTATAGACTTTTGAGCAGTCGCACATGGCCACTTTGTTAGTGACTTTAACCTGCTTTGATTTGTTTTATTTTTCTGAGCCCACTTTCAGTCTTTTTTAGTATCACATAATTAATTCATTAATCTAGTTATAAAGTATATGTATGTTGGTGTCCGAAATCACTGTTGCTTTGTTTATTTTTTTACTGGCGCCGCAATGTTATTCTAGCAATGGCTAAAGAAAATAAAATAAGAGCATGAATAAGGAAATGTGTACCAGTTTGATGTTTTCTATAATCCAGATTGAGATTGGATATATATATTTATGAGTTATGAATGAATGTTAATATTTTCTGGAAAAATAAATAAATGCAACAGAATATAGCTTTCACGGGGGATACGATGAAGCAGGTTGGAGATAGACGAGGATGAGAGATCCAAAGAAGTGACAACGTTTTCAGAATTGACTTAAAGCTCTCGTGGGCCCAGACTTTGCGCATTCTCTATAGCCACACAGAAGCCAATTTTCTGGAATTTGTATGCAATTTTAATAAATATCTCATTCTAGTTTCCGTACTGTATGTAACTAATTTGGAAAACAAAATAATAAAATCGCTGAATTCAAGGAAGAGTCTTTATCTCTACTTCAAAACTCAAAAGTCAGAGAAGATAAAAAAATGGAATATCAAAATACATCTCTACATCTCATGAAGAGTGATGGTGATGATGATGATGATGATGATGATGATGATGATGCAAGTATTCGCACACATGCATCATGATGTATAGTTGTACTTGTCTGATGTAATCTTTTACTTTTGGTGAAAGATGAAAGGGGAAACTGATGAGATTATTATAGAAACAAAAGTGGGGCCAACCAAATGATGTTCATGGTTGTGGAGTTTTACTATATAGCTATGTTTTTACCTTTTTACTCTAGCTTCTCACGGTTATTTTTGTTGGTGAAAACTAGCGATTTTCGGAGATTAAACAGAAGATGTAAAGCTTCAAGCTTAGATTAATTCATATATTAACTAAAGATCTGATCAATCATGTCACATTTATATGAATTTGTTTTATCCTTTAACTGGAAGCAGTACATGAATAGACATGTATGAAATGTATTTTAGCACTGAGAGTTTCTACAATATTTGGACAAAAAGAGAAAGAAAATAAACTGAGAGAGTCCTACAAGAGCCTGCTTTTAAACTTTCATGTACTAAGGTCAGACGAACAGTGAATAATCTGTTGAAAGCGATTGTCTGTTCATGTACTGCTTCTTTTAGTGCTCTTCAACATATATATATATATATATATAAAAAATCAATCATTGGATCAGTTATCCACCTTCCATGTGCTTCCAAATTGAGATTGTGCTATATATGATCCCTTTAATTAAACACATACATTGTTTCTTCATCATTTTTATCTCTCATAGTCTCATTAAACATGGGTTTACAGCCTTAATCTCATGGTTTTTTCATCTTACCAGCTTTCTGATACAATTACTGCAATAAGATCCACTTAAAGACCTAAACCAACCTAATACCAAGGAATTGTTCGAGAGAATCCCCAGCACTCGAATCCCACTTTTACTAGATGAATAGGCTTGATTCTCTCATGTCTTAGTCTTATCTATTTCTTCTACAAACCAGACAAGGGACTCTAAGCCTAATCCCAAGGCTGCTTTAGCTTAAGAGAATCTAGGTAGTGAGGTAGCTATAGCTTGCTTATGACTTATGAGCAAGAGAAAAATAGAATTTTCATCTCTACAATAATATCAGTGGAAGCTTTGTCAAAAAAGAAGCTATCGAAACTATCTGTGTATGTCACCAAAGGAGTAAAGCTAAGTCTTGATTAGACAGAAAGTAGCCATAACAGAGATGGAAACCATACAGACTTACAAGGACCACTCACTATCTACAAATGCTCGGCTTGTTTGAGCACATGTTGTTCCATCTTTGAGTGCAGTAACAAGTGCTAATCTTCAAGGCAGACGCATTTGTTGACTTGACACCATAGGTTCATAATCAACAGGTAATGGCAAATATGTTCCAAGCTATTGTACTTCGTTTCTAATCTTCCACAGGTGATTCTCTAAGGGCCCCATGGTGGAGATTCAGGAAAGATACTTACTTGTTTGACTTGAAGGCTAACTGATCTCCGCCCAAATGGTTTTAGTGGCTCTGCAAGTGGGAGAGGGACCCTCTCCCATGTGCCATTATCACTAGTCTTTGAAGCTTTTGGCTATAGTTAAGATGCTCCTGCATTAAGGGCTCGTCCTGCAGATAAAGTTTTGATCATAACAACAAGACTTCAAGTACAGTTATGAATCGACTCCTCAACTTTTCCCCTGAAATCTATCTGATATCTATGCTTTTAAACGACTTCTAGGGACCAGCCAACTTTTTCTGTAACAGCATCATGTAAGACTATTACAGATAGCATTGATTTTTATCCACTAACAATGCATTGGTTAAGGTCAAAAGGGGGAAAAAAAAGTCTGTATAGGAGGCATAACAAAATAGATCAACAATCTTACATGGAAGAGTTGTGAAAGATGGAACTCAGATCTATGAAGAACATTTCCAAGATAAATATTTTTGTCTTCTAGGAGTTGTTTCACAAGTAGGCTACAGTGTGCGTAAAAGACTAGATAATAGATGTAAATCTCTAGATTCTAGTGGCACAAACTCGCATTCACATAAACTAGTCCTGCTTTTGGAGCTAACTAAGAGTCAGGTAGTCTTTTTAGAGTGGTCAGATTCATCTTTAGGGAGTTGAGACTCTTCTTTACTCTGCAAAACTTGCTGCACACCCTCATGGTAACCTTTAATAAAGCTTGAAAGAGCATCTTTATATTGAGAAGCTCGTGTCATGTACACCCGATGTAAAGCAGGCCGTAAAGTCTCCATGCCACCTTTTGCAGCCACCGCTGTATAGAATGATAAACAAAAGGAGAACTCAATACTTGTAATATGCATTACTAATAGTCAGAGACAATCAAAGTAGGCAATATCTTAACAACAGCTCTTACCAAGATCTTCCATAACAGAGGGCTCATTGTCTGTCTCTTGGGCTTGTTTTTTAGGCTCAGCATCACCTTGCTTCTTGTAATCATTTGGACGAAGCTCAGGACCTATATCTCGCACCCAGCTCGCAGCATAAAGCCTTGAAGCTTCCTTCAACACCTAAGTCCCAAACAACAAAGATTTCACATAAGATTAGTTTCATATAGAGGAGAAAGCTCCGATTACTCTGAGTTTATTTAGAAGTGTTCATCTAGGAATTACAGAAAAGGACGATCCTTTTTGCTCAAACAAGAGAAAAACCTCACATTTGTTTTCCCCACAATATACATAATAGAATCAACCGTTTCCAAATTGTATACCACCTCGAAAATCGGCTGATCAAATGAGTAATTGAAGGATTCAATTCAGTCTAAATCGGAAGAAAAACCAAAACAGAGCTCGACAAAATGCGAAATTTTTTTTTGTTTCTATCCACAGACACTAAATTTTGAATACACAGACACTAAATTTTTGGGAATTTCAAAGGAAAAGAGGAAAGAGAGTGTGGGAATCTCACTAGAAATCGCTCGTGCCAAGTCAATTTGCGGCGTTTTACGACGTGGGGAGGATCGGGAAGTGATGAAGGTAAGACGATTTCTTTGAGATCATGACGGATGTAATCGGAGACCTTACGATACACAACCTTCAGCTTCATCTTCACTTTCTTCCCGGAGAAGAGAAGAAGTCGTTCACAGTCGCCGATCGCGGCTCACTACTCTCTACTCACCGGCCTACTTGAGAGAGTTTGGTTTAGGTTTCGGTTCAGTCTGGTAATGATTTGCATTTTCGGTTTAGTCAATGTATTAGAGATGGTATTTTTGGAATAAAAACTTATTTTGTGGTGTTTTTAAGAATCGCCCTATTAATATCAACCAATATTATTGCAAAATAAAATTAGACTATAACTATAGACTTGAACGACCATTAGATTTGGATTTTTTTTATGTTTTCTTCAAATCATTGTCTCTACCAAATAAATGAGTACCAAACTAATAGTGTATTTGTAGTCCGTTATGATGAGATGATGAAATGTAATACATGTACACACACGCTTAGAACAAAAGGTTGTACCAGCTTGATGACACGTTTTCGACGACAGGTTCGACAAACTAAGCGATTTTACAAGGACACCTATAGCCACACCACACACGTACACACACAAAACTTGAGGATTATTCAAGCAACGATTTTGGTATCTCTATAATATTGTTTAGGCCTTGTAGTAAATCTATATGGATTTAGCAGGTTGAGGAATCAATTATACAAGTGATTAAATTTTGACATAATTGGAAGAAAAATATTTCGCAATTTATCGGGGAACAATATCAAACATTTTTTTGTTATTTTTTTTTTCCGATTAAATAACCATACTTAGCAATTCAAATTAGAAATCGAAATGAGCAAAATTTAATTGTTAAGACTAACTATTACAGTCAGCAATTTGAAAGTATAATAAAACGGTTGCATTTAAAAGAAAAATAAAATTATAAAATGAAAAATCAAGAATCTCTTTATTGTTGCCGCGGGAAATCTTTTTCTTCTGGTCGACCTAAAAAAAACCCTTCATAGAAATTTTTAAAATTACCATATTCTAATGTCAACTTTTTATTACATAAAAATAAGCTCAGACGTCGTCGCTGATCAAAATCCGGAAGATGTAAAGACGAAGGTGGGGCCAAGGAAGCTTCCATTTCCATCACGATGCAATCGATACGTACTCATTATTTGTTTTATTCCTTACCCGATATGATTCATCTAATACTTATATTTCTTTCCTTTTTTAAAAAGGAATAATAGTCATGTATATGTTCGCATTAGTTTCACGCCTCTCATTTACAGAAGAAGAAGACTTGTTCAAAGAGATCACAACATGGATCATCAACAACTCTTCTCTCTCCGGTCATTTCCATACGTCTTCAAGATCAAGAAACATTTCTTCGTCAGCCTTTCTTTACTTACCCTCCTCATATTCTCCACCGTCGTCATCGTGAATCTCGTCGGCTCCTCCTCCTTCGAGCCCTTTTTCCGTCTCGGATTGTTGTCGCTTTCGAAAACCCTGACAAAAGATTGCGATTACTCTAAAGGAAGATGGGTTCGTCGAACGTCACCGTCTCTTGGATTACTATACGGAGAAGACTGTCCCTTTCTTGATTCCGGTTTTCGTTGTCGTAAGAATGGAAGAAACGATTACGGTTATCTTCATTGGCGATGGCAACCACACGGCTGCGATCTTCCACGGTAAACATCTTGCCACGTCATACTCTAGGTTTTCCTTTTAGACTAATATATGCATTTCTTGCTTACTCCTCAAGTTATATTGATTCCATTGCAAAAGCTTTAGGGTTACAATCAATAGGGTTTAGTTTAACAAGTTCAACACTAGATAATAATTGGTTTGGTTCACATTCGCAATCGTTTTTTGTTTCTTGCAGTACAAGGGTCAAAGATTCGTTAAAAGAGACTTGAAACCTAGTTTTAGTACTTTTGACCAACTAAAATGATATTGTTTTTTGTTTTGGCTAGGTTTAACGCAAGTGATTTTCTGGAGAGGAGTCGGAACGGGAGGATAGTGTTCGTGGGAGATTCCATCGGAAGAAACCAGTGGGAGTCTCTAATGTGCATGCTCTCACAAGCAATACCTAATAAATCTGAAATCTATGAAGTAAATGGGAGCCCCATAACTAAACACAAGGGCTTTCTCTCGATGCGATTCCCACAGCAAAACCTTACGGTTGAGTACCACAGAACACCGTTTCTCGTCGTGATTGGCCGGCCGCCGGAAAACTCACCGAAAGAGATCAAAACCACAGTGAGAGTCGACGAATTCAACTGGCAATCAAAGAGATGGGTCGGGTCAGATGTTCTTGTTTTTAACTCAGGGCACTGGTGGAACGACGAGAAAACCGTGTTATCGTATGAATTAAGATTCCCTCAGCTTCTATCAGAATTCGACATTCTCCTCTCTTTTTTCTTATTGGGTTTATCTTTCGTTTAACTTTTGCAGAGGATGTTATTTTGAGGAGGGAAGGAAAGTGAACAAGACAATGGGAGCAATGGAGGCATTTGGGAAGTCTTTGAAGACATGGAAGTCATGGGTCTTGGAGAGACTTGATCCAAACAAGAGTTATATCTTCTTCAGAAGCTACTCTCCAGTGCACTACAGGTCAGGAAATAATCAGACAAAAAAGTTGTTATGCTCTTCAGAGACTAGGGTTTTCTATTAAAGTAAAGAATTCGTTGGTTGTTGCAGAAATGGGACATGGAATTTGGGTGGTCTGTGTGATGCAGAGACGGAGCCTGAGACTGATAAAAGGAAGATGGAACCTGACGCGAGCCACAATAAATATATCTATGAAGTGATTGAAGATATGAGATATCAACACAGTAAAGTTAAGTTTCTCAACATTACATATCTGACAGAGTCTAGGAAAGATGGTCACCCTTCTCGGTATCGAGAGCCGGGCACTCCTCTTGATGCACCTCAAGACTGCAGCCACTGGTGCTTACCTGGCGTACCTGACACATGGAATGAGATTCTCTATGCACAACTCCTGTCGATGAATTATACAACAAATTGATTTTTTTGAGGTATAAACTGATTTTTGCGTCTTCATCTAGTCATTATTCTGTTTTATCGATGCCTTCTTCAGGCTCTGTTTCATTTGTTTGCATTTGCTTGACCTTCTCCAGCTGTCTCAACAGGTTCAACCTTTCGGGTCCGTATGTGGAAGGGATCTGAACAAAGACAGTTTTTTTATCAAGTTAATGAAGAGATGGAAGAAATGTACAGAAGAGTAGAAGCAAGTATTAAAAGAAAAGCCTTACCAAGCCTGGTACATATCTCTGAATCGCAGCAAGCATAGCCGCGTGACCAACTGCTGTGACCTGTTTGACATTACTGTACTCATTAGATAAGTTCATAGACTCAGAGATATTACAAATGTTATTGGTAAATGTAATGATATAGAGACCGTTAGTTTTTACTCACAGGAAGAAGCATAAGAACACCAATGGGAACAACTGATGCTAAGTCAGTCATGGTTCTGCGCAAGGCTTTCTTTTCTTTCTCTGTTAATTCGTCTCCTATTAGAGACCTCCGAAGCAGCTCCATTGCAGCAGCTGAATCAAACGCAAGAAGCTGAGTACCTTGCCACACGTCCTGTCAAAATATCACGGTAAAGTCCAGTGTTAGTAACCAAGTCATGAAGTATACAAATAGTGAATGAACAGATTTGATCAGAAAAAAGCTGATTTGGTCAAGGAAAACAAAGCTGCATGTTCCTTGAGGCTTGGAATGACATTCATACCGTCGATGTTTCTTTAATTTGCTCAAGAGTTTTCTCAATGACGCTTTCCTTCTTTGAGCTCTGAACCAACTCCACACCTTTCATACTACTGCTTGATTTAGGAGGATCCTCAGCGGTTCTTCCCTGCATAACATGTCAAATTGATTGTCAAGGAACAAAAGAGACGAGAGCTTGTACTCATGAGACATACACGCAAATAACAGCATTAACTCATCAAATCAAACATCTTGCAGCAAATTCTGGCTACTCCCTACTAACCTCTTCATTTACTGATTCATCTGTACTTCCTTGGACTCGCTTCTCCAGCTCTATGAGTTCATTCCTTAGAAGTTCAAACCGATATATCTCATTGGGCTCGGAGTCCACGCTATCTATGTTTTCACTGGGTTTCTCAATATATTCATCCGCCTGCATATTGTAAAAAAAATCCTGAAACCTTTTACCATACTACAAAGTGAAAATGGTTGGACTAAACACAGCATCTTCACACTGAGTGCAAACCAAATTAGAAATTTAAAAATACCTAGTTAATGACTGAACAAGCACAGAGTACTAAGCAGAAATATCCCCAAAAATATAAGGTCTAAGATATGCTGCACGATTTAAAATAAGATAAGAAATTGAAGCATACCAATAACTTGGGACCAGGCTTCCTTTTTGAAGGCCGCTCAAAGAAACCCCAGAATCCACGATTCCTATTAAGGAAGATGCAAAACACTAATTAAGTTTCTGCAACCAGAAGAGTACAAAGAGGACATAACTCAAGCACACCAAAAATTATTAAGTAACAGAACATGCAACATACCTCGTGCCTTGATCTACAGAATTAATTGAATTCTTTGCGTCTTTTCCTTTTAGATTCTGCTTTTGTTCCTCAGAGGCCTCCTCAGAGTCACTGTCACCACCTTCCTGAGTGAACCATATGAGATTGGTGTATGTTTTGGTCAGTCTACCAAACTCAAGCGTCAGACATTAGATATCAATCCTAACTGCATCAAAGGAAAATTGTGCAATAAACAACTAAACACCTCTTGCAGGGAAGCTGCTTTGGCTCTGAAAGATGCCTCTAAAAATTCAGCCTCTTTCTTGAGCTTCCTTATTTTCTCTAGGTCAGAGCAAGCGGCTTTTATTTGTTCCTTACCAGAGGCTGAGCTTGATGCATTCAACTGCTGTAACAAGCTTTCCAGTCTCACAAGAGTGTCATCTACACTCTCTAGAGCCTGTGAAATAAGTGCCGTTAGTATCTATCTGTATAACTGTACATTTAGTAGTTCCCGGAGTTCTATAAAAAATACGGAAAAGTGAAGTGGTTTTCATGACTAATTCGGAGAATACCAACCTTGTCAAATGAGCTTGACTCTCTATCAGTTGACAGTGCATTCATGTCAATAAAACCTGCTTCTGTGACTGCCAAACTGCATCACACATTATCCAATTGCACACGGCTAAATTACTTGATCGTTAATTACAAAGGCATGCTACGTAACAAGATACAAAAGAAAGAGCACAGATATGGATATGAGAAGCGTTCAAACGGCGCGACACACATTACCTTGATATCCCCAGTTCTTCCTTGCACTGAATTAACTTGCTGTGCCTAAAAAATGAGATTGGAATTGAGTTTGATTGCCAATTGATTCGTTTATTATTCAAAAATTTGATAAACAACGAGCTAGATAGATACCCCTTGGATAAGAATTTTGCTGCCTTGACATTAGAAGGATTCTCTGGCCATTTGCTGTACTTAATAAAGCTCTGTAGCCAATAAGAGCAAACATTCAATATTTGAGGAAGAGCATCATAATTAGGTGGCCCTTCTGGTTTTCTTCTATGCCCATGTGCTTGTTCAGCTAACTGGGGGTCCTTTTTATTTGGATAGAAAGGAAGCCACTCTAGTTCTTCACAGACAACCTACACTATGAATCTCCATGATAAGATTTCAGATATGGTCAAAGGAAAATTCCACCAATGATGGTATGATTTATACCTACCTCTACGTACAACTGGTATGAACTGATGACTGAAAGTTGAGGATATTGCAGGAGACTGCCTCCAATGAAGTGCCTGAATAAAGAATATAGCGAGTTTAAGTGCTAGGGTGGATGGAAGAGTATGGCCAAACAAATGGAAGAAAACCAATGAGTTACCTGACAAGGTCTTCCATAGGATTCTCCAACGAGTTAAAACCATTTGCAGCTAAAAAAGACTGGGTGCTCCTGCCTAAGGCAATGAAGAATCCAAAAATAGCTAAATCTCTTTCCAAAACCTGCAAGGCATCGGCAACAGGTCCTATAAACTCCCAAGATATTTGCATTCAAGTATTCAGTCATATATTTTCATTGCACTTTAACAATCTAAACACACATTAAATAATTCCGATTAATGTTTCGATAAGTGCCACTTTATGAAGACCCCAGATAGTATCACTCTATTCATTACCTCAATACTTTCAGACGTTGTTAGTCTTGACCATATTTTCTCCCGATCAATAGCACGCATAAGTTGGTTCTGTATAAGATCGACCCAGAAGACAACCTCATCTGTAGGGCAGTCACTTTTTACTCTACATGCCGCTGCCCGAGGTCCAAAATGAACAAGAAATTCTCTGCGTAGACCGAGGCTTTTCATCGAATGATAGGCCTGAGGGAGTTGGACAAAGTCAACAAATCTGTCCATCAATCTTCCTGTTGTATCTGGAACCAGAGAAAAGAAGGACGGGCACGAAAGTTTTGTCTGGCCAAGTTTTGTGACTGCTGCGATGCAATTCAGCACAAGCATGAGAAGTGACACCTCAACCTCATTGCTTGCAGCTGAAAACTTGCCTTTGGCATAGCTGGAATGAACCACAAAATGTCACTTTCCAAAACCCTAACAGTCAAACGTGTGTTTCACAGAACTTACTAAAAGAAATGACATACCCAGAAGTAGCAGCAACAAATCGTTGGTCCCCCTCAAAGCAATTCACAAAATATGTCACCGCAGAAGGAACTTGGTCAGACCAAAACCATTCGTTGGCTTCAGGGTGACTGGCAGATAGTTTATCCCGCATCATACTATCAAGGGGAGCAGCTTGGCGTGATAAACTGAAAAATATGATTCTTTAAACATCAAAAACAGGCATAACCATGGATAGTCCAAAAGCCAACAACGCCATTTCATTGATAATTTGTGTTTGACAAGACTGTCTACCAGCTAAAGTTCAAAACGTATACTTCTCTTGATAAACATGAACGCAACACGATAAACATGAATGGCAAAGTTTTAGGCATTAAGTAAGATCAACCAGTACCTCCTTTGCACAAAGACATTAAGATCCTTGTCCCTGTTGTTTCCTCTAGATGAAACCTCATTTGCAGCTTGTAGCAAGGAATACACGGAAGCCTGAGAATGATGAACAGAAGATGATGACTTTAGCTAATATAGCTAAAAATATGGCAAGAAATACTTCATGCAAGCTAAATGAGCAGTGAGAAGACAACATTTTGTTCTTCACCAACTATCTATCTGGCTCCGATAATAAGTTAATAACTAGTAAATAACTTTCGAATACTGTAACCACTCAGATGCATTGAGCTGAATTGATGCATACCTGATAAGAAAAAGTCTTAACCCAAGCATTTCTATCAACTCCCAGCCAGGCTGCTGAGAACCATGGTAACTTGGAAGAGGAAATCTTCTCTTTAAGTGCCATTTCAAAAGTTCTGGCAGCATCATGCAAAGCCTGAATGAGTCCATCGCAGTTGTATTCATCCTGTAGCGATCCACTGAGTTTGGCCCTCATCTCCTCGACATCATCGCTAGCTCTTGACCCGTTAACAGCCACTCCGTCTTCAGCAGATGCAAGGAGGAAAGGCTGCACCGTCCTCCGCGATTTATACCAACTCATCTTCTTGTTTCCCAAAAATTTCCTATGAAGAAAGTAGTTCTTACTTTCCAAAACATCATAGGTAACAAACAATCGGCTCCTTGAATTTCCCCAGAAGTTCGATATGCAACCCAACTCCACCACTCTTCTGCAGGAAATGAAGGTTCCAATGGACATCCGCGAAAGACAAGGATTCGAAGAGCTACAAAAGGCAGGATTTATGAATTTAGAAGGCAATACTAAATCAAAAGAACAGTAAACTAGGATCACAAATGTTAACAGTGTGTATGAAGCTCAGCTCAAAATATCATTTTGCCCAAAAGTTCTCCACTTTATTTTCGGCAAGCCACAGAATTTACGTCAATGGGAGCAGATTTCACCCGAAAAGGGAAGTCAATTAACACTAATTACTCGCTAGATCATGGTGGATAGGAACATCTCGAGAAAACAAAAGTAGTTATACTGCGAAAGGACTAAAAAAATCGAAGCTTCTCGGAAAGCTTGGGTTACCTAATCGATACAGGACCCGGCCGTTGTAGCTTAACTTCCATCTACATGAAAAGATTACAAAAGCAGCGGGAATTATCTCCCGGAATTTTTTAGTTGGTGAAGAATTAAGAAGAGAAAATCGGTGGGATTGAATGAATGATGGTCAAGTTTGGGGAAGGGAGAAAGAAAGAGATGATGACGTGGCTCTCGGAGGATCTTTATCCGCAGACGTGGAGCTCCGAAAATTCACTCAAACAATTGTCCGGAAAGGACTTTCTTCGTTGCAACTTATATCCAATTAAGTTACGCCACGTATCTATCATTTTAAACTTTGTTTATTTGCACTTGGATCCCACACTAGTGTTTGAAACAAACGAATTTTAGCATCGGTCGTTATAAAAAGAGCGGTATATATTCACACTCTAGGAAATAAGCTCCCTTTTCAGAAGTCAGAACCAAGGTTTTTGTTTTGATATAGCTCAAAGGAGCAAAACCAAGTGAAAAGCTGAAACCCGAAGCTTGCTCTGTTGCTCATGTCAAAATACATACAACGGGCAAAGTGTGGAATATACGTTGATCAATCAAAATCTATACTGTACAAAACAAAATTAGCTAAAGAGAGCAAACTAGACGGAGAAAGTATGTGGTTGCACGCACACTTAGAAAAAGATGTAAAAATAACTTGGTCCATTTAATTTCTATTCTTCTCCCATGTTCAACTTTTTGACTACCACTACCACTATTGTTTACTTTTTGTATTTAGAAAACCAAAAAAATCTATAAATACAATACAGTGTGCTTGAACATAACACAATACAAGTATTCCATCGAAAAGAAAGGAGAAATTAGAAAATAAAACCATGGTTAAAGGAATGAATGTTTCTGGTTTCATCACTGTTTTGATGACATTTGTGTTGATTTCAACAGGTAATGCATGTTGTGATAAAAAAGTTTATATTTGCTTTTTGTGTTTAATTTTAGTTGATATTACATTTCTCAAATAAACTCTACAACTTCATTTTTCAAAAGCCAAGACCTGACTAAAACTAAAATATGCATTACAATCAATGTGATCTGAAATATCATTTTACTCATTGATTATTAAAAATTTCAGGAGAAATTGCTGCGAAAGAGGATCAAGCGTGGTGTGATAAGAATTGTTGGCTTGTTTCATCACCTGTGCCAGAAGGAACTTGTAATAAGCCTAATGGTGGCGAAATATGCACAAAGGCTTGCACAAAACCTACTCCATTCGCTACTTCCGGGAAATGTATAAAATCTGCGAAGACGGGAGGAAAACTAAGTTGCTTATGTTTTTATAATATTACCAAATGTCAAGAAGCTTGTTCTGATATCCCATAAATAAATGAGAAGTAGCAAGCATGGAATAAACAATGAGTTTCATTGTTTCAAGGACATCGGTGTAAGATTAAACTTTGTTTATAAATGCACTTGAATCCACACTACACTAGTTGTTTGAAACAAACGAATTTAAGCATCTTTCATAAAAAAAAAAAGAGCGATATATATACACACACACACACACTCTTAGAGTAGCTCCATTTATAAGAGCCAATGTTTTTGTTTTGATAGCTTAAAGAAGCAAGAGCAAGTGTAAAGCTAATATCAAAGCTTGCTCAAGTATCTACGACACAATTACACAACACTTTATAAAGTGCTTTCGTACACGAGATATAATTACTCGATTTTCGATGTTTCATATCTGGTGGCAACTAGTTCCCCTGGCAAAGGCGGTCCTCTAGCTATCGGTAAGCCACCGCCACCACGTATGCTTTGCTTCTCCTTAGCGTAGTCCACAAATATAACACGGCCGTTTAATTGCTGCAAAGAAAACTGATTTGTTACCAAGAGAAATGATTTTTAACAAGTGAAAACATTAGGAGAATAGATTTATACCTGTCCGTTCAGTTCCATCAAAGCCTTCTTAGCTTCGTCATCAGAAGCAAATGTCACAAAACCGAAACCTTTGGATCTGTCAGAGACTCTATCCATAACTACTTGGGCTGAGAGGATCAAGCAAAATAAAACATCTCAAAAGCTCTCAGATACATACAACGGGTAAAGTGTGGAATCGATATTTCGTTTGATGCGCACATATATATAGTGTTTACTAACTAGTGTACCTTCAACAACTTGGCCATATTGAGAAAATGCCTCAGACAATCCTTGCTCGGTAGTGTAAAACGATAATCCTGGCGGGAAATAAAACAACAGCAACAGATTAGATTGTGAATTCAGTTTGTGTCACGTTATCGGTTGTAATGTTCAGAAACAACAAAGTAACAGCCGTTTCAAACTGTTCAGAAAGTAGAGAATATCAGGTTCAATCATCGATTTGCTAAAAACCGCAGAAGCTCAAAACCAAAATGTGAGCACAAAGAAGACAGTTCACAAGAACAGTTGCACATGACTCAGAAGTATAGATTGCAGAATAGTAATCTTAGAAACAGAAAGTATAAAATCAAATCCATGAGACGAAATGGTTACTGCTCCGAGAAGAAGATGATTTTTCAAAACTTACAACAGCATTGCGTCTTATATAAAAGAGGTAAAACAATTTGCAATTTTAAGGATCAGAGTCAGCAAATTTTCATCCTCTAATGACCTAACGACGATCCCGAGACTAACAGATGCAGTTTCTAGGTGAGATAATCATTCAATCAACCTACACATCAATTCTAAAAATATTGGATTGTATCAATCAAACCGGAAAAGAAATCGAGAGAGTACCGCCAACAAAGAGTTTGGAGGCAACGCCACGGCGTTGAGTGAATAAAGATGAGGCGGAGGAGTTCAATACGCCGGCGGATTTCAGGTGCCGGCTACCGATCCTTGCGAGCGCCGCCATTGAAGTGATGTCGTACTAAGTGCAAACAATGGAAAGAGTGAAAGAATAAAGCATGTGAAATTGTGAATCAATCAACTTGGGCCTAGCCCGATCCAAAGTCCAAAAATACCACCTATTTTGTAGTCAGGCCCACCTCAACGTGAATATTTGGGAATTAACCTTTTAAACCAGGTTATTACACCTCAAGTCCTTAACTAACAATCATTTCAAATTTTATGTATCAGAAATTCAGAATAAGAAACAGTGATGATAAACTTCCATAAAAATTTCCTCTTTTCAAAGGTTAATAGTGTGATAAATACAAAACGCAATACAGAGTCACCGGGAGCACACAGATACAAAATATATAACCTTCTTCCATATAAACATAACACACAAATACTAAACCCTTCGTCTTGCGCTCAAAGAGACTTGAATGTTGTTCTCAGCTTATGGCCGTTTGAGAGAAACGCCGGAGATGACGACAAGGATGGCTATAAAAGTGACGGAAGCAAAGGCAGCGACAACAGATCCGCTTGTTTTCTGACAGAAATCTCCGAACTGTTGGCAGATCGGAAGCCAGTTTGTGTTCTGGTTCCCATTGTGTGCCAAATACACTATCGCTGCAGCTGCGGAACCAGCCGCTGTGCTCAAAACCAGAGCCGCCTACATACACATCAACAAGAAAACAGAGTCCTCTGTTATTACGGAAGCAACCATTCATTACGAAAACAGAGTGCTCTGTTTATTACTGATCTAAGTATGAAGTATAAATTTTTTGGTTCAAGAGGATTAAGATGAGTACCGTGTCAAGAACAAGCAAGAGGAGTCTCGGGGCGACAGCTAGAGGACGAATAATAGTGATGACTGAGAAGGGAAGAGACAGGACAAGGTAACCTGCGACAATTGCAATGGCAATCACAAAGAACCTGAAAAGACAAAAGAATTGAAAATTAGATAACTTAGAACGCAAGAAACACAAGACAAAAGAAGTATGAAACATACTGGAAAGTTGGAAGATCATCGTAGCTAGCTTGGAACTGTAAAAACTGAGTGAAGAAAGGGAGAGTCTCGTCACTAGTTCCCATTGTCGCAGCAGCAGCTAAAGCAGCTACAATGGCGCCCAAACGGAGAAGGAAATCGAAAATGGAAAGGCCTCTCTTGTAACCTCCTGAGCCAGTGTGGCCTCTGGCTAAACCAAGGAGAGGAGCTTTGCCTTTGATGGCTGAGCTAGACTCTGCAGGGACATCAACGGCGATGGAGTCACTCTTCATCTTTTCTCTTTATAACTTCTGAAAAAAGTTCTACTTGAAGGATTTGTTTGGCAAATAGTGTTGGATGCTTTTTGCTGTGAATGTGATGTAAACTAAGGTTAGGGTTTTATAGAGTATAGCACTTTAGGTTTTGATGGTGGACTTTGTTAATAGTAACAATGGAGTAGAGAAAGAGTAGTTGTTGTTTTCTGTTTTCCCAATATGTGGAGTTGGCAACAAAACTATACAGAGTCAACAAGTAATTAAAATAATAATAGTTGATTTGGTGGTGCCTCCATCTTCTTGGGTTATCAAAACTTTTTTTAATTATATTATCTTACCAAGAAAAAAGCTCAGACGCAGTAGATCAGTATATCAAAATAGGAAAAACAAAAAAGAAAACTAACAAATCCAATAATTTCAAAAATATTGCTCTAATTCCTAGCCGGAAAATAGTAATTTTAGTCTATATTGATAAGAGAAAAGACAGTTACTCTGGAAAACTTGTTCATGCCTCAATCTTCCATCCACGCTCAGCCAGATCTTGAATCACACGCTTTGCAGCTTCTGCATTATCGTTAAGAGGAGAGTAACTCCACTTCTCAGACATCTTCAGATATATAAAAATCCAAGTAGAAGTTAAAATCAGGATTCACCAAAATCGAAAAACAGAGAAAAAGCAAAATCTGGAGTAGAGTTATTAGCATTACATTTTCTTTGCCGGTTAAAGGTCGAACAGCTCCTCTTTCATGGAGGGTCCTCTGGAATTCAGAGAATTTCCATGTACACCGTTCAGCACCTACAACATACACAGGTTTCCTGTGTCGAGAACTGAGATTTCGATAAGATCATCTAAAGAATGAGAAAAAGGAAAAAGATTGTTGTTCTGTTGAACATACCCAGTGGTACATGCCTCGCTCAACATGCTTACAGAGTCAGCAGTTATGATAAAAGCATCGGCTAAAGCTAGATGCCCCAAATGCGGATTAGGGTCTGAGAAATGGAGCAAGAGATAGCCTCAAACTCTGACACAAACAACTGAACAAGTTTGGATTAATAACAAAATTTGCTCACCTTTTCCGTCCCATATGTAGACCTTAGAGTTCAAGCTCAGTTCTCCAGTTATGATTTCTGCAACCTGTCGAAAGAATGAGAATATTTGATGGCAATCCGCTCCGCACAATTGTGTAGTATGCTTCAGACTGAGTAAAGAGACTTTTACTTACTTTCTTCGGTGTTCTTCTTGAGAAAGATATTCTTAGGCTTCCACAGCTCCAGAGGATACTCTTAAGCATACCACACAATTGCTTAGCAAGATCAACACCATACAAACAGTTCCCTACAGAAAATTTAACAAAGAAGCGTAGCAAGTTTAAACACAGTTATAAATTCAACTCAATAGACAATATAACAGACAAAGAGGCACAATGTGTTTTACTTGTAGGTCCTCCAATATTGACTACAACCAAAGGCTTTGCCAGCGAAGCAAACTCGTCCTTCCATTTCACAGTAGCAATTCTCAGAGTAGAAGCGTCCACGTTGTGAAGAGCGCCAGTAGTGAGAAACTGGAATTTCAGAATTCAAGCTTGTTACTAGCAAACAAAATGACAAATACTAGTTGCCATCAAATCCTTTTTAACGAACATTTCAAAAGACACATACCACATTTCTACCTGGAGGTTCACGTGGAGTTACCCATGGCCTGAGAAAGAAAGGAATTTGTCTCTTCCCTTCAGGTGTTAAAGAATAATAATCATGACGAGGTGTGATCACTAGATCAAATCTCTCCAGACGCGACCTTGGATGTTGCACCTACACATAAAAGGTATCAAGCTCAAACAACTAAAAAACAAAGACTATGAGGCCAACATTTGGCATTAGCAGGTATCAGTCACATGGAAAGATCTGCTAAATCCATCATACAAAACCAAAAAAGGCCGTAGAAATTGGTAAATTCAAGGAAGAAACTTAACCTGAACAACAAAGACATGTTCCATAGCTAGTCGTCTTATGGAGCTTGCGACGGAAATAGTATCACTACCAGATGCTACCACTAACAACGGGCCATTCCTAACATAAGACAGAAAGAAGAAACATAGCAATCATAAATGTTGATCCAAGAACACTTGTTTTCGTGCAGAGCGAAATAGGATTAAACTGTAACAACAAAATAAGTAGCTGGAAATTTGAGAAGAGAAAAACAATACTTGTCAAACGTACTACGAGCTAAAGCAGCAATCTGCTTTGCATCAGCTACCTCAAACACATCCGTGATTCCTACAGCCATCTCCAGGAATCAAATTACAGCGTCTAAGTATCACTCAAATTGAATGATCAATCAGCTTGGAAACAACTTTTTTTATGTGTGAATCCCAGTAGAGTTCAATAAAAAAAAATTAAAACTTCTACCAGAAGCTTTAATGGAGAATCCGGCACAGATATGATTGATGAAATGATAAATCCTTTTGTGAATAGAGATAGGAAGCCACTGAAGCCATCTATTGATTCCACCTCTTGGTCTAGCGACACTCTGATCAGTAAAAACAAACTCGGAAGCATTAGAAATGCATACGGATGCACTTCACTTCACCCATAGAGAAAACCCAGAAACGAATTGTGTTTTGAAAGTAAATTACATAGTAGAGGTGACGATCGAAGAGGCCTAAAGATCGAACAAGGCCGATGCACTGACTCTCCGCACCGGCGCAGCCGTTTCCGATTACAATGGCTCGTTTCACCGCACGGAAGATACTTCCTTGAAGATTCTCCGATAAACCGGTGACGGCCAGTTCCGGTGACTGTGTTCGTCGCATTTACAGTTGAAATGATGAGAAGATTGATTGACGAGAGAACAAGATGTAGACCGATAAAAAAACCAACCAACCAAACCGAACCGAAATTGAATGTGAAACTAATTAAAATCGGAACAAACCGAAATCCAACTTGTACCGAAACCGGAAAAAAGATGGAAATTAAGGGAGATTGTTGTTTCCTGCAGCAAGTTTCCAACAGAGTAATAGCATTTCTGACACGAACCAAATTATGGAACATTCTCCTCTCAGGTACTATCACATCCACATCCTACTTGTGGTTTACTATTGTAGAATTGACTTGCTCTGTTTATTTTCACTGACATTTAAATTTTAATTTAAGCCTAGTTTTGCAGAAACTACTAAAATGGTTACAAGCAAGGAAGTGGTAATAGTATGTAGCTACTGCAGCAGAGAGGTAAGTTGTGTGGCTATTATGCGTTACGTGTTAAGATCATCGTACATTTAGTGCTTATAGAAGAATGTTGCATTTCAAAACAAAAGTTACTTGAACAAATCAATGATTAAATTACCATGGAACACACGAAAAGTCTTGACACAAACAAAAACAAGAGCAGAAACAGGGCCATATTATTTGTCTTCCTCTAGGGGTTTCAAAATACTAGAGTTGGCCCTAACAGAAAACAAAACAGATGCAAAAACTAAGGAAGAACGGTCAACGCCACCACGGCACTCACTGCGGCTGCAATAGCTCCGACCACAAATCCAGGTAAGTTTCCACCTCCAAACAAGGCGTCGAAAGGCCCACCTCCGAGTGACACCACCATTTGCGGTATCACGATTGCCAGATTCAGAACTCCAAGTGAAAGTCCTGTAAAAAGTTAGACAACACCGGTTAATAACTTGATTCTTGGGAAAGAAGTAAACATGGATGATAGTTTTTCCGGATTCTAGAGGTAATAATATCATATTTAGTTACATTCTTAAGAATAAACAAGTTGTTTTAGCGATTCACCAGAGTCAGAAATCGCAGCAGAAGTTTCACATGTTTGGTAAATTCTAATTCCATATACTAACATAAAGGATAACTGAAAACAGTCTCTCACATTAACTACTAACATCATAGCATATAGGTTCTCAAATTAGACAAAGAAAAAGAAAGAAAGTTGAAATACCTTGGCCGGCGCCGGAATTGCTTGAGATAATGGAAGCTAGTGCAAAAGGAATACTGAAAGTAACCTATCATAATCCCCAAAAACTTACGGTTAGTTTAAACAGAATCATAAACGAATTGGAAAAGCAAAATAAAGCAAAGAAAGGCCAAGCTGGACTTACAGCAAGAGGGATTCCAAGGAAAGCAAAGATTGTCAAAGCTCCACCTCTAATCCCCTCGGTGGGACCAGCAAAAGCACCAGCGGTTTTCCTGTGAGCCTCAGCCAACTTTGTGATCAGAACAGTCAAACCCAAACACACGGCGAGGATAAAGTTGACAGCTCCCCAAAGCCGTTTAGCTCCACCCATTTTCTGAATGATCCACTCAATAAAGAGAGACACAACTCCAAGAACGACTGAATTAATCATCAAACCCAATGCACCAGCGTGGACTCCTCTGTTGTAAAGGTCCTTCATTTTGTCGTCTCCAGCAGAGTCACCACCGTACACTTCACGACCCATCCAGTCAGTATCGAACAGAAGGAAAGGGAACCACGCGATCCAGTTCAAGGCAGTGACGATGATCAACATCCACATGGGACGTTCCATGACCCTGAAAGCTCCGAATATCTCTCCGAAAAACGGATTTTTCACGTCCGAGGCTCCTTTCTCCGGCGTCCATTGCTTGTCTTCCACGTACCAGAGTGACATGACCGTGACGCCGAGGAGGAGGATGATGGAGAGGAAGAAACAGCTCTTGAGGTTGGCGCAGTAGATGTCGCAAGCTTGAGTCATCGTGAAAGGAAACATCTTGTGGAGGTTAGTGTAGGATCCCGCGGCGTATCCCAATATGTTTCCAACCGCCATAAAGCAAGAGAAAATCGCGTTTGCGAAACGCGTTTTCTTAGCGTCACCTCCGGAGAGATCGGCGAGGAAAGCGCGGCAAGGTCCTTGAAGTGTGTTGTTGGCCACGTCGAGGATCCAGAAGCCGAGAGCGAAGAACCAGATGGCTCGTACCTTGATAGTCTTCTCGAGATTGTCTCCGGCTAAGTGGCCGAGATCAGCTGCGTATCCGATGAGAATACCAGCGACGGCGACAAGGGCGGCACCGGTTGCGATGAAAGGACGGCGACGACCGAATCTGGAGGTGCACCTGTCGCTGTAGTAACCGACGGTTGGCTGGACGAGCATGCCGGAGATGGGACCACAGAGCCAGATGAGAGACGACCATTTATGTGGGATTCCGAGTAGCTGAACGTATGGAGTCAGCAGAGAGAGCTGTAAAGCCCAGCCAAACTGTACACCGGCGGCGATTGAAGCCACCGATACGATTTTTCTCGTTGACACCGGGATAACAGAGGACTCTGTATCTTGAACATCGGCATCTTTGGCCGCTGTTTCAGCTTTGGGGTTAGTCATATCGATTCAAAGATTTTGTTTTTCTTTATGTTTTTGTTTTTGTTGTTGTTTGGAGAAGATGAAGGAAGGAGGTTCTATATAAGCACGGTGAAGGGGATGAGATGGTTTTTTTCGAAAACTGTCAAGAGGTTATATTTTTGGAATGTGTTTTCATAACTGAATATTCGTTTGATTTTGTATGATAACTGTAATGGAAAGTAAATCGCTAGTAATATGCTGTCATAATAACGCATATTATCCTTTTTAGATAATTTGTTACAATAATGTCAAGTCAAACCCAGTTGGTAAATGCCTGTATAATCAAAATCCGTTTTATCCTCTTCTAATCTTCGACAAACTTAACTTAGATCATGCCTTTTTCCATATTGTTTTCCTTGAAAAACGTTTTTTTAATTTCCATTTATTTTTAAAAAGCGAATCTTTTACATTTTTTTTTTGGGGACAGATGTTTTAGCTTTACACGGAGGGAACCATATTTGCAGATTTATTACCCAAAGACGGTCTTAAATTCTTTGGCTCTTCTCCAAGTCATTATTATATCCATAATCCATTTATCCTTCCCTAATTCTTTTTTATAATAATGACCTTCGTAACGGTTAAAATAATAAAGTGACGTTTTAAAAACCATGGGCCTAAGAGCGTTAGGAATCTTTCCTAAATTTGACACCTACATTGGAGAGACTCTATGAGAAGGAATAGAAAGTGTACCCTGAAAGAAGGACTGTAAGCAGCAGGAGGCTCCACTCTTGTCACCGAACTCTCCACCTGATATAGGACCTCCACGGAATCCATCTCTGTCACCAAACCTCTCGCAAATACAAATAAAAAACAGTCACATACAAGGCTCCACAAGAAACCATGACATACTCTTTAAGCAGATTCAATTGAAGAAATGATAAACTTCAATGGCAGACAATCTTATTCAAATGCAATGCCAAATATTCAAGTGAATTATACCGGGGACGGTCACCAAGAGTCGACCAAGAGGCTTCTGTTGCTTCTTCAAAGTGGCAGGAATACTCTCAGATGGAAAGATTGGGTCAAGTCCTCAGAAAGTCAATGCCATTTTAGATGTGAAGAAGATGGCCAAGACAGAAAAAAGGTTCAAACGTTAATCACTATTTTATGCTGAGAACATAACTAAAACTTGAATAAAGATTAACACTTTTGACCATTTCTCTATGCGTTCGCAATGAATACAACATAAGATTCCTAAGATATCAAAGGTCAATGGTCTCAAGGAAACAACATCATCTTTCAATGTAGCAGTACCTATGCGTATGAATATGGCACATGAAGCAAACATACCTCTGAAACTATAAGCTATGAGGAATCCAAACACATAAAAGTCTCATGCCCAAACACAATGGAATTATGAAAACAAAAACCAACCAACTTTAAAGTAGCAATGATCAACATGAACATTGAAAGCTTTATAATCCGAAACTCTATAGGAATTCAAAGACATGAAAGTCTCATTTTTGCCATAAAAAAGTTTAATAATTTCATCAACTTTCTTTAACAGAGAGAAACATCATATTCACAACTACGTACAAAGGTTTGGTTTTGGGTTTCCAAGTCGTACGGAATTGCTAATTTTCAAAACCAACGGATTATCAAACACAAACACAAGCAATTTCTAAAGATTTATCTCTAACAGGGAGTGTAAATTGATAAGCCCAGCAAGCCAAATGCACAAATTGGCTTCATTTATTACCAAGCATCACAAACAACCCAATCAAGTCATCACCAAGCTTCATATTGTATCCTAAAGAGTCAATTTTGGTTTTCCGTTCTATGAAATTAAAAAAGTGTAGTGAAGCAGAGAAAGCAAACCAATTACCTAAATTGAATTCGCAGCACAGAGGAAAGCGACTGATACTTTCTCTTCTCCTCACTTTTCTCTTTCTCTCGCTTGGCCAACACATGGCATTTGAAATCTAAGAGAAAGGAGAAGAAGAAGACGAAGAAGAAGAAGGAGATGAAGAAAACGAAGATCTTCGACCGTCGGCGAAGAAGACTGAGCGAGAGCGAAAAAAGAAATTGATTTTTCAAAAAACAAAAAACAAAGTTCCGCGCGCGACACGTGGCCAGAAGAATCGATTTTATGCCACCTCATTTATGCAATCCGATTCAAAATTCAAAATGACTCAACCCATATGTTATGGGCTTTAAAGATAATGGGCCTAGTGAGTTTGGAGAAGGGTAAAACAAGTCTCCGCTATATATTGCATCCTCCTCACTCCTCGTTCCCAATTCACTGCTGCTAGTTAGGGTTTTCTAATTTTTTTCAATCAAATTTCTTCTCATCTGTTTGTTTTTACTTTCGCGCAACCCTTAAGATCGCCTTCCACAAAATTGGAAGCGTGTCGAGTCATAGCTGCGCTAAATCGAAAATTTTTATCGGGTTTTTTCGTTAGGGTTTTCCTAATTAACTAATCCGTCATTTTACCATCCTGTTTTTTTATTAGCCGAGGCATTTTCGGCATTAGAGTCTGAAATTTCAAGGTTCCTGGACTCTTCAGATATAAGTATTTATATTTGTATCTGTTAGAGATCCCAGCGTTTTGGGATCTTCAGATTCTAATTCGAGTAATTAGTATCTCGTGCTTCTTAATCGGGTTGGGTACATTATTTTTTTGGGGTGAATTGTTTATGTATTTGTTGAATTTTGACGGCGAGGATGATGAAACAATTAGATGTGCGAACTGGGGGTAATTTCCTAGTTATGAGCTTAAAACCTTTGAGGCATTATCATATCTCTGACATCGCTGTCAATTTTACGTATTAAATTCGGTTTTCATAATGTTTTGTTTTGTTTGGTATGGTGGAAAATGAGGAACACATAAATAGTGAATTCAGGACTTAATTGTTCTAAATTAGTATGATCCAAATTTAGCTTATTGATATTCTGATTCCACCAGTGAAATACTTTTTTTCGATTTTTTATTTCTTGATTGTTTTGGTAATTGAACGAATGACAATATTTTTTGTCGATAAGTTTTTATTTCTTGTTTGTTTTGAGTTAGAATGAATGACCACTGTAACAACTGTGCTGTGTTTGAGCTTTTCCTAAATGATCTTTTCCCTGGGAATCCAAAATGATATGTTTATTGATATCGGCTACGAATTCCTAACTCCCCGTTCACGTATTCTAGACGTATATATAAAAAACCTTGCTATTGTATATACCACCGAACCAGACATGAACACGAAACCTGAATCCATATATTATCGAACAAATAAAATGTAAATCAGGACATGATAAGTATAAATCAGGACATGACCATTATAATCAGGACATATGTTCTTAGGATTCTATATGATATCATAAATCCCGAGGATAATTGTAAAAGACTTGCGACCTACCAGACATCAACGCATCCTATTATCACAAGAGGGAAGTATTGTACAAATGTAATGTAAAAACAAGACTTAAGGTAATGGACCTTATGGTTATTAGACCATTAGTTATAATGACTGATTTTTGTTCAATTTTATGGATAAGTGACAAATAAAATGTAAATCAAGAATTGATGTTCATAAACCATGATCACTATAAATTTTCCGTATTGATCTTCCACTTTGAAATACACATTGATTTTGCTTATACTCCTTTTAGATTTGGTTTGCTCTCGCTGACATGAACTGATAATCTGTGATTGTTTATCTTGGTAACTACGAGGATTATTAAAATGATAAGATGACCGTTATCACACTAGTCTTCTCTAAAGGCTAAGATTGGTTTGATGACAATTCTTGAAGTTACAAGTTACAAGTGTTTACGGATACATAAATACACACATGTAATTAATCATCAAGCACAGAGATAAAACTGAAAACTTCGCACTATATAATAGAAGTGTCGGCGAGTTTATAAACATAGAACTGCCATTGTAGCTGCAGAACGTGTTCCGTCATTTTATATGTCTACAAGAATAAGGAAACAAAGAACATTCTTCTGATGCTCTGTATAAGTATTGACACACATTTTCGACAGGCTTTTGACTTGTTTAAGAGCACGTCACTGTTGTTACTTTTTAGCTTGATTGTGCCTAAAAGATAGCTGATTTGGCAATTGTGAATCTGTTATATTTGCTCGTTAAGATCGAACGAACCCTTTACATATGAGTTTCAGTCTCCCTTTTTTTTATTTACAACAACTTATGTTGTGCCTGAAATTGAAGACAAATCCAAGACGATCTCTACAATGGCACATTGACAATTGCAATAAAAGAAAACTAGTAGAGTACCCGCATGTTTGTGCGGTGTGACGTTGTTGTTTTGTGTAGAAAATTGAACCTAATCCGAACATAAATTTTCAAAGAAACCGGAACAATTTCTATATCTCTATATATATCTCTATAAAATTATGTCTCAAATTTTCACCCAAACCCGAACTTGTCCATAAAAATCCGAAAATCCAAAAAGCATATTTTATTGATTTGGAATTATTGTTAGATTATGTTAAGTTTTTTTTTTTTGCAGATTTTTAAGAGATGGAAAACGGAAGTTTTCTAAACCATCGGTTTATTTTAAGTTATTATTCTTGTATCCAAATAGATTTTTCTCTTATTCTTATATCCAAACAACTTTTGTTTCCATTTATTATTCTATCCAAATAGATTTTTCTCTTATTCTTATATCCAAACAACTTTTGTTTCTATTTATTCTTCTATTCAAATAGATGCTAAACCCTAAACCCTAAACCCTAAACCCTCTAATTATTGTATCCAAAAACATCAGAATGGATTTTTCAAAGTGAACCGACGTAAACCAAACCATAAATTGGCGACGGATTTTGTTTATTAAAGGCCCAAAACATAAACCCGGTTATAATTTTATAAGGCTGTGCCTGGTTTTGACGGTCGGTCTTAAAAACACTTCCGGCGAGATTCAGATTGAGAGAGTGGAAAGGAAAGAGATCGAATTTAGGGTTTAGACTCAGGATTTTGGAAGAAGAAGAAGAAGACAGAGAAGATGTCATCGACTCTCATCGAGCAAACTCGCTCCAATCACGAGGAGGTTGAAAGGTTGGAGCGATTGATTGTGAAAGATCTACAGACAGAGCCGCTTTCGACCAGGGAGAGATTGGTACAAGGCCACCGTGTCCGTCACATTATCGAGTCTATTATGCACACTACTGAAAAGCTCGTACGTTTCTCTTCTTCTCCCTCGTTATTATTTCACAAGTTTGAGCTAATTTTGTGTTGATACATTCTCAGCTCAGGATGAATGAATTTCTGTATTAGTATTCAAATGAAATCAATTGTAGTTCTCATCAGTAGATTCCTAATGCTAACATTGATTATTGGTGGCTGTTGTTAGGTTGAAACCTATGAAGATAAGGATGGAGCGAGGGAAGATGAGATAGCAGCGCTTGGTGGCCAAACTGCGACTGGGACGAATGTGTTTAATGCATTTTATGAGCGTTTGAAAGAGGTTTGTTTGCTATCCTTTTGCATCTTTATTCTTCCGCTGATGAAATTATCAGATATGCAATTTATTTAACTTGTTTCATAAAAATTATCAGATACGTGAATATCATAGAAGGCATCCTTCTGGACCTCTTCCTGATGTCAATGATGACTACGAAGCACGCCTGAAGGAGGAACCAGTCATTGCGTTCAGTGGAGAGGTATGTTTCTGTTGTTCCCGGATGAGTATATTCACATTTCAGAACATTTCCTTGAGTGCTTGACACATTTGTTCAACATTACTGGCTTCATAGTAGTGTTTAGAGTTTCTCAAGTTGATAAATCTGTTTGTGTTGTGTGCAGGAAGGTGCTGGTCGGTACTTGGACTTGCATGATCTGTATAACCAGTACATCAACTCTAAATTCGGGGAAAGGCTTGAGTATTCTGCTTACCTTGATGTTTTCTCTCAGCCAGATAAGATTCAGCGTAAACTAAAGTTTTCGAGGTAACCATTTCATTGAGTTTTCTTTTATTTTGAAAGACTCCATCTTCGTTTCTACCTGCAGCTGAATGCTTTTTTGTTTTTTTTTTCTGTCCTTTTAGGCAATACAGGAAGTATATGGAAGCTCTGCTAGAGTACTTGATCGGCTTTTTCAAGCGAACCGAGCCTTTGCGAGATCTTGACAGAATACTTTCTAAGGTTTGAGCTCCTCTTTTTCCTTATTATTTTATTGTGTTCAACTTGTTGCTTGAGGTAATGCTGTATGACATAAATGGTATGTCATACGTGGTTAAGAGTTCGCTATTAGTTTCCCAAGTATTTCTGTGTATAAGTTGCGAACTTATTAGGTCTAGCAACTTGTTGATTAGTGAGTTTTCCATCACCGTGCATGATACATGTTTTGGAAGCTAACAGCCACAACTAGATGATGCGTGTATTGGAAATTCATTAGTGCATTGTTTGTAGCAATTTCAGAGATTTTATATCCTCGTTAGGTTTGAACCATATAGATAGTTTGGCGTTCTGGTAGCTATAGTTTTCTTTTGTCGCATGTAGTTTGATTTCGCACAATTAATAAGTTGGTTTATTGCAGGTTGAGACTGATTTTGAGGAGCAATATGCAGATGGAAGAGTTGAAGGCTGGGAGAACCATGGCCAGGAAAATGAACTTATTCCATCTCAGCCTACTGTCATAGATCTTGATTACTACACCACAGTCGAGGAACTGATAGATGTGGGACCTGAAAAGCTAAAGGAGGTAATGACCATGCTTCATGTTCTTATGCTCAGTTACTCACTGTAGCATTATTCCCCTAATTGTATGCCATTTATGTCTTTCAGGCGCTGGGGGCATTAGGACTGAAAGTTGGTGGTACTCTGCAGCAGCGTGCCGAGAGACTTTTCCTGACAAAGGTAACGCATTTTGTTTTCAGTTTGTTTATGAGAGTCCATATCTGCCTACTTATTAATAATGATGTTGTTTATCACTTTGAGGTTATCTTATGCCCTTAATTGATTCAATTTCTGTGCAGCATACGCCTTTGGAGCAGCTGGATAAGAAACATTTTGCAAAACCTCCACACAACGGCAAACAAAACGGAGATGCCAAAGCAACACAGGAGTCCGACAGTGCTAAAGAGATTGCACTAACAGAAGCCAAAGTGAAGAAACTCTGCAATTTACTTGATGAGGTTAGTTGATGGAAGTACCTATTTACATTGTTTCTTCCTTCTCCACTAGTTTTGCTTTTAACTTTCTTGTTGTCTTGAAACATGTAGACAATCGAAAGGACGAAACAGAACGTTGTGAAGAAACAGGCGTTGACGTATGAAGAGATGGAGGAAGAACGCGAGGGTGAAGAAGCCAATGCGGAATCGGAAAGTGATGACGAGGATGGTCAGATTTACAATCCGCTGAAGCTGCCAATGGGTTGGGACGGGAAGCCTATACCATACTGGCTCTACAAACTTCATGGACTTGGCCAGGTATGTAGTTTTTTAGTCATGAGATCATTGCTGTTTATAAGGAACAGAGATTTTACATTAAATTTTCTTGTTCTCTTGCAGGAGTTTAAATGCGATATATGCGGGAACTGTAGCTATTGGGGAAGAAGAGCTTTTGAGAGACATTTTAAAGAAACGCAACACCAACACGGAATGCGTTGCTTAGGAATCCCAAACACAAAGAACTTCAACGAGATCACTTCGATTGAGGTATGTATTGTTATTATCAGAGACTCTGGTGTGATTTAAAGCAATAGTTTGGGTAAATTGATTGATCTGTTGTGTGATGTGTTTGGTTTGTTTCAGGAAGCGAAAGAATTGTGGAAGAGGATACAGGAGAGGCAAGGAGAGAACAAGTGGAGACCAGAGCTCGAAGAAGAATATGAAGATCGTGAAGGTAACATATACAACAAGAAGACTTACTCTGATCTTCAGCGTCAAGGTCTCATTTGATTGGTCAATCACATTGCAGGGGTTTTAGAGAGCTCTCTACTTGATGACATCTTCTCTCCTTGTTATGTCACTCTAAATCTAAATCAAATATACATTTCTACTTTGTCAAATCAAACCATTCGTCATCTTTCTCTTGTGAATTATGTCTCTTGTGCATTTTTCCCCCTTGAAGCTTAGATAAGCTTGAAACTTAGTGTTCTGTTTCTCCGTAAACTATTGGAATTGTGGATACGTGAACTATTTACGTATGGACAATTGTAATAACGAAAAGCTGCCACATACAAATTCGACAACAAAACATAGATAAAACAAATTTCATTACTATTCCTTGGCTAAAATACAAATTTGGTTTCTATTGTTAAGCATTCAAATGATGGTGTAGTCCACAAGATTTGAGGTCAAACTTTTTAAAATGAAAAGATCCAATCTCATATGACTCGTGAGAATCTTAAAAATAAGGTAATTGTAACAAAAAGATTTCATTTCAGTTTTATTAGCTAATGGTCAATTTGAATATTGATTCATATATAGCATTTAACACATTCGTATACTAATTTTTTTGTTGGTCATTCACGCATTTGTACACTTAGTTATGTATTCGAAGAACGTAGTCACAATCTTATTTCGGAAAGCAAAAAAATGAAATATTGTACCTTTCTTGGCCATTTGGCTAAGTTATAATATATTACAAATTTTAATTCAAAAAGAAACAATGTTGGAATGGGCTTTCCTTTTTTCACAGTCCAATAGCAAATTTATCGACGACTAGTATAGTAATTCTCAGGTGCCAGCGCATTCCAACTCCGTAGACCGTCTTATCCACCGTTAGATCTAAAACCTAGTGATCCAACGGCTAAATATTATTACCCAAAAAATATGACCGTTAGAATTGAACCGTTGGCTCCTCCTTCATAAGAAGCGCTCTCTTCGCTTCTTCGTCATAATCTCACAGACTCTTCACGAAGAGAGAGAAGCAAGACAGAAATCAAGAAGAGTAAGAATCGGCAGGAGATCGATCATGGCTACCAGAGCACACGTACCCGAACAAGTCAGAGGTATTGTGTTCTCGCGCCTCTTATTTGGGTTTTCGTTAATCCTCGCCGATCTGAATTCTATGAATCCGATTGATTTTACTCGTTGGCGTTTGATCTGAATCGGTTTTCGCTTGAAATCTTTGCCTTTTGGATTCGTCGATTTAAATCTGGGTTTGTATTCGTGAATTCTATGAATCGATTTAATTTTACTGGTTTGCGTATGAAATCGTTTCTTTTGTCTTCGTCAATTGAAATCTGGGTTTAGATTTATTTGATTTGAATTTCTTTATTGATAATTCGGTTGCTGAAACTCGGTCCCGATCTGAGTATACTTGCGGTAACTCGTAGGCGATATAGATCCGACTAAGTTAAAGTTATTGAATTGAATTGGGAACATAAATCAGAAAAATTGAATCTTTGGATTGTGGAACGAATTGATAATCGGATCTTGATGGGTCTCTTTTGGATTCTGTTCAACAGGTGTTCCCGCCGTGGATGGTGCAAAGATGCAGAACAAAAACGGTGCCGTGAAGAATCGTCGCGCTCTCGGCGACATCGGAAATCTCGTTTCTGTCCCCGTGGTTCAAGGAGGAAAGCCCCAACCTCCGATCAACAGACCCATCACTCGAAGCTTCCGTGCTCAGCTCTTAGCGAATGCCCAAAACGAGAGGAACCCAATCAACGTCGTAGACAACAACAAGGCTCCGGTTCTCGCCCCGAAGAAACGCCAGCCTCTTGTTCCAAAGAACCCTGAAGCTCCAAGAGCGAACCAGAAGAAGAATCTGGTGATTAAGCTAAACCCTAAAGTTGAGACTAAGAAGGAGGAGAAGCTAGCAGAGTCGTCGCCTAAGAACAAGAAAGCCACTACATACTCGTCTGTTCTCAGTGCTCGGAGCAAAGCTGCTTGTGGTATCACCAACAAGCCAAAGATTGTGGATATCGATGAGTCTGACAAAGGTAACCATTTGGCTGCGGTGGAGTATGTTGATGATATGTACTCGTACTACAAAGAGGTCGAGAAGGAGAGTCAGCCTCAGATGTATATGCACATTCAGACTGATATGAATGAGAAGATGAGAGCCATCTTGATTGATTGGTTATTGGAAGTCCACATCAAGTTTGAGCTTAACCTTGAAACTTTCTACCTCACTGTCAACATCATTGATCGGTTCCTCTCTGTGAAAGCTGTCCCCAAGAGAGAGTTGCAGCTGGTGGGAATCAGTGCCTTGCTCATTGCTTCCAAGTATGAAGAAATCTGGCCACCACAGGTACTTGTATAGTTTTTTTAGAAATTGATGTTGAGGAGTGATTGTGTTTGCGTGTTACTGATTTGGTGTGATGTGTAGGTGAATGATTTGGTGTACGTGACAGACAATGCTTACAACAACAAGCAGATTCTGGTGATGGAGAAAACTATCCTTGGAAACCTCGAATGGTATTTGACAGTCCCAACTCAATACGTCTTCCTTGTCCGCTTCATCAAAGCTTCGATTTCTGATCTAGAGGTGAGTGGATTTTGGATTGAAAGCTTTGATCTTTCTTAACATTTAGATTGGAAAGAGACTGATTTTGGTTTTGTTGTGTTTTGCTGCTTTCTAGATGGAGAATATGGTTCACTTTCTTGCTGAATTGGGGATGATGCATTATGAGACCTTGAAGTTCTGTCCCTCCATGCTTGCTGCTTCAGCTGTTTACACCGCGAGGTGCGCATTGAACAAGTCCCCTGCTTGGACTGATACATTGAAGTTCCACACCGGCTACTCTGAGTCTGAGATTATGTAAGAACAGAAACGACTTTTAAATATCATCATCATCGTCATCTGGTTTGAGTCTGAGATACTTATGTGGCTTTTCTTTGTTGTTGTGTTGTAGGGATTGCTCAAAGCTTCTAGCTTTTCATCACTCGAGGTGCGGAGAGAGCAGGTTGCGTGCTGTGTACAAGAAGTATTCAAAGGCAGAGAAAGGAGGTGTTGCTATGGTTTCAGCAGCCAAGTCTCTCTTGAGCGCTGATGATTTGAAGAAGCCTGTTTCTGCTTAAGATGGAGAAAGAGCATCATCAATAAGACATTGTTTTTTCATCAGATCTCTCTCTGATTTAAATTTGGTTTCGACTTGTTATAAAACTCTCTTTGTTACGAGTTCAAAAGTATGAATGAAGAAGTCTCTTATCTGTGTTGTTCTATAATCATCCTTGCAAATCTTCTGATTTTTACATTTCCACCTCTATCCATAGAGATCTTATGCTTCTTCCAACTTAATTGCATTTTTTTGTAACGAGATTATCACTTAAAAGTGTACTTATCCCATCTGATAATTTTGTTTCAATCTTCTTAAATGTCTTTATCTATTATAATCTCATTTTATCAACAACCTTTATGATCTCATTTAATTAAGTAAATTTTAATTTCATCAAATCTCATAGCTAAAAGAGAAGGGATAGTTGAATATTACAAAATATAATCTGTTGAGTAAAATTCGTTTTTAAGCTAAAATCTTGAAAGGTTTCTCACTTGGTACACCGAAAGTTCAACAAAAACACGTGAATATTTTGTTGACAAGAATTACAAAACCTGCCACTAGGAGAATTTTGACTAAACCGGTTTTCGATCTCACGGGTTGTTTCCATGGAGAGCACGGAGCAGCCGAGAAGCGTTTCGGGATCGATGCAGAGCCCTAGATCTCCGCCTTCTCAGCCGTATTTGTCAGTCTCCGTCACCGATCCTGTCAAATTAGGCAATGGCGTTCAATCTTACATCTCTTACAGAGTCGTCACCAAGGTTTAGATCCTTCTTCAACCCTGATTCGTAACTCCCATACTAGGATTTATATGTGAAAATTGTGTATTCCAAATGATGAATCGCTGATTTTGTTGTTGCGGAACTGTCGAATTGTATGATAAGCAGCTAGAATTGGGGAATAATTATGGTGTTCCGTGAATTTTGTTCTCTACGGATTCATTTCTGACGGATTATTTGTTTTTTCTTCCCGGCAGACCAACTTCCCGGAGTATCAAGGACCCGAGAAGATCGTTATCAGAAGATACAGTGATTTCGTCTGGTTGCGGGATCGGCTTTCTGAGAAATTCAAGGGCATTTTCATTCCTCCTCTCCCAGAGAAGAGTGCTGTAGGTAAATTAGCTACCTTTACCATTTCTGGCTTCATAATTTGTATCTCTTAGGTAAATTAGTTTAGAAGTCAGTACCTTTTCTATTGCTCTTGTCAAAAGTATGCTTCGTTGATACATACATCTCTATCTATGGAGTTGATTAATGGGTTTCAGTGATTATAGTATGACTACCATCATGAATGAGCCACTATATTGGGAATATGTTTATTAATACTCTTTTTGGCAGAAAAATTCCGGTTCAGTGCCGAATTCATTGAAATGAGGCGAGCAGCATTGGATATATTTGTAAATCGGATAGCATTACACCCTGAGCTTCAGCAGAGTGAGGATCTTAGGACCTTTTTGCAAGCAGATGAAGAGGTATGATATCTGGACTTTACATTTCTGGCGATTTTTTTTCCGAATTATTACACTTTTCCTCCGCAGCATCTTCACTTAAGAAAGAATGCCTCGTAAAATTGCATTTATTGCCTCCCTGAGAGACTGCACTTTGCATTTTAGAAAGTTCTTGTCTTTGTTTGACAGTTTTCTTTCTCTTCAGACAATGGAAAGATTCAGGTTTCAGGAAACTGGTATATTCATGAAGAAGCCTGCTGATCTAATGCAAATGTTTAGGGTAAGCTATGATATTTCCTGACCATGTAAAAAGATGTATTCAACATCATACAAGACCCAGTAGTGGATACATGTTGGGATGCTAGTAGTAGTAGCAAACTCGATATGAATTTTCCGGTGCTCCATTATCTTATTGCCATATCTGCACAATTGACAGGATGTGCAATCAAAAGTTAGTGATGCTGTCCTCGGGAAGGAAAAACCTGTGGAAGAAACTACTCCTGAATATGAGAAGCTTAAACACTACATCTTCGAGCTTGAGAACCACTTAGCTGAGGCTCAGAAGCATGCATATCGCCTCGTCAAGAGGCATAGAGGTAATAACAATTTATCTAGTCAGAAATTAATCTATAAAAAATTCTCTTTTATTTTCCATTTTTTCTTTCCCAATCGCATGGATGGGTCTTCAACTTTGATGCTTTATCTACCTGATGGCAGAGTTGGGTCAGTCACTGTTGGATTTTGGCAAGGCTGTAAAACTTCTTGGGGCTTGCGAGGGTGAACCTACAGGCAAAGCATTTTCAGATCTTGGAACTAAATCCGAGCTGTTATCGATCAAGCTCCAGAAAGAGGTACTAACTTTGCAACATTAAACGCATCTTCTTTCATCTTTCAACATTTGCATATACACTACTGCGGGTAGATGTTATATTGATCTACCCTGCACTATTTGTAGGCTCAACAAGTCCTGATGAACTTTGAGGAACCCTTGAAGGACTATGTTCGTTATGTGCAATCGATTAAGGTGATTTCTCTAGCCTTTGCCTTTGGGATTTCATTTTCTTGCCTTGTTTGCGTTTTGAACACTATACATCTCTTGACATTAAACTCTTATTCTCTTGTTTCCGTTTGTGTGTTTAACCAGGCCACCATAGCAGAACGAGGCACTGCTTTCAGGCAACATTGTGAATTGGCAGAAACAACAAAGTTAAAGGAAATAAACCTGTATGATATGCTTCTCTCCCGTATATCTTGTCTCCGTCAATAAGATTGCCTTGGAACATTCTATAAATTCTCCTCTGTTATTGCAGTGACAAACTAATGCTCACACGTTCCGACAAAGTAGGAGAAGCTGAGATCGAATACAGAGAGGTAAACAACAACAAATGCCCAGCTTAATCTTTGTAGTAATGATTTATCTCGACCATAGCTTGCTTTAACTCGAAAATATTGCAGACGAAAGCAGAAAGTGAGGAAGCTACACGAAGATTTGAGATGATAGTGAGGAGAATGAATGAAGAGATAGTGAGGTTCCAAGAAGAGAAGACGGAAGAGATGGGAGTAGCGTTCCATCAGTTTGCAAAAGGACAAGCTCGCTTAGCAAACGGCATTGCTGATGCCTGGAGAGCTCTTCTTCCCAAACTCGAATCTGCTTCTTCTGTTTAAATAAAAAAAAAGTACCCTGTGTCTGTGTGTGTTGGTTTGGTTTCTAACAATTCTGGTGTTTTTGTCAACTTCAAGTTTTAGTTAACGTCCGTCGCTCATGTCATTTCCTTCCACTTGTAAAGATATATACATATATGCATTTTTCATGTACTTTTAATTTTAGATTTAACTTCCATCGTATGTTGAATCTTAGAGATCTCAATCAAGTCATATACTGCATTGGCTTGTTCATTCAGAGTACCGAATTATCTAAAAAAAAAAAAAAAATTGTTGTCTTTTAAAAGGTGTTGTTTTATACAGAAAGAGTAACCTTTGGCATCATTCGGAGTGTTCCTCTCAGCCAAAAAGGCTTTGAATTATCCAAAGACTGACAAGAAAAAGCGTGGCCGAGAAGATGACGTGCTTCTCTTCTGCTACTCCTCATCGCCATCATCTTCTTCTTCCTCCGTCAACCTCCAAATCTCTACTCCGATCACCCTCATCTTATCTCAAACCTAGCCCACATCTTCTGTTACATGGCTCTTCTCGCTCTATCCTCTGCTGTTCTGCTGGCAGCAACAACGGACCTCCTCCCTCCGGTGACGCTGTTCCAAAGCAAGTTCCCTCTCATTTTCTCTAATCGATTTATTTTGTCTTGGAATTTGAGGTTTCCTCTGCGAATTTCAGAGTAACCTGTCGATTAGGGATGATACTGGAATTTAGAAATGATGGGGAACCTTGTAGTTATGTGTATGATCCTCTGTAGTATATAATAGCAATTATCATTGTTGATGATTTTTAATCGTTTTTGGTGATGGTGGTTCAGTAACTTCTGTATCATTGAGGGATCAGAGACAGTCCAAGATTTCGTGCAGATGCAGGTTCAGGAGATCCAAGACAACATAAGGAGTAGACGCAATAAGATATTTCTCCTCATGGAGGAAGTGAGGAGGTTACGAGTTCAGCAACGGATTAAGAGTGTTAAAGCCATCAACGAGTACAGTGAGCTCGAAGTTTCTGAGATGCCTGAGATTACATCTTCCATTCCCTTTCTTCCCAACGTGGTTAGTTTACTTTCTTTGAATTGACGGACGAAACACATTGTATATTATAAAGTTTATAACTTTTTTTTCATCTTTTTTGCTTTGTCTGCTCTTGTCTTTTGAAATAGACACCAAAGACTCTGAAACAACTCTACTTGACCAGCGTTGCATTTATATCCGGAATCATCTTCTTTGGTGGTCTCATTGCACCTAATGTAAGTAACAAGAAAAAAGTCTACTTTTCCTTCCTTGTGTTCTCTTGTGAGTTACGACAAACATCAAAGCTCTAGTTTTTGTTCTTTTGTTTGTAAGTCAATGTTTTTTCACACTGCAATCTTGGTTTACCACCGCCCTTGGAAACCTACTAACCTTACATTTATGCACGATATTGAGCTATTCTGCAGAATTTATGGGGTAGTTAGAGAAGGAACCATTGGCACTTCAATATGAAAAAAACATGATTTTGTTGATAGCAGCACAGATTTGTAGAGATTAGTAATGTACTCTTGGTTTTTCCATTCAGTTTTGGTCATGTAACTCTCATAGAAAAAACTTGAGTTATGGTTAAACTTGAACATCACTATAGAAGCGCATATGTTCTAGAAAGCCAGTCACTTTTCAGTATTTATTATTCTTGAATGAAAAAATGATGATTTTAAATGGCAGCTGGAGCTCAAGGTAGGACTAGGAGGAACCTCATATGAAGATTTTATTAGGAGCTTGCATCTACCCCTGCAATTAAGGTACTACTAGTAGTTGATTTGCTTGAGGATTAGTCTACATCAAACCAGTATGATATGATCGAAAAATATGACCAAACTAGTCAACTTTAGTGGTCCTGAATCTGAAACAGCGACATAGAAATAATGCTCTTTTCGGGTTTTGTTGGAATCCAGCCAAGTAGATCCCATTGTGGCATCTTTTTCTGGCGGAGCCGTGGGTGTCATTTCGACCTTGATGCTAATCGAAGTGAACAATGTTAAACAGCAAGAGAAGAAGAGGTGCAAGTACTGCCTTGGGACTGGTAATTTTCGTATATATCAGTCTCATGGATTACAATGAAACTTCTTCTTGTAACAACTTCTTAAATGGTCTGTGTTTTGCTTGATCCGTCATATAGGATACTTGCCATGCGCTCGATGTTCAGCAAGTGGTGTGTGCTTAAGCATTGATCCCATAAAACGAACTAGAGCTTCAAACCAGCTTCTGCAAGCCCCGACAACAGTAAGGTGTCTAAATTGTTCCGGAGCAGGAAAGGTAAAGATGTCTTAACAAGCTGATCTGAGTCCCTACCTATGCTTCATTCTTGTTCTCGTGATGCCAAATTGTGTATATTGGTGTATGAATCAGGTCATGTGTCCGACATGTCTCTGTACTGGGATGGTCACGGCTAGCGAGCACGACCCACGATTCGACCCTTTCGACTAGAAAAATGATGAAGCCGCCTTTGAAATTTAGCGTTTTTGTATGTACATTTGTCCTTTCTTAAGTCTAACCTGAGGATATGCAACCTGAGTCATACAAAATGTTGACAAAGTAAATGAGAATTTATAACTTTTGGATTAAGCATAATGAACAGTAAACTTTAGAAGTTGAAATGCCTTCAAACATATTTGGAGCTAACCTTAGCATACCAATTTACTTCTTGTTGTTGTTGGATGGTATTTATATTAAAGCAGGTTAATAAACTAAAATTAATGTATTAGAACAACAAGACAGTTTGGCCGAGTGGTCTGAGGCGCCAGATTTAGGCTCTGGTCCGAAAGGGCGTGGGTTCAAATCCCACAGCTGTGAAATATTTTTATTTTGCAAATACGTTATCCGGGGTCTTTACGTCAATTACAAATTTTATCATCAAAAACCCTAATTTTATAAAGCGAATTTGGTCGCCGGTAACATCCTCTTTCGTTTGCCTCTGTCAGCTCTCAGCGAAGAAGAAGATCCCAAAACCCTACCGTCTGTAATCATGGTAATCACTTGCACTCTCCATCTCTCTCTTTCACCACTCCTTGGAGCTTCTTAGATCTCAATTTCGAATCAAATGTGTTTTCTGTCTCAAATTGTGGATCACCTTTCGAATTGCGACCTGGATAAAGTTTCTGAAGTTAATTTATTTTTGAGCAATGTGAAGATATTCAGTCAATAGTCAATCAATCACGTAAATCGTTTGCTTGTGGATAGTGATTTGTTTTGGTCTCGTCATGTGTTGATGTAGTCGAGGAGAAAGACGAGAGAACCCAAGGAGGAAAATGTGACGCTGGGACCAGCTGTCCGTGATGGGGAGCAAGTTTTTGGAGTTGTTCACATCTTTGCTTCCTTCAATGACACATTCATCGTAAGTTTCTCTCATCATTTTAGCTCCTCCATTCAAATATTCTTCTGTGCATTACATTTAACCTCAAAAGTCCTTTTCAAATTTGCAGCATGTGACTGATCTCTCTGGAAGAGAAACTCTCGTTCGTATCACCGGTTAGCCCCATTCCTAAGTTTTGTAGCTTTTTTAGCATTTTCATCTTTGACACTCTTTCTCTACTTCGTTAAAGGTTGACTTTTTATGTTTACAAGTTGTATTTTGAGGCAATTCTCTATAGTTTGATGATGGGTTTATGGATATACATCTCCCCCGAATCACTAGATGGTCTTTTTTTTAGGTTGAAGTTGTATTCCCGTGAGTGATAATCAATCCATCAACTGTGAAATTGCAGGTGGAATGAAAGTAAAGGCTGATCGTGACGAGTCCTCTCCTTATGCTGCTATGCTTGCAGCTCAAGATGTCGCCCAAAGATGCAAGGTGATACTTTGAGCTATGTATATACTTTGCCTCTCGACCTTCTGGTTTCAATTGGAATTTACCTTTATATGTATATATCAGGAGCTTGGGATCACAGCCATGCATGTGAAGCTCCGTGCCACTGGAGGAAACAAGACCAAGACTCCAGGCCCTGGTGCTCAGTCTGCTCTCAGAGCTCTTGCTCGTTCAGGCATGAAGATTGGTCGCATTGGTAACTTTTCTACCCTAAAACTAACTTCAGTTTACAAGTTCTCGATCTAAGTTTGAGATATTTTTTTTTCTGTTTTGATGACTAATTGGAAAATGAACCTTGCGAATGTAATTACAGAGGATGTGACACCAATTCCAACCGATAGTACCCGTAGAAAGGGAGGTAGAAGAGGAAGGCGTCTATGATTCTTCTCACTATCCTCCATATGTGACCTCTTCTCATTCCGATTGACCTCTTCTACAGTCGGCAGATTTTCTTGCATCCTGTTTTTAAGACTTTGCTTTTCTTAATTTGTAACTCTAGCTTTTCAATTATTTTTTATGAAGAAAGAAATGGTTAAAAGTTGATGATAATGATCACCATATAAAGCGTTATTTATTTAAGGTAATCTTATTACAATGCATTGGAAATTTGGAGAAAAGCTATAAACCAGCATAGAAGTATAAAAAGAAGTCTAGAACCTCAAACCCGAACCTTTTAATTTATCCTCAATGATCATGTCGAGTTTCTTCTCCATTTCGGGAGTTAGATAATTCTTCCAGTCACCAACTTCTCCTTTGCGGAAAAAGTTACTGTAATCCATGTTCATCCAATTCTTTCCGGTTTTGTTGACCTCCAAACCGCTCAAATTACCGAGAGAACACAGGTCCAAGATCTTGTCAACCAATCCGCCATCTTCTTCTTCCTTGGTGAAAGGACAACCCAAGAACTCGGCAAGCCTCTTCAGCTGAGGACAAGGCTCTGTTTTCAGTTCCTCGTACCTCATGAAAAGGACATGATTAGGGTTTTCCAAGCTACCTCTCCAATAGCTGAGGGCATGATCCCAAATGGGACCATAGAAGCAAGCTCCGCTGCAGAAAGACTCGAACATTGACTCGAGAATGCTTCTAGTCACCTCCTTGTTTTGGTACTTGCCCCTGAAGTACCAACGCGATATCAACGAGTCCTTTGCGTTCCTGCACAGGTACACAATCTTGCATGGAGATCCCTTGAGGCCCTCTTTCACGGTGTGCAAAGGCATGTGAGTCGAAAACAGCCTCGGAGATGATGTTGAGAACTTGGTCAGGTCCGGTGTTGAGCTTTTGAGATACATATCGATCTCGAAGAATGGTACTATGCCATGAGGATTATCGGACAGGAAAGGATGAGTGAGAGGATCATCGTGTTTAGATCTCTCCAGGAGTGCGATCGAGAGTGCCTTGAGCCAAGTTGTGCCCGATTTTGGGAAAGAAGCGAGAACTATATCTGTGTCTTCCGGCTGGAAATGTTTTTGAAAATTGATGACTCCTTGGAGAGTGTTGTAGTAATACCAACATCCTTGGTACTTGCAGATCTTCCCTTTAGAATCTTTGTCTGTTTGAAGTGAAGAGATGAGTTTTTTTGTTTCTTCACTTACGTTATCGTCTCTCACGTTCATGTGAAGCTCATCCTGATCCATTTTTACAAAAATGTGTGTTTGCTTCAAAATGTAAATACCACATTTTAACTCCTGCTGAGCTTGGTTTTATATATTAGGTCCAGAGATTAAGTTTCTTGTTGGAGGAATCTGATGACTATTTTGGTTTGAAGTAATAATTATTCTAAGCTATGGTTTTTGGATTCTTGTAACATGCAACACTGTTTTAATATGATCATGCGTTGTAGAGCGAATATTTTGCCTGTACAAACTTGCAAAAAATATATGTATTTAAAATTTAGACGTCTTAGCTTTGTTTACTACTCCAATCTTATAAAAAAGCTTGAAAAGTGAACCAGCTTAATTTACTGTCCAATCGATAAATACACATTTACAGTGGCGGATCTACGTTGACGATGGGTGGGGCAAGTGCCACATACTAATTATAAGATATTTGTAAACATTATAGACAATTAGTATTTGTTAGATTAGCTGGTTGAAGATTTAGTGGACATACCATAAGGAAAAGAGTTCGATTCCTTCCCTTGGTGCCCCATACAAATTTATTTTTTATAACTTAATCCATATTTATTGTTTCTTTTTATTGGTGCCCCATACAAATTTTTCTTCTGGGTCCGCCCCTGCACATTTACACTTGTATAATTAATAGAAAACAATAGCAAAATGATATTGCATTTGAAAAATGTTTGCTTTCTAACGAATGTCCAAACATTAGGTGCGAGTGTGACCTTGTGAGTAATAATGATTTTTCAATAGAGTAGTGAATAAGCAATTCGGGTGTTTGGTCTAGTGGTATGATTCTCGCTTCGGGTGCGAGAGGTCCCGAGTTCGATTCTCGGAACACCCCTAGTAATATATTTTTTGGAAACATGAGTAATGAGTTGGTCAGCCACCAGATCTAGTTTTTAAAGAGTTCCAGATTTTAAAGCCCATCCATTTATGTGGTCTATGTGCAAGTAATGATATGAAGACAAATTCTCAATCAGTCCGAAACCTGGTTCTTAATTTCTTCGAACGAGGAGTTTCATGGCAACTGGGCCTACGGTGAATTGTTTTTGGAAAAGCATACGAAAATAAATTCAAAAACAAAACCTTGATGAAGCAATATATCATGGCTAAACAAAAACAAATACTGCATTTTCTTTCAGATTTGGTTACCATAGTCACAAACAAATACAAAGAATGCGTGACCTAACAGCTCCCGACTTTTGCCAAAAGTAAGCCTAAGCTCTATAGTTCAAGAGTTGAGAGAGAGCCAGGAGCCAACATTTTTTTTGGTATGAGACAATAAATCCCAACATTAGAGAAGGCCACAAATGCGATTATAAGCTAAGGTAAAATTTCTTCATACCCTTTCTTCTGAGAGAAGACAAAAAAACTGTACAGTACCACATTCTAGAGAGTAATTTTTTTTCTCTGAACTCCTGAAGATTTTTTTAACTAAGTGGAAACTTCTGGTTCACTGTGTCATATGGGTCTTTCTGATGAGACCCTAGTGTAGTAGACTGCTGTTTAGCGATTCTATTTAACTCGAAACTCGTGTCTGAAAAGGGTCAAGTTCTGAGTGAACTTGTCTCTGTTCTTTGAATCCAAGCCCCTCGATATGTCTGTCATAAGATTGTCAAAGCAGGCGCTGAGTCGCTGGTGTTGATCCACTGGCTGCAACATTAAAACAAGGCTCAAGTTACACAAAAGCATCTCTAAAAGCTAAAATGGTACAGAAACGAGAATTTGGATCATCACCTGTGACGAGAGGATCTTAGCTTTCAGATCAGAGAAAATCTGGTGAAAGCAATTGGAACAAGTTAGCAAAAAGGGCCATTTCGGGACAGAAAGATGAGAAAACTGCACAAGAGTGATAAATATATATATATATATACCTGTTCGCTTATAAGGATCAAGCTTAACATGGGCCTGCTGAGACTCCATTGATTCCCACAATCCTCGAATAGGACTATTTCAAACAGCGTCTTCAATATCTGCTTGTAAGTGAAAATCTCGTATTAGAGCTTGTTATTGTGTTGCATCTGCCAAAGAGAGATTGAGAAGCGTAATGTGTTACCTCGGGGAACAAACTAGGGCAGTCTGCAATGTGCTGTGCAAACCGAATAGAAGCGGGAGTAGTAGGAGCCTCACCCATTGTGATGTTATTGAAATAATATGAAGCAAGATTGTCTACAGCTATTGCACACTGAAACGATAATATATTATATATCAGTGCTTAAGAAGGTGGCATCACGAGGAAGATATTATGCAGCTTAAACTTTAGAAATCTCTTGGTAAGTGGGCCTTGAATTTTATACACAATTCTCACCTGTGATGAAATACTTGTGTCCAACCCCTTAAGGCCAGATTCAAGGGAACCAACGAGATGCATGAAGGTGGCAGTATCCAGTTTCAATATGAAGGTAATATGACTGCCACACAAAACCTCGACGAATCCAAAGTATGCCTTTGTAAGCTGAAATATGAAAGGAAGACGATGGAGATTTGAGATTTTGTAAGGACGAAGAACTAATTCAGGGTGTACTTCAGTTACTTGAGGTAATGCAAACAACATAAAGGTTTAAGAATGTTTACGCATACCTTGCGATATGCTAATATATCTGCCAAGGGAATTGCTAGAGTCATCTTCAACGCGATATCAAGTGCATCCGCAAGAGCCGGATCGCCATATAGTTCAAACACTCCAAAGTTGCAGTAATTTCCCGAAAGCGCTGCCCATTAAATGATTATTAAATATCATCACCCAATAATAAACAAAACAACAAACGAATGATTAACTCTCATTGGTTCTATAAAGTCAACAATGTTCTCACCTCTTGACAGAATTGTCAGTGAGACCCAGATCCCCTTGTATTTGAAGGCATATATATCCGCAACATTTGGAAGGGATAAAATCCTTGAACCATAAGCCACAATCAATTTACTGACTTCTCGGAAAAGTAGGATGCCATTTGGAGAAGACGAATCAAAAGTAAGGCGCTGGGTTTTGTTATATACAAACTCAGCCATGAACTTCAACAACGGGGTTGTAACCTACATCAATAAGCCAAGAAGAGATAATGAGACAAACAAGGCATTACTATTCACACAAAAATGGCAGACAGCATGAATTCACTGATAGTGGTAACCATTTATGGAGGCTACTGATTATCAATCAATACCAAATTATCCAGATGAAATTAACATTTTTCCAAGGGTCAGATCTCTCGTCTATAAGCAGACTCAGGTTATTAAATACCTCTGGTGTGTCGAACCAATGTGAGATCCCTCTCAAAAGAAGTGGCATGTGTGCGGGATAGAGCCAGTCAAACAAAAAACCATAACTTCTCCGGCTGAAATCCAAAGAGAAAGCTTAAAATAACCATAAGATTGTAAAATGTCTGTAGATGTTGAAGAAACTAGCTGAAGTCAAGACCTGCTAGTAGCCATTGTAATTCCTCTTAAATCCCTCATCAATCCAATTATTGCGAACTTCACAGCATCAGTGCGAAACATTGAATCTGGTGTTGACTCAAGAGTGCGGAAAACCTAGCATGGTTGAATAAAAACGTGGTTTACTAGCTAACACCAATCACTGTATCAGAAAACTAAAGAGTAGAACGTTTACAAAAACTTTAGATTCCAATTACAATTAGGTATGGAACTATGCATTCAAGACCACACTGCGTGAATATGCCTATAAGATATTGAAGGATATTAGGATACTAAATATGGTGACGATTCTGTATTCTGCAACTTTATCTCTTCTTCCGTACAAAACATGCAACCCCATCATCATAATCAGAAAACAGTGTGCAATGCAGATACATACAGAATCACTATTCTAAATGATAAGATGCTGAAAGAAAATGGAGTATAACCTGCAGAAGTTGTTCCATAGAAGTCTTGAACTTTATTGAGCTATCCTCCATGAAAATCAACCAGCCAATAGTGTAGTAAAACGTTGTTCTGCTGCGAGAGCATCTGTACTCTTCTAAGAATGGAAACTGCTCTCTCTGGAATTAGACAATTCGCATGCTGAGACTATTTCTAGTGATACATAATAATGAACAATGATGTCCACAAAAGAGAGTATGTAGAAGAATTACAGTGTGATTAGAAATAATAAAGGTCACGGTGTCCAGCTTCAAAAGTAGCTTCCCGGTCATATATCTGCGCGAGAACACCAAAACAAAAGAATTCAATACGGAAATGCATATAAGCTAATGTAACATCAATCTAACCAGGTTATAAAGGATTACCCAGATGCCAACTCCAGAAACAAACTTAGCGTGTGACCAATGACTTCTTCACTCTGGAGAAACAAAAGACAGATTGTTTGGGAAATGGTGACTTTGATGTTCAGAGCGGCATGATAGAAAAGGTAAAGAACACAAGGTTACCTCTGTATAACATTTTAAGTTTGTAGCAATCTTGCCAACAATAACGTTCAGCAGCACTAGATGATCATGGAGTCCAAGGAGATCTTTTAATCTGGCATACAACTGCTGCAACACAATGGTAGTATCAGTAATATACATAGAACAAAAGAAGAAATACATAAAAAAAGAAACAAGTTTGCATGTACTTTTGATGAATGCATGGCCTGATCACCAACGTAAGACTTTCGGAAATTCTGGAAGAAGGTTAGGATGGCACGATCAAGCCTTTGTTTACTTATTTCACCATATCTCTGCAGAAAGGATTTGTCATTTGATTACTTGACAGATGAGATAAAAGTAGTGAATTCATTTGGGAGAATAGAAAACCCAATCAGTGGGGAACACGGTTGTTGAACATTTTAACAAGTTCCCATACAGCCCATGCAGAACATTCAAAAATGTCAATGGGATCACTCACTATATATATCCGTGGTTATACAAGCTTATGCACATTAAGCTAGATCGTCCAGCCGTATACATGGTGATTTTTCAGAAGAAATGCAGGTAATACAAATAGTTCCGTAGATCGAGTGGCAGAACAACCTCAGGAATGGAACTAATCAATCCAAAGAGATTATCTACTAATATTTTATGATGATTTCATTTAATTGCTTGCAATTAACAGAATTTTAAGTTGATTTATTGTAACTGCTTTGCAATTAACAGATAAAACACCTGTCTATGCAGTCCACTGTCCATGACATTTACTAGCCGCAAAACACGAGCAGAGAGCTCGGCATCAAGCATCTCTTGTGTCTCCACACTGCAAAGTACATTTAATTCTCAATGTTCAAAGATTATTTTGTTCCTCAAACAGACCTAAACGCAAGGAAACCCAAAGACTGGAGAGCATCTTACCTACAACCGCTGCATTGCTTGATTTTAACAATAGCGGCAACAATATGAACAAGCCATGACAATTTTGCTTCAATAAGTGCCAGCTCAGAATTGTCAGCAAACTGTAGTTGCCCTCTTTCCTGTTACACAAACACTCAGCTCACAAGATTAAGAAGACACGAAAAGCATGACAGAACAACAATAAGCTCAACACATAATAACAATTGGCTTTACCGTATAAGATTGCAGAAGAGGCTCCATTGTGTTTATTATATACGTACCAGTTCTTTCATACTGCATGATATATGAAAAAATCTCAGATGCAATTCAATTGTATATGTATTAAGATGCAACATTATCTAACGATACATGTCAGCAAACCAGGGTACCACATGACACGCAAATTCAGAAAGAAAAAAAGGCCAACCTGAAATCTGCATAGGTAAGGAAAGCAATCTAGCTCATCCTGCAGGACTTCAACTTTATCCAAAGGATGATCAGTCGAATCATCGGGGACACTAGCCTGGAAAGTGGAAATAGGAACTTGTAAAAAAACTACACTTAAGCATTGGGAACCTTCCAGTATATTTGGTGTTATTTACCTGCACAGAATTGAATCTGGAGATTATAAAACCCTCGGTAATTTTTGGTACAAATTCATCGAGTAGACTTGGTGAATCACCCTTCAAGTATGGAACAGAGGCTACTAATCTGGACCACATTCCAAGAAGGTAATACACACTGCTGCTGGCCCACTGTAAACAAAAAAAAAGAAAAAAAAAACCATGGATTTTACAAACTAGATACCATCTCAGCTAGCCAGTTAAGCTATACTAAAAACAACATGTCGGAGGATGATTATACTTTATTTTCCAAGGCATTTATTAGCCTAAACTTGCAAAAACTTTACCTGCCATGACTGGAGAGATTTTAGTGTAAACTCTGCCACCAACTGTATCCAGTCACCATAGCCGTCCATTTTCACAAGCTCGGAAAGCTGCAGATGAATTCAAACATGCTATTACATAAGATCTGAATTTATTAGCTATATAACCCAATAAACCATGTTCAAATGATATTCCACCAAAAAAATTACAATGACTCCGCAAAACAAACACTTACATGCTGGCAATAACAATTTGTAATATACCACTACTAAGAACATCCAGAGATGAATCAAAGAAAACAAAGAACCAGAAGCTACCAGTTATGCAAGAGACATAAGTATCCTCCGAAGGAAAGTACATATAGCATCAGTATTTACGAATAGTGTCTGTGCAACTGTCAAATTTTACCCATGTACATGGCATCGTAACCTAAATTTCTAGCTATGACACAATTAAAATTAGAAAAACAGTAAATGTGAATTAGAAAGGAATCTAATTGAGACATTTACCTGATAATTCAACCTAAAACGGCCAAGTAGACGGCAGAAGACATGGTAGTTATCATGATCAGCAAGACCTGATTCAACAAAAGCAATGTGTGTAGAAGAAGATAAGGGGCTGGGATCAGTGAGATATTATAGGTTAAAGTAAGATGAGTGAGGTGTAAAGTATGCAATAAAACATAAAATAACCCTAACATGTTAACAGACTGCATAAGTGAGAGGCTGGATTTCAGGTATGAAGAGTTAAAAAAAAAACTGTAAATGGCACAGTTGCATACAATAGAACACTTTAAGCTCAATTTTTACAGTCAGACGTAGAAAGTTCCACAGTATAGCACATCAAACATACCTTTTCCTGTTTGAAGAATTTCTCTGGTTCCAGTCATCAAATGAGCTAAGAACGTAGAGCGGGTAGCATCATTTGTGAACAAAGAGCGTCTAACAGAAGCCAATCGCACCAAGCACTCAAGTGCCTAGAAGTTAAAACAGAGGAACATTAACAAAAAGCAAATTCTATGTCCTCACAATAAGGGTGGATGGATAAAAATGAACGGAAAAAATTACACATGTATGATGCAAAAGATGCATATATGTTTCTTCTCCACAAGAACTAAGGGAAAAAATGGATATACCTCTTTCGAAAGAGGTGGCTCTGTACTACCATAATAATCGAAAAATATCTGCAGCGTGGAGGGATCCTCCAATACTGACCTCCAGGAAGTTGGAATCTAGAAATTATCAGTAACACAAGAGGTTATAACACCCTTGAAAAACGAGTACCACAAATACATAGGCACTAAGCGATGAAAAACTGGATGAAGATAACACAATATTAATGTTTTACCTGAACTGTACCAAACTCCTCTGTGCTTTCATCAATTGAAGTTCCAACAAAATCAAACGATACACACCTCAATGCAAGGGAAAGCGCCAATTCTTGTAAACGACCAGTGGCTGATTAAAAGACAATGTCTGACATATTACTACGGAACTAACAGCAAAAGAAAATGAAAATTTCCATACCTACGCATAGACCAACAGATAGATATCGACAACGATAGTAACATGGCGATTGCAATACATTTCAACAGCATTTACTTTCAAGATGGTATTTACAAGTTTTCAAGGTTGGCATAAAGGAATATAATGGAAAAACTGGCAAAGATGACTCATTCAACTGTTAGAAATTCCTAAAGTGGTATCCATTCATTAACAGCCAGAAAAGTTCAGACATATAAAACCAACCAACCAGGTTGATGAAAGCAATGTATTACAAGATTCAGTTCATAATATTACCGTCATTTTTCAGATAGTTTAACGAGGTCAAAGCTATTCGGAACATCTGAAATAAGGATTGATCCCTAAAGTTGCATGCAACCCTCCGGTGATGTGTAGAAGGCAGTCCTGGATTAGGCTAAGAATTGAGAAAAAGATAGATGAAGAAATGTCAATAAGCATTTCACAAAAACAAATAAATGGACTCTAAGGCAATGAGTAATCCATGCCAAGAAACACAAACTTAACAGTGAGATATTCCAGCTTTTGTTAAGAAATTTATGCGACTTGAAAAATCGACCAAAACACATCACTAACCTGATTCATCTCCTGCACAAGTTGATCCAAAATTCTTAAACCAATAGCATAGTGATCCGAGGAACCCTATCAAGAAAAAAACCATGAAAGAAACATATTCAGCAAGCTCTAGTTAAAACGACACTGAAACTTCTACAAAAGCATCATCTACATGGGTTTTGGCAATAAAAATGTCCATAAAGCACTAAGAAACCATGGAAACACAGTAACAATACTCCCAAGAAGATGCACCACCTGTTCCAAGAAGTTCGTTGATTCACTAACCACATCCCTGAATCTATCATCATCTAACCATCCAAACTTTGTGAGCCGGCAAAGCAGTTGAATGAGCGAAGCAATAACAAATGATTGCATCTTCGGTCCTCTTGTAGCTAGATAGTTCACAATATAAGCCCCTAAGACAGCCAATAGAACACCAGAAACAAGTAAGATATTAAAAGCCAGAAAGAGATATTTCTAGTCATTCGGTTAGGAGGACTGCATAAGAAGATTACTGATATCAAGGCGGAGATTCAGCGGAAGGGTATGATCTGTCACTTGCTTCAACAAACTCGAGCTAGCGAGCATTAAGGAATAAGGTTTTGATGAATTGTCGAGGATGTATTGACATTGCGAAATATATTCAGTATTCACGGAGAAGCATCTCAGACTATTTTCAGCATGAGCTCTCTCAGCTGAATCCGATGAATTGTATAATCTCTCGCACAATGCCTCAAGTTGCGCCAAGCTCTCCATTGGTAACGAAGCAGAATCTGACCAAAAAGGTAAAAAACCATAGATACCACTGTCGTTTTAACAATATTTCAACAAAATTTCAGTTTTATCGTCATTTATAAACTGTTAACTGGCAACAAAAGAAAGGAATGAATCATTACAATATCACTTTTTCTCAGAGAACCTTCATTATTATTCAATCAAATTTTCTAGAACTGGATTGAAAATTTAACAACACAAGAATCAAACAAACTGCAGGAGAAAATTGCAATGAATCATTTCCACATTAAACGCAATCCACAATTCTTAATAATATTGAAACACCAAGATCCAAACAGAGATAGAACAACATGTCAACATTAACAACAACAAAACTGCAGTATCAGTTGAGGAAAGACAACATAAGTGAGCTACTGGTAAATATCACTTATCACATAGATCTCATACAAAAGAGAGGGCAATAGAGGGAGTACACACGTAGTAATAGAAAAAGTAAGTAAAAGCCTAATGGCAGAGTTAAGTTCCTAACTCTGCATGATGGAAAAGCTGTGTATCACCTTACTCCAGCTCAGTACTCGCCTTTGATTTCTGTTTAAAAGGTCAAAAATCATAACTCAGTTGCCAAACCACCCATGTAAATACTCACAGTAGACATACAAAATGCAGGACTTCCATAAGGGTGCAAGCTACAACTCCACAAGCCACACATTATCAAATGCCGCTATAATCTCAGTACGTTATATTCCAGAGAAAAAAAAGGATAAGAAACACTCAAATACTTGGAAGATATTAAGCGCAGAGTTTACACTATCATTCCGCCAAAGCTACATCATATGTGAGTTCATGAAAGCGCACGGAAAGTGTGGTGATGAAACTATAAGCGATGTATCTGGAGATATCCATCGTACGCTATATCATGCTATACTGTGCTAGAACAAACATATCCACTCGAGCACAGAAAAACGGCTACAGTAAGGAAATGAGCACAAGCAAAACCTAGATTTCTTATTTCCATCGCATCCTAATCATTTTCGCAGGAAACAGAGAAATGAGATTCATCATCGATCTTCACCACTTCACGAATCAGAAGATTGAGAAGAAGAAACAATCGAGCAAAGAAAACTCCGAAAAACAACGATGTGAGAAAAGCAACTTTGCCTCACCGGAGATTGAGCTGGTAGCAACTTAGATTTGCTGCTCGATAAGTTTTTCCGGCGAACTGAAATCTCGATCAAGCCAAGCGTCGATGGTTACAACGAAGAAGGAGAAGAAGAGACGTGCAGTCTGATCAGGCGATGACAGCGTTTATGCCGAAGAGCATTTGCCGATTATAAACTTCCTTTTGGTTAAGATGCTCTCACCTCTATCTCGCTCGAGTGTGGTTTATTGGGCCTATTCTGATTCTTTATTGGGCCTAGGTCATATGAATATCGGGCTTTATGGGTCCAAAACTTTAGTGTTGATTACAAGATATAAATACAACTATGTAACCCAACAGGTTTAATCGGCTTCCCACTTTTAAGCAGACTCTCTCTCTACGCTTCTCTTCCTTCTTCATTGAGCTGCCGCCGCCGTTTCCTCCCAAACTAATTGAACTTCTCTAGTCTTCGTCGTCTCTTGTGGACTGCGAGAACTTCGGAGGAGTAACTTCCGGCAGGCTTATCTAGGCGACGGCGAGCTCAATTTTCGGTAAGAAAGCTAATTGTTTTTCCTTATTTTTTACTTATGTAAACCCAGATATTCGATTGGTTTTTTTGAGATCGGTTTAAAGTATCTTTCACTGTTAGTGCTTGAAGAGGCAAACTCAAAAGTCGAAATCTAGGTTTTTTCGGTGTTTATTGTTTATGTAGCTGGTGTGAAGTAGAATAGCTATGATTAGGGTTTATGAACTAATTTTCTTCTGTTTCAACCCCCGTTTACGAGTAAGATGAACTTTTTCTGAGTAATAGATGTTGTATCAGCTGCTTTTTTCGTAAATACATCTGGATTTTGTGATGCTCTTGGTTCTGTTTTACATCTAGCTACTCTGTGACCCTTATTCTTATTAAAAGAGTCGTCATGGACATGTTACAAGAGATTCAGCTGAGAACCTTATACCTTCTTCCAAGAGGATCTAAAGTAGAAGTTTGTATCTTTGTTGATGTGTGGCTTTTCTATCTGTTTTTCTAGTCAAAGCTTTTGCTGATGCATAAATTTTCTCTATGTCTATGCCGACTTCTGGATATCATTACCTGTGTATACTGCTGGCTAAGAAGTTTGGGACATTACTTTAATCTTTGTGACAGGAATAAACGTTGGTGGTTTGAAGCTCCAGCACACTTTTCATCATGCAGAGTCGGCGACGTAACTCTGCTTTTAAGCTACTTGCATACTCTAATGAGCTTTTGGATGGGAAGCCGCTCTATGCCTCTTCTAATTGTCTTCCGGTGAAGGCTTTAAACCGTGAACCTGCTGGTCATGCGTTCCATGCTGCTGCTCTCGAACTGCGTGGTTGGGCAAAGGAGACCACAGACAAGAAGGAAGATGCCTCCGATAAGAAAGTTGGGAGCGAGAAGGATAAGGATTACATTCCTTCCTATGATTCGTATAACAACAAAGCAAAGAAGAAGTCTGGAAAGCAACAACAAGATCACTATGGTTTGTTGGGTTTGGGCAATTTAAGATATCTTGCTACAGAGGATCAGATTAGGAAGAGCTACCGTGAAGCTGCTCTGAAGCATCACCCTGATAAACTTGCTACTCACCTTCTCACCGAGAAGACAGAAGAAGCCAAGCAAGCCAAGAAGGATAAGATTGAATCTCACTTCAAGTTGATTCAAGAATCATACGAGGTTTTGATGGACCCAACAAAGAGAAGGATATATGACTCTACAGATGAGTTTGATGACGAAGTCCCAAAAGATTGTGCTCCGCAAGACTTCTTCAAGGTCTTTGGTCCAGCATTTGAGAGAAACGCAAAGTGGTCTGTTAATCCGCGTGTACCAGATTTGGGAGATGAGAATACACCGGTTAAAGATGTTGATAGCTACTACAAATTTTGGTACGCTTTCAAAAGCTGGAGAGAGTTTCCTGAAGAAGAGGAGCATGATCTTGAGCAAGCAGAATCTCGTGAGGAAAAGAGGTGGATGGAGAGAGAGAATGCAAGAAAAACTCAGAAGGCTAGAAAGGAGGAGCGTGCTCGGATTATGAGTCTTGTTGACTATGCATATAAGAAAGACCCAAGAATACAGAAAAGGAAGGATGACGAGAAGGCAAAGAAGCAGCAGAAGAAAGATGCTAAAGTTCAGGCCCAGAAGAAGCTGGAAGAAGAAGCTGCTGCAGCTATTGAAGAAGAGAAGAGGAGAAAAGAAGAAGAGGCCAAACTTGCTGCAGAGGCTGCTCAGATGCTAAAGAGAACCAAGGAAAAAGAGAAGAAGCTTCTGCGCAAAGAACGAAGTCGGCTCAGAACTCTCTCTGCACCTGTTCTGTCCCAGCGTCTGCTTAGCATCTCTGTTGAATATGTGGAAGATCTATGCACGTCACTTAACACCGAGGAGTTGAGGAGTCTGTGCGACAAGATGGAAAACAAGCATGGGCTGAAATTGGCAAAGGTGCTCAAGAATGGGAACAACAGTGTGGATGATGAAACAGATGATGAAACAGAGAGTAAAGATGAGGAAGCAACGACTAAAGAAGAAGAAGTGGTAGTTCAAGTTGCTGCTAAGCAGAATGGTCATGTAGAAGCCAATGGAGTTTCTACTCTGAACAAAGAGAACAAGAACAACAACTCTGAACCAGTTGCTGCTGCTGGTTCAGACCCAGACGGTTGGTCTGCTGTGCAAGAGCGAGCTCTGCTTCAGGCTTTGAAGACGTTCCCAAAGGAGACAAACAAAAGATGGGAGAGAGTGGCAGCAGCTGTTCCAGGGAAAACGATGAACCAATGCAAGAAGAAGTTCGGTGGCCTAAAAGACATCGTCAAAAGCAAGAAACCCACAGCCTAATTCTTACCGAGCCCTCGAGCTGCATTGTCTGAGAATTTTGTTTTGACAGAGAAGAGCCTAGACTCAATTTTTGTTCCGATTCATATTTCATATACATCATCATGCTACTATCATGTTCCTCCTCCTTACATAGAGTGTTTGACAACTGAATCTATTCTTATCTATCTATTTTCTTCTAATTTTATTTATACTCTGTGTTTATCTAGTTTTATGTATTGTTCAAATTTGAAACAGAGTCGTAGATGAACCAAATCGAACACATCCCAAGGGATATAAACATAGAAATTAAACGAAACAATTTGGTTTAACATATAATCAAATCAACTGTATATAAGTGTATGAGAAGAAGCCAGTTCTACAAAATCAACCATTTCATCCTCCTGATGAATCGTGATATGGTTATTGGTACAAAAGCCAACATAAGTGTCGGCTGTGATCAAAAGACTCAAAGAAAAGATATTGTTCTTACACTGGCAGTTGCTAGCCCAGGAGGATGGACAGATTTGGAACGACTCTAATCTGATCAGCCACCAATGGATTGAAGAACTTCCCGGGCTCTTTACGGTAGTTCCGTCATTTGACAGACGGGAGGCATGTTGCTCCAAGAACAAGACCCTACTCCAGAGGATCCCCCAATATTCAGATTCATATAGTCATTGCCTATGTCATCACCGAGGAGAGCCGCGAGTGCGTCGCTCATGTTACCTGTCTCTTTCACAATCCCTAAACCATGGTCGATCCAGCTTGATGCAAGCAAAACATCAGGCCGTGTTATATCCAAGACAGGTTTCCGCTCTTTCCCTCTCTGCCCTGCATAATTTTACAAGATTGGGTGAGTCTTTTAGTAGCCAATTGATGCATGGGATGAAATTTCAAGATGCAAAGACGGGTTACCAAAATAGAACTATCAGAAAGAAGTTGAAATCTAATCAACAAATTACTTCAAGTAAGGTGACTCACTTAGTGGAAGTCCATCTGCATTGTGTTGTTTTGAAAGTGAAATCTCGGAATGGAGGAAACTCTCAAGGGAATGGTCAAACTTCTCTGATTTAATTTGGGATAAACTTAACTCGCCTGCATCAGCTGATGGAGTAGTTGAAGCACAACTCTTGTACAAACTGTTCTTTGTACTATTATTTCTGATCTTGGCCTCCAGAAGCAACATATCAAGCAGACCAGTATCGCAATTCGGAAAACAATCCGACTCTTCTCTCCTAGTTGGTGGTGGAGACTGAATGTAAGCATCAAAGGGATCAAGGAGGTCTGAGTGTGGAGGAGATACCGATTTCTTCCACTGATCAAATGTTGCTTCTGGATATTGGAATGAAGGGAGCTCCAGCTTCACTGCCCCAAGTGAGGGGCTCGAAGCAGGAACAATGCCATCTGTAAAGGTATGGCTACCTGGTATCAAAACAGGTGAATGTTGGTTTCCGTAGCGGGAATGATCAACATCACAAGGAACTGAGAAACTGCAAGCTTTGGAAATCTGTTGTGTAGCTGTGTTCTGAAAATGTTCAGGCGATGGGAACTCTTGCTTTATGGTACTGCTGCAGACAGGATACAACGACGATTCAGATTCCCGAAGTCGCTTTGAGGAGGGCATCAATGGTGGCATGAAGTTTTCATATCGAGGAGAACTACCAAAGCTTCCAAGAATATTGCACGCAGCCACATCTGCTAAGTCAGACGCACCAGGTACCGTGTGGTTAACAAAATTAAGACTGTCGAAGAAGAGATTAGACTCACAACTCCCTAGCTTCCAGAAATCTTGATGTCTTATATCTCCTCCTAAAACTCTACTCTTGGTATACTCTTGACTCCACTCGAGTACTTCAAGATGCATCTCAGGAGGATAAAGTGGTAAACCAGCTCGTTGTCGCCTCTTGATGCGAGTGTTCCAGTAATTCTTTATCTCATTATCTGTCCGGCCTGGCAACTGGTGGGGACAAAAAAAAAGAACAGAGAAATTAGTCTCCAAACTATTTACAAAACGAACAATTTCCTCACAAAAACACACTTACATGTGCAGCCATACGCGCCCATCTATTCCCCATCTTGGCATGCAATTCAACAATAAGCTGTTCTTCTTCTTGACTAAAAGCTCCTTTCTTCAAGTTTGGCCTCAGATGATTAGCCCACCTTAGGCGGCAGCTTTTACCACAACGGGACAGGCCCGTGTGTTTCTGCACAGCGTTCCAGTTACCTTCACCATGCTTCTTCACATAGTCAACAAGAATGTCATCTTCAGCTGAACTCCACGGCCCTTTCTTCAGAGCATTTCCTTCCCATCTACTTCTGCAGTCACTTCCATTATCAGCAGCTGGTGACTCATTAGGGTCACTCTCAGTGCTCGTGTAACTCATCTCTCTTTAATTAAATTTGCAGCACTTCAGCAACCATTTAGACATTAAGCTCCTACCTAAACATGGTTAAGCCAAGAACAAAAATTCATCAACATAGAAGCTGCAAACACTCTGATAAGGAAGAAACGCAAATAGCGTTAGAAATCACGAATCCAATAGAGAATCCGTAATCACATAGAAGTAAAAGAGAAGAAAAAGGCACCTGAAACAAATCCCAGATGAGGAAAAAGCAAATATATAACTGTCAGACGCTGAAGCTGGAAACCTGAAGACAAACAGAGAAACACAGAACAAGAAGGATTAGTCTATCACGAAGAAGATCTACGTCAAAGCTGATGCAAAAATCAATCAAAATCGCAGCTAGAGATCAGCTCAAAGAGATCGGAACGCACAGAGAAATTTCTCCCCGAGTATGGATTTGTAAAACGAAAACAAAATCTAGCTAATTTCAAGCTCGTCGGAGATCCTTAAGACTGATCATAGATCCGTGAAAAAGAAATCGGGATAGAAACGGAAGGATAATCTAGAAAAAACAAAATCAAGTGGAGAAGCTCTGTCGATTTTCACAGGGAATCTGCGAGTTACGAAGAAGATAGAAAGAAGAAAATACCAAAGCTTGATTGAGATCCTAGCTTGGGCTGCTGAACATCGAGTGGAAATGGAAGGAGGAAGAAGCAAAGCTCTTTCTCTTCATTTTACTCTTTTCTACTTTCTCTAATTACTTTTTTTCAGGAGATTTAACGTTTTTTATATTTTTATATGATAACAATCCATTTCTTTGGTTTCGGGTTAAATTAACGATGAAATTACATTGTAAATTTGAAATTAGCCAAAGCAAAATATGACTTCCACTATAGTGTGATTTAAATTAAAATGACATACAAAAATGAAACTAACTTATACTCCCAAAATAATCTATTGGACAATAAGTATAATTTAACACTTCATTAATAGTGGCAATAAATGTGGGTTTTCTTAATGGTCAATGAATGTCAATGTTAAGATATAACTACATGATGTTATGGAATCATATTTGATCTGGTTCTTTAACCATTGGTTTTCTCTATAGTTTGCAAATGCCAAAAGACACCGAAAATAACATTTGGGTGTTAAAGAGACTAGACAAATGGTCAAAGAAAACAAATAAATGACGAGACTGATTATCGTCATCAGTTTGAAGCATCAATCTAATATTCTTCCTTATGAAGGCTTTCAAAGTGATTAGTATAGTATAGTAGGATCAAACTTAACCAACGGGACACAAATATATTTTGGTTAGTTAAAGTTGGATTAGGAACTTTCATCATATAGAAAGAACCGAAAGGTGACAAATTGAATAATTGATTTGAAAGGATTGTATAACTTGTAAGAAACAAATACTATCATTAATACAGGTCGCCTTTTCCTCATCCTTGCAGGCTTTTTGTGAGCTGAGTTATCAGTTTTGCTTGCGCAACACAAACTTCTCACTCTCTCTTATCTCATTTGATATTTGCACAAATATGTATGTACATCGCGTATGAAGACAAAACTGAGCTTACGAAAGCTTGACAAAGATAAGAAAAAGAGGAGGATAGGTAGATGATGCAATTGTGGACATCCATAACAGAATCAGCAAAGTGGATGTATCTACGCAGACTTTTGCTTTATACCTTTGATTATATAGATCAAACTTTATCTTGGTAGTTTCTATTGAAAACTCACATAACATATCTAACGTCTGTCCATATAGAAGTTTGGACCACTTTTATAACATAATGTTTAGCTTAACGGCCCAATCATTAAATTTTGTATCAATATTTTGTCCGAAGCTATGTGAGTGTAATGCCTTGTGCGCATATACGCAAGGCCCATAAGCGGACATTACCTGATTAGATGTTAAGTATCTTCTGGATTATCAAATCACGTGGACTAATTAACATGTCGCGATTTAGACACTTGAACAAAGTCATCATTTCGTTTCACATTCGAAAAGATTTCTCGTCACAAATTACGATTGTCATATAATACTGTTTCTGTGCTCCAATTCTTCTCCACTTTTGTTGTTTACGTACAGGATCCAACCATTTGTTAGATTATTGTTTTTGCTGGCGTGGCTAATCTCAAGTTGGCCAACTCTAACGGGAAGGCGGCAGCCAAAAGTCTAGCGGTCAAAGAGTTTGTCAACAAACCAAATTAAGCAAATAATATTAAATGAGTCCTAATAGCTGCTTAATTATTCTTAATTAATTTCCTATCTACTCCCACCAAACTACAAATCGTCTGATCTTTCCTAAAAAAAACAAAAAACATTATCTTCTCACCTTAAATATGATCAAAAACGAATATTATTAAAACAGATGTGATGTCTACCTGAGCAAATTCAGCTATGAATGGCGAAGCAATAAACGTAATAGCGTCTAATTAAGAGGACTGGAGTTAGTTTGATTCCTGTTAAAAAGGATGACATATTAAATTGGTCCCTGTCCTGGAAAATCTATAGATTTATGTCCACAATTTCCAGATTTAATGATTTAATAATTTTATTGAGTTTTCTCTTGAAGCAATGCAACATGTAAAAGACGTTGCCATTTATTTATTCTGATATAATGGCCATTACATTCGACAAAAGCTATTTAGAAAAGAAGAAGAAAAAAAACACAAACCCGTAGTCATCTACTTGAAATCTCAAAAGGAAAACTTCAAAACATGTTAACGTCTGCAATCAGTGATCACATAATTGAAAACTATTGGAAAAAAGGTTTGAAAGTGGTGACCACCTTCTTGACTTGATCGAAAAACGACAAATACGACACCGTCCCGTCGTTCCCTGCGAGAACTCTGTATTTATCCTTCCTCGTGAAGTTAGTACACTCAAACCCTAACGTAGCCGCCAAGATTCTCTGCACATAGTTAGCCACGTCATATGGGCTCTTCCCTGACGAACACGTCGCCTCTACTTCCAGCTGGTTCAAGAACGTCACCTCGTAAACCGGTCTCGGGTTCATGAAAAAGAAGATCGGGTCAAAACCTTTCCAACCTCTCGCGGTGGTCGCGTGAAAGAATCCAACTCTATAGTTCATTGCCACGGGAACGATCTTGTCCGTTAACTCCGCGAAAAGCGCGCTAAATCTCAGCAGAAACGGCTCGCGACAAGTGGTTCCCTCGGGATACACCACCAAGTCCCCGTTAGATAACTCTTTCTTGATAATCTCAGCGTCTACATGTCGAACTCGAGTTAAACGGAAGGTTGGAATCGGAGATAGAATCTCAGATAACCGAGAAACTGAATAGGTAACAGCTGGGATGCTACGACCGAGCACATAGGATAATATGACCGGATCCATCACGGTTCTATGAGTGCATACGAATAGTACACCTAGGTTTCCGGCGGTTGCTTGTGCCGGAGGCTTTCCTTTTACGATGAACCGAATGTTGAATATCCGTGAAACATAAGGTATTGCCCATAAGGGGAGCATGAAGCCGATGAAGAGCCGAATCACGGCTAGGATTATTCCAAAAGGGATCCAAACAAGGATGAGAAGTGCGGTGGCTGGTGTCGGCAGCTTCACCAGACGTCCGTCGTGGAAGATAACCGGTAACGGCTGCATATGCAGGCGCTGGTTATGACCGTTGTAATTCGATGGGACCGGTGCATGAACTTGTTCCTGTATAAAGTCCAAATTAATTAAAGAATGATCATAAAAATTTCATAAATTATGTCACATTTCATTTAATATTCTAACGGTTTTTTAGTACTTACCTCACATAACGACAAGAAAGTTGGAGAACCAAAGATACCCGGTTGTCCAAGACCGAGTTGAGGTCTTCGATCCGAAAACAAACTAGCGACGCTATTGAAAACAGATCGATCGACATCGGTTTCCTTGATCAAACCGGTGGCATAACCGAAACGGTTAACGATTATCTCTGTACCGATGACCTCATCGGCTCTAAGATGATCTTTAGCGAATCTCTCCACCATAACTCGTGGCATTCTTGTCACAATGACTCTCTTCTCGCACGAACCAAACGCTCTCCAAGCGTCCGTGCTGACATCATCCATGTAGAATTTGGGAAGAACGGCTCGAGCCACCGATTCGATCTCTGATATGCGTAAACCGGCCGTTGCGACGAAGATCATCAGCTTGAGGCTACCGTTTCTGTAGTCCAAAACGTCGAGAAGTGCTACGATAGGCCAGAGAAGCAGCAGGATTGCGAAACGGACTAGACCTGAAGCCTCGAAAGCCACGAGCATGAAGTAAGCGAAGGGTTTTGGGTTTTTCAGTAGTGTTCCTTCGAGCTCTGACACGACCGAATTATACGATGTTGTCGTTGATGAATCCATCACCACTTAGTTAAGTATTTTTGGGTGTGTGGTTAACTTGAGTTTTTGATTTGTTCGATTATGAAAGTTATTGGAACATATAGTTAGTTTTTATAAGGTGGAGTGACTTGTCTCTAATGCAATAACACGACAGTTTATCGGTTTCGCAACCACCTTAATTTAGGTTATATTGGACGCATTAATTAATTTATTTGTTGTCGTTGAATAACTTCCTGAAAGTCATGTATTTATGTAGGTAGAATACGAGAAATTAAGCAATATACTGAACGTCAAGTGTTTTGATTTTCCATTTTTTATTGAAATGATATCAACAATGAGTTTCTCACCAAAGTCTTCACAAATAAATAACCAAAAAAATATTATTATATTATATTAAGTAGTATCTCAAATAGTTGAGAGATTCATCCAAAAGTTTCTCAAAATCTCTCATTTTGGGTGAGCCTCTCAAAATACCACTTAATATAATAATATCAAATTTAATTTTTTGTTTGTAAAAAACTTTGGTGAGAACCTGTTGTTGGAGATGGTCTTACAGTCAACAAATCAGAATAATTTGATAGCTTAACTTTCACCAACTGGTTTCCGAATTTTGGTCGGGCTGCACCAGTAATTAGGTCACGTGTACACCTAAATATACGAAGATAAATATAGGTCACTGACCTTATGTTATTTTTTTTTGTTTCATGGCTTCGTATGCGCCTACATATGGTATTTGTGATCATATGCGCACACGTGTACGCGTGGGGAGTATGTGACGATAGATTACTTTAGGCATGTGTTTTATTTGTATACGTAAATTAAAACCAAATCGACAGATTATCCCGTCAAATCATAATACCTTTTTTAGATGATTTTGATCGGTACCTATATTTAACAGATTTTGACGAATTTTAACATCCCGTCAAATCGTCATGTTTCGAATGATGCTTGATAAGTCTCATGTGGTATCACTTGGGCTTTTTGTGATCTTTATGGTGGACTTTCTAAATTGTAACAGAGTGGCCGGACCTCAGTTTCTATAATAGCGATATATCGATGTCTTTGTCCGTCACTAATCTGTTTCATTTTTTAGTGTCCATGTATTCTAAAGAAACTCTAGAAGGTATTTAAAAATAAAGAAAAAGAAAAAAAAAGGAAAATCTAGAAGGTAGAAATATAAAAATGGTTTCATGATGGAGTTCATAAAACAACACGTCTAGGACAGTACCGGTTGGGTAATAGCCTAGGCTTAACACCCCCCAAAACCAAAAGATAACAAAAGGTGAATTAGGGTTCGTAGGGGTTCACATAACATTGCATATGAATGAACAATTAATTGTTTAAATTTTAGTATTAAAATATAATTCCATTACTCATATATGATTGCATGCATGATCAAGAGTTCAACTGTTCAAGACAAACGTTATTAAAGCTCGAAAGTCGAAGTTACCATCTGTAAACGAGACGAGTCCGACTCAGTGATCCTAGTGCCTCAACTTTCCACTTTCGTGTCTCTCATTTTATTATACATCCTGATCCTAGTTATGCTTCAAATTTTACTATATATGTCTACGTAAAATAAAACCCTTAATTAATCCAAGTATGAAGTATGGGACCATGTATAACAGTACTTGCAATGTTAGTGGCAGTCATAGTCTGCATCTTTTCATTCGGTATTTCAAGTTCCATTATTGTGAAGACCTTATTATATGATATCTATTACAGGAATACCGAGAAATACCATTATATATGTTTTGTTTGTATGACAATACAATCAGTTTTTAAATTTTTTTAGGAAAGCCTTTTAGAAAGAATTCCTTCCACAGTTCCACAACTGATTTAAAATATGGTTTTATTAAAATATTTGGTGGTAAATTTGGAAAGGAATGAAGTTTGTCATCTTTTTAAATCTGGTCAAGAGAGATGTATAACTTTGTAAATTCAATTTTTCTTATTAGTTATTACACATTTAAGTTTGGTTATTTTACCAGGTTTTCTTAGGGGAAAAAATCACATCATATCCACACAAAAACTAATAAATTAAACTAAGGGGAGGCTCGGTTCAATGTTACTGGTATTGGTTTTTAGTCGCCGTTTTTTTTGGTGTTTCAGTTTCTTATATTGCGCTCCCTATTCGTAAGTGGCAAACATAGAAAGGGACATTTACAATTATTATAATCACAAATGTGGATTCTGAACTTAGATTGGTAATAATTATGGATCTATCAAGACAATGTAGATGTAGGGAAGGATGATTCATGAACTCTACATCTAATCCTAACAGAGCTTGGCGAATTTTTAACTTTTAAGTGAATAATGCATCTAGGTGCTTAGTTAATTTCGACTCCAAATAGTGATTCCAGAACAAATTATATACACAGAACAGATAAGGTAAGAAAACCCAGGACTGACTTCAGAAAATTCAATGTATGACAAGTTGATGGGACCTTTCCTAAGATACTGTACCTTTTGTCTGTGTCACCATGCAAAATGGCTGCATTTGCATCTCATCAACCAATAATTTATCATTTCCGTAAAGCCTAAAGACTAGTTAACAGTTGCGGAATAAATAAAATTGATGAGTTTGGACAAGACATAATCGTCTAGTGGTGGGGCTTATAAAAACCAACCCAATTTGTCTAAAGCTAACAAAATATATAAACACACAGCACAACAGAGCAAAGACAAAATCAAGAAAGAAAAAAATGGCAGGTCATGGATCATCATGTGGAGCATGCAAGTTCCTGAGGAGGAAGTGTAACTGCGATTGCGTCTTCTCGCCTTACTTCAGCTACGAACAAGCCTCATCCCATTTTGCAGCGGTCCACAAAGTCTTCGGCGCGAGCAATGTCTCGAAGCATTTGCTTCATTTGCCTCTACATCAAAGAAGCGCCGCTGCGATCACCATCTCCTACGAGGCTCTCTCTCGCATGCGTGATCCTGTTTATGGCTGCGTCGCTCACATCTTCGCTCTTCAGCAACAGGTCTCTCAACAAAAATTAACACGTTTTTTTTTGGATCTACTTGAGACTGTGAAAAATCTATATATTAAACGTATATTTGAAGGCTGGCAAAAAAAAAAAAAAAAACGTATATTTGAAGTTGTTTAATAACAAACAAATAAAATCAAATATAATTTTTACGTTGCTTCGTGGGTTTTGTTTTTAAGGTCGTGACTTTGCAAGAGGAGATAGAGTTTCTCGGGACCCAAATGGCGAATTTCTCTTACACTACTCAAAGTAGTTCACAACACAACAACATGCCGGAGATTCTAAACCAGATGACAATGGATACGACCGGCTTCGTCGACGAGAGTCTTTTGAACAACGACGACGGAAGAAGTTGCCTTGAAGGGTTCTTCACGAACACGGAGGAAATGCTTGTGAATAATCCATGGCTTCAGAACATGGATAACTATTACTACGCACCACAACATTAATGCTCTGTTTTTACAGGTGGGGAGCATGGTTTTTTGCCATGGTAGTCGGGTTTTTCAGTTGTTTCCTATATCGGTCGTTATAGATCGTGTTATATATTGTACGAAATTTGTCAAGGGTTAGCTCTTAAGTAATTAATTGGAGTATTAAAGAATGTGTTAGGTAATTATGGCACTCTTTAAGCCAATTGTATGAAAGTAGTTAGTATTTCATGTGGGTCTCTCTATATGTAAAATGCTTGTGTATAGCTCGATAAGTGACATATTGGGTTGATTTGTGACTTTATAACATTGTTTCTGTTTTAACATATTGAGGAACATTGATTACTAGCCATGGAAATGCTTGGGATTTTCATGGGTACTGGATTGAATAATTTAGACCCATTATATAATATCAATGTTTAATAGCTTTTGAAGCCCAAATGGGCTCATCTAAAATCCAAACCACCTTTAGCCCAATGACCCATCATACTTACATTTAGCATATATTTGCATTAGGTGTCATAGGATGAAGGTATTCCATGGCTATGTAATGTCTCTTCCAAAACAGTGAAATGAAAGAAAAAAACAGAGAAAGCGAAAGAAAGAAAAGTTTTTTGTAACTTATTACGACAAAAAAAAAAAAATTTCGATAGCAGAAACTCAACAATAAGTATAACTCTTAACTGCATACAAAGAAAAATATATACAATACGAAAATGAAATTCGTGTTTTGGCTTTTTATCACAACAATCGTGATGTTTTATTTCTTCCAAAAATTTTTGTTTTCTTTTTGCTTTGTAATTAAGTCACTTCAGTTTGGACACTTTGTACTCCAATCTTGTTTTGTTTTTTTGCTCACACTGTCTGATAACCTTAATATGGAGACAAATTGTAGGTTGAAATTTTTGACATATGAGTCCTCCAGTATACATCGTTATAAAAATAATGTAAATTTCAGGCATAGATCTCCACTTCTCATCCGTAAAATACTCGTAAAATATAATCACACCATAACATATTTAATGTCAGTACGCCACGGCTATATCGTCTTATTAGCTCGATCATATAAAATATTGATCATAAATTGATTTGTTGGTCCACTGTAAGCATCACCTCTACAGCCACATAATCCGAAGATAGGTGTATGTTTGAGACTCTATTAAAATAACGTTATGTAGCCTAATATAAATAATTACAATTAAACCACAATTTTTTTTCATATTATTAGGGACTATAACTACTTATTAAATTGTAGTCTCGTGGAAACTTAGGTCTTGCCATTAATTTTAGCAACCATCAGATCATAAACTCGCCAACTAATTATTAATATCCAAATATAAACATGTATATAGATGTATATTTAGAGTGAAGAGAAGACATAGGAGTAACTAAAGTAAAAGAGAACTTTCCCCATCAAAGTCTCTCCCTCTTTACTCATGGTTCTCCACGTAGCTTTCTCACATTCAATGCTTTAGCCATATACTCAAACACACATACATATGTATATGCGTCTCTCTTTATATACGCGTACGTGCGTGTAAATCTACATACTTTTCTCCCACCAAAAAAACTCTCCTAAACTTTCCTACTAATTACACAAATTTAAATCCCACATAAATTTTGTATGTCTATGCGTCCCTGTGTGATGGAAAGAGGAAAATGCTTGATGTCGATGAAGCTTGGACCAGTGACGAGGCAATCTTCGGACGCGGCTTTGTTCTGGCCGTTCGGGGTAGAGAGAGCGTTTGCGGCGGCTGAGGAGTATGGCGGTGGAGGCGCTTGCATGTGGCCGCCAAGGTCGTATTCGTGCAGCTTTTGCGGGAGAGAGTTCAAGTCGGCGCAAGCGCTAGGCGGTCACATGAACGTTCACCGAAGAGACCGAGCTCGTCTTAAACAACAATCGTTATCATCTTCATCAACTGATCAAGCCACGACCGTTGACTATGATGATCAACATCAGATAAAACAGCACGAAATTCTTGATGTGGCATCCAAGTTTATTGTCCAAGAAGAGTCAAGAAAGCCCATCAATGGAACTAAGAGGGAGATAAGTGAGGTTTGTAATAACAATGTCTTACAAAGTTCTATCAAAAGATTTGAGTATTACAATGGTGAAGTCAAGACTGACTTATCCGTTGGTCTACTGAGTTCTGAGTTCGGTCCTCAGAAGAAGCAACTAATCAACGGATCATCTTCGTCGTGGAAGAGGGCAAAGACGACGGATGTTTCAAGATTGCCAATGATGTTAGGGTTGGTCATTGGAGTCTCCAAAATCAACGGTCACCATGAGGAGTTGGATCTTGAGCTAAGGCTAGGAGTTGATCCGCCAAAGGTTAACTAGCCTAAGTAGTAATAATGGTGATGTGTGATTGCCAAAAATAAGAAGTTAATTCTCTCTAATCTCAAGAGTGAAAAAGAGTCTGTAGTGTTTGCTTTGATATAGTAATATTTTGTTTTATTGAAAGTCGACACATATATAACTTTGCTCGTTAATTTACTTGGCAAAAACAGATATCTTGATTTTTCTTGCTTCCGTTTAAAATTTTACGAATACAGTAGTAAGGTTCTCACATAGATACTGAAAAGCCAAAACAAATCGATTTAAAGTTAAAAGGCCCTATATCTTAAACTTGATAATTCAAATTGTTGTAGAGAAGAATATTTTTTTCGTCAAACGTAGAGCCAAATATCTTAAGAGCTAATAATCTTAAGAGCTAATATCTATATTCTATAATTGGGTTTTGCTTGTAAATAACGGGAAAACCTCAGTGGTTACTATAAGTCTATAAGCTTAGAGATGGCCACACATGACTTCAAATCTAAATTAACAATTTTACTTGTATAGCTATATCAGTGGTTGGCACATGGAAACAAACAGGATAGTTGTCTTTACTCTTATATGTTTGAAAATAGTAGGCAAAAGTTACTTTTCAACTAGTTGGCTTTGTAATTATAGAAATGAATAATTCCGTATGAACAAAATTTATAAAACTGTACCAGGAGACAAATACGGAGCAGTAGTAAATATTTGTTTTTCATTATTACTCTTGGTAACAGGAAAATGCACTATCAAAGTATTAATGATCGAATTGAATAGAAATGCAACAAGCATATGGGTGAACAGGTGATTATTATTTGGTGTACACCAACTTTGCAGATATGAACATACTCTACAGACTGTGTGTATATATTATATTTATTTTTGAAACTATATATAGATAATTGTGTATGTGTCAATGTGTGTATATATATGTTACGACTGTGGGAAAACCGCGATTACGAGGAGAAGGGTAAATTCTAACTGATGGAAGTGAAAGTAGTCTTTTCAAAACTGCAGCTCCTAATATAAACATATGCTAACGTTTGTATATTGTACTTGTGGATCACCTAAAAATCAATTTCTTTTTGGATATTGTACTTACTTTTTTTTCAGCAAACATCTTTTTTTTCAACGTACATCTATCATTCTCTACTATATGCTAGTATATGTGTTAATCTTGTCAGTCAAATAAATAAAATGTTTAGATAACGATATAACGTAGGTTTGTTCTCTAACTTTCTCTCTAAAACACACACAAGACTCGGAACTCGGAAGTGGGAACGTACACAAAAAGTTACACTTTAAAATTCTTTGTCCTCTCTCTAAAATTAAAGAAAAACAAAAAGAAAAGAAAAGAGAGAGAAAGAATGAAACCGATGGTTATAAAGGAAGGATGGATTGAAATGGGAGAGGCACCAAATTTCAACGTTGTCTAAAAGAGGAAACCTTATGAAATACGGCTTTTGACTTAATATTACAAAGCATCGACAGAAAACTGAACTAAAAAGTCTACCCAAACAAATAAATAAAAACAGAGAATTTCAAAATAAACCTCAGACTCTGCTCTGCAACTGCAAAAAGGAGAACTTAACTCAACAAATGTAAAGCGAATATAGAAAAGGGGAGTAAAAAGAATTTATGTCATAACTTGTAACCACCAGCTTTAACATCATTTCCTCTTTTAGAAATTCTGCTTCTGAATATTCAATGTGCTCTTCTCATTATCAATCCCTTTTTTGCTTTATGTTTTGTTGTTGTTTCCTCTCACTTATTTTTTTAAAGCTTGAGGACAAGCTGCGTTTTTTTTTATTGTTTTTTTTTTTTATTATTTGGCAAACTATATATACATTTAAGATTTTCGTTAGTGAAGAAAATACTATATATCAACATATAATGAAAATAAATTCAGTAAGTTATATGAGCCTGTATAGTTACAATTGTGTTATGTAATAAATTAGAGTTTAGAATTTATATTTCCAGAGTTACCTTAATAAAGCTAATATCAATATTGTACCCCAAAGTTATTTTAGTGTGTGTTGATATAACACCTATATACACAAACAAGTAAACTGAAAAAACTATATTCTCTGTTGTCTTGCTCTCCATTTCGAGAAACTCAACTTGAAGTTGCGCCATCATTACACATCTATGTTGTTAAGAGGACTTATGCATTACGCATATCAAAGGCATATAATAGGAAAGCGAAAGGTTTGGAGATAGGGTGGCAAATAGGTGACTTCTTTAGTGTAAAAGAAGATAGAGGAGAGAAGAGAGAGAATGAGAGGTTTTAAAGGGGAGAGCTCAGAAATCAGAATGCACATGCTCATGCTTGCACTCTCAGTCTCTCATTATTTATCAAATTTTCATTTCTCTGGTAGCTCTTTTGTTATGATTTGTCCATTAGAATTTACTAATTTAGTAACCTTTCTCTTACTCTTGTTTCAATGTACTCTCCTTTTTTTAGCTCTTTGTTCTGTACTTCGCATACACTTTTACAAACCGTGTGCATCAACATGCATCCAAAGTCAAATGGGAGAATCACCATTTTCTTGTAATAATTGATTTGGGCCCTACTTTTTTTCTTTCCCATTACGACTTCTGGTCGTGTCGTGTGTCTCCGTAATCCTTTTAGACCAAACCTATCCAAGATATGTGAACGTCTTTCTGTACAGTAGTAATATTTCAAATTTTCAAGGTAGACTAGTAATGAAATTCCTGGGCCGTAAGCACATAAACGGGCCATTTATGAGTATAGGCCTAGTAACAATCCTAAGTGATGTCTTAAATTATAATTAAACAGAAACATTATAATAAACACAATAACATTTTCATTATCAATGAAAAATTAACAAATTTCATTATCGATTCACACACGACGCACACGCACACGCACACGCACAGTGAGATTCCAGGAGAAGAGTGCGTGACAATGGAGACTAACAAAAGATGGTCACTCGCCGGACAAACAGCGCTGGTTACCGGAGGGACTCGTGGAATCGGGTTTGCCTCTCTTCTCTTTTCAATTCGTTTTCAATTTCTCGCGGCAGAAAAAAAAACTCTTTGCCTTCTTTTCTATCGCCACCGTCAAGTTAATTTTGGTAGTTCTGCAGCGAATTTTCGTTTTTTTTTTGGGATAAGGAAAGCAATAATCTATCTCTAAATCGTTCAATTTTGCAGTAACGAATTGCTTTTCGTTACTTGATGATGGCGATTAGATAACAAATGGAAAGCGACTACTTCTTTTGTTCTCCATGATTTTGTTTATCCTGTGATTGCTTCGAAACTTTTGTGTAGTGATAATGGCCTTCTTTGATAAAACTGTTGAGCCTCTATGTTGACATTTTCTAACAAGATACAATCGAAATGTAGTTCATAAATTTGATTGCCTGAGTACTGAATCCATAATCTCTGGATTTTTTCTTTTTTCCGGTGTATACTCTTCAGGCGAGCAGTAGTGGAGGAATTAGCAAGCTTCGGTGCGAAAGTTCACACTTGTTCAAGGAACCAGGAGGAGCTAAAAGCATGTTTGGCTGACTGGAAATCCAATGGTTTCGTGGTATCTGGTTCGGTTTGTGATGCTTCGGTTAGAGATGAGAGGGAGAAGTTGATTCAAGAAGTTTCGTCTGCCTTCAGTGGCAAGCTCAACATCCTTGTAAGTTTCCTTCTCCTGCAAATTGCTTGTTAAAGCTTACAACTTTGGTTTGTTCTGCATTTTGACTACATCATTTTGTTCTGCGTTTGATCTTGAAATCGTTTCTTTGCATTAGCTCAGCAGCCTTATAAGTTCCTTATCCGGAAAAACAATCTTTGAACTAAGCCTTGAAATGGTTGAGACTTGTGGTGGTTTTGCCTTGAATCATTCTTTGGCCTTATGAGAATTTCATAACTTGTTTTTGTATTCAGATAAACAATGTTGGATCTAACATAAGGAAACCAACAGTGGAGTACACGAGTGAGGATTATGCTAAAATCATGTCGACCAACTTAGAATCCGCTTTCCACTTTTCCCAAATTGCGCATCCTCTTCTAAAAGCATCTGGTGTGGGAAGCATTGTGTTCATCTCCTCTGTAGCTGGCCTTGTGCATCTTAGTAGCGGATCTATCTATGGTGCAACTAAAGGTGAGTCCATGTTCCTTCGTCATTCAGATAAGCCACAAAACAGTGAAGCGTTGAAAGCTGATAAAAACTAGGGTTACTTTTTTAGGAGCAATGAATCAGCTTACAAGAAATCTAGCTTGCGAGTGGGCAAGCGACAACATCAGGACCAATTCCGTGGCGCCGTGGTACACCAAGACCTCACTTGTGGAACCGGTATCATTTCTTATACTCTGCTCTGCCCTTAAATAAATGCATATGGAGTTAGCACATAACGTGAACGAAGATTATATATTTGTTCTTGTGCAGTTACTCGAGAAGAAAGAATTTGTGGAGGCCATAGTTTCGCGGACCCCGCTTGGGCGCGTTGGAGAAGCAGAGGAGGTCGCGTCGTTGGTTGCTTTCCTCTGCCTTCCTGCAGCTTCATATATTACCGGACAGGTCATTTCCGTTGACGGAGGATTCACCGTCAACGGTTTCAACTACGCTCTGTAGCCAAAACCTCTCATCGCAACTTTGCCTAATAAAGCATGAATCCGTTCGTGAGGTTTATGCCAGTTGGTCTTTGTTTTTTTGTGTGACGTCTTTAAACTTTGTAGTAATAATATCTCCAGTTCACTAATTCAAGCACAATATGTAAAAGGGAATTTTCTATTATTGTTTTGCTTCAAATTATTATTTACTGAATAATTTATTATAACTAGACTTTTGACAACCCTAACTTAGTGAGAAAGTCTCTAATTCTCTCCGTTGAACCATGGACGAAGAAGATGAAGATTTCTCTCCATCCTTTAGACGAAACTGTTTGGTTAGATGGCGCAGATGTGGAAGATCTCTCCGAGTTCATTACAGACGACAGTAAGACCTCTCTCTCCATTCTTTACCCTAAATTGTGTGTTTTACTATGATGAAACATCATAGTATAGTAAAATAATACACTAGTCTAAATTAATGTGATTTGACATTCGTTGATTCCTTGTCAAGTTGGATACAGGAATACAGAAGTCTTATGGGACGTTGTGCGTTTTCCAATCCCTCCTTGTGCTAATCTGAAAGCTGTTGGAACTAGAATCAGATTAGCTCTCGGGGAATTGGGACTTCATGGTTGTGACAGAATCACTGCGTATGGTGGCAGCATTAACCGCAGCAAAGAAGATTTTAACAAAGCGGGAATGGTACACGAACCACAAGGTGATTTTAACAAACACTCTTGTCGTTTCTGGTTTCTATTTTCTGCATGTTACCTGATTATATGTCTGTGCTATGTTGCTTGCTTCAGGTAAAATGGTTGTGGACCTTGTTCTTTACGCACGCACGTCGGGCGCACCACGAAATTTAATGGTAATCCCAGGACCAGACCCAGATAGTGAGATGCACAGGGTTCTCAAGTGTTTGCAAGCGAGACATCACGGTGTTCTCTTAGTGAACCCCGAGGCACCAGATGGTCTGTTTCTATCTGATTCTGTATCTGTAAAGTCAGTAGTTGCTTGTACACAAGCATTAGATGGAGGAAAGCCTATCATCAGAGGGACAAGGATGGAAGATACTACTCCTGTGATCAATGGTTACTTCAGTCTCGACTCTCTGTTTAGTCAGTTTCTTGGTAATTCCTCGTTGAGGTCTTCTTGTCACGGTTCTGTGAGGAACGCATTCGTCTTCTGGGACTTGGTGAAGTACCCAATTCCTACTCGTGTGTATGTTCCATCTGTTGCAAGGGATATCAGAGCAGCTCTTCAAGGACTCGGCAATCATGGTTGTGTGGAAATCCTGGCGTTTGGTGGTGACAAACTGAACCAGCGCCAAGGTGTCTTGTACAATGAAGCCAGAATCATATACATACCACAAGGTGAATTACTATTTACTTAATCATCCTCCTCTACTTATTATTTTTCTATGTCTGTAATCTGTTGATGATATATATATTGCTTGCTTCAGGGGTTTGTGAAATGGCCGAGGCACTTAAATACTTCCAAGACTCTGGCGTTCCAGGAACTTTGATGGTAATCCCAAGACCAGACCCAGATAGTGAGATGCACAGGGTTCTCAAGTGTTTGCAATCGAGACATGACGATCTTCTCTTTGTAAAGCCGCCTGATGATGGATTTTTTTATCTTGCACACTCAATAGTTGGTTGTACAGAAGGTTTATATGGAGGAAAGCCTCTCATCAGAGGGAGAAGAAGGATGGAAGATGCTCATGTGATCCAAGACTTCTCCAGTAAGTTGATCTCTCTCCCGAAGTTGTTTGTTTCTGCCATAGTTAACTAGCTGGATCTAATCATATATAGTAAGTAAGATAAGATGAGAATGGATCATTTTTTTAACCTATTTGTATCTCTCGATTTCTCGTTTAGAGCGTATCAAATTCAAGAAAGGGGAAATGGCAGGCGTGTTCTGGAACACTAGTAGAGTACCCGCACGTTTGTGCGGTGTGACGTTGTTGTTTTGTGTAGAAAATTTAAACCCTAAATCCGAACCCGACAAAAAACCCTAATCAAAACACTCCGGAAATCAAAAAAATCCCGAAAACCCTGACTGAACAAAAAAAATCTGGAAACTTTTTCACCCGGAACCCGACCCCAATACCTAATCAAAATTTTAAAATACTCAATTTTTTTAATATATCTAAACCCGAAAACCAGAAATCTAAAAAATCCGGAAAACCCTAAACTGAAAAAAAAAATTGAACCTAACCCGAACAGAAATTTTCAAAGAAACCCGAACAATTTCTATATCTCTATATATATCTCTATAAAATTATGTCTCAGATTTTCACCCAAACCCGAACTTGTCTATAAAAACCCGAAAATCCAAAAAGCATATTCTATTGATTTGGAATTATCGTTAGATTATGTTAAGTTTTTTTTTTGCAGATTTTTAAGAGATGGAAAACGGAAGTTTTCTAAACCATCGGTTTATTTTAAGTTATTATTCTTGTATCCAAACAATTTTTTCCATTTATTCTTCTATCCAAATAGATTTTTCTCTTATTCTTATATCCAAACAACTTTTGTTTCCATTTATTCTTCTATCCAAATAGATGTTTCTCTAATTCTTGTATCCAAACATTAGAATGTACTTCTCAATTAATAATATAAAGATGGAGGATTTCCCATTCCCTGCTGGTTGGAGTCCTGATGCCATCTATGAGAAAATCGAATCAGCGTTTCGTGATGCTGACTATGAGCTGAGTAACATGTCAATATGGGCTTATGTTGATGGGGAAGAAGGGTCTTGGGGTGGGGATTTCCTGAGGAAGAAGACTTGGGAATCAAGTATCTACTTCCTTCCCGGAGGAGGTGATCAATTGAATTCTTTAATTTATTTATTTATACTCGTTTCCTTTGTATTCTACTATGGACTATGGACTATATCTCATCAGTTCCAAAACTGACATATTTTGCAGGGGATAAATCGGCGAGACGTAACAGAATGTTACACGACATTTCTCTATGGGAATTGGACGTGTTCACTAGCTTTCATGGTTATACAGCAACTTTGGTGATAGTGGCAGATAAAGACAAAGTGAGAGAGGACAAGGTGTTCTCCCACAGGCTTAGAATGATGTTATGGAATCAGTACAATGTTTGGTTCTTAACTCCGACTTTGAAGGCCGATGACAGCAAATGGTTAACATCGGTATCAGAGGATGTTTACACTTTCCCTGAATAATTTAAAGGCGAAGAAACACTGAGGGAGGGGTCGGAAGTTGTGGGCTGATTGCTAGCTTATGTTCCTATTCCTAGCCCTAGTAATGTTTCATACCTCATCGCCTTTTTAACCTAAGTTAGTGATGCTTGTTAATCTCAATTAACTTTGGCTAATAAAGCATGAATCCGTTTGTGAGGTTTATGCCAGTTGGTCTTTGTTTGTTTTTAGTTTTGTTGTGTGACGTCTTTAAACTTGTAGTAATATAAATAATAATAATTTCCAAGTCAATAATTCAAGCCCAATATGTGTGTAAGGGAACTTTTTTTAGTGTTTTGCTTCAATGTTTGGTGACTATTTTATTATAACTAGACTTTTGATAACCCTAACTTATAGAGAAAGTCTCTACTTCTCTCCGTCGAACCATGGACGAAGAAGATGAAGATGTCTCCAAGTTGGAAGATTGCTGGAGTACGATCTCTCTCCATCCTTTAGACGAAACTTTTTGTTTAGATGGCGAAGATGTCGAAGATCTCTCCAATTTCAGTTCTTACCCAAGCTGTAAGATCTCTCTCGATATCCTAGTTACCCGAAACCGTTTGTTTATATTTTGTACTGTAAACTTCGTTTACTTATCGTTTAGATGTCAAAGAAGAAGAAGTCTAGGACTTATCTCTCTCCATATCCTAATCACACGAAATTGTTTGTTTATGGTGAATTCATCATAGTATAGTAAAATAATACAGTGGTTAATGGATCATCTAACCTATTTACTATCATCATCAAAACTAATGTGATTGTAATTTGCTGATGCCTTGTCAAGGTTACGAATCTTACGGTCATAGGCAGATACGCGTCTTCTGGGACGTTGTGCAATACCCAATCCCAACTAGTGCCAACGTTAAATCTGTTAAAACTACTCTGAGAGCAGCTCTCAATCAAATGGGATTTTATAGTTGTGTGACAATCGATGCGTATGGTGACAGAATGAACCACAGCAAAGATGACTTGCGCGACGCCCGAATCTCACACCAACCACAAGGTGAAGCTGAACTACTTTTACTTAACCAGTAACAAAACACTCTTGTCGTTTCTAATTGTTGTTATTATATCTCTGTGATATATTGCTTCCTTCAGATGAAATGGTTGTGGACCTTATTATTGGATCACACACGCACTCTCCACTAAATATAGTGGTAATCCCAAGTCCAGACCCAGAGAGTGAGCTGCACAGGGTCCTCAAGTGTTTGCAAAAGAGACATCACCAGATTCTCTTAGTGAAGCCCAAGGCACACGAACAGGATGGTCACTTTCTATTTGATTCTGTAGAGTCGGTAGTGGATTGTACACAAGATTTAGATGGAGGGAAGCCTATCATTAAAGGGAGAAGGATGGAAGATACTACTCCTGTGGTCAAAGATTTGTCCAGTCTCGCCTCTCTGTTTGAAGGTCCTGAGAGGAAGGGATTCGTCTTCTGGGACGTGGCCAAGTACTCAAACCCTACTAGAGCCAATGCCGCACTTGTTGGAACTGGTATTAGAGCAGCTCTTCAACGACTCGGCCATTATGGCTGTGTGGAAATCCTGGCGTTTGGTGGCTACAAAATGAAGCGGAAACACATCAAACATGACCAGTACAAAGGAGCCAGAATCATACACATACCACAAGGTGAGTTAATACTATTACTTGACAAACACTCTTCTTGTTCGTTTCTAGTAGTTTCTGTTGATGATAGATATTGCTTGCTTCAGGGTTATATGTAAAGGCGTGGGACCTTTACGCAAAGTCGTTAAATCCAGGACCTTTGATGGTAATCCCAACACCAGACCCATGTAGTGATCAGCACCGGCTTCTTACTTCGTTTCTGAAAGAGGGACATTACGATGTCCTCTCAGTAAAGCCGCCTGTTGATGAGGACAGCCCACAAGATGAATCATTTCTAACCTATCCAGATTCAATACTTGGTTGTACATATGGTTTATATGGAGGATATCCTATCCTCAGAGGGAGAATTAAGGATGAAAGATATCCAAGACTTCTCCAGTAAGATGATCTCTCTCTCCCGAGATCGTTTGTTTTAAATTTCATCTCAGTCATAGTTAAGTAGCTATAGCTGGATCTAATCATATATAGTACGGTTTCAACCTAATATATTGTATCTCTTTATTTCGTTTAGAGCCTATCAGATTCGAGCAATGGGCAAGGGGAGGCGTGTTCGTGTTCTGGAACCTCGAGGATTTCCCATTCCCTGCTGGATGGAGTCCTGATGCCATCTATGAGAAAATCGAAGCAGCATATAGTGGTGCTGATGGTTATGAGTTGGGTGACATGTCAATATGGGCTTATATTGATGACAAGGAAGGGTCTTGGGGTGGGGATTTCCTGAAAAACAAGACTTGGGAATCAAGTATCTACTTCCTTCCCGGAGGAGGTGATCAATTGAATTCTTTTAACTTATTTAATTATTTCCTTTGTAATCTATAGACTATATATCTCATGAGTTCCACTATTGATATGTTGCAGGGGATAAATCCGCGAGACGAAATAGAATGTTACATGACATCCTTTTATGGTCAAGGGACATGGTAACTACTTCGGCAAAGTTGGTCATAGTATCAAATAAAGATGAAGTCATAGAGGACAAGGACTTCTCCTCTAGGCTTGAAATGTTGGAAGGTTGGGGCTACAAAGTTTTCGTACAACCTGGGAGCTCTTTTTTCTAATTCTAGTGTTACTACTTACTTGTCTTTCATTGAAACTCTAGATCTACTGTTGACATGGTTGCAACGGGTTTATTATATCAAAGCCTTTGTATTATTTTATCCTCTAAATGTGATTTGTTGTATTTTGATCGTCTTGTTGCTCATTGACTTGTGGTCAAAGATTGTTTGCGAGACAAGTTGTGTGAGTTTAAACCGGTTTCAGTCAGCGTTAAAACAAAAGATAGAAATTGCTCAAGAGTCCCTAATTTCTCCCAAATTCCAAAAGCCTCCCAATGAAACTAATCATTGATCAAAGACCCCCCAGAATCGTATCGTATTCGTATGTATCATCAAATGTCAAGCTCCTTTTCCCTTAGCCTTCCTCTTCTTCTTGGTAAGAGGCTGAGGTTTATCAGAAGATTCAAACCGCTTTTCGCATAAGAGAACCCTGTAACTTGCGTGAGGTCCTTCAGCAGTCTCACGTAAGGTCGTGTGCCACCTCATTGCGTTCCCAATCTCTTGAAGCTCACTCATCACATTGATTGTATCCCTTATGTACACACGTCCTCCAGGTCTCAGAATCCGGTCCATCTCTAGCATCATCGTTGTCATGTTGCACCTGTACACCACCACCACCAAAACAAAACAAAGTCTTATAAAACACTCCAAAATGGCAAAAGGGGTTGTTTGAAGATGGCTGTTACCTACCTTCTTCTTTCGATGGAAAATAGACCCGCCGCATGCAGCAAGTCGTAGGTTCTTGGGTAAGTATCAAACGGTTCACACCTGAAACACGCAAATATCTCTCATTTTTATCTTAAGCAGCTAACTTGAACAACAAGTTAAGACTTTTGGAGTAGTGAGTCTATGTACCAATCGTGCATTACTCCTAGTAGTCCACGGTCATATATAACAGGCAAGGTATTTGGTCCACTGACTGGAACAACGTTGAGAACCCAGCAATCAACTTTTAGCTCAGCTAATGCAGTTGCAAATCTGCCAAGAAAACAAAAAAATCACAGGAACATATGAAGCAGCCATTTTGATTTTATTTACTGATAGAGCACTGTGAGGAAGAAATAGTGTACCCGCCAAATCCAGCTCTCATGTCCAAGACGTTTCTGAGTCCTATCTGCTTCCAGTGGAAGGCATTCACGTAGTTTGATATTATCTCTTTCCAGTACTTTGATTCAGCTACGAAGAGCTCTTTCCTGGCTATGTAAGAGTCAATTTGTATCGTCTGCAGCCTATCCGGTGGTGTCTGTAAACGAGCCGGCCAAGGAGTAAGATTTGATCCATATCCATTATCTTCAATCCTAGTTATGCAAGCCTTCAGATCTACGTACCTAACTTATTCATAATCAGAGGAGATCTTAGAATCAGTGAGGGTGACAACTCCATAGTAAACAAGACGTTAACAAATCACCCAAATTTTTCGCCTAATGAAAATAAGCAAGCCCATCAAGTAAAATCCAATGCATGTATGCACACTAAAAAGCTTGGGAACCAAAGCAGTTTCTCGAATTTAATTTTTCAAGGTACAGCAAACATACCAAACACTATCTTGGTCATCTTCAGGACTGCACAAAGGAGGCATGATTCCAGCATCACGACTTAGATAACTAGTGTTATTTGTGGGCTTCTGCCAAATAGCTATATATCCTTCCTTCTTCACCAGAACCCAGCACATCCTGGTTGTAAGGTTTAACATCTCTGAATAAACAAAAAAAAAACAGTCGTACTAAATCATATACAAGAATGGTCTCAACAAAAAAAACACCCTGTAGCAGAATGCAGACAAAAATAAACTAGCTCCAAAAGTGACAATTGCTGGAAAATGAGATGCATAAATGGAATATTTTAGCAGCATGGATGATAATACCTTCCCACTGTTCTTCCAAGGCCTTTTCATGCTTATATACAGGTTGTGCGGCCCAAACGAAATATCCTCCGGCACGAAGCATCCTATTGACTTCAAGGAGCAAGATTCCATCTTCATAAACAAAACAATGACGATACAGGAGAATTTGTCAGTATTGAAGCTCAGAAGCACTGGTTGCTAAGTGTAACCTTTTCCTTAGTATAGAAATTGCATACCATCACGAGTCCAGTTGATTCTACATCTTGAACAATGCACCAAATCAAAAGCTTGGCTTGGGTACAACAACCGCCGAGTTGTGAATGCTGCCACCATTGCAGGAACACCACGCTCAAGAGCAAACTGTATCTGGTTCTCATGAACATCTTTTAGAGCTACAGACATAGTCAAGACGTTCCTTGACATCAAGTAAGCACCAAAACTTGCCACACCGCATCCAATGTCAAGAACGATTCGCGTATGGCTACCAAAACCTATATCAGGAATCATCTGCATATACGAAGAAAACATGCTGTAACTTCACATTCATTCAAGGTACAAATAATCTCACAACGAACCTTACAAAAATCAATCAACCTGAGAGATTTGATCCAAGTACTGATCAGCCCCATGGATAAACTGAGTTCCACCACCAGGAAACTTGAATTTGTCATTCTCTTTGTAAATCCAGTTTTGACCACTTTTGTCTTCAACAAGTCGAGTATGTGGAACGTTGTTGAACCACACCTGCAAACAAAGCCAGAAACTTTCATTAGACTTGTCACATGGAAAGCTTCTCAATTGCATTTCTCTTTTTGCTCTCATAAGTCAAAATCGAACCAGAGAAGGAACAGAGAGCGTCACAAAACCTCATCACGGCTTCTCGGCCACGGAATCGGAAGACGGTATCCGTTGGGGATCGGGACGGTGCAATTCAATCCCATTCCTTCCTTTGGGCAATTCCGCTCGAATCGCTCTCCACGCGCCGTCGTATTGAGCCTTTTGATGGCTTCTGCATTATCCAAACAAGGAATGTAATCCGTCATACTCTCCGGACACACCTCAAAATTCCTCACACTAACCCTGGCCGTGGTAGGCTCGGTGTCACCGTCGCTACTCTCGGATTCCGTCTGATTCCCCAACGTCTCCGCCGACTCGACGTCGTAATCCCCAATCTGGAACTCATCGGACATAGTTCCGTTCTCATTGACGATCCCAAACACCTTCAGCTCAACGGAATCTGGCGGCGGTGGCGGTGTCAGAGGCGGCGGTGGCGGTGTCAGAGGCGGCGGCGGCGGAGGCGGAATCAGGTGGCTCTGGTAGATTAAATCAGAGATGTTATAGGTCTTTCCGAAATCAGGTGAGAGAGCGACAATGGGAGACCGAGAAGGATCGGCGGAGAAGAATACGAGGCGGCGGAAGCCATCTTCAGACCAATGTTTACCGAGGAAGAAACAAACGACGGAGATCAAAAGGAAGGCGGAGATCTTGAAGAAAGAAGAGTTTCTCAGCAGATTGCTACCGAAGAAGAGCTTCATTTAGCTTCGGATTCTCAGAAGCATAATACTAATTTTGTTTTTGGGTCGAAGTTTCCTTTATTTCCCCGGGAATGATTCGACTGCGGATGTGTGAGTGAACGAAACCCAGTGACGAAGATCGAAAGCCTTTAATTTTGAGGGCATTTATGTAATATCGTCTCAATTTTTTTGGTTTATTTAAGAAAACATTAAAAACGACTGTGTGTTGCAATTGCATAATAACGTAAATCACACGCTTAAAATATCATACTACAATTTCATAATTTGTCTTCGTCGTCTTTAAGCTGCGTGGGAAGAAATCTATGTATATGTACTTCCTAAAGTCACAAAAACATTTGGCTTGATTTTTTTATACTAAGTAACTGATGAAAGAAAATTGGTCAAGTTTTGGGGTGATCGTTGATATGATCGTTTCGATGATGATGAAGATTACTGTGATTCTTGTTTCCCATCTCATCCACTTTCGGATTAATGATGAAACATTAATGATGAAGATTACTGTGATTTTTGGGCTTTCGGATTCTTGTTTCCCATCTCATACACTTTCTATGATTGGATGATGAAGATTACTGTGGCCCTTTTATGCCAAATATAGTGAATGCTTAGCATATTAAAGAGAGATTTAAATTCTTTTACATGTTTTACAAGTCGAATAAATATATTTAAGCAACAAAAATAGAATATATAATTAACGGCACGGTAAGTAACTTGCTTGTTTACATGCTTCACAACGGCTATAAAAGACTGTTTCTTGATCCACACTTCTCTAAGTTACTCTCTCCCTCTCTCTCTCTCTCTGTTTTAGTTTCTTTGATAATTTTCCGATGGACGACGTGCACGCCAAGAGTCTGAAGGCCCCTCTCCTCTCCGATGATCCTCCTCGCGTCGCCGATAATCCTCTTCCAGCGGAAGACGTTATTGTTCCATCTCCACCCGCAGGAAACGAAGTGCAAGGTACCGATGGTGGCGAGATCGTCGGACTTGGAGGAACTCAAGAACAGGAAGACACCACCACCACCAACGCCGTAACAGATGAAGAGGATATTCAAGAAGGTTCCAATCCCGACGGTTCTTCCACTGGCCCAATCAGCGACAACTCACTGCTACGGAGAATTAAAGATCTATCGGTGTACATCTACATCATCGCGAGTTGTATACTAAGCGTGTCCTTGTACTGGTTACTTCTAGACCAGTTTTCACCAGAAGAGAAGACCAACGGATTCGTGGACGCAGTCTATCTCTCTCTTCGTAGTAACTTTCTCTACCGTGGGCTACGGAGACATCTCCCCGTCGACTGTACCAGCGAAGATAGTCACAGTTCTTTTAGTTGTCAACGGCATCATATGCTTAGAAACCATGGTCGGTTGCGCCGCCGAACTTCAAGAAAGAGCTTCCAACGCCCTAACCGGAGGAAACAGCAAAATCGGGAAAGTTGTTTCGGCCTTGTTCTTAGTGGTGATGTGTCTCATCATAGGCATCATGTTCATAAGGTTTCATGAAGGTTTCACCTGGGTTGATTTTGTTTACTTTGCATTCATGTCCGTCAGCACGGTCGGCTATAGAGACGTATCGTTCAAGTCCTTAAAAGGTCGGCTATTCGGGTCGTTTTGGATTCTGTCAAGCACAATCTCAATGGCTTGCTTGCTTATCCGTTGTGGGGAGATGATGAAGACAGAGCCAATTACTCAACTAGAAGAGATTGTTGTGAAAAGATAGAAGACTACTTGAATCAACTTAAAGAGGAAGGCAGGATAGTTGATGATCATCGTAAGCACCGTTGGCTACGGAGATTTTGCGTTTAAGTCCTTAGGAGGTCGTATTTTCGCAGCATTTTGGATTCTCTCAACTACCATTTCAATGGCTTGCTTGCTAATGCGTTGGGCAGAGATGAAAACGGAGATGACCGATATCTTTCCTGCGTTACACGAGGTTGTTGTGCACAGCGAGCAGAACACTACAAGAAATACCAACATTGATAGCACATAATGATAGTGATAGCTGAGTTTTCATAACTGCCATGATAGATAGTTTAGTAAAATGAACTTATATATGTAGAGAAGCTTATGTTTTAACTCATAGCTTGTTTTAATAATAAAAGGTTCGTTATATATAAAAAAACTTATATACGATAGCATTTTATGCTAAACATGAAAATAAATAAAGAGGGAAGCTAATATTTTTATCGAAGATTTCTTTTGTTCCTTTGTCTCACTACAGAGAGAAAAATCGAGAAAACAAAATCCTATCTTCAAATCTCTCCTTCACCAACCTCTCTCTCTGTGTCTTGATTTCTCCTTTCCTCTAACTTTTCAAATCTCCAGTCCGTAGATCTATCTTCCAACATTTCCGGCTTGATTTCGGCTTAATCTTACCACAGCTCTCTCTCTCTCTACCCTCAATCTCCACGATAACCAACTTTCCGGCCAAATCCAACAACGATTTGGCTTATCGCGAGTCAGATTCCGGCAAATCTGGCGACTCAAAACGGAAACTTCGCTGAAGTCGCCATGGCTTCCTCTCCTACTGAAAGTCAGTAATGGTTTCGTTTTGTTGTTTTTCGACTTTCTAGGGTTAGGATTCTGATTAAATAGATTTGGATTTTAGACGAGGTTGGAATCGAGATTGGAATGCACGCGACGAGAATGAGTCTGGCCAATGAGGATTGAGGCATCGTAGTTCGATCTGTTACAGAGGCTTCTCTCTTGCTTGCTTACGCTTACTCGATAACTCTCTTCTTTGGCTGGAGCTACAACGTGCAGGTGTCCGTCGAAGCTAACGAGTGTGGTGAATCGATTTTGGAGGAAAGTGATTAAAACACAAGAATCCAGTTATGCAAGTGAAGGAGGTACTTGGAGAACATACAAGGCGAGAAGAAGCGGAGGACTCTGAATCAGAAGCCGCTAAGCATAATAAAGAACAGGTTTTACTGATTTTTCTTTTCTTTTTAGCTTCGTACTTCGTTTAATCTGTAACCAAATTTTGTTACAACTACTTTCCAGAGATTGATTTATATGCTGAAAACAGATAGTGTATTGATGAATTAACTTCCATTGATGAATTAACTTCTCATAGTCATAGCCGCCTGTGAAGATTGGAAATACACAGTTTACGTTAAACCTTCATTGTTTCTTAGCTTTCAAGAATTGAGATGAGCATAATGATAAAACATCTTTCTTGGTGGTTGTTTGTTTCAGGCATCCTCAAGCAAGGTTGACGCAATAAATCAGAGGAGAAGAAGCAGCAGCAGCAGCCAAAAGTAGGAAAAAGAATGAAGAAGAAGAAAACTATCTCCAATCATATTAGCCAGAAAGCAATGGCTACAAGAAATGAGATGATAGAGAGTTCAATACCCTTGGATGTTTCACGATTGTGAGTTGGCTAATTTCTCTTCCTTCTGAGTGTGCTAACGTCGTATGTACTTGTAATAGCACCAGGTTTGGATATTCTAGGAGAAAGACTTGAAGATTAAAGCAAGAATTACTGTAAGTCATGATATTTTCTTTTGCACTGCACAATATCGTTTTGAAGTTGTTGTTAATTGATTCATTAGAGAGCTATTACTTATTCTCGTGCTCTTCAGAATTGTTACTCTTCTGTTTTTAACTAATGTTGCTTCTTTATGGTTTCTTTGCTGTGATTAGGTGAAGGAGGGTATCGATGCTTATATGAACCTTGGTGGTAGGCTGGGATGATAACACGTAAGTTTTGATCACTCTCCTCTTTAATGATTTGGGAAACTATGCTGCAAAAGTTTTGCTAGAGGTGTTTACATGTTTATTATGACTTTGGTAGTTTTTCATAACTAATGCAGATTATTATGAGCGACGTGATTTTGATCCTATCACTGTGAAACTATCTCTCAGTTACCAAGAGAATCTTTCTAGTCAGAACGAAGGAACATAGGAAATCAAAGAAGCAGCAACACCAAAGCTGTTGAAGAACATAAGGAGACCTAAGCTTCATTCCAATTCTGTTATCAACGTTGTCCCTCTTATACGATAGTCTTTGGCGTCTGATCCTTTTGTTTGTTTTCTTTAGTTGTTATAGTGTCAATTATAACTTCTAACATGAATACATAATTCACTAACATGACTTTCTCGTAAGACCAATGTAACAACGGCTTTTACGGACATGAAGCTTGAGGAAAGACAAGAAACTGACGGAGGAATCTTGGTTTTTCCGGAGGGAGTTTCAAGACGAGACGCACTCAAATTCAACAGCAAACCTTAAGTAAGTGCAAGCTTAGAAGTGCAAGAAAACTGAGCAAGAAGTTTGTTTCCCTTTGCTCTTTTATCTCATAAACCCTTATTAGTTAGCATTATTGTTGTGTACTAATAGTACGTGATGTTTTTATTTAACATTTTGGTTTGGATTAGAGTTTGTAATACTTGTTATGTATTGTTATGTGTTTTTATGGATTTTCTATGAAATAAAATATATATTGTTGACCCAATTTAATTTATATAAGAAAATATAGAAATATATATAATGCAAGAAGGGACAAATTTGGTTGAGAAAATAACAGTTATAAAATGTAATAATATTATCAATTATATCCCGCAAATACAGCTACAAAATAATAAACTAATAAACTAATAACGACACAACAACATTAACCACAAACATAGTTTAGTGCTTTGAAATTGAGAAGCAGCAGAGAAAGACTCTCTTTATTAGAAAATCTATGAACTCAAACGAAGAAACTATAGCAGCAGATTTGATCTTCTCCTTCTCCAGTTCAACTTTGAGATCCGACAGATCCAATTCCACATTCTTGACCCGTTCCTCGAGTTGCTGGACCCGTGCTTTCTCTCTCGCCAAGGAAGCCTCCTCCAGCTTTGACCTTAACCAGTCGAGCTTGAAGCCTGCTTCCGTCAGAACAGATAAGTCGCTTTGAGCATTGCTTAGTTCAAGCAGAGACAAGCTATGTGGAGGCTTGATGATTAGCGTCTGGATGAGGCAGATGAGTTGCTTCATGTATCCTCTTTGAGACCCTTTACGCTTTAGTTCGAGATCTAAACCAAAGTCTGGGAGCTCTTTGAATGTCTTGTCCACTGGACCAAACTGCCAATGGTTCAAGAAGAGGGAAAACAAAACAGAGATGGATGTTATTATGCAGAAGAGAGGATGTTATTATGCGAAAACAGGCTCCATAAATAACTCACTTGAGAAGCAGGGATCTGGACACCGTGAAAATCTACCATATCATTCACGGTTGATTCTACTTGATGAACAACTTCAAGCACGTTCATGTAGATCTCAACTCTTAGTTGGTTGTTCTCCAAAAACCCTTTTTCTTGAAGCTCGTTAAGAGTAAATTTTATTATGCGACCACAGCCTGGGACCTCATGGCAGAACAATCTAGAGCTGTCTTCGCCTGAAAGATAAAACAGAACAGATATCTATCAACATTTCATCGTCAGTAGATGGAACATAATCAAGAATCATTACGAGGTGTTCTGTAGAGCTCTTGGCCGGATTGATCCAGGAAAACGAAGCAAAACCTGACTCTCCTTTTCCATCCACGTCTCAGTGATTCAGGATGCACATCTCCCACTCCCAGGAACAGAATCAAGCCATCTTGACCAATGTATCCCTTGGGATGAACCTTAAGACACCTAAGACAAAACCTCAGATTTTGTTTTACTTGTAACTTGTAACAAATCATATGTAGACAACAACAACAACAACAACAACAAGGAGTTTGTTTTACTCTGACGTACCAGTTGCAGCCGCCGCTTGAGAAGGGATCCGACTTGATCATATCCGTCCTTTCAGAGAAGTTGTCTATCTCCCAACTAAAGGCCTTTTTCAATTCTGTCCCCATTTTGATTTCTTGCATAATGGCGAAAAAACAAAGACTTTAGAAACGACGAATCACGAATCATATGGTACATTCACTAAACTAAAAAACAAAAAGACCAAAATTGAACAAATGCTTTTGGGTTTTACCTCCAATGTCAACGAACGAATTTGTACAATACAATTATCTCACTATTTTACAAGGCAATCAGTAAAAGCTAGCTTGATTGGTAAATCGCCTAATTTTCCCCTACTTCCGCGAATTCCCTCTCCTCCGTCTACTTTGCAACCCTAATCATCCGATTTTCTATATGTGCCTTACGAAATGATTTATACATCTATCAACAAAAGAAACCCTAACAGTTCAACCTAAACAAAAACACAAAGGAAAAAACAAATTCTCGGCGATCAGTTCAGAACTCACCCGGTGACTGTTGCAAGGAAATGTTTTAGCTACGAATTACGATCTTCTTGGAAGATAATTTTATTTTAAATAACCTAAAAATAATTCAAAATACTTTTATAAAGGTTTAACTCTCGTTATATACGCGGTGTATAATCTGTAATATTTTATAAGATAACCTTGAATGAAATTAATGTTTTTAGGCGTGAAAGTTGTAATATCACAGAAATATAATTATGTTTTATATTTTAAAAGTTTTCTACTATAAAAATTGAAGATAATCATTAATAAACAAATCTTAACCATGAGAAAAAGTCATTTACCAACAAAGAAATCTCTTTTTATCAAAGAAGTTTCAAATTTTTCTTCAAGGATCTTTATTACGAGATATGATCTTTCTTATACATTAAACATCTTTACAAAGATATCTCTTCTTAACCATTCGCAAAATGGATCTAATTGGGTTTAAGAGCGGCCCATTCAATCCTAAGGGTGAGGTTATCATAATTCATAACCAACCATACCCATTCAGTTTGTTTATCGCTCGCTCTACGTCTGCCTTGCTTACAAAATTGACAAAACCAAATCCTCTGCTCATGTTCGTCTTCTGGTCGACGGCCACATAGGCACGGGTCACAGCGCCAAACGGACCGAACAACTCCATCAAATCCTGTTCACGGGTGTCTTCAGACAAGTTAGTCACACGTACAGAGTTCTCATCGTTCCTCCACCTCATGTCTGAGCCAGTACTAGCTCTTCTGTCTGCACCTCCTCCCATGTTTGGCGGGACATAAGCGGCCTTGCCAGTTCCAGTTCCAGCCGTACAAGCTTCTGCTATTCGTCCATTAGGGATAAGAGATCCTTTTGAGGGAATCTTGCTGTCCAATGGTCACCTCTCACGAGGCATAACACACCATGAGGACCGCACCAGACATAGCATCTCGTGATGGCTTTGCTTCTTCCGCCTTCAAACCTGACATATCCAAGAAAATAAACATCTCACACGTCAAGCTAGAGGTTCTACTTAAAATGGTAAAATCAAGACTTGTCTCCATAAAAAATCATTAAACACAAAACTGTAGTTGGCGGCTAGGTAGTGAAAGCAGAGATTTACTTTCGTGCAAGAGAAGCCACCAACGAAACATCTGGATGGGCATTACGGCCACTCGCATATAGAAGAATGCAGCTGGCTAACGTGCCCAACCATATAGAGAGATTTACATAATTGAATAATCAGGCAACACTAATAACGATCTAGCAAGTAGCATCAACACGTAGAAATATCAAATTGTTATCTAGAGAAGCAAATGGAACATAATGAGAGTAAAAATGAAGACTTTTATGTGTACAGTTAACAGCCAAGAAAGAGAACACCATATTTTGCTCAAAATCAGAAAGGCTATCAACTATATAATTTGTATTGGTGACATACTGACCATTCACAGAAAGAGGCAGCCATATATATGACTATTATGTGATCGGCTAATTGGTCACCTATTTAAAAAAATAAACTCACAGATGAAGTAATGTAGAAGAAACTAGTACCAAAACATATATAGTTGACGATCCATAACGAAAACAGGGTTAAATCCTGTTTTAGTATTGAAACGAATCACCAACGACATTGTTATAGGTGTGCTTACTGACCATTCACACAAACAGTAGCTATAAGGCTAACATGTGACTGGCTAATTAGCCACCGGATACGAAACATAAAACAAGAAACTAAATTAAATGCTACTCCCAAATCAAAACAAATTGAAATGCCAAGTATTCATCAGAAAGTGAAGAATTACCAGGAGCTCTAATTCGTTCCAAAATGATATCCTCTGTTGAACGCATGGTGAGTCAGCTATCGGCGTCCTTCTTGGCGGCGTCTCCGAATTTGAGCCAGCTCCGTCGCTCCACGGCTTGTTTGTTGAGTGCTCGCTTCACTACACGAAGAGTGGTCGTTGTTTTGACCTTTTTGCCCTCGTCATTGAGCTGAGCTTGTACTCAATCACTCTCTTTACACATTTCCGGTCCGGACCGATCAATCAAAGTCGTCATCTTCGCCCATATCGCCATTGTCTTCAGGTTTCGGATTTCAGTGTATTCCGTTTGATTCAACTTCGACTGTAACTTAAAAAGGCTGCAACGGAAGAAGAAGCAAAACTAGGGTTTCAGAGTAATGGAACCTTGTCCTAATTTTAATTTAGAGATGTCGTAATGGGCCACAGGCCCATGTTTTTATATAATTCTGTTAAACCCTCAACTCCTCAAGCAAATCAAAACCCCTCGGAGCTCCAATACTGAAATGGCGAATTTGGTACGTCGCGCAGCCTCTCGGCTGGTCGGTGACTGCATCAGAAATCGCTCTTCCGTTTACTCATTCCTGGACCAGTCGGCGGCCGCTCACGGCCGCCTACGACATCTGACGGCGTCATTTTCTCGTTATACCACCTCTACCAGAAAGAGAAATTCCTCAACCGATCCGCTTCTCCGAGTGATCGAAACAGAGATTGGATTCGCCGAGCAAGCTGATGATTACGATCGGGTAAAATCCTTACTTCCTCCTTCTTAGTTCTTACCCTATTTTCATGTTTTTTTAATGGGATTGTTGTTTCCTACGGTTTCGTGAAGCTCTGTTTCTAAGTGTCAATTTGTTCTATGAATGGAGGTTGAAGAAACTCCAAGTGGTTTCCCTTTCAAAATGGAGGACAAACCAGGAGGAAAGACCGTGACATTGACTAGGGATTACGAAGGAGAGACTGTTATAATTGAAGTGCACATGACTAATCTTGTGACTGGTGATAAAGAAGATGATGAAGATGACGAAGACGAGGAAGAGAATGAAGAAGAAGAACATGAGGATAAGCCAGAGAAGCCAAAGCAAACGAATGTGCCTCTCTTGGTAACTCTTTCCAAGAAGACAGGACCGAGTTTGGAGTTCCGATGTACTGCTTTTCCAGACAGGATTGCAATCAAGGACATGTGGGTTACATTTCCTGATGATCCATCCAAGGATGAGCTTGCCTATGAAGGCCCTTCCTTCAGGTAACAACCGGGAAAAGTTTTGGACATTTTCTGTTTACAAGAACCAAAGTCATGATCTGTGATGGGTTTCTTTCTGCAGGGTTTTGGATGAAAAGCTGAGGAAGGCTTTCCATAGGTACATCGAGATTAGAGGGATAAAGCCGAGCATGATCAACTTCTTGCACGAGTATATGATCAACAAAGATAGTAAAGAGCACTTACATTGGTTGAAAACTCTCAGGAACTTTGTCAAATCTTGAGAAAAAAAGAAAAAAAGAAGAACACTTTATTTTCAGATAGTCTCTTTCTTCCAAATTATGTACTTGAAACGCCAATTTAGTTCTGTTTGGATCTATTTATGTATGAAAAAAGAGAGTATCGTGAAGTCAAATCACTACAACACAAGTCTGAAAAGTATGAGCATCACTACACCAATTAGAAGTAACTTGGTCCACTGTTTCCACTATTTCAAGTGAATCTGTTCTGTCTGCGATTCAACAGCCAATAACCCATCTTAACCGTGATACTGAGAGCTGTATCTGCCATCACCTGACAAAACAAAGAGATGCTCACTTAAGCTTTAAGGCCTATATGGCTAGAAAATTACTAAAAGATAGCATATTCTTACTTGACAACATGACGGCTGCTTGATTTGCTTCTAGATTGTGTGACCTGTGACTTAAATTTCGCTGTAGTTGCGCCAGACTGCCCGAAATTCTTCACGGAATGTGTTCAACCGTGCCTTGAGGTTTGGAGTTCTCACGCTTGCGTGAAGAACAATCACTATGGAGAGAAGAAGACCTCATGTCAATAACAAAAACTCCAACAAAGGACATCTACGATCAGAAAAGTAGAATTGACTTACCGACGAGGGAAGTGAGAAGTGCATAGAGGACCCACAAGAAACCGCAGGAAGAAAACCACATGACAAGACTGCCTATATAACATAATGAAAACAACACATTGATCAGCTTTGACACCAAATTTTTGCATTGATTACATAAACAAGGGGTAGTGAGTATTCGAGGACCTGTAAGGAAAATAACAACGAATACCCAACGTGGTTTCCCGCAGACGTATACTGTCTTCCTTGATGCTGATCTTCCACGAATAACAGGCCTGCGAGTGCTCACATAATATATAGATGTTACTAAGACCCCTCTTTATGATTTCTACCATGGAAACTAAGTTAAAAGGAAACTCACATGTGGGGAGGCCTCATTTTTGCAGCCAAGTGTGGAGAGAAATGCCTAATAGTCCTTATAATCTTCTCATTAAAAGTAGCTGCAAAACTGTAAAAGAACACAGAACCCCCTTAAACTTGAACATCCAATAGATTGTGCACACACAATCACATACTACAATACTTGTAGATCAATGCTAAGCAAAAAGAAACTAACATTCATATTGGAATCCTAACATGAACAAACAGCGGGAATGGAGCATACTACTTTTGAAAGCTTAGATTTCAAGAACCACAGAACACAAATCATATAACCTATCTAATCCAATACTGAAACTCCAGCTCAAGAAAACTACTGTATACAAAGGAGTCTAATATCTTCCGATTCATGAGAACCTAAAACCAGCTTTAACATTGCGATGAGATAATACCTGTCGTTAAGGAAAGCTAATGCTAAGGCTGTAAAAGCAGCACCCACAATAGCCAGTGGTCTTGTAATCAGCGCAAGACCTGAATCAACAAAAACATGTTACTATACTGCAGAAGATCTTCATTCAAACCCAAATTCCCAAAATACAGCTGAAATTAAGATAAATCTGCAAGCCTTTTCACTTACCTAGAATGAAAATCACCAGGATGAAGTAATTCGTCCTATAGCTGCAACATAATTAAACAAGTAGTAATGAACATACGATCAAAATCAAAAATCAAAAACCCAGAAAATGAAGAGAGATGCAGACAATAATCGAGATAGAGAGAGCAATACTAGTAGAGATTGCATTTGAGACGGCTCTTCCATTTAGAGAAAGAGCGAGGGAATGCGAATCTAGAGAAGAACTCGCCGAACGAGCGAGGAGGTGTCGACCATTCAACTTCTCTCAGCGCCTCGATCACATCCTCAGCAGCTACGTTGTCCCAATCCATATCTCTGGCTTCGTCTCTCGCTCTTTCTCAGAAATTGAGACACAAGATGAATCGATTACAGCTCCGAAGACGACGAAAATAAGCTCCGATGAGTTTTTCTGATTCGAATTTCGGTGCGATCGTAGGATTTCGATTCGTGAATGTGTTCTCACCTCAATCTCAGGTATGTACGCGTATCTCTGATGACGTGGCATAAATTTACAAAAAAAAAAGTAAAAAGACTGTGTCTGAGCCCGGGTTCGAACCGGGGACCTCTAGTGTGTGAGACTAGCGTGATAACCGACTACACCACCCAGACGATTTGTTAATTCTGTAGTTTTAAAAGAAATATAGTATTATTACGATGTTGTCATGTTCTCCGTCTCTATCCAATTGCCGAAAATGACTAAACAAAGCCAAAGGAACAGTCGTGCGATGTAGACAAGAGAATGTTTGCAGTTTCGTTAGGACCTCGTACCACATCGTGCCGTTTGAGCTCTGCCTTTCTCTGCCACCTCTCGATTCGTCCCGCACGACGGCTCCACCATCACTACCACCAACCACACCTTGCATCCTCTCTCTCTCTCCAGGTTCCTCTTCCCTCTCTCTCTCTCTGTCATATTCTCTTTCCGAGAATCTCGGAGAAATTTCGTTTTCGGCATCTTTGATATCCTCACTTTTCCTCGTTTTCAGATTCGTTCGTTAAGAAAGCAGATCGACATGGCAGCTCCAGGTTTGCTGATCTCTCTCTCTCTCTCTCTCTTCTTTAGCTTCTTCCTCACTTGATACAAGGAAAACGGATATTTATGCTACAGTGGAGACATCTGCTGACTGGATCGAGGTTCACTTGTTTTTGTTAACAGGGGATTATGGAGTGGTGAAGGAGAAAGCAGGAGGTGATTCGTACGAAGTAGCGTTGGCTGCTTTGTCTTCTTTAATCACGAAGCGAAGTCGTGCTGATAAAAGCAACAAAGGGGATCGGTTCGAGTTAGTCTTTGATTATCTTAAGGTCTCACTTTCAATTGAGCTCTTTTAGAAGTTTTGATTATCTTTGCACCTCTGTTTTTTTTTTTTTTTTAATTTTCTGCTGAATATTATTACTCTTTTGCAGCTACTTGACCTGGACGAAGACATTTCGAAGATGAAAGTTATCCATGTCGCTGGTACCAAAGGCAAGGTACAACTAGTTTAATTTCTCTCGAGTCCTTTTTGTTTTCTTGTTCAAGATATATACATTAGAAGTTGATTTTGTTAGTTGGGTTCGGTTTCTGCTTGAGTTCGTGATGCTATCGTGTAAGCCTATCTTAGTTGTACACTGCTAGTGACCGTTATGTCCTTATAACTGCTTTGCCAGAAGCCTAAGGTTTTGCTCTGTGGAGAATTGAGATACGTTACTGGACTGAGTCAGCTTGAGCTCGGCTTGTTAATAATTTAAGGTTCAGGTGCGAAATGGATATTGATTTGATCTTTTATATGGTTTTATTTAATCGAGTGTCAGTTTTAGTTCAGTATTGGGATATTCAATGTGGGATTATGCATCTTATCGGTTCTTTCTTCTAGATCGTGATTAGCACAAAAGAAAAGGTTAAGAAATCTTCAGTGAACTTGTTGGATGAAATGGAAGTGGTTTATTGTTTGTACGGTTGATTACTATCAGATCCAACAGCTAACATTATTGTCTTTCTTTTTTGATGTGGCTTGGAGGGATCCACATGTGCCTTTACTGAGTCTATTTTACGAAACTATGGCTTCCGAACCGGCCTCTTCACTTCACCTCACCTCATTGATGTCCGGGAAAGATTTCGCTTGGATGGGTAAGTTTTGACGAAGAAAAACATATTTGCTCATAGACGCAGGAACATGATTGCAATCAATACTTGGTTACGTTTGCGCTCTTCTTTACTGAAAATTGCTCAATTTCGCTTTAGCTGATGTCTTGTATTGCTGCAGTGTGGACATAAGTGAGGAGAAATTTTTGGGTTATTTCTGGTGGTGTTATAACAGGCTTAAGGTATGTTTGCAACAAAACTCTTGTTTTTTGAACTCATTTTCTGTCTTTTGGGTCTCTTGATTGTCTGGTAGTAGTTATCATCAACGTAGATTTTCATTGGAATTCCTCGAGTGGGTTGAAATGTTGATGAAAATCTTGGTGGAATCTTCTTTAGTGTTGCGTTCTGAGAGTTTCACGATAAGAACTTATAATGAAGAATTGAAGATGGAACTAGCTTTAGTTTTTTTACTCGAAATACAAGGATACTGACTCTTTGATTTGCAGGAGAGAACTAATGAGGAGATACCAATGCCTACATATTTCCGCTTCCTTGCGTTGCTAGCTTTTAAAATATTTGCTGCTGAAGAGGTTTGATCCCAATATTTTCCTTCTCTTACCCATTGAAATGGTACATCTGGAAACATTTGTTTTTCTTTATTTATTGATACTGCTCTTTGCTTCTTTATGCAGGTAGATGCTGCTATATTGGAGGTAGGATTAGGTGGGAAGTTTGATGCCACCAATGCGGTACGTTTGACCCTTTTTTTCTCAGCTGAAATGCTATTTTGTCCAAATATGATGTACCCCTTTTTCTCTTTTCTTGTGACGGAATAAGTTCTCATGGGGATTCACTGCTGACATGTTACAGGTTCAGAAACCTGTGGTATGTGGTATTTCTTCACTTGGATATGACCACATGGAAATTCTAGGTCTGTACTCATGCTTGTTTATCATTGTCCATATCTCTAGTTATTTCCGCTTTAAATTTTGATTGATGAGATCTATGGTTGCATATATGAGCAAACTTAGTTTTGAGCTAATTCCATTTGTTTGTTATTTTATCATGATTTCTTTCTTCTCTGTCGGATGCATCACAGGTGATACACTTGGCAAAATTGCTGGTGAGAAGGCTGGAATTTTCAAGGTGGCTATAACTCTCTTGTATATCTAAGTCTTAAGATGGATTTGTAATTTAGTAATACTCTCCATAGTTACCTCATCTTCCTTGTTCATATTTCAGCTTGGAGTTCCAGCTTTCACAGTGCCGCAACCTGATGAAGCCATGCGTGTCCTTGAAGAGAAAGCTTCTGAATTAGATGTACGCTCAATTTGGCAGAAAATGTTTGTGCATATATGTACTTTCTGTGGTTGATTGTAGTATTCTATATGTACCTTTCTTTTATGGTGAAAATTGAAAAATCACTGCATCCACAAATAGGTGCATTAGTTATAGTCCCATTCTAGTTTAGTTTGATTTGTGAAAGTAAGTGTGGGTGCGTTTGTGGAGAAGCTTTTAACATGGTAATGACAGGTGAATCTGGAAGTGGTGCAACCACTAACCGCAAGGCAGCTAAGTGGTCAGAAACTTGGGCTTGATGGAGAGCACCAATATCTCAATGCTCGTCTAGCAGTTTCGCTTGCCTCTACCTGGCTTCAGCAATTTGGCAAGGTTGAAGTTCCCAGTCTGACGCAGATGGTAAACTGCTCTTTCCCGTCGTTGTTTACTTGTCATTACCCTTTCTCTCATTTGTGAATTTCATCCTTTTTGCCACATTCTTGTTTGGATTTAGAGTACTCTGCCTGAGCAAGTCATCAAAGGGTTAGCTACAACGAGCTTACAAGGACGAGCACAGGTTGTCCCTGATGAGTTTATTGATTGTCAGAGATCAGGAGATTTAGTATTTTATCTGGATGGAGCTCACAGTCCGGAAAGCATGGAAGCATGCGCCAAATGGTTTTCTTTTACGGTTAAGGGGAACAACCAGTCAGAGAGTTCAGAACATTTGGTTAATGGATCCTCACATGATAAATTGTCTGGAGAAGAAAACTGCCAACAGGTAAGGGGACGAGTTTCTTGTTCTGTTCTGTCTTGGATTTATAAATCATACAAAGAGATTCAATGAAATTATTTACAGTAAAAGTTATTGGATTAAGGGTATGTGAACATGCTTTGCAGATATTGCTGTTCAATTGCATGTCAGTTCGGGACCCAAACCTGTTACTTCCACATTTAAAGAATACATGTGCAAATCACGGTAAGTTCTTGAGCCTTGTGTCCTTGAGGAAACAAACTTTATTGAAACGGAAAAAACTTAGCGAAGGTAAAAGGGGTAATAAGAGAAAGCTGAATAATGGTTGCATGTAATGTAGGTGTCCATTTCAAGAAGGCATTGTTTGTACCAAACATGTCGGTGTATCACAAGGTTGGTACAGCGGCTGATTTGCCAGAGGATGATCCACATGTTGACTTGTCATGGCAGTTCAAACTCCAGCAAGTGTGGGAAAGTCTTGTCCACAGTGAAAGAGGTTAGTAACCAAAATCATTATGATAATTAAGCACAATCACAATCTGAATCTATATCTGATTGTGAACGCAGAAGGAGAAGGAGAAAGAGGAAAAGATGGTGAAAGTAGTGGGAACAGTGAGGTGTTTACTTCATTACCGATGGCAATAAAATGGCTAAGGGACAGTGTACATGAGAGTAGCTCAGCCACACGATTCCAGGTATCAAACCAAACCTTTGTTTTTAAATATTCAATACTGATGTCTGTGTCAATGATATTCAAGTGGCTCAAGGACTTTGTTTGTGTGTGCAGGTTCTTGTAACTGGTTCGTTACATCTTGTTGGCGATGTACTGAGATTAATCAGAAAATGAGAGGGAAACAAACACACGGAAGCCACAGTACCTGCGGTGGAATGAGATTATAGGAATCTTATTTGTATTATTTTGATTTCACTTCCCACATAGAAATTTGTCTCTTTTTTCATTTTACCTGAAGCAATATGTTCTTTCAAAGGAACAGGTTCACAACTGCTACACACTACGTGCTTGATTTATTTCCTTCAGATTTAAGAATCGGTTAAAACGCACTAATGTTCCAATTGTAAACCAGGTTCCAACATCATCCCAAAACTAAACTGGATAAAAAACGAATAAATCATCATACGAGGAAGAGAAGGAAAAAAACACGAATCGATGGCAGAAAAGAGCTTAAAGGATGAAATCCACACACAAACCTCTCACAAGTTAAGATCCACACGATTCCATAATGACAAAGTAGTAACTTGTTATTACAAAGGAGTAGTTACTAGAACAGATTGCTAGATTAAGATTAAACTAGTAGTCATCATTATGATCACATCTGAAGCAGACTAAGGAGCTCTGGGGATAGGGTCTCCTCCAGCTGATAAGCTTTCCCAAGTCCATTCATACGGGACAAACATTCTGCAGCTGGAACATCTTCTTGGTGCGTCTTCAGGTTGTGCCAAGAGAATGTTGTTGTTTGCTGCTGTACAACTTTTGAGAGATTGCGCAAATTCAGAGTGATCGCCTGATATCACCATCATATTCGTCGATTCTCCATTCTCTAATAGCCACAGGAAAAAATCCCCATTCATACTCATAAATCTAGCAGATTTATCTCCTGAAAATCATATACACGAACATGAGTGAGTAGAAAAAGAGGATTTATCATACAGTCACTAGAAGCCTAAAAGGAAAGCTCCATTAATATCTACGAAAAGAAAATGATGAAGAGTTAAGTAGTAAAGGGATGAAATCCACACACCGTGGCGTTCGAGTTTGATTCCGGCGGGTTGATAGTAATCTGGGATCTGATACATGTCACCGTAAGCTCTGATGGTGACCTCACCGAGAAAACCCTTTTTCGCAAGAGCTGATTTGATGTTCCTAGCAACCGAAACTGGATCGAGGCCACTTGGGATTGGGCAATCCTCCACGTTCCAGAAGACGCATGTCTTTGCCGCTGCCAAACCAGTTGAAACGCATTTATATTAAACATTTTTACTGCATTTTATTTTGAGTTAAAAAAACAAACTCACAGTTATTTGTTTATACTTGCACTATCTAATTATACATTCTAAACATGGTTAATTATATAATTCCTTTCAGCTTTTTAATCATTATCATAACTCATTTCATATACTGAAAAGACATATCTCCATCCTCGTGCTACTGAGAGAGAGAGAGAGAGAGAGATTACCTGCGTATCTAGAAGACATGGTAAGGCTGAACCTAGAGCTCAGTCCAGATTCGAGATGAGAAAGAAGTAGAAGGAGGCGAGAAAGAGAGTGATAGATAGTCGACTAAAACCCTAAAGTTGGAAATACAAGATCTGAGATTTTCTAGTGTTATTTATACAGAGCTGAAAGGAAAGATCTAGAGTTTCTACTCTCACAAAGTAGTCTAACTAAATGTGTTGGCAAGTTGTGGATGATTGATCGTACGGGAAGAGCATTCATGTAGTGTGTTTAAGACTCTGCTTTTGACCGTTGGGACTACTGTATCTTCTGTATTGGGCTTTCTCTTTTGAATTTGGGCCAATACCGTTTTCTTTTCTTCGGTCTTGAGCTGAGACAACAGTTTTTGCTATTAAACGAAGTGAGGCTGTGCGTGAGAGTTTTGCTATTAACAAAGTGTGGTGTGTGCGTGAGAGAGTGATTTGTTTTTTTGGGATGTGAAAAAAAAAAAAAAACAACAAAGAGAGAGGGAACATTAGATAGAGCAATGCCTCACAACTTCTGAATCACTCTTGACTTATCTAAACTGTATAAAAGCAAATTAATTATCATATGAAGAAGAAAACAAAATAACACGGTGATGATGAAATCCACACACAAACCACACCAGTAGAGAGACTCCTAACATCTCCTCTAAAGCCTTTGTCGGAGCTGTTGGTTCTCTTTGCGTAACAGTTTTAACTCCTTCATTTGCTCCGCTTGGTTCTCCAGTATCGAACTTAACACCTTCGACATCTCCATCTGCAAAAACAGAGAAACAGTTTTTACGTCCTTTGATAGAAGACGATGATGAAATTCCAAACAAGACCCAAACACACACACACTACCTCGTGCATGTGGAACTGTCTGAGGATCTCAATGTGCAGGTTCCTCATGTCGTCATGAATGGAGTTTTGGAAAGAGTCCAGAGTTCCTTCTAGCGTTCTTTGAAATAGCTGAAGCGTGAAATTGCTACTATCCGTTTGAGATTGTTTCGTCCCTACCATGTTTCCTCCCTGCTACAGATTCACAGATATCCAAAATGAGATTATACCATCAGGAATCAAAATGGTTTTTGGTGAAACTTTTTGTTACATACATTCATCACCGGAAGAGCTCCTGCTTCTGTTGCAGCCACCGTCTCAGGTCTTGGCAACAAATTATTCAAAACGTCCTCTCTCGTTTCTGCTCCTGTTTTCTTTATCTTTGGTGAACCCACAGCGAGAGAGGTCCCGTCACTAAAGGAAGAAGTGGTGCTGATTCTCTCAGCGTATGTTGAGAACCTACGAGTAAAACTCGGTGATAGCTTCAGTGAATCAATGTTGCCCGGAGCTGCCATGCCTTTTGTTAACATTGGGCTTGAAGGTAAGTTATTGTCTGTCTCAAACGTTGAAGAGAAGTCTCTGATCCGTGGGAACTCTGAGCCAACGTTTGCGAGGTTTGTCTGACCAAGCGACATGGGGAAATCTCGAGAGCTAGAGAACATTGATCCAGATGTACTAGCACTTGTGCTCGAAACCCCGAGACGTGAAGGTGGATGCATGTGGCTATATTTATCAGAAAATTTCTCATTGGCCAATTGGTTAAACTTCTCAGATAATTTATCACCACCCCATGCTTCTGGAGGTGTCAAGGCAGAGTCTTCACTTTTTGTTGATGCTGTTGGCGTAGTAGTTCCAAATGGCGAGAAAGCAGCCCTTGTGTCCTCCTGCACAAGTGATGAAAAAACATTAGAATACAGAGATTATGGAGATGTATGAAGTTATGAAAATGACTTAACAAAACAATCATAGCACTTCCTTGATGAAGAAACACAAACCTGTTTCGAAGTAGAACTTGATTTCCAGTCAAATATCGTATGTTCCTTGTTTCCATCATCCCCGAATGGAAATCCCTTGCTGGATGAAGGAAAAAGCAGAGAGGAAGGCTTTTTGTCAACAGCCAAATGATCCTTGTTGTTGAATCCTTCACTATCAGCCCACTTCTCAACAGATGATACGTCAATAATAGGGGAAAACACACCCATATCATCATTGAAACTGTCACTGGCACGAAGTGCATGAAGTCTGCCCAGTGGCCCACCAGGCCATAGATGATTTCTGTTTGGTGTTTGTTCTGCAAATGACGCATTCACTGTACTCGTGGCAAGTCCACGAGAACCTGGTACTGAAGCGGATTGTGAATCTGAGGATGTTGTTGAGGGAAGTGGATCAGGAATGACAACTGAATCGTCCACAGTACCACCAAGAAGAGCCATCTCAGCAGTGTAGTTTTTCTCATTTACAATAACTGGTTTTGACGTTTGCCATGATAAACTTGTCACAGCCTGATCAATATCAGCGAAAGCTTAGTTAGCTTTAGCAATCCAAAGTTTAAGAAAAAATATCTATTGAAGTAAGAGAGTCCATTGACACCACAACACTATTTACATCACGCACCAAAAGAAAGTGTTTTCGCTGCTACTGTTGAAGATTTCAAAAACATGAAATGGATGGCAAACAAGAATATGGTCAACAAATAAACAACTAATAGTGATAAGTCTAAAATCTTCAATCCATGGAACTAGAGGCATTTGATAGGACAGGCTAAAGAGATTGCACTGAGTTAGAAATATCTTGACCTCTGAACTACTGAAAGCATGCAGGACAGTGACAGGCTGCGGTTTTCCACGGACGTCGTAAAACACTACTCTACCATTACCGGTTCCAGCTGCCAGAACGTAACCATTATCCCCAAACACCAAAGATGAGAAAGGTGCCTCGTAAGAAATGCAGGACGAAGATCTTCTGGATCCGGAGTCATAAGTGTACAGCTTTTTGTCCATCCCCACACTAGCAATTATCTGTTAACAGTAGATAACCGAGATTATAGATTACTTAGATACTGTGTTTATAAACTCTATCTCAAAGATACTGTGTACTTATACGCCGGTCAAGATTAACAATCACATTCATCTGACTCGTTGATAAGGATTCAATTACCTTTTCGTTTGATGGAGAGAAGCATACACCAGCAGCTGGTGCAGAGTGCTGCTTCAACCAGGAAATCTGTGGAAATGAAATGAAAGCAAATCATCACAGACACCACAAATGAAATGGTAATTATAAACACATTATGTCTTCAGAACAAAATAAAACCGCACGTATAACATATGCTTTTACATAAGTAAAAGAGCAGACCTTTGGGTTACGACAAGTCGTGTCCCACAGATGCACAGTGCCATCATCACCTGCAGTAAGTAGAAGATGTCGACTGGACCTTGAATAATCAAGCACCCTCAATACCTGGTCTTGAATCGATTAGAAAGCCAATTAGTTTGATTGCCAAAGAGGCTCTGAGCCATGGATGTAAGCATACATGTAAAAAGTGAACAACCTGCCCATTTGGATCTTTGAGTTCGCTAGCCCTTGCTCCAGATGCAAGGTTGTGGACTATCAGATCCCCACCGACACTGACAGAAGCCACATGCTCATCTTTGCAATTGTACATCACACCCGTTATTGTACTTGTATGTCCCCTCAACTTCTTGATACAAAGCTTTCTCTGCAGATCCCATATCTTCACAATTTGACCGGTTCCTCCAGAACATATGTACCTGGACCCTTTCCTGCTGAAGCTAATAGCCGATAAACATTCCTGAATTCATTATGACACAATCAAAACAATATCATTCACAATGAGAACTGATGAATAAGAGATGCAGGAGAAAGACAGTGAAATCAGAATTACTGGAGAGAGAAGCTAATCGAGAAAGGAATTAAACCTCGGCACTATCACCACCGTCCTTGCCAGTAACTGGAACTGTTCCTAAACTCTGCCCATTGTTCCTCCACAGGGATATCTTCTTATCTTCTCCGGTACTCGCCACAACTAAATCTGCATCTCAAAAAACTCAACTTGAACAAAGGGAAAAGAAAGAGAACAAATTTGCTCCTTCCACTATGACCACATCACAGAAACATTAACCAATCCCTAAAGCGCATACCAATTCAAACACCGAAAACTCAATTTTGAGCTGCAGATCACAGAGTATCTAGATTCATTCTACTCAAAATCGGTTAAATCGTTGCATAACATAAGATCAAAGGTGGAAATGGCAAATGCCCACTTGAGTAACTTTCCTAATTTCTCACCAACCAAGCAAACAAGGGACAAAATGAAGGAGAAGGAGCCCAGGAAATGGCGATAATTGGAGATTTACTTACTCGTGTGATTCCACTTGACGGAGTTGACAGCAGAACCAGGTGTCGGAGTATAGCTCAAAACGCAGGGATCACCGGAATCGGCGGACACGTCGAATAGCTTAACCGTATCTCCGCCGCTCGCCGCCAGAAGCCGCCACGAAGGCTCCACCAAGTTGGACATCATCACTGCCTTCACTTAGACAAAATTTCCAGAGAAAACTCAAATGTATATATCAGAATCTGGACAATGCGGGAACTCTAATTTTAACCAGAGTGAATCAAAATTTTGAACCCTACGCGAGGAGAGAGACACCACACCAACAGCGATAAAATTTATTAATTTAAAAATCAAATTAATCTTTTGCAATTGATTACTCCCTCCGTTTCAAATTAGTTGTCGTTTTGGCAAAATGTATCTGCAAATATTTGGACGTATTTGCAATGCAAAACACGTCCAGATACGTCCAAATATTTACAGATACATTTTGCCAAAACGACAACTAATTTGAAACGGAGGGAATATGATTTATGGCCCCTCCTTTGAATATAAAAGCTAAAGTTTTCACACCCTTTTGAGTATTCAAAGTTGAAACCAAAACAAAAGTTTTTATTCTTTTGTGATAATAATCAATCTGCATAAACCTTAAATGTGAAAAACGTATGATCGTCACATACTCACAGTTACAAACCGCTAGTCAGTGTAGAGTATGGGAGAATCATAAAAGTTTAGTCCTTTTAGTGTAATTTTCTTTCTACTCGTAACCCACAAAGGCGGCTCTCGATGTCACAAGTCATCCATTCAAAGCCCAATCTAGCCCTAACCTAAATAGAAACTCTCCAATTCTCTCCGTCCAAGTTCCAACAATGGACGAAGATCTCCTCACTGATGAACTTATTAGCTCCGGTAAGAACTCTCTCCATACTTTTCCCGGAATTGTTTGTTTAGTTAAATAACTCGTTTACCTATATGTTAAGATGGCGAAGACGTCCACTATATGTTAGGATTTATATCAAATACTCAGTTTTATTTTTAAGTTATTCTTTACATTTAATAAATTTAAATTTTTTACTAAAAAAAAAGACAGTTCTCGAGCTTGGGGTCGCCCTAATTTTTTCTCTCAGGCACGGCTTCCGAGGCCGCCGCACGACGCAACCTTCCTCAACGGAATGAGTCTCCGGCTTCGCCTCCCTTCCGGCAGTCCGTGCGTTTTGCTCCCCTGAAGTTGCCGCCTCCCTTGGTCGCCGTTACTTCTCCCTCGTCGCCTCCTCTTTCCGACGATTCTACTCACTTCTCCGACCTCGTTCTCGCCTCCGGCAGCCAACGATGGAGTACGTGGGACTTTTGAGGACTGAGTCCCCATCCCGTCCGGTTGCTCCGCCGAAGCCGCCAGATCGAACGTCCACCAAATCTCTCCACCCTCCCCATCCGCCGGAGCCACCAGACCCACCGGATCCGCCGGATCTACGGTCTGTGCCTCTCCTTTTCCCTCCTGGTCTCCCCCCTCCTTCGAAGCTCACCGCATTCCACATCTCCTCTCCCCAAGTGTTTTCTCCAGATCTAGATCTAGAGCTTTCCCATCTAGATCCGATTTTTGCTTCCGGTGTTGTTGTGACGCCTCTTGGGTCACCCATTCCTGCAGTATGCAGTCTTTCCTCCGATCGAGCCTCTGGTTCCTCGAGTTCGTCTCACCACCTTGCAGTAAGCCTGCTTCTCCTGCAGAAGTCTCCAGATTCTCTAGACATGTCCTCTACAGAAGTGTTTCTTCTTCCGCTGGTGGCTTTCTTTGAAGCGGATTCTCCCTTCGTCACTCTCATCGTCCTTCTTCACTCGCTCACCCAGGTTTACTCCTCCTCTTTGTCTCTTGCTTCTCCCTCTGTGGATTGCTGTAAGACTTTAGTGGAATGGTTAGTGCTGGTGATTGTTCCCAGTTTATTGGCCTTTGTTGGCTCACTTAACGCCGTAGTGCGTCTCTTTACTGCAGTATGCAGAGTTTACATCCTTGCTGTGACGGCTTGTGCTTCATATTCTTTCTCTCAGTGGCAGAGTGGAAAGAATTGTCTTAGTTGTTTCCATCCAGTTACTCTGGTTTTGGACTCTGGTTTTGGACTTCTATTGTCCTCATCTCTCCTTTAAGGAGCTTATTCTCCTCCCATGTATTTCACTTAGTTTAAGTGGTATTGTTACAGGGAGCATCGTGAAGGCTGTTCTATTTAGAGCAGTAACCAAGAGACTCTTTGGATCTCGATCAGCAATTGTTATTGTTGACGGCTTGACCTTCTTGTCTTTGGAGGCGGTTACCCCTCCTCTTGGTGGTTTCGATCAAGACAGCTATTGTTGCTTTGTTCTGAGTGCTAATTCGGTTGAGCATGTACGCTCCCATCTATCCATTTACCTCTATTTGAGTTGTTGTAGTTTCTTTTGTTTAATCTTATGCTCGACCAATCTGTGGTTTGATGCTTTGATTTATTTGGCTCACTGTGGCCTTTGTATCATCTCCCCTTGGAGATAAACCTCTCTTGATTTAATGTAAGTTTTCGTTGACCAAAAAAAAAAAAAAAAATTCAATTTTTTACTCTTATGATGATATATCGCGTGAAAGAGTGATGCGAGTTTAACATTGGAAACAAAATAATTTACTCTTATGAGATGGAATGTAAGTACTTACATATATATATAGAGAGCGAGAGATTCGATCCTAGCCTATCTTAACCTAACTAAATGAATTACATTGACATAAATATAAATCTTTAAAGTATATGATCTACGATATTTTCACAAATCTCATAGATATTTCTAAAGTATATTCCTATTCAATTTAGATTTGAGTTCTATACATGCAATCAGATTATAAAGATGATTCAGTTTAGTCCTTTAGTATCATCTTCTTTCGACTCCTAACTCATAATTTTGGTGTATGGGGTTCCCACTTTTATGATTCCTTTAGCCTTGGAGTCACTTGACCCCCAATTTTTAGGAGCCACTATATCAATATTTCATTTTTCTTTTTTCTACGTTATAATGAAATATAATGAAACATAGCAAATAGATAAATTATTCGGAGCTATAACACGAATTTGTCTCCGATTACAACAAATTGTCAAATTCTAATTCTGTCGGCAGAAAATATGATCGAATTCGTAATCAAAGACTTTCATGATCTCTCCGTTTACATATAATAAAGCATAGAAACTTTCGATAGGTTATAAAAATTGTTAATGCATATAAGATGTTAAGATCTATTTAGACCAACAATTTAACTGGACAAGAATACTCTATAGCCATTTTAGTTCCTTTTTTTTTGTCGACACTTCTGTTCATTTTGATGTCGGTACATATATGTGCTTCCATGTCTGTGGATGGAATATCAAATGTATCCGCCGAAATAAAACGGCAAGTGATTTATTTTATTCTTATTGAAATAAATTCCAACAAAAAAATAATTATACGGCGTATCTTACTAGATTTGGACAAGATAAAATGCGATCAAAACTAAAGAGAAGATCGACGTGGAATATGCTTCACTGTTACACTCTCTCTTTTTTTGTGGAATAAATCAATTTATGATATCTATTTTAGCTTCACTTCACCGTCAAAATTTTAAGATATTCACTTGGCTGAGATCGGAATTTCCGGTAAAAAGATCAACAACAAACATTTACCGGTTAATAGATTAGAGACCAAAATAACAGATCTTTAATTAGTCTGCCATCCCTTAATCTTTCTTCTCAAATTTGATTTGATTTATCTTTTGGCATATAGATTGACCACTTTATGTGTTTTATTCATAGAGCATTCTACTTTATTTGTAAACCACATTAACGGCATAACATTTGTCTCCCTATCCAACATTATCCACAGAATTAAACATTTTCTTATCTTTAACCAAAAAGTCGAAGAACAGCCCATCTTCCTACATAGTTTGAAATTTTTTTAAGAACAAAAACAAAGTTTAATATTCGAAATTTGAGGATGTCCATGAATAACCCTTTAGTCCATACTCCATAATAATGCAATTCAAACTTTGAAAAGATATTAGAGAAAGAAAAGAAAAAAAGCTACCCCTTTCAAGAATAAGTCGATTTGAGTCACATGCATCATGCATGATGAAATTAATATTTAATTCGAGAAAATGGAGGAGATAGAGATTGTAGTGTGCATGTGTATGCAAAAGATCAATAATCACCACGCGTTTTATTTTTCATTGTATAAAGTGAAGCAAAGAAGCAGGTGAAGAAACTTATCCAAATGACAAAAACAGAGAGTGAATTGATTGTAGGGAAAGAGTACAAAAGTAGAAAAAGCAAAGTTTATCCACAGCATCTACAAGAAAAGACACGTGGCAGAGAGAAGAGAGCTGAAGACGGCGGCAGAGCCACGTGGGGATCACGTGAACCCATCTTCTTCTCATCAGAAGTTGGTTATATAACAGACCGTTGGGGAGTTAGGGCAAAACCAAAAAACCAAAGTCATCATCAATACCTATCATTATCCATTTCTCTCTCACTCAACAAAATTCACACCCATTTCTCTTTCTCTACACTACTCTCTCTCTCTCTCTCTCAAGAAAGCTCATTGTCATATATTTTAGTTTAATTAGTCATCGATTCGATTCCGATCAATGGACATGAAGAAAACCAAAGCTGCTTCCTCGTCTTCGTCGTCATCTTCATTTGATCATCTGTTTGGTCCGAAAGGATCAGCCTCTGCTTCTTCTGCTTCCTCTTGTTCAACTATACTTGACTCCATTTTCCCTCCTCCGGTATCCTATTTACTTTTGACTTTACACACACATATAAGTACATATCTATGTTTATATTTACACACACACTTATATGTCGATGATCTTTTCATTAAATGAACAATATATATGTGGTTTTGTAGCAATTTCGTCGAATTTTATAATTGAAAGTTGTGGATTTTACATATCGATAACAACTAGAATACAATAGAATTATGACACAGTTTGTGTTGATTTTGTGGAAATGGATAAGGCTTTGACACACAGTCATAAAGAATTTTCCTAACTAGCTACACGACAAGTGAACATAAAAACTATCAGAAGCATGCATGAATTCTTATGGGTGCATACATGTATGTGGTCTGTAGTTTTTCTTTTCAATAAAGCTATTAAAGCTAATTTTTGAAGACATTTTATAATGTAGGTATCAAGGAAGAAGGGGAATCAAACTGCTCCTGAAGTTCAAAGCAGCATCTCTCAGACCACTGGTAAAATATGACATAGTATAACTTTCTTTTTTATGGATAAGTTCACAAAATTATTTTCATTTTTTTCGCAAATATGAAATATCTTTTAGGAACAAATTAGTAAACATCGTAATTTTAGTATATTTGTTTTTAAATTTAAACTAAAATGATCTTGAAAGTGAACAATATTTCGAATTTTCCAAAATAAGTTGTTGTATTTGTATTGAAGCAAGACACTGGAGTTATATAGTTGCATCAGGCGATTCTTGGAAGTCCCAAATAAGATCAATCTCAAGCCATTGGTCTAATGTGTTTCATATTTTCAAATAATATGATGAATTTCAAAATTTTCAAGTATCCATTATTATTTAGAGAAAGATTTAATAATTTCGTTTATTTGAACTTAGACCTTCATATTTTTTATTTTCTTCACAAGTTAGATGTTGATGATTTATGGGTCATTTTTTTCTTGTGATTTTGGTGTGTTTCCAAAGATGATAGAAGGAGCCACGAAAGGAGAGAAGCTTCCTATTACAGCTCATCCATTTACTACGGAGGCCAGCAACACTATTCACCTCCACGAACCGATGGCTCCTTGGCTCCTCCATCTCATCAGCCCAAAGAGACAGATGATCGCACTGACACGACCTCATCCTCTACTTCCAGAGGAAATTGGTGGAAAGGTTCTTCAATTTTACCTTAATTGCTTACTTATCTCTACTCCTTAAATCACTCTCAATCTCTCATTAGATTGTTTCATGGTTGCAGGTTCTTTGTATTACTAAGATCAACCTAACTAGTCCACTTGATTTCCGCAAAAAGGCCATATATAACGACTGCATCAATATCCGTAACTTTGCAGTGTGATCTTTAGGTTTTGTTTATATGTTCTTGTTTGTTTGTCTGAAATCCTACATGTTGGGGATTAGTAGTTAAAACTCGGCGGTTAATGGACTGCATCTACGACTAATGTATCGCACACAAAAATAAACACTCACAATAGTAGTAACAAGTCATATATTCTCATGATCAATCATCGTTTATGATCCAAATTTTTATTGAAACCAAGCCATACATACACCTGTGAACATGTGAAAACTGGTTTTGAGAACGTCTATTGCTCTCTGTCTGCTGCTTCAAGGCAGAGTATAAGCTGCAAGAGAACAAGAAAACAACACTTGATAAGCAATTAAGCAAATTGCATCTGCAATGAAATAACTACTTGATATCGCTTTTGTATTATTTACCTCCACATTTGTAACCGATGGGACGATCAGCGATGTTGCAGCGTTTAGGAATGGTCATAGAGATCTCTGGCTTTGCTCCAGAGCTCCTAGCTGTAGAAGAGAGCATGGCAGCGCAAAGACATTTTGGGTTCTTGCCCATTTGTTTCACTCGAACACAGCAAGTTGCAGACACTTTAGCAGACTTGTCTTGTGCAGCCATCACACAAGGAGCTAGCTTTATGGCTTCTCTATCCGGAGGGTTTCTCCCGCATTCTCCGGCTCCATCGACAGTGGTTTTTAGGCAGTAGATGCAGAGAACCAGGAAGAGAATACGAGATAAAACGTGGGTTCCCATTACTTGAAGAAGACTCGATATGCATATGCTACATGTGAAGCCTGAGATTTATAGCAATTGAAGTGGACGGAAGATTTGGCAGTATCAAAGAAAATCCACATAGAAAGTAGTGGAAGAAGCACTAAAGGAACATAGTAATTACTTCACCTAATCAGTCGCATTACTGGGTCTCAAAGTGCGTAGTTATTTTAATCTAAAGTAAGGTCAAGCTGCCCCTAGTCTCTCTCGCTAATCATTAAGAAAGCAAAGAGGTGTTTTGACATGACAAACCAATAGCACAAACTAAAGAAAAAACTTCAGAAGTATCGTCTTATAAGCTTATCTATCTCTAAACAACCACTTGTATACCAGCAGTAAGAAGATACTTGACATAAGTTCTTTGTTAATCAGTCCTCAAAGCTATTTTTATGCATAGAATCCAAGCTGAAGCAGCTCCAGTGATATGTGGGATAGTATTACAGAGGAAAAAGGTTCTCTCTTTTGATGTTTGATTCAAGGTCGGTAAAAAAAAAATCTTCTTTTGTACAGTAACTCTGCTTTATCAATAGCAAAAACAAGCATCGGAATCCAGCATCAGAAAAAACATAATCTAATTAGTAATTACCCATTTCACCGGATCGAATCTGTATGAATCAACCAGTTGATTATTCCAGATAACACACACACAGATCCTAATTCCCATCTAACAGCGAATATCATCTAACTCAGACAGCAGAAAGAAATCAAAGATTTTTACAAGGACCATATCTAAGAATCAGCATACGAATCATTTCTCATTTCCATCAACATCCGAACAAACACGGAATCACCACGTTTCGTATACAAAAACATGTTCCTATTGGGCATCAATCATGGAATCAAAACCACGTTCTAGCGAGTGAAAGCATAGAGCATAAGAGAAACATAGATGAAAAGTGCAGAAGGGACCAGAATCAGAAGCGGCACAACGGCTGCATAAGTATGACCACTCGCACCGCACCCGAAACTCCCGAGCTTGATCTGAACGACGTTGATCAGAGCCATCATGAGGAATCCACAACCGCAAACCGAGCCCAATCCGGAGGTCACCATCCCGAATCTGAGAGCCGTCTTGTTGACGTAGTACACCACCGGATCGATCCGCGAGGAGAAGTGAAACGACGAGGCTATGTTGAGCCTCATGGCTTGTTTGAGACCCAGAGCGATGAGGCTGGAGAAAAGGAAGGAGGCGAATGAGTAGACATGGAAGGCGACGAGATTCTCGGCCATACGAGTTGTCGGGTTGCAATTCGGGTCGGTTACGAGGCTGTTGGATGGGTCGGTAGGGTTCCAAGCTAATCCGATGAAAACGGCGAGCGTGAAGAGAGAGTTCACGTTGACGATTCCGTCGAGTGCTGTGATGTGAATGCTCGTCGTCATTTCTCTTCTCCGGCAGATTCGGCGACGACTCAGAGATTCGTCACGAAATAAAGAAGAACAAAAAAAAAATCCGGATTTTCAAAATTAAAAACTTTAACGCCGTTGCCGGGGATCGAACCCGGGTCACCCGCGTGACAGGCGGGAATACTTACCACTATACTACAACGACTCTGTTGTTAACCAAATTATAATCTATAATTATATTAAAACTGTAATGTTTTACACGTTATTAACAACTTTCTTGGTGTTGTTTACCAATAATTAAACCGGTAAACCAACCATATTCCCATTTTTGTCTATTTTGTTGATTTTGGTTAGGAAACGTAAACAGACACTTTACCTCATTGGAGAAGATAATAAAAGACAAAAACTACAAGTAAACGTTAACCAAACAAATCAAATCCATGTCTGCATAGATTATGATACATTTCTGTTGAGTTACTATAAAGCTCTTAAGAGACTGTGTACTTTGGAGGAGCTTTTTGATGGACTGATGTTGAATCTCTTTTCTTCTCTTCTTCACTTTCTTTGCCAATCTGGTTTATCACTGCAGAATCTGAACTCTCCAACGGACTCACGCATATTTTCAGCTTCGAATCCATGCCAAGATAATTGTTCAAGACCCTTCTCACTCCAAATCCTCGAGAAGGAGGACCTTTCTCATTGACTCTGTTGGTGTTCTTGCTTGAATAAGAAGGTGTTCTCTCTCTTTTCCTGGGGCTGATCAATGAAGGAGAGAAACCAGGTGTCGTCGATGAGAAGCTTGTTCTGTATGGAGTTCCTGAGGCAGATATTAGGTAAGGCACTGGTACCACTTTCTTGTGAGCTACAATGTTGACACTTGGATTTGACAACAGAGTGTTATCATCAGACTGTTTTGTCAAGTCATCCACGTAGAGTAAATCATCGATTCTTGCCACGATGTTTGATGCTAAGCTCTCTAGAGCTCTCGAGTAGCTCTCTAAGATTGATTTCCCAATATCCTGAAATATTTTCAGAAGACAGTATTAAGTAAAGAAGAACAATCAAAACAAACCTTGTAATGTGATGTAAATGTATTAAAGAGAAAGTGTTTTTTTTTGGACCTTGTTCCATTGGATCTTGCTAATGTCTAGAGAAGTTTGAGTAAGAGATGGGAACCGCTGCTTCAAGCAACGTAAGAGAGTTTCAGATCTCTCCACAAGTAGTCCTCTTTTGTCACCAGCAGCCATTAGATCTTTCACCATTTCCCATGATAACTTTGGTGTAGAGCTTGATGAAGTGTTATTCTCTTTGTTGACTCCAAGCTTTGTGTGGACTCTTCTGCGCCAGACGTATATCGAAGCTTCCACACGGTTTGCGATATCAAGAGCAATATGCTCAGAGGACAGATCAAGGCAATCAAGAAGACACTCAGCAGAAAATTTCTCAGAGGTTATGTACCTGTAGATAACATCCCCAAGGCAAGACCTACCGTTCTGCGCCAAGAGTTTCAATGTCAGAAACAAAGATTTTTCTCAGAATTGTTCTACGTATAAGAATGTTTTGAGTTAAGGATTTCAAGAACCTTAGGAAGTGTTTCAAGGTATGATTCGGGAACATCCATTTCGGTTAAAGAAACGCTGTTAATGTTCATTGCAGCTTTAAGTATCTGAGTCGCACAATCTCTCTTGTGGTTCAGTTCTGTTCTTGCTTCTTCGGTAAGACCATTAGGTGCTAAACGAGGAACAGGCAACCACCATTTCTCTTCTTGGCGCTGAATCTTTCTACGGAAAGAAGCTGAGCCGTCGTTTTCTGAAGCTACAATCCCTTGATCAACATACCAGAACTCGGTCTTCTTGAAACTCCCCAGTAAATCCTATTTTTCCATAAAGAAAACAAAAATGGATCAGACATCAACAGTTTCAACTTAAGAGTATCTCTGTAATAGAAAAAGATGAGTGAGACTCACAAGAAGCATGTTGTCTAGTTTACGGAGAGCTGGGAGATTGATGAAAAGATCAAATCTTGGTTGGCAAGTCATGACCTGAAGATCCACAAGTTGATTCATTTTTTGGTAAATTAAACTCCGGAAATTTGCAATAATCCTTAATCAAGAACATACCTCAAACTTTTTGCCGTCGGGGTAAGTTTGCGTGGAAGGTGTTAACTCAACGATGTGATCACTAACACTAAGAATCCACTCCATTTCCCTTCTCCACATCTCCTTCTTCTCGCTCGAAAGTGGCTCTAATCTCCATAGTTGCCCAAAAATGGTAGCTTGAAGAAAAAATTGGACACTTTCAAAATTTCGGTTCAGGAAATTTGACAAACACAAGATGGTCCTATTTTAAAAAATTACCACAGAGATTGGTGATGGCGTTGGAGATGGCTAAAGCCGTGCACACTCCTTTACCGGAACCTGACATATCTTCTCCAAGCAATAACTTCGCAAACCTCTCCTTCATCATATCCACATCTGTTTCAAAAAATCAGATAAAAACAAAAATGAGACTTTTGAAAAATAAATTCGAATTGAAATTTGAAATTCTGCTCTTTTTTAGATAACATAGTCAAAGTAAAGTAAAAAATTCAGAATTTTTATTCCTCGGAAACCAAAGCCAATCACAAACCTGCGCTATTCATCGCCTTCTCTTTAGACCCAGAATCAGCGAGAGAGGAAGATTTCTTATGGTCCAATCTGACTTTTTCTGTTGAATTCTTACGAAACGAGGCTTTCCTTATCGGCCAACCTAGAATCGACGGTGGTGGTGGAGAAGACGAAGCAGCGGTGACTGAGGAACTATCGTAGCTCGATCTGCTCGTGCTGCTTCTCTCCTTCGACTCGGTTACTGTTTCGTGACTTTCGTCTACTGATTGAGTCAGATTACTTCTTTTCTTCTCAATCCCTGCGCAGCTCTTCACTAAATTCTCCATTTTTTAAAAAAATTACTCGAGATTAGAAAACTGGTTTTCCTCTGCAAGTCCCAAAAGAATTTAGTAAACGGCTATAAATGTAAGAAGTAAGAACATGTCTTTTGTAAGACCCAAAAGAATTTCAAAAATTCAGCCGAATTAAAAGGTGTTGTTCTCTGTTTCTCTTCCCCTGTCACGAGTAGAGAGAGAGAGAGAAAAAGAGAAGAAGAGGTAATAATAATATTTTTGGCTTTTAGTTTTCAAAACATTAAATTACCTTTTTGGCGGACAAATCTCTCGTTTGGTGGGACGTTACGGTTCTGCCCATTGTGTTAATCAAGAAATTACCGCAAATAGCATTTGGTGTGCTTCAGTACAATTATGTCACCAAATTAACCAAGTACTATTAAAGAATAAATAGTTGTATTAATGAGCCATGTTAAATGCCAAATTGACAAATTAACTAAAATCTTATCTTATGTGAATGGAATTTTTTTTTTAAATAACGGTCTGACAGTGTAGTTTATTTCAGGGTAGTTACAGTACCACTATCTGAAGATCACTAAATGCAGAGTAGAAAGAAAAAAATGTATTACAAGAAGAAAAAAAAAGTGGAGACATTCTTCTTGAAGAGTACCACTACCAAATACTATTAAATGTCATATAGGCCGCCGATATTAAGATTAGGAGTTGAAAAGGACTTAAGTGATTTAATGCAAGCCTTCTTTTTTTCACTGTCAGAGAATTATGCAAAGGATAAGTGAGTGGCATTTTCGTTGATATGGATGTTTGTAGCGTGCAAAATAGTAACATGAATGTTTTTGATTCAAACGCATGGTCCCATCGATCAACGTTTAAATTTAAGTTTTTCGTAGCCGTTTTAGGCCTCCCTCGAGTGGGCGTAGCTTAATGACTTATGTGACTCTGACCAAATGAACATTCTTGATTTGAAAGTGTTTAACTAAATAAAACGAACAGGACAACAACTGTTTTTCAAGGGACATATATGACTGATCATCGGTTTGAACTAATATGCACAATTAAAAACATTCCAGTTTTTTTGTCCAAAACATTATAAATGTTTTTCAGTTCCGTCGTGTCCATCACATCTAAGTCTAACGATACTAAAATTTGAACTTCAGTAAAGTCATACTACTATACTAGTTAAAAACTTAAAATAAAGCAAAAGGTGTTATGAAGTTTGAACCATCTAAATTCGAAATGTAAACAGCCTACACACAAATTCAAATGAGACTTGTGTGAGATATAGGTACAGTACTTTTGTTAAAGTGCAACCAAAAGTTGACTTTTTTGGACACAGCACTCTCACAAAATTTCCTTTTCCCAAATGGTGTATTTCTTTTCTTTGTTATGCCACGTCCCGCCTTCTACATTCAATCTAGGGTTTTTTTTTTTTTGGTTTTTGGGAGAAACATTCGATCTTGCTTTTCAATTCAAAGTTTCATACCCATCTTTGTGCTTTTCCTTTGGCATACTTTACTAGATGCTGCCATTGATACACCTTTTATGTAGAAGCCTTCATGATTGATTTTTTTTCTTGTTTCCAGTAAATATAGTTTTCAAAATCTCTTAATCGTTTTGAGTTGAAAACACCACAACTGAAAGTTCGATATTTTAAAAACTGATAAGCTTTTGAAAAATTCCACCATATTTCTTCTTCTTATAATTCCTATTAGAATATGTTAAACTTGCCAACCAAACAGAACATTATTACAACAACTACATGTGATGTACCAAAAAGAAAAGGACCGGTTATCGATCGGATTGGATAACCAATTCCGAAATTGACACCCCTAATTTGTTGTAAGCGGTACACACGTAATGAGAGAGAATCATTGTCTAGTTGGATAAACGGAAATTTGATAGCAATTTGCTGAGAAATTATGAAGGATGAATACGAAGCAGACAACAAATAAGAGGAGTTTATTTAGAGCAATCGTAGGATTCGTCGCTTTCCCAAGAAAGAAAAAAACACGAGAAACGTGCACCTACAGCTCCTCGTCTCCTTTATCCGAACCCATTTGATTTTCCAGGAAAAAGGAGGAAACTTTTATTCAGAGAAACCTCTTCTTCCTTGTTCTTCCTCCTTTTACCTCCTCTCCCAGCAAGGATAACGCCTACAAGCGTTTATCTCCCGCCTTAGATTCCGGATCCTCTCTCTCTCTTGCATTTTAAGCAAAGGTAAATTCTCTTTCTCTCTCCCTGAGGATTTAGATTGGATTTTTCGATCGCTGGATTCACGATTTAGATGTTGGGTTTGATCGGAATGAGTCGCTTAGATTCCCAACTCTTCTGAATTTCCGTCTCATTAGCTCGCAACTGTGAGAGACGTTCTATTTGATACACGAAACCGGTTTTGAATTATATGGGTGTAAATTTGTTGAGCCGTTCTAGGTAGAGTTTCGGTTTTAGACGAAAAGTAAAGGTTTTCAAGGGGTTTGGTTTGACGTAGCTTCACTTTCGAATTTCACTTTGACTGGTAAAGGTAGTATTTTTGCAGGTTTTAGCGTGTTGTGTGAGCTTATTACTTCTCGTAATTGATGATTTTTCCATTCAGGTGTATTTTTTCTTGCAATTTTTGGGGATCCACAACTAAGATCATTAGAGAAGGCTGTTACAGCTTCTTCTAGTGTGTTTATGACCACGAAAACAGCGGACTTGGTAATTGATGTGGCCTCTCTGTTTTCTGCTTAACAAGCTTTTGAAAGTTGATGAGAGGAATCAGGGGAGATCAGAAGTTCATGGAGATTCTTCTACTTCTGCCAGATACAGCAAATTGGATCCTTTGGTGACTAATGGAAATTACAGAGATGGAGGGTTGCCATCCTCGTCCCACATGGAAGTAAGACCGACTTTTCCCTTTCGAGTTTCTTCTCTATGGTTTGGTCTCGATCTAGGAAGTCTACATTTGCTGCAACTTATTTCCTTCTTTGCCACATTGCTGGTCCTTTTTGTTGCTGTTAGGTCCCTCATGTGCATCAGCTAGCTTCATGGGATTGCGGTCTCGCTTGTGTTGTTATGGTTCTCAGAGCAAGTGGCATCACAAGCTGCACTATCGAGGATTTGACTAAGATATGCTCCACAAATAGGTCTGCTTATACCTTAAGAAACTGTCTGAACCAGTGTAACCTACTTTACATTCTTAGCCTTGTCTATCTCAGAAAGATGCTCATCATCATTTTTTTTTCTGAAATTTCTGCAGCGTTTGGACTGTAGATCTCGCATATTTACTGCAAAAGTTTTGCGTGGAATTTTCCTATTTCACAGTAACATTCGGCGCAAATCCAAATTACTCCATAGAGGATTTTTACAAGGTATCTATACTACAGATGGCAAAGACCTCTAAATGCTTGTTTCATAGTTTCTCATGACACCATCTGAAAATACTGTGTGCTTCATCAAGTATGCGAATGAAGTATTGATTATTTTCCGAACTTGTTCCTTTCGAAATCATGATGCAGGAGCAGCTCCCTGAAGATCTGGTGCGTGTGGATTTGCTCTTCAGAAAAGCACATGAATCTGGCATTATTATACAGGTAAACCCGTTTGGCCAAATGAATTTGGCTAGTTTTGTTTGTTTTTTTGTTTCATTAATGTTGCTTGAATATTTGGCAAATTTTTCTACCCAAAGATGTTACTAAGACTTCTTTTTTGGTATAGACACTACCCATTAAGTCCGTGTGATAAAATCTCCCCTTGTGTAATCTGTTTATTATTTGGAAATCAAATTCAATCAACCCCTTTGTTTTTGCAGTGCAGATCAGTTAGTATTCATGAGATCTCTTGTTTGCTATTGTCGGGGAGCTATATTGCCATTGCATTAGTTGACCAGGACAAGCTAAGGTTGGTTCTTCTTTTTTTCTCTGTATGTCCTCTGTTCAGAGCCTTTTATCTACAAACTTTGGATGTGTGCAACGTCTTTCATGTTCTCAAAACTTGCACAATGACATATCTTTTGCCCTTTTCTCAGAATGTCATTGTTCCTCAGGATATTTATTTGTGCGTCTTTATTACTTTTTTTGCAGCAAGTCTTGGCTGGAGGAAGTGATTGTCGCTGGTCTTCACAACAGCAATTCCAGCTACACAGGTGAGAAATGGCTCTCTGCCTTGGACTCTGTTTCTTTTCTTACAAAATAGGAACCCCAGCTTCCTCTTCCTTGGTTTTCTTATGACGTTAATCTCTTAGAATCATTGGATCTTCTGAAATTTATAGGTCACTATATTGTGATATGTGGCTACGATGCTGATAGGGATGAGTTCGAGATCAGAGATCCAGCCAGTTCCAAGTAATTTCTTGTTATCTCTCATTGCTTCAATACTTAGAGATCAGGGCCCTCCAGCAGTTTTCCCTGAGAATGTTATATCTGGATGCAAGTTTTCATTACCATATAGATTGGTAGGAAGAGATATTCGCGAATAACCATTGAAATAGAAGAAGCAAGAAAGAATACTTGACACTAGTAAGAAATTCACAGACAATTATTTTTTCAGGATACACGAGAGGATATCGGCAAAATGCCTGGAGAATGCTCGGAAATCTTTTGGGACAGACGAAGATCTTCTCTTGGTAATCTAAGCCACCTTTTTTGAGTTGTTTACAACAGGAACAGAAATTGTTGGTTTTGGCTTGTGCAATGGCTTCATGAATTGTTTTAATGGATTTGTGCAGATAAACTTGGAAAACATCAAGAACCAGAAAGAATGTTAGAATAGCTCTCCTCACCATCAACATCACCAAATCATAATGGAAACCCGAGTGATTGATCTCTCCCAGAAGAACACAAGCTGAAAAGCAGAGTTTATAATGTTGCCAAAAAAAGGAAAAAGAATACATACATGTACAAGGATCATCAGTGAACTTTAGTATAGGCTTGTCATTGATCAGAGTTTTCTGTTTCTATGCTGTTTATATTTTTTCTTGTACAAATTGGTTTCTCAATGTGAATGCATAAGATTTTATCAATTGAGTGTTCGAGTGACAGTTCCCCCAATGATGGAGAGCTAAAAAACATCTGCTCCGCAGCTAAAAAACAATCCGAGTAAAATCGAACCGTACCATATTCGAACCGAACCATATCAATACCGGATCCAGTCACGCCATACCGTGGAATTTGATTCGAATTTTCACCAACCGAACTTAGATTCGGACCAAACCGGACCAATCATTTGTGGATGGTTCTTTCTTTTCCGTTTATTCGTCGTCTCTCTCGTCAGGTTACGCGCTAGAACCCTAGAAGAACAACTCAAAACCCTCTACACGATACTGGTCACGGACTAATATCTGTCTTCGTCTATTCCTTCTTAGAGCAATATGGAGGATCATGTTTTGTCTTCGGTTCACTCCACGGTTTTCAAGGAATCCGAATCGTTGGAAGGGAAGTGTGACAAAATCGAAGGATACGATTTCAATCAGGGAGTCAATTACCCAAAGCTTCTCCGATCCATGCTCACCACCGGATTTCAAGCCTCAAACCTCGGCGAAGCTATTGATGTCGTCAATCAAATGGTTTTTATTCCCTTCGATTCTCTACTTAAATAAATAATAAAGTTCGGTTTTTTCCCCCGGATTTTTGCTGTGTTATTATTGAGCTTCGTTTTGGCTGAATCAGTAACATGGGTTCGAACTGTATTGAAGCTAGACTGGAGACTGGCTGATGAAACTGCAGTAGATGAAGACTGTAGTGAAGAGGAGAAGGATCCATCGTACAGAGAGTCTGTGAAGTGTAAAATCTTTCTGGGTTTCACTTCGAATCTGATTTCATCTGGTGTTAGAGACACAATTCGATATCTTGTTCAGCACCATATGGTTAGTAAATTCCCAGCCATAGTTTTGGCTGAGTAAATTGTTGAGCTTTAGTTTGAATAACTTTACTTAGTTGGAAACTGTTTGATTCTTATGCTTCTTGCAGGTTGATGTTATAGTGACGACAGCTGGTGGAGTAGAGGAAGATCTGATAAAATGCCTTGCACCCACGTTTAAAGGCGACTTCTCTCTACCGGGAGCTTATCTGCGGTCAAAGGGATTAAACCGAATTGGGAACTTGCTGGTTCCAAACGACAACTACTGCAAGTTTGAGACTTGGATCCTTCCCATCTTTGACGACATGTTGAAGGAACAGAAAGAAGAGGTACCGTTCCATGAGTCACCAAGTTTAACAAGTAGAGATAGATTTCGTTTCCTCTCTTGTATCATAAGCTTCGTTAATGAATAGAATATTCATCCTCTGGTTTGAATTTGTAGAATGTGTTGTGGACGCCATCTAAACTGTTGGCGCGGTTGGGAAAAGAAATAAACAATGAGAGCTCATACCTTTACTGGGCATACAAGGTAACAAAAGTTTACAATTTGTTGTTTTTGTCAGCATACTGGTAGGAACTCTAGAATTGAATTTTTCCTCCTAATGTTGTGTTTGTAGATGAATATTCCAGTATTCTGCCCGGGGTTAACAGATGGCTCTCTTGGCGATATGCTCTACTTTCACTCCTTTCGTAGCTCTGGCCTCGTAGTCGATGTAGTGCAAGGTACATTTTGTAGCTTTATCAATCAAGCTCTCTTCCATGGTGTAGTCTTTTGGTGAATTGAATGAAAGAGTTTATCAGTTTGAATCTTATCACTATATATTCTGTCTAGTGCTGGATTAAAAGTTATGGTCCCTGAACCAGTTAATGCTTTTTATGAACAGATATCAGAGCTATAAATGGGGAAGCTGTTCATGCAACTCCAAGAAAGACGGGGATGATAATCCTTGGAGGGGGATTGCCGAAGCACCACATATGCAATGCCAATATGATGCGTAACGGTGCGGATTACGCTGTGTTCATTAACACTGGGCAAGAATTTGATGGGAGCGACTCAGGTGCACGCCCTGATGAAGCAGTGTCTTGGGGTAAAATTAGGGGATCTGCTAAATCCGTTAAGGTCCTGATTTCGAAACTGCTTCTACTTTCTTCACATCCTTTCTCTACTTTCTCACTTGGTTGTTTTGAGTCAATAATATTTGGTGATGGATCATTCTTGCAGGTATACTGTGATGCTACCATAGCCTTCCCTTTGTTGGTTGCTGAAACATTTGCCTCCAAGAGAGACCAGACCTGCGAGCCTAAGACCTAAGCACTCTCATTTTGAACATGGATTCTTACTGACTGTTGCCTAGCTTACAGGGGTCATAATAATTTCACAATTGGTGTTGCTGTGACCGCAAATTGTGGTCTTGTGGATTGTACTTTAGTTTTTCTTAGTAACTTAAAATGAATCTGATTTTGTTTAGTTGATCATTCAGTAGCAACACTGATGACTGTGCTCTGTTCATGGCCAAGTTCAAAACTTTTGAGTATTTTTCACAAAATGACATTGCCACGTAGTTTATAACATCATATTAAACAAAATTATCATTCCAAAAAAAAAAATCATTTTCATCGATCTACCTATTTTTCATTGGGCTACTATTTCTAACAAAGCACGAAACAAATAAAAAGAGAGACCTAAATGATCTATGGAAACATGGAAAGTGATTTGTTTTCTGAAAATTAACAATGACATAAAGCAGATCTTTGTAACGCATAATCCTATACGCCATTATTTGATCAACGTGACTTCACCACAATAAACAGGGCTACGACAAATGGGAGAATCCTGAGTTTGTCTAAGCCAAGCAAATATGCAACTCATGTGGAAACTATGCTTGCATTTGGATAAACAAACAATCACTTTACCATCATCATAATCATTACCATCCTCCTTCAAATCCTCGAGACAAATCGGACAACACAAATTCCACCTCCACAACTACGTCTTTAACCATGACCGCCTCAATCTGCTGTGGACGCATTATTGGCGGTTGCGGTGGTGGCAGCGGCCTAGGCGGTTGCGGTCTCCGGAAGCTTAGATTAGTTTCACGATTTTCTTCTTTAGTGGTTACATACCGTATGGCAATGATGCCATACAAAACCAAGAGGATGATCATTAGAGTGAAGTCTTCTTGTATATGATGATGATTATGATGCGTAATGTTTTCGGTATATGCGGGAGATGGTGATGGCGGAAGAGAACGCATGATCGTATGAGACTGTGTGAGTGGAGTGAGCTTAAAAGAAATGGTGCAAAATCTATAATAACTAAAGTGAAATCCTAGATTACTTAGGTTTTATGTATATATAATTAGGAATTTAAGGGTAGGGTTGTTGTGTTTTTGCAATATCTCAATAGCAAGAAAATAGGAAACTAAATTGCTAGAAAATAGGGGAAGACTTGAAAGTATTCATTCAACACATATCGTTTAAGTGACTAGGATTAAAACATAAACACAGCTTATTAATGGAAATATTATAAATCAACTAAACAATTATTTTCCAGTTTTCAAATGTAAAAGGAAAACTAAAAGAGAAGATATTGAAAAGGAGAAAAATAAGAAGCATTTAATGCTCGAACCCACCTTCTTAAAGAAATAAAACAGCAAGTTAACCATTGAGCAAGTGAACATATCGATATTTGTGGCCTTATACATAAAGCTGATGCTTTAATGGCCGGCACTGTTTATTGCAATCGCAAAGTAACGACTTATATCTGTGCATGATCCTTGAAAGCTCCACTTATCAAGTTAATGAAATAACGTTGTACAGTAGTAGTTGTTTAATAAATGAAAGGAAAAACCATAACGTCCGTTGTTACAATCGACATCACTTCCTTGAATCCAAATTATATAGATCTAGAGAAAAGGGATATATAGATTTTGTTTACGTACTGGTGTATCCTATATGTATACCAACAATTTATCTTGGAATCTTGAAAGATCCGTTATAACATGGAATTATCCCAATTTTAGAGAAAGAATAAAAAGATATCTCGTTTTCCTAGCTACTCTTGCATACGAACGTATATGATTTTCGAATCTCGAAACTTTTGAGAGATCCAAATTATAGAGAAGATTCGTTTACCAACTGCAGTATACCAACAAATGACTTTGGAATCTTCAGATTTGAGAGAGATCAGTTATAACGTGGCAGTTAAATTAACTTTTTTGTAAGTAACATATATGGTAGCTGTTGAGAATGCATTATTTGTATTTTTTTTTCTTTAATTTCTTAACGTGATTATACAGCTTGTAATTGGATTTTAGCCAAATACACAAAATAATGTATAATCTTATGCATATATATATTGTGTAGGACAACACATAGTCAACATTATTAGATATCGTGAACAGCTGTAACATAAAATAATATGATGTCCAGATTTAACGGGCGATTTTGTTTATGTCACCAAATCAAAAATATCGCATACTTAAATTAGTTTCTAGCAAGATGACAAAAGAATAAGTAAAACTATTGAAAAATTAGTTGAACTGAAAGAGATCACATATAATATGCTACCTAGAAACTTAAATGTCATGTGTGCAATGTAATGTGCGTCTACCAATTCCTTAAAACTTAAAAGCAGATGGTCAAGTGTTAGTCGGCAAAAAAAAAAAAAAAAGGTGAAGTGTTATAGTCACAATTATTATTAGTGTAACGTTGTTTCAATTAGTTGAACATTTTTCACGTGTTTACCATATTATTCACTTCCAGCTCCCCCCACCGAGAAACCAACCAAGAAGAGACATACAAATTGATTGCAGACAGTGATCAATTTTCGCAACTACTGTATCATTTTTATATTTTTAATGATTAAATTTTTGCACAAATTACTTAATTTAACTTCAAATAACAGAAAAGCATTTGAAGAGTGGATTCACTTTTAGGAGTAAATTACACTTTTAATACTTTATAAACAATTATGTGAAAAGTTTCAAAACAGTATTCATTGTGAAATGGATAGAATATATAAAATGCGATATTATGTTTTTAACCAAAAAAAATTTATTGTTCTTCATGGAAACTTTTTAGAATATTTAGATATTCTCCATTTTAGAGATGTAGATGCTAAAAATGTTAATTTTAGAGATTTCCACTGTTGAGCGTCTTTTGAAATAAAATCAATTTTTATACCTGAAACTATGAAAGTGATTTTCATTAGTGACGCAAAAGACCACGGAAAATTATCACATGCTATTTTTTAAACCAGTCGGCAAGTATTATAAAATTATATCGAAAAAAATACTATAAAATTCCTGAACGAGACGAATCAATCAACAATATTAAATCCACCGAAAAATTAGAAGAAAAGACTTCATGAAAATGTGAACAGTAATTTTTTTTTTATCGCATCTTAGTAATTATTATGCATCTATATATCTCCACGCAAACCAATGACAAAGAAATCGCACCTCTTCATCTTATAAAGAGCAAAGAAAAAAGGAAAAAAGAAAAGAACAAGAAAATGGCTCCGATCGGACTCACCGACGTCGCTGTTACAGATTTCGTACTAAACCAACGTAACGGAGTTAAGGGTCTCGTCGACGTTATATCTCCAAAGACATTGCCGTCACGTTACGTCCAACTCCCGGAGAAACGAGTCACCCCCGAGAAACTCATGATAGAGGCAACAACTACCGGCAAAGGCGGCTCATTAGCACCGGTGATTCCGGTCATTGACGTATCTGACTGGAACAACCCAAACGTTGCGGAAGAGATATATGATGCGTCTACAACGTTAGGGTTTTTCCAGATAGTGAACCATGGAGTGTCGTTGGATGAGCAAAACAAACTGAGAGGAGTAGGTCGTGCATTTTTCGATTTGTCGGCGGAGGAGAAGAAACGGTACTGGGAGGAAAGTTCAGTATCGGAGACGGCCTCGTACATGACAAGTTTCAAACCCTCCATGGAGGCTAAGTTGGAGTGGAGGGACGCTCTCAAGTTTGACTTTAAGAATCGTTACGACCAAGTGGACTTCGCTGCCACCTGGCCTACTGTGTGCAGGTATATATGTATGACTGAAAACTACTTTCACCTGATCAGGTGAAAATTCATGAATACTAGGATAAAAATTCCAATTACATAATAATTAAATAATTGTTGTTGATAAAATATTTGAAGACAAATTAAAACACCGTAGGTTGTGCAACACAAGGATAATTTATTTGTATAGATTTAATAGATGAAGGTTTTTTAACAAGGATTTGTGGCAGGGACGAGGTTGTAAAGCATTCCGATAACATGAAGCCGATCGGTAAGAAGATTCTTGAAATACTGATGAAGAATCTAAACGCAAGAATGGTAGAGAAAACTCTAATGGGATCTTTGAGGATGAACATCAACTATTATCCCAAGTGTCCAGAGCCGAAACTAGCCGTGGGAACGGGTCGTCACTGCGACATGAACACCCTCACACTTCTTCTCCAAGACGACATAATAGGAACCCTTTATGCTCGATGCGGTGACAAGTGGCTCCATGTCCCTCCAGTTATGGGAGCCCTAGTGGTTAACATTGGAGACGTACTACAGATCTTGAGCAACGATCGGTACAAGAGCGCGGAGCATTTGGTGATGGCTAATCAGTTTCTTAGCCGGGTTTCATTTGCGTATTATCTCGGACCTGGTTACGATTCCGTTATCGAGCCGTTACGTGAGGTGCTACAAAATGGTGAGAAACCACTGTACAAGGCCACAAAGTATGCGGATTACATGAAATATTACTTTGGTAGGCCGCATTCGGCCGGTAATAAAACTATCGAATCGGTCAAGTTACATTGAATTAAAACGGTTAAATATTTATTTTATATTTTAAAATAAAGCTACATGTGTGTGTGGAATATGAGCGTGGTTTGATGTTGAGGTGGCACAAGACACTGACTTTGGAGGAAGACACTCAAGTGTGAGGAAGCCTAAGTCAAGGTCCATGTCATCTTTAATTTATTTTCTTATATTATGTATTTCAGCAAATAACAGTGATGCTCTGTTCCTTGTTTGTGATCAGAGTATTTCACTCACTTTTTTTTTTCTTTCTCATTATGCTTTTGCTTCCAAGTTTGTTGGAGTTGAACTCCGTTATAAATTTGTAAAATGAAAACAAAGACAAAGGCAGGTTATATGTTTGCCCTAAAGAAATATTCGTGTTTAGTAAAACTTGATTGGGACCACTTTATTTAATGCTGGTGAAGGTGTGCGGAGTATTACATGTAGATATGGTTTTCCCATATATATTTTTGCCCTAAAGAATTATTCGTGTTTAGTGTTTATTAAAACTTGAGTGGGACCACTTTATTTATTGGTGGTGAAGGTGTGCGGAGTATGTACATGTAGATATGGTTTTCCCATAGACAAGTTCAAAGAAAGCATGCTCCATCATTTTTGGAAAAGTAAAACAAACGATGGTATATTTGGAATAAAAACTTGTTTTAGTTGGTACTTTAAGGCATTCCTCAATAACCGAAGTGACCGAATCAAACCCTATTCGTTGACCCTACACCCTAAGAACTGGTACAAGCCGGAGAGGAAACTTCCTCGAGACAACAAATTGAAATACCTCCTCCATGTTAAGCTCTTCCGGTTTGGAACCATCATGCATTTTCCAATCAAACCGATACAAGAGATTAGCGATAATCTCCTCGACCAACGCAAGACCATAAGCCATACCGGGGCAGTTCCTACGACCAAACCCAAATGGAGCGTACCCTTGGTTTCCCATATAATCAATGTTCTTCTCAATGAATCTCTCAGGGATAAACTCATCCGGTTTCTCCCAATCCTTAGGGTCACATTGGACCGCAAAGAGATTGACCAATACTTTGGTTTTTGGAGGGATATCGTAGCCGCCGAGTTTTATCCAGTTCGACGATGTCTCTCGTGGAACAATCCCTGGAGGATGCAGCCTCAACGTCTCCTTGATGATACATCTCAAATAATGCATTTGATCTATTTCATTATTTGTTATCTTAGATTTGGTCCCAACTACGCGTTGCACTTCTTCTTGCGCTTTTTTTAGAATGTTGGGGTGTCTGATGAGTTCGGAGAGGAGCCACTCAAGCTCCAATGCTACGGATTCTACAGCCGCAACAAATGTGCCCTACAATTGGATCACGAACAATTAAATATTGGACCTCTATGCACGAAAGGACATTTTTGTGGTACTTTTAGTGATGGTAATTTTGGAACACAAACTTATTTTGTGGTACTTTTGGAAAACAAAATTTGTGGTATTCTGGAAAATAAAATGGAATTTTGGAAAAAAACATTATATTGTGGTAATTTTGGAAAATCAAATTATGTGGTACTTTTGGAACAAAAACTTATTTTGTGGTATTTTTGGAAAAACAATTTTTTTGGTGGTACTTTTGGAACACAAACTTATTTTGTGGTACTTTTGGAAAACAAAAATTGTGGTATTTCTGGAAAATAAAATGGTAATTTTGGAAAAAAAACATTATTTTGTGGTAATTTTGGAAAAACAAATTATGTGGTACTTTTGGAACAAAACTTATTTTGTGGTATTTTTGGAAAAATATTTTTTTTGTGGTACTTTTGGAAAACTTATTTTGTGATATTTTTGGAAAACAATTTGTGGTATTTTTGGAAAATACAATTAGTGGTGGTAATTTTGTATTTTATGTTACACAAACCTGCATGATAGCTTTGACGTCGTAGTCAAGTTTATCTTCGTCTCGTAGACGAAGAAGAACGTCCACGAAGCTCTCTTTCTCTCTTTCATTGATGAGTTTCTCCATAATACCGTCCAACTCCGAGTAGGTACTCTTTAGAAGTGTTGTAAAACCCGTGAGCCTATCGATCCAAGCGAAACTCGCGAACAAATCCGCAACGCAGAAATATCCCATGAGCTTCTTGAACTTGACATCCCAATCTAGAAAGTTCTTCGTGGTACTCTCTTCCCTTTGGTGGCTCCCCGTGTACGACCTATGAAATACATTGCTCACCACGGTGTTGAACATAGCCGTCATATCGATGTCTTCGCCGTTAGCGTTTGAAGCATGAATGGTCTCCAACATACTTGAGATCTCTTCATCTCTCATCGTCTGAAATCGATTCACGGCGTTTTTGCTTGAGAGATGAATAGCGCCGATCTTTCGTAACTGCTTCCAGTGATCTCCATAGGGATGATAGACCATGTCTTGGCCATTCCCCTGTAGAGGATGAAGGCTAGCGATTGCGGGTCGGTTTGAGAACGCAGTGTCGTGATTCTTTGTGATCTCTTCAAGAGCATCGGAGGACGAGACCACGAGGTATCGAGTTGCTCCAAAGTTTACGAACATGAAAGGTCCATGCTTGAGGGAGAGGTCGTAGAGTGACTTGTGGGGCAAGTTACTGATCTGGTGAAGGTTTCCGATGATTGGAAGCTTTGTAGGGGATGGAGGAAAGTTTAGCTTTCTTGATTTCACACTTTTCTTGATAAGTGTGAAGATGAAAAGTGGGAACAGTAAGAAAAGACTTAGAAGGAAAGGGTTTGTGTTGAAGATGATTTGCTCCATGACTATTCTCCTTTTAAGTTGTGTGCCCACTTGCTTTGCTTCAAGCCTTCTATTTATAGCACTTAAAAGGGTTACTAGTTCACTTTGTGGAGAATTTTCCAGTCAAAATGGGCAGCCTCCACAAATATCTCAACTATAGTTAGAAGATAATATACGTTGCAGAACACAGAGTGGGAGTAACTTTGTTAGTTGAAACGTTCAAAGTTCCTGACACTGTCTTAACATTTTTTACTTCTCACCATTTCTGTATATACAAATGAGTTTCAGAAGACAAAGCATAAGTGACATTTTTTTTGTGCGAACATAAGTGACATTTAAAAGCAAAAACATAATGGGTGCACCTCCTTAATAAATTTATAATCAGTTTTTTTTTATAAGAATATTACAAATGAAAAGTTAAGTCGCCAAAAAAAAAAAGGTTAAGACGTTACAAAGAGCTTCGCCTAATTACAGATGTTCCTTGGTATACAGTTATAGTAGACCAAAAGTTACTTTGTAGAGATAGGAGCAATCTCCTTGGTTGAAACGACCAGACTTTCAAACACTGGCTATTTTCTTCTTTTTTTTGACAAACACTGGTAATCTTCTAGTTTTCCTTAAAATTGTTTATAGGTTTCTTTATATAAAGTTGGTTAGAAATGGAAAGCATAGTATCTAATTGGTTAAACTATGTTAAAAAACAAAAAAGTCTGTTAAAAGCATAAACATAATCCATTGTTTAACTTATTAACGTTAGTGGAGTTCATCTCCTCTTAAAGTTAACTAAGTGCAAGTGTACTTTGGTCAAAGTCAATGGAAATTTTAATTTGATATGGTAAAAAGATGAGGATTCATGCTTTTTTTTTTTCAATTTAGAAAAGTTGAGGAGGACTAAATGACTTGTCTTCCCTTGTGGTTCGAAGAATTCTTAGGCTCAGTCTTTGTCTCCTTTTGGCTGAGTCTCAACTTCCATTAGTCTAAGCCGCATTATGATCTGGTGCAAAATTTCTGTAACTTTTGAAATCTTGGCTTTGAAAAGTTTAATTGTGTGGAACAATCATTAATGTAAAAGACTTTTCTTCCCTTGAGAATCGTCAAAGTCTCCTTATGGGTAGATGACAAATTACTCATCAATATACGGAAAATATGTTCCCAAAGACCAAATAATATGCATGCTGACCTGAAATCGATAGCTCATTGGCTTTTATCAAAAATCTGACTCGCATGAACACTTGAAGAACAGTTTAACAAACAGAGAAAATTTGTCGTAACATTGAAAACTATAACCGGACAAGTGTCAGCATGCATACTCAAGCTCCACCTGGCAAGCATGCATACGTGATCTTTTATCTGAAACGAAATTTTTTAATGAGTCTCATCCTCTTAAATATCGAGAGATTTGCACTTGGATTGAAAGAAAAGAAAACAAAGCTTCAATGGAGAAGAGTAATGGCCTACGAGTGATCATGTTTCCCCTTCCACTTCAAGGCTGCCTTAACCCCATGATTCAGCTCGCCAAGATCCTCCACTCAAGAGGTTTCTCCATCACTGTGATCCACACGCGCTTCAACGCTCCAAAAGCTTCAAGCCACCCTCTCTTCACCTTCTTGGAGATCCCTGATGGTTTGTCCGAAGCAGAGGAAAAAAATCCTGATGTCAATCTGACGATCACTCTTCTCAACCAAAGATGTGTGTCTCCCTTTCGCGACACTTTGACTAAACTGTTGCAGCCTGCAGATTCGGAAACAGAGGGAGCGAAAGAGAGGATTACCTGTCTCATTGATGATACTCAATGGATCTTCACACAATCCCTAGCCAAGAGTTTGAATCTTCCGAGATTAGTCGTTAGCGCGAGTAATGTCTCCTTCTTCCTGGGCCATTTCTCTATTCCTCAGCTCCGTCCTCTAACTTATCTTCCGTTGCAAGGTATCTGAAAAAACAACAATTTTGTTAAGTATTCGTTAAGAAAACATTATTCTCTTAGTTTTTGTTTGCTGTATCGTTTATGTTTTTTATTTTTAATAGTTGATCCCATTTTTTTGAACAGATTCAGAAAAAGACGATCCAGTTGAGGAGTTTCCGCCGCTACGAAAGAAAGATATCTACCGGCTTCTTGATGGAGAAAGTGAGACACTAGATGCGCTCCTGAATCTGATTTACAAAACGACAAAGGCGTCTTCAGGTCTTATCTTCGTGTCGTGCTCTGAAGAGTTGGACCATGACGCACTGATTCAAGCACGTCAAGATTTCCAAGTCCCGATCTTTGCGATAGGACCTTCTCATAACCGCTTCACAGCTTCGTCTACTAGCTTACTTGCACCAGACGAGACTTGCATTCCATGGTTAGACAAACAAGAAGACAAATCAGTGATTTACGTGAGTTTCGGGAGCGTTGCAACCATCAAGGAATCAGAGCTATTGGAGGTTGCTTGGGGTCTAAGAAACAGCGAACAACCATTCTTGTGGGTCGTGCGGGTTGGTGCAGTCGTTGGCGCAGAATGGATCGAGGCAATCCCGGAAGAACTCATGGAGAGGCTTAAGGAGAAGGGAAAGGTTGTGAAATGGGCCCCGCAACAAGACGTTCTTAAGCATCGAGCCATCGGAGGATACTTGTCACACAATGGTTGGAACTCAACGGCTGAGAGTATTAGTGAAGGCGTCCCTATGATCTGCTTGCCTTTCGTGTGGGACCAGATGCTAAATGCAAGATTCGTCTGTGAGAAATGGATGGTCGGGTTGCATCTAGAGAATCGGATTGAGAGAAATGAGATCGATAGAGCGATTAGGTGTTTGCTGCTGGAAGCTGAAGGAGAAGCAATCCGAGAGAGGATGAAACTTCTCAAGGAGAAAGTAGGAGCATCGCTTGAAGAAAACGGTTCGGCATATCGTTCTTTGGAAGATTTGGTTGATCAAATCAAATCTTTCTAGTAGCATCTATGTTTGTTGTTTGGTTTCTTTGTGACATTGACATTGTGCCTTTGTGCTTTCTAGTCAGTGTATTCAATAATGGAATAAATCATGTTCTTAATATAAAGAACTATTATCTTAAATTTGGTAATAAATATATATTATTATTATTATCATTCAGTAAATATTTAAAACATTTTTAGAAGTAACCAAATATACAAATCAATGTCTATTCTTGGACTAAATTAAAATAAATAGATTACATTTGTTCAAGGCACAATCTCTGCAAAGGAGGAATTTATTGAATAACCCAAAAACAATAAATCGGCTGCAAATTGAAACACAAAGACTCCAAACAACAGAGACACATAGATACTAGAAAGATGTTATATAATCAACCAAATTTTCTAAAGAACGATATGCCGAACCGTTTTCTTGAACCGATCTTCCTACTTTCTCCTTAAGAAGTTTCATCCTCTCTCGGATCTCTCCTCCTTCAGTTTCCGAAAACAATCTCCTAATCGCTTTCTCGATCTCATTTCTCTCAATCCGATTCTCTAGATGCAGCCCGACCATCCATATCTCACTGACGAATCTTGCATTTAGCATTTGGTCCCAGAAAAATGGCAAACAGATCATAGGGACGCCTTCACAAACACTCTCAACCGTGGAGTTCCAACCATTGTGTGTCAAGTATCCTCCGATGGCTCGATGCTTAAGAACGTCTGGTTGCGGAGCCCATTTCACAATCTTTCCCTTCTCCTTAAGCCTTTCCATGACTTCTTCCGGGATTGACTCGATCCATTTTGTCCCGTTGACCGAACCAGCCCGCACGACCCACAAGAAGGGTTGGTCACTGTTTCTTAGGCCCCAAGCAATCTCCAACATCTCTGCTTCACTGATGGTCACGAGGCTCCCTAAGCTCACGTAAATCACGGATTTGTCTTCTTGTTTGTCTAACCATGGCATGCAAGTCTCGTCTGGTGTAAGTAAGCTACTAGACGAGGCTGGAAAGTGGGTATGAGAAGGTCCTATCGCAAAGATCGGGATTTGAAAATCTTGACGTGCTTGAATCAGTGACTCTTGGTCCAACTCTTCACAAGACGACACGAATATTAGACCTGAAGACGCCTTTGTCGCTTCGTAAATCTGATTCAAGTACGCATCTAGTATCTCAGTTTCTTCATCAAGAAGCCGGAAGATATCTTTCTTTCGTTGCGGTGGAAACTCCGGAACTGGATCGTCTTGTTCTGAATCTGCTATGAAAAAAAAATGGGATCAAGTAAAAAAAATATCATTTCTTGGGGAACAGTTATCGAAATTAAATTTATTCTTCAACTCTCCGATTTTCTTATAAAACTAAAACACTTGCAGAGATACATCCAAGATTATTGGTGTAATTGTGTAAAATTAAGAATATTAAGTGTCAGTTTTGCCACACAAAAAAAAAAAAAAAAAAAAGAGTACTAGTTTCGATGGTTGTTTTCAGATACCTTGTAACGGAAGAAATCTTTCCCGACGGAGCTGAGGAAGAACAAAATGGCCCCGAAAGAAGGAGACTTTGGTGGCGTTAAGGACTAATCTCGGAAGATTCAAACTCTTGGCTAGGGGTTGTGTGAAGACCCATTGAGAATCATCGATGAGACAGCTAATCCTCTGTTTCGCTTCCTCTGTTTCAGACTGCAAGAGTTTAGTCAAAGTGTCGCGAAACGGAGACTCACATCTTTTGTTGAGAAGAGTGAGCATCAGATTGACATCGTGAAGTCTTTTCTCCGTTTCGGACAAGCCATCAGGGATCTGTAAGAAGGTGAAGAGAGGGTGGCTTGAAGCTCTTGGCGCGTTGAAGCGCGTGTGGATCACTGTGATGGAGAAACCTCTTGAGTGAAGCATCTTACCGAGCTGAATCATGGGGTTCATGCAGCCTTGTAGTGGAACTGGAAACAGAATCACTCGTCGGCTAAGACTCTTCTCCATTTAAGCTTTCTCCTTCTTCTTCTATTTTTTTTCCTTTTAATTTCTATCTAAATGCAAATCTCTTGATATTTCAGTAATTGTTAATATTGTTCCTTTTAAGGTGATAAAAAAGATCAAATCTTCTGAGCACGTAGCGCTTGAGTGTAACCACGTTTTACCTCATGAAGACACTTGCTTGACATGCTCTTGCATGTCCTCTGTTTCTGCTTTTTCTCTTCAATTTTTTTTACTGTTCAATTACAAAGATATCCAAAATGCCAAACACAAAGAAGCCAATCAACAAACAGACATAAATAACTAGAAAGATGTTATATGATCAACCAAACGTTCTAAGGAACGATATGCCGAACCGTTTTGCTTAACCGATCTTCCAACTTTCTCCTTGAGAAGTTCCATCCTCTCTCGGATCTCTTCTCCTTCAGTTTCGGAAAACAATCTCCTTATCGATTTCTCGATCTCATTTCTCTCAATCCGATTCTCTAGATGTACCCCGACCATCCATATATCAGTAACAAATCTTGCATTTAGCAATTGGTCCCAGAAAAATGGCAAACAGATCATAGGGACGCCTTCAGAAACACTCTCAACCGTCGAGTTCCAACCATTGTGTGTCAAGAACCCTCCAATGGCTCGATGCTTTAGAACGTCTTGTTGTGGGGCCCATTTCACTATTCTTCCCTTCTCGTTAAGCCCTCCGATCATCTCTTCCGGGATTGCCTCGATCCATTTTTTGCCATGAACCGAACCAACCCGTACGACCCACAAGAAAGATTGGTCGCTGTTTCTTAGACCCCAAGCAATCTCCAATAACTCTGATTCGTTGATGGTCACGCCGCTCCCGAAGCTCACGTAAATCACGGATTTGTCTTCTTGATTGTCTAGCCATGGAATGCAAGTCTCGTCCGGTGTGAACAAGCTACTAGAAGATCCCGGGAAGTAGCTATGAGAAGGTCCTATCGCAAAGATCGGGACTTGGAAATCTTCACGTGCTTGAATCAGTGAGTCATGGTCCAACTCTTCACAGGACGACACGAAAATAATACCTGAAGACGCCTTTGTCGTTTCCAAAATCAGATCCGAGTACGAATCAAGTACCTCCGTTTCTGCATCAAGAAGCCGGAAGATATCTTTCCTTCGTAGCGGCGGAAACTCCTCTACTAGATCATCATCTTCTGAATTTGTGATAGAACCTAGAATATTTGTTGTTATGTCATATGTTAATAAATGCTAGTTTCAAATTCCCACCAAAATTGTTAAATTTTTAGATATTTCTAAAAATAGATCGGACCATGAAAGTCAACTACCATATGGTAAAAAACGGTTTCTTGGTAAAGTGAGAAGGAATCGATACCTTGTAATGGAAGATACCTTTCACGCCGGAGTTGAGGAAGAACAAAATGATCCAGAAAGAAGGAGACTTTATATGTACTAAGAACAAATTTCGGGAGATTCAAACTCTGTGCGAGGGGTTGTGTGAAGATCCATCCAGAATCATAGATCAAACAGCTAATCTTCTGTTTCTCTTCCTCTGTTTCAGAATCAGCAGATTGCAACAGCTTAGTCAAACAGTCACGAAAGGGAGACTCACAGGTTCGGTTGAGAGCGGCTAGGAGATGTGTGAAATCGCGAGTTCTTGTCTCTGTTTCAGACAAGCCATGTGGGATCTCTAAGAAGGTGAAGAGAGGGTGGTTTGAAGTTTTTGGCGCGTTGAAGCGCGTGTGGATCACAGTGATGGAGAAACCTCGTGAGTGGAGGATCTTGGCGAGCTGAAGCATAGGGTTGATGCAGCCTTGAAGTGGAAGTGGAAACATGATCACTCTTAGGCCATTACTCTTCCCCATTTTCTTTTAATTTCAGTCTAAATGCAAATCTCCTGATATATTTCAGTGAATGCTAAACTTGAGGAAGTATATCTTATAAGGTACGAGATTAATACATTTTATTTACGTAGAGAGAGTGGAGACAAAACTCTACAACTCTCTATTTGATGATAAAGAAAGACTAAGATTCGTTTTTGGTCTAATTATTTCAATTTTTATCGATCTTGTGGCCTGTCAGGACAAAAACAACTACCTGCAGGTTGTACTTTGTGGTTTTATGTAACTAGTGGTTTCATAAATTATGGTTTTATTTGATAAAACGCATCGGAAAATGTGGCCGCATGAATATTCGAAAGGTTGGGGTTCAACTTCGTCAATAATATTAATCAAAATTATATATACATTTGGTTTGGAATCTTCTGTTTCTTTATGAACACTAATTGGATTAGAAGAGATGGTCAAAAAAAAAAAAAAGAGATGGTCTCACTCTCACACGTTTGATGTACAATAGTTTTCCTATGATATGGAAGATTATAAATCATTCACATGATTTTGTATCCAGCGCAAGTCAAGAAAACAGAGGAAAGTGGTATTTTTAGAAGGTTCACGATATACAAAGAACAGGTACGATTGATTCAAACAATCCAAAGCTAGAATGATAGAATACGATTAACAAGATCATCTAGAGATCGAGACGACGAGCCGCCTCGTTTAACCGATCTTCTAACTTCATCTTGCAACACTTTGATCCTCGCTTGAATCTCTTCTCCTTCCGAATCAACCATTACTCTTCTCACGGCTCTCTCAATCTCCCTTCTCTCTATCCGACCTTCCAAGTGAATCCCGATCCTCCACACTTCACTGATGAATCTAGCGTTTAGCATTTGGTCCCACACAAAAGGCAAACTGATCATAGGAACACCTTCACATATACTCTCTAACGTCGAGTTCCATCCATTGTGAGTCAAGAACCCTCCCGTGGCTCTATGAGCAAGAACATCTAGCTGCGGTGCCCATTTCACTATCTTTCCCTTTCCGTCAAGACTCTCCATGAACCCGACCGGTAACGATTCGATCCAATCTCTTCCCTGGACCGAACCAGGCCGGACAACCCACAAGAAAGCTAGGTCAGTGTTGCGTAGTCCAAAAGCAATCTCCAAGAATTCAGACTCGCTCATTGTCACAATGCTCCCTAAGCTCACATAGATAACCGATTTCGTCTCCTGGTTATCTAGCCACGGAATGCAGCTTTGGTCCGGTTCGAACAAGCTGCTAGACGAGGCTGGGACGTCATGGATGTGTGATGGGCCTATGGGGAATATCGGAAAGTTGAAGACTTTATGGGACTCGGCGAGTGAATCTTGGTCAAGCTCTTGGCAGGACATGACTATGATCCCTGAAGCTGGCTTCGTCGATTCCAGTATCTTAACCAAGTAAGAATCCAGCATCTCCATCTGACTGCTGGTTCCCATGATTCGGGATAGATCTTTCTTTCGAAGCGGTGGAAACTCCGGAACTAGATCCTCTGCTTCCGAATCTGAAACAAAAGTACAAAACATGCGAAAAGTTCAAAAGAAATTCGGACAAGATCTCTTTGACTAAAATTCTTTAGATGAGGGTATAATCGTAATTTTCGAGTGAGAACAGTCAACTATGAGTCGAAGCGTACCTGGAAAAGGAAGAAACCCGTGACTGCTTCCGAATCTGAAACAAAAGTACAAAACATGCGAAAAGTTCAAAAGAAATTCGGACAAGATCTCTTTGACTAAAATTCTTTAGATGAGGGTATAATCGTAATTTTCGAGTGAGAACAGTCAACTATGAGTCGAAGCGTACCTGGAAAAGGAAGAAACCCGTGACGGCGAAGCTGAGGAACAAGCAGATGTCCGAGAAAGAATGTGAATTTATATGCACAGAGGACGAATCTCGGAAGATTAAAACTCTCCGCCACGGATTGTGTGAAAGTCCACCCAGAATCATCGATCAGACAGCTGATCTTCTCTTGCTCTGTTTCTGAATCTGAGTCAGGTTTGAGGAGTTTAGCCAAACACTCTCGTAGTGGCTTCTCGCAGTTCTCGTTGAGAAGCGTGAGTTTAAGCAGCAGATCCGGAGACTGTGTCTGGGTTTCGGACAATCCGTCGGCCATCTGTAAGAAGGTGAAGAGAGGATGGTCTGAAGATTTGGGCGCGTTGAAGCGCGTGTGGATGATGGTGATTGAGAAGCCTCTTGAGAATAGGATCGTTGCAAGCTGAAGCATCGGGTTTATGCAGCCCTGTAGTGGCAGAGGGAAGAGAATCACTCGTTTCTCGTTGGTTCTCTTCTCCATTTCAAGGTTCTTCCTTCTCCCTCTCTTTGCGATTGTTTATTCTTATTTACTATTTTGTGATTGATTAGTAGCAGATGATAATCCCTTTTAGTCTTTTAGATAACGATTCTGGATGATGGAGACCATAGACCAGACAAATACAATAAGATTAATAAAAAAAGTAGTTTAGCCACTGGACAACGACTAAAAACAGACACGATAAGTGACAAGTGTGCATGATTATAACACGGATGTTGCTTTTTGTGTGTGTGTGTGTGTGTGTGAGGTAATAACAAGGAAAAGTTGTGTTTGGTACTTTTGAAAAATAAGCTACATTGTACTTTCTTTCACAGAAACGTTTTGGTAAATTTTGCAAATGTTTTCAACCGTTACAGCGATAGTATATGGTTAGCTAGAGTTTCAATAGATCGAAACGAAGAGCCTCCATGTTTAACCGATCTCCCAACCTCATCTTTCAAAACATTCATCCTCTCACGAATCTTCTCTCCACCACTTCCCACCATTAACATCCTCACAGCTTTCTCAATCTCTCTTCTCTCAATCCTACCTTCCAAGTGAATCCCCACCTTCCAAACATCACTCACGAATCTTGAATTCAGCATCTGATCCCATCCTCCAGGCAAACATATCATAGGAACCCCTTCGCATATACTCTCTAGCGTCGAGTTCCAACCATTGTGTGTCAAAAACCCTCCAACGGCTCCATGTGCAAGAACCTCCTGTTGTGGTGCCCATTTCACTATCTTCCCTCTCTCTTCAATGCTTCTCACCACCTCTTCAGAAAACGGTTCGATCCCCTGCGCTCCTCGGACCAAACCGGGTCGGACCACCCACACGAAAGGCTGCTTGCTATTGATCAAACCCCAAGCAATCTCCGACAAATCTGATTCCGTTATGTTCACAACGCTTCCTAGACTCACGTAGATTACTGATTTATCTTCTTGATTATCTAACCAAGGAATACAAGTCTCGTCTTGTGTGAATAAGCTGCTAGAAGAAGCAGAGAAGTAGCTGTGAAACGGACCTGTCGCGAAAACCGGAACCTTGTAAATCTCGTTGGCAAGAGTCAACGAATCTTCCTCCAGCTCTTCGCAGGACATGAATATTATCCCTGAAGATCGCATCGTCGTTTCGACTGTTGTTCGTAGAAACGGGTCAAGCTCCTCTCCGTCTTCCCCTAAAACCCTTGAAAGATCTCTCTTTTGAAGCGGCGGGAACTCAAGAACAGAGTCCTCTGCTTCCGAATCTAAAGACGACAAAAAAGGTTCAGCGACTTAACCAAAATCCGGTCTAAGCAAACCGGATATCCGGTTCAAAATCCAAGAAGAAAAGAAAGTGGATTATATTATACCTGAAACTGGAAGATATCCTTTGGTGCGGAGAAGAGGAAGAATTGGATAAGCATTCAAGAAAGTGGCTTTAAAGGTAGAGAGAACAAATCTCGGGAGGTTTAAGATCTCTGAAACAGATTGAGTGAAAAGCCATCCACAATCATCGATCAAGCAGCTGATCCTCTCCGATTCTTGCGATTGTAGCAGCAACAGCTTTTGCAAACAATCACGGAACGGGGACTCGGCGTTAACGTTGATTTTCGCGAGCAGAGACATGACATTAGAAGTAGGATCTTCGTTGATCTGGGTTTCAGACAAGCCATCGGGGATCTGTAAGAAGGTGAAGAGAGGATGGCTGGAAGCTCTCGGCGCGTTGAAGCGCGTGTGGATCAAAGTGATGGAGAAGCCTCTGGAGTGAAGGATGTTGGCGAGTTGAAGCATAGGGTTTATGCAGCCTTGTAACGGCAGAGGGAAGAGAATCACTCGCTGACCATTTCTCTTCTCCATTGAATTTGAAACTGGAGAAGCTCTTTTTTTTTCTTCTGAGTTTTCTTGGAAAGACCGAATGAATATATCTCTATGTACTTTATCCAATGTTTATTCAGATATATGGAGAATCTATAGTGGAGACAAAACCTTTTATGGCTTTGTGTGTTTGGTTTTAGACCCATTCAACTTTCCACCGGTTTTGTTGACTTTTTGGATTATAAAACAGTTAAAATACTCTTGTGTCTGTGTGGTCACTATCAGAGATATTGCATTTTGAATTTTATATTAAAAAAATGAATTAAATGAATCATGAATCATTTGTATGGTTGAGATAAGTAAAAATATCACAAATCATAATCAGAAAGAAAAAAAATCAACAATTGAAAAATATAAATAAACACCTGGAAATAATCAATTGTATAAGTCAAATCAACGAAGTTCTTCGTCGTTGGCAGTTGATCTATCCATGTCCCTAAACCATCATTCTTAAAAGTTAAAACTCCAGTTAACAATTTTTTTCCATGTACTAAAATGATTTTGGTTTTTAAGCTCTACGTTTCTGTGTAAATTAAGTAATTGTGCTATTTATACGCTCTTTTCATTTTTTCTTCAATTTTATGCAGCTAAATATTGACACGTGTCATGTGTTAGTACATATCCACGTATGATTATGGATCGTTGACTTGGCAATAGAGATGCAATTAATACGGAATGAGATTAGAGACTAAACTCCTTCATTTCGCTACTTTCATGCCCAAAGCAAATAATAATCTCTTCTTCTTCCTCAATTTCCCAATTGTTACTTCCCTCTCAAGCTCCCAACAATGGCGACCGAGCTCAACCATAAGAATTTCCCTGTTCTCTCTTACGTGTTGGATCGTCTCCCTTCCTTCACCGGCAAATCCTCTTCCACCTCCACCTCCTCCTCTTCCGATGGCGATCGACCACCGTCAAAATCCGATCCATCTTCATCATCATCAAGCCATTCGATCGTCACTCAGATGCCTCACTTGGCTCACCCCGATGTCCTCGCCTCCATGACAAACGCAATCGCCGACGTCGCTCAGACCCGATCCGTTCTCCGGACCCTAGGACCCAGACCGGATCACGAGACCGTCGACAAAGCCCGAGCAAGGCTCGTCGAGATCGACGCGTCTTTATCGGAATCTTTCGAGGAGATCGCTCTCTCCGCGAACGACAAAGACGTGGCGGAGAAAGAGCAGAAGAGGAGAGAAGCTGTGGATCAAGAGAAGACTTGGTACAACTCTATCCTTAAGCTTAACGAGCTTCACGAATCTTACCAAAAGCTTCTCAAAGAAGCCGAGGAGAGGCTTGTGAGGATCTACGAATCAGCCGAGAAGAATGCGGCGGCTGTGGCGGAGGAGGAAGCTAAGGAGGTTGAAGTCAATGAAGAGGTCGTGAGTATATTGCAGCAAGCTTCGGCGAATCCGCTGGACCGTGTTGATTTGTCTGGTAGGAAACTGAAATTGCTCCCTGAAGCATTTGGTCGTATTCAAGGTCTCCTTGTCCTTAACCTCTACAACAATCAGCTTGAGGTCAGTCTTTGAATTCCAAAGATGTAAACTTTGCTCAAATTCTTAGGTATTGGAATTGGATTTGTTACTTGTGATTATGTCTAGGTTTAAAGTGTCTTGATTTAAGTCTAATGTTGGTAACAGGCCATTCCTGATTCGATTGCTGGATTACAAAGCCTACTTGAACTTGATTTGTCAACGAATTTCTTGGAGACATTACCGGATTCGATTGGTTTGTTGTCCAAACTAAAGATTTTGAATGTCTCTTGTAACAAACTCACAACCTTACCAGATTCCATCTGCCACTGTGTGTAAGTGTTATTCTTCAAAGTTTGGTTTTTTTTTTAAATCCTCTGTTTTATTAAGCTCTCTGTTTCTTTACTTACTCTGTTTCTCGATTTCTAGGTCTTTGGTTGTTTTGGACGCAAGCTACAACAATCTCACTTACTTACCAACCAACATCGGATTCGAGCTAGTGAATCTAGAGAAGCTCTTGATCCATCTCAACAAAATCAGATCCCTACCAACTTCCGTTGGCGAAATGAGATCCTTACGCTACCTTGACGCGCACTTCAACGAACTTAACGGTCTCCCAAACTCTTTCGGGAACCTCACAAACCTTGAGTACCTTAACCTGAGCAGTAACTTCAGCGATCTGCAAGATCTCCCTGCTTCGTTCGGCGATCTCATAAGCCTCCAAGAACTCGACTTGAGCAACAACCAAATCCATTCACTTCCGGACGCTTTTGGCACGCTCGTGAACCTGACAAAACTGAATTTGGAACAGAACCCGCTCGTGGTCCCACCAGATGATGTCGTGAAACAAGGCGTGGGTGCGGTGAAGATGTATATGGGTAAGAGATGGGTCAGTATGTTGGAAGAAGAAGAGAGGTTGGCGAACATGAAGGAGGAGATGGATCAGACAGACGCTGATTGGCTCACTCGAACTACGTCGAAGCTCAAAACGTATGTTACAGAGGTCACGGAGTATCTTGGAACGAATTCGCCTAGAGATCCTTTCCTTGACCAGCAGCTATGAAGTGGATTTTAGCTTCGTTTACCTTTCTTCTTGATGATGTCTGAAGAAACTGTCTTCAGTCTTTGAGGCCTTTTCCTTCCACTACTGCTCTGTTTCGGTATATAGATTTTGCTTTTATTTTTGAGTTTCTGGTTATGACATTTAATTTATTCATTTTTGTGTATTTTCGTTTTCTAAAACAATGTATGTTCTTCAACAATTTTGAGAGATGGAAAACAGAGTTCCCGCTAAGTAGTATTCACTTTTATTTTCAATCAATGACAACAATACGACGGATTCAATCTGATTTAGTATTAGACCCAACCAGTAATATCAAATACTGTCTGTATCAAAATAAATACATGAAATATTTATATACGATGCAAAAGATGCATATTGTAGACAACGACAAGGATATTTGATTTGATATTCCTGAAAGAACAAAAAGTATAATCATATTTTTTTTAGAAAATAATTAGATGAACGTGCAATACACATAGACATTAGTTTTTACAATTCTTTTGCATAGTCTTACACCAAGAAAGTATTTTGTTGATAACTGAATACTATATTGATAGGTACTACAATTTGCAAGTCCTTGTTAGTCGTTAATAAATTCGGTTCACATATAAGGACTTCCGGTCTGTATGCCACTAATTGATATATCACGAATTCACAAGTATTCGAAAAGCTTAATTTAATCATTTATTTTTGTAATACTATTCAGAATGCTGTTTTTTTCTTCATATTTCTAGAAATCCACTCAACTTTTTTCCTGGTCGCTTAAGTCCATCTTTCGGTAACTAATTAGGCTACTTTCTGATTTGTTATGTGCAAAAGCCAAATTCGTGTTTTCCAATCGAACGAAGATTTTGTTAAATTGTAATACATCAACTTATTAAGTCAAGACATACAGCTTCATGCACCCGTGTGGTCCGTAATGTACTAATTTAACTTTCATAATCAAAATTATTTATAGATGGAATAATGAATTTGGCAATATTATATTTGATGAGGAACCGGATGTCACGAAAGCCAATGTATTTGTTCGATTCATAATCTTAAAGTAAATTTTTGTTTCTATTTTTGACCTTTTTCAGCTATGTTGGTTTCGATTGCATTTTTTCAGCTATGAAATCAAATTAAATTAAACAATAGAATTTTAAGAGTGGAGGCATATGAATGCATTTCTGTATGAAGTTGATATGGTCATACTTTTTTTTATTAGCAAATTAGAGCAAAACGAAAATAGATATTGCACATAAGCATATCTTCGTCCCATGTCTTTGTGTATATATAAACAGACGTAAGCAGAGTGAGAGACCGTGCAGACACGACAAAACAAAAGGCCTCCGCACGTTCCGGTCGGTTGGTGACAACGACTAATGTTTCTCTTCTCTGATTTTTCATTCTCTTTTAAGTTTTCATCAATCCAAAAAGTTCACAGACTCTTCACTCGACTTAATTTCTCTTCCTCTTCTTCTTCCGATCAAAGTCCCATTTTCTAGGTATGAGGAAACTTTGTCCGAACTATAACCTCGAAGACGGGTTAGAGACCGTCCTGGAGGTTCCCATGCCTGAGGAGTTGTTTTCTGTGTCAAAGACAAAACCGGGATGGAACCAAATGAAGTCTTACTGGTCAAAACCCACCGCCACCGCAACCGCAACCGCCACAAACATGACTAGACTCTTTGGCGGTCGTAACGCAGAGATCCAGCTCCTTCTTGGAGTCGTTGGAGCTCCTTTGATCCCTCTCCCTGTTCAGCCTGACCACCACAACGATTACGAGAATCCCATCCACAAAGACATCAAAGACCAACCTCTCGTAATCACATCTTCCTCCTCTGTTTTTCATTTTCACATGAGACTTTTGTCATTATATTTCATCTTAAAACAATCGAATGGTCAAAACCGCAGGAGATGTCGATGGCGCAGTACATAGTAAAGCAGTACATAGCGGCAGTGGGAGGAGACCGAGCGTTGAACGCGGTAGAGAGCATGTACGCGATGGGGAAAGTGAGGATGACTGCATCAGAGTTTTGTACGGGAGAAGGAAGCTTGAACAGCAAAATGGTCAAGGCAAGGAGTATCAAGAGTGGAGGAGGAGAAGTAGGAGGCTTTGTCTTGTGGCAAAAGGGAATAGAGCTGTGGTGTCTTGAGTTAGTCGTGTCAGGCTGCAAGATCAGTGCCGGTAGTGACTCCAAAGTCGCTTGGAGACAAACTCCTTGGCATCCTTCTCATGCCTCCCGTGGTCCTCCTAGACCATTGCGCCGTTTCCTCCAGGTAATCCATTTATTTAGGGCTTCTTTCAATAGTTTAATTTAATTTTGGCTTTATTGATCGGTTATAACCTTTTTATTGGATCATGAGTGCAATCATAATTTTCGAAGTGAAACAAATGATATCTTCAATCTATTTTACAATTTTGATAAAACTGTTGCATTGACATTTTTTAGGTAAGATAAACAAATTCTTGACTTTATATCAAGAAATGTAACTGGAAAAACTTACTTGACAGACGAAAATATTTGAAATAATAAAAAAAAAATAGTGAAATGTTTGCAGATAATAGTACTCAGGAAAATGAATGTGGATATTTTTCTTGTGGTGACACTACATTTCTAGTTTCTACTTGATTAACGAAAAGACAAAGATCATTTATGTCTCATAAAGCATACGCATCCACTGAACATTATGACACTGAATGATTGAGTTTTTCCACTTGGAGCTCAATGATACATTCTTCTTACATTCCATCCTGATTTGTATGATCCCTTAGCTGTTAAAGTTTTCTTTTCCTTGATTGTTGGCAAAAAGATCTTTCAATTAACAAACTCCCTCTTGTCTTTAATTCTTCAGCTTTTCTTTTCAAAAAGGTGATATTTTACAATGTAAACTTAGGACTTTTGAGATATGATGTGGCCATCAATAAAGTGCTGTTGATGTGTCCCATGAAAAATCGCTCTGATTTTCTCATTTTAATGTGGAGAAATTGCTTACCAAGTTACCAAGGTTGTTGGAACTTGAAAGTTGGAACCATCAACCATCTATGGTCCACCACTAACAACAACCACCAATATATTACTAACTAATAGATTATCACCAAATAGATATTTTTGTTAACAAAGTAGACTTTTTTCCATTAACAAGTAGGCAAGTATAGAGTTTATTCCTAATCCAGTATCTTCTTTTACTGTCACCAAAACATTGTTTTATTGATGTGAATTTATTTACTTATCGTTGACTTCTTTCAAGTCTTTTGTATTGACTACTTTGAAAAGTGAGAATCATATTTACATGTTTTTTCTGACATAAATCTCTGAAATATAAAAACAGGGTCTTGATCCAAAATCAACGGCTAATCTGTTTGCAAGATCTGTATGCATGGGAGAGAAGAAGATAAACGACGAAGACTGTTTCATACTCAAACTCGAAGCCGAGCCATCAACTCTTAAGGCAAGAAGCAGCAGCAATGTAGAGATCATAAGACACACAGTGTGGGGTTGTTTCAGCCAGAGAACAGGCCTTCTAATACAACTCGAAGACTCTCACCTTCTAAGAATCAAAGCTCAAGACGACAACAGTATCTTCTGGGAGACAACAATGGAGTCTCTGATCCAAGATTACAGGATCATTGATGGTGTTCAGGTCGCACACGCTGGTAAAAGCTCTGTTTCTCTGTTTCGGTTTGGTGAGAACTCGGATAATCACTCGAGGACTCGGATGGAAGAGACTTGGGAGATTGAGGAAATGGATTTCAACATCAAGGGCTTGTCCATGGACTGTTTCTTGCCGCCTTCTGATCTCAAGAAAGATGATGACGAAGACGAAGAAGAAGTCGAGTGTGGTTTAGCTGCTAATAATGAGAAGCTTCCTATGAAGATCAGAAGTGCTTCTTTGAGGATTAGCTCCTCTAAGATCCTAGCCATTGTCGAAGAAGAAGATGAATCAGAGGTCACAGAAGAGCTGCATGAGACGTAATAAACACATGGCGTTTCGGTTTTTGTACATAAATTCATCTATTGCAACACCGAAACAGAGGATTTTTTTTATATTTTTTGGTTTCTTGGTTCCTCTGTAAATCAATGAACTCTTGAGATGCAAAATGCAATGAAGATGAGACAAGAGAAAATCACAATACTGCATTTTGCCATTAAGCTATGTACATTACCCGCAAACGACGAAAACAAATTTACATTCTCAAGACAGAAATCAAACACTCAAATCGCAATATGTGCTTTCTAGGTCTTTCCTCTCTAAACTTCATAAAACTTGAAAGTGGAAAACAAAGGCATTGACACGAGAGGCAAAGTACCTTTTGCAAAAGACTCTAATGGCTTTGACACTTTTTTTGCTATGTAGAGTGAACATTGAAGTGGAAGAGCCATGAGATGACAAAGGCAAAGACCATACAAGCTAAAAGGAAATTCAAGAACCGGTGACCTTGCCAAAAGCTTCTAGCTTCAGCCAATCCTCTTGGACCAGATGTTCTCAGAGCTTGATTCACTCTACCATTTGCTTCTTCACGACTTTCTTCAGACTCAACCTCAACGACTCCAACGACATTACCCGCAATCGAACCGCATACTTCACATATTCTGCATCAACCAAACCATGAATCAGATCATCACAAGGATAAAAGTTAAAGATGGCCTCAAAACTGAAACTTGTCGAACAGTTAGTCAAAAGATGAGATCAAAAGCCAAAAAAAACTGAAGCTTTACGGATTACAAACTATAAAGGTTGGATTTTTCTTACTTGTTTCCTTTGATCTTAAACCAAGTCTCAGCACAGTGTTTGTGAGCAGCGGCGAGATCATCTTTGCAAGAACAGCCGAGCTCAATCGGAACACCAGATTCCAGATTCGCAGCATCCAAGCTCATGTGACAAATCCTGCAATCTTTCTCAGGTTGTGACAAATGCACGGGTTTCTCAGGCATCCCAAGCTCCAGATCTACTTCCACGGAACACAGGGACGCATTGGATCTCCTCTCCTCATCTTTAACTATCTCATCTTCTCGCTTGACCGTTGAAGAAGCAGTAGCAGTATCTCGAACTGAGCTCCGACGAGGCTCTACGTTGTTGTCGGTGATGAGCTTTTTTCCTCTGTCGTCGTCGCCATGGATTACTCTGACTGAGACAAGGGTGTCGAGGTGTGGCTGTACGGGTTCCATTTCTGTAGAGAACCCAGATGACGAGTCCTCATGTAAGATTACAGGTTCTGAGTATTTATCTAAGATCATCAATGCTTTTTCAGCTGCTCGAAATTAAAAACGAGAGAGGAGAGAGAGAGAAGAGTCTTCTTGTGAAATTACATTTTTGCCACTGGGATTTGGAGTCGAGTGAGAGACTAATCGTGAATTTCGTCAGATTCTCTCAGTCAATGTCTTTTAACTTAACCTCTCTCTCTCTCCACCTCTCTCTCCCCACCTTCACCTGGGATATGAACAAAGCAAATCGAGAAACTACACAGACCATTGTGACCCACTCTAAATTATAATTTTCTTAATAGATGAATCTAATAATCGTTAATAAGGTTATAAAATATAGTTAGTGATGATAAATTTGTTATTAGTAACTCTAAAGATGCAAAATTGGAAATCATATTATTAAAACGATATCATTAGTTATTAAAACGATATCATTAGTAACAAATTGTATGTTCAATATCTTTGATTAGTTATGAAGCTTTGGGACAAAATGGAAAACTATTTTCATTGAAAATAAAACTTATTCATGACTTTTTAGCTGGTTTGCTCATGATCAAATGGTTGAAATTTCTTCTTTAAACATCTATATGCGGAAGACTTGGGCTATGGATTATAGCCCAGATTTTGATTGAAAAGCTGAATGAAGGTTACAGAAGCTTGGTGGTTATTGATGTGTACATAAAGAAAAATAATTGTCAGAAAATTGGAATTCATTGCTCTGCGTTTGCACAAGTTACAGAAGATCAAAGGATTGAAGAAGAAATTATGTAGACTGCAGAAATTGTGGTGGTTGGCTGGTTGCAGATGAAATACTTGGTGAAATTATAACTTATTTTATAAATGGTTAAAAATGTATATTGTTGAGTTATTTTAATAAGAAAAATGTAATGCAATTGATAGATTTATAAATAAAAATGTGCCCTACAAAATTATATATTTTTCTAACTGATAAATTTGGATTTTATGTAGTTCTTTGTGTTTTTAAAATGTAATGCCATAATCTGCAAGACTCTTTTCTCGTTTCGGTTGTCTGAATGTTTTAAAGTTTTTTTATACTGAGAAAGTAATTTGGATTATATTATTTTTATTGAATTTTTCTTAAGCTGCATTTAGAAGGAAGACGTTTTAGCAACTATTTGTCCATGTTCAAACATATAGTTTTAAATTGTAATCCACGCTCATGTAAACGAATCATCTATGTCATGTCCACGAAGTCGCAGAGGTATACTTTGCACTATGCAATGTGCAACGTAAATTGGTCGATCGCCTAATTACTTAAATGGATGTTTGACCAATAATTAATAGAATTGAACACAAAACCGATTAACCTAAGGTTTAGTCGGTTAACTGGATTCGTGGTCGATTTATCCCTTAAATATGGCCTAAAGTTGACACAATTTACGTTTACGGATTCGCATATACAGATATACTATATGGTCTGATGATGATAAGTCAAAGGCTCCTCCTTTCCTTCATTGTTACACATCTTCTCCACACTTTGATTTCTCAAGGAACCAAAAAAGTGAAGTAAACGAAACTATAAATATAATAATCGCAGTTAATGCGGGTAATTAATTAAACATTACAGAAACTGAAATTTTGAGTGCTTATATAAATTACATAACGCACCAAAACCATGAAACTGAAAAAAGAGAGAAAATTATCATTTTACTGAAAAACAGGAGAGAGAGAGGTGTTGTTGTTGCAGCTTTAGCCAAGATCTCTCCTTTTTGCAGCTTCTCATTGTTTTTCTCCAAATCCAACTTCTTTCTCTCTTTTCTGGGTTTCTTCGTCCCCAGCATTTCTCGCGTATTGTTCTCTCATTGTGACCTAATCCTCTCTTAGCGGATCAATGGAATAACATTTCATCATCAAACGTCAGCATCAGTGTCCGACAGATCTCCTGTCCAGATCGATTTCCCACCAATCCGAAAAATTCTCCCGCTATTTCGTGAAATTCGGTAGGGTTTAAAGTAGATTAGTGCCGGATTGTTCCGATCAGATCGGCCGAGGAAGAAGGAAGCGATGAAGATGGCGACGAATGGCCGGTTTTTCACAATCGGGCTCGTCACGTCTTGGTACTCATCGAACATCGGAGTTTTGTTGCTGAACAAGTACCTGCTCAGCAATTACGGATTCAAGTACCCGATCTTCCTCACCATGTGCCACATGACGGCGTGCTCGCTTCTCAGCTACGTCGCCATTGCTTGGCTGAAGATGGTCCCGATGCAGACGATCCGATCCCGAGTCCAGTTCCTTAAGATCTCAGCTCTTAGCCTAGTCTTCTGTGTGTCGGTGGTCTTCGGGAACATCTCCCTCCGCTTTCTCCCCGTTTCGTTTAACCAGGCGATTGGTGCCACGACGCCGTTTTTCACCGCCGTGTTCGCTTACCTGATTACGCTCAAGAGGGAGGCTTGGTTGACTTACTTCACTCTCGTCCCCGTCGTTACTGGTGTTGTCATTGCCAGTGGGGTAATTTCAGCTTCCCTTCTCTCAAATTTGAAATCTTTTAGTATGCATTTTCGATGCTGCTTCTGATCTAATTTGAACGTTTTGATGAAATTCAAATGCTTTAGAGAGGCTGCTGTAAAATGTGAAGCATGTGCATGAACTAGAGAACATTTTACAGATTGAATTGCTTTGTGAAACAGAAGCTAAATCTTGCTCATTCAAATCATATCTTGCCATAAATAGGCATACTTTTGGAGTAGGCAACTAGATACCATCTCTTGCCTTCGGAACAAACTCAGACATTGCTAAAATTACATTTGACATTAGTAACTTTTTTGGCATTGTTCTGTGTTTCGAGATGTGGTTACTTTTCACTGTGTGCTCTGTTTGTTTCCTCTGGGATGTTCTTTTGAGAGCCTCGTTTACATTTGTATCTGTGTTTGATGTGTCTTAATTTGTCTGTGTCGTCAGAGTGAGCCAAGCTTCCACCTGTTTGGATTCCTTATGTGCATTGGAGCCACAGCTGCAAGAGCACTTAAATCAGTGCTTCAAGGGATTTTGCTTTCTTCTGAAGGGTAAGTAAGAAATGGCTGGCATTTGTCTCAGTGTCCTTGTTAGAGTTCAATAGTTTCGACTATGTTAAAAGAGTGTTGCTGAAAAGATTCTAAAATTTGTATTGAAGGGAAAAGCTGAACTCCATGAATCTCCTCCTTTACATGGCTCCAATAGCTGTTGTGTTCCTTCTGCCTGCTACTCTTATCATGGAGAAAAATGTCGTCGGCATTACGATTGCACTTGCTAGAGACGATTTCAGAATCGTTTGGTATCTGCTATTCAATTCAGCGCTCGCCTATTTCGTCAACTTGACAAATTTCTTAGTCACGAAACATACTAGCGCCCTGACTCTGCAGGTACTGCACAATCCATATTCTTTTTACGTTCTTGATTGCATCCTTGTTTACGGTAGTAAATATGACATTGGTTTTGGTTGGAACAAAGTCAGTCCAAGTAAGGCGTAGAACTAGTGAGAAATGATTACCTGCTTGGTTCTGTTTAAAACTCTGTTTTGGATGGCTCTGTGACAGGTGCTAGGAAACGCCAAAGGAGCAGTAGCAGTGGTGGTCTCTATTCTAATATTCAAGAATCCGGTTTCAGTGACCGGAATGCTCGGTTACTCCCTTACCGTCTTTGGAGTTATCCTCTACAGCGAAGCCAAGAAACGAAGCAAATGAGAAGAGCAAGCACACAGAGTTTCTTCTTCTTCTTCATCAACGTTCCTCCCTATATATATGTTTTATATTTTCTCTCCAGTGGAAACAGAAACACAGGCAAGTAGTCTCTTTTGCTGTTACCAAAATCTTACACAGCATACAGCTCTGACCAAAACATGGATGTTTTTTACCATTCACACGCAGAAGCAAAAGCAACACAAAGATGAGTGCCAAAGGCAAGAATTTAGAAGACTTCCTATTAATAAGTAACTTTTTGCTTTTTTTTCATTTTTCTTCTTTGGGATTATGTTGCCTTTCGTCGTAGGGTGTTTGTTCTAAGAGTAACGTTGAATTAGCTTTTGTTTCTTTGATTCTTTTACATTTTTAGTTTCTTGATGTCAACATTTACAACAACACCGATTAATTAATCGAAAGAGAGAAAGTTCCTTTTTTTGTCCTTCTTCTTCAAAGTTAAAACCCATTTACTTTGCTTGATGTTGTTATTCTTGGAGAATCCAATATTATGATGCTATCTCAAGGTGACAGGTTCCGTGAGCTGTTCAGAACACAGAGCTGTGTAGTAACTGTTGTGACAGAGAGAGGGCAGAGAATCAGAGTTGCAAGTGATAACAGTTGCAGAAGAAAGAGCTAAAAGAGAGAAGGAGACAAGAGAGACTTCTTTCTTTTTACTAATGAGAGAACAGTCTTGTCTTTGTCTTTCTCATGTCAAATCACTCAGACTTCATTTTCTTTTTCTGGAAACGGCAGCCGTTATCATATCAAGCTGTACCTTCATTTTCATTGCAGCATATCTCATTCTCATGATCCAACCCACGCATTACCAAGTAGGCCAACCCAAAATATACATATGAATTCTCAGAATTATTGACTAAAATGTGTAAAGCTCAGTCTCTCTGTTAGGGCTTTTAAAACATCCTGGCTAAAACATGGAACTTGAGACATTGAGTAAGGTTCGAACTTGGGGATATGTGTTCTTTTTAAGAAGATTCTTTCTTCCCAAACCCCAAATATTCACTAAGGAAACAGAACAGTTTCATCACAAAGAGAACTGAAACATGATTGTGATGGAGAAAGACCCCACGTAGTCTTGAAATCCAAAACTTCTAATGTGGGTATGTGACAATAACTCTCGACAGAGAAAAAGCAAGAGTTGAAATTCAGGAGAGAGATGAAAACGCCATTTGGCAAAAAATGGGGTTGGAGAGAGATGGAAAGGAGAGGAACCAAAAAGGCAAAAGATGTTGGAGTAAATTGGTTACGTATAAATATAACAGTACTGCTTACTAGTTTGACAAGAAAAAAAAAACTGAAAAGAAAAGGAAAAGGTAAAAAAGCTTGGAGATCGTGACAGTTGAGTCTATAAACTCTTTCGAGTACTCGAGTGGCTTTTCATGGAGAAACAAGAAGAGAAAAAGTAAAATGGAGATTGAAAAGGAAGGTTTCTTTTGGAGGAAGATGATGATGGGGAACCAGGATGTACACACACGACGACGACGTATCTACGCTTTTATCCTAAGGACACTCATTTTGTTGACCAAGGGTTTCACTTGTTCATAATGTTTGGATTAACTCAGTGATTTGATATAAAATTCTACTGACATACTCCAAAACTTTGTTTAGTATTTATGCACAAGATGCAAGTGTGATTATACTCTCTTGACATATCTAGTGACTCTGCAGCTCTGAACTCTGCTAATTTCAAAGATTCCATCGTGGCCCACATCTTCTTGACCATTGATTTGTCAGCACTTTTGGATTTTGTAGTCTGCTTTCAAATTATTTTATTTCTTTCCCAAGAGCTGGTATGCCCATATTCTTATGGAACTCCATTCTTCAATTTTCCTACAAATGGATAATGGTTAAAAGAAAAATCATATTTCGAAGTGAGTACCAAAAACTTTTCTTTTTACGTTAAAAACCGGCGAAATTTGGAGGAGAATAGTAACGTTATGCAAATGAAATTCTGGCAAGGGCTAGTAGACAAAATAAATTCGTTTTATTCTTGTTTGAAAATGTCATTTTCCATGGTTAGTAATGAATAAGATGGACTATACATGCGATAACACAGGCAAAGACCACATGGAATGTTCTCCTTTATGTGTCCCTGCTGGTGAGATTTTAATTATTTATCCATCTATTAACAGTTTCTTTCGACATGTAATTAACAAATGGGCAACTTCTTCAACCATTTCCATCTTATTCGATAGTAAGTCCAAACAAAACAATATAAAATGTAAATGACAACAATAATTATTGTGATAAAAATCACAAATGTACTGTTTAGGATAACATTTTAAGTAAAAGTCTCATGTGACATATGCGTTTGCCTCTATATAGTGATTTTCCTCTTTTTGTGGAATTCATGCAAGTTTTTTTAATAAAGTTTTCGTTGAGGTTTTTTCTTACGAGTTATAATTTTCTATATCACACTTATTTATTAATTTATCTGATTTCTTTCAAAACGATACTAACCGTGTACGATCCACATCTGTCATGTTAAACACGATGGACAAATATGTTGATCTATCAATAAAGGAAAACTATTAGATCGCAACAATTTGCTAACAATTTGCTTACTTTTTATGATTTTGATTAAATTAATTATCCAAGCTACATCGGTTGCTCTAGTTGTACAAACCAAACGTGTTCTACTTTAATTTTGCCGGTACTATTGTGCTGCTACTACGTCTTTTTCTCTTTCTTTTTCTCAACATCAAGCTATTATGGGTAGTTACGAGCAAGGAACAAGATCAGCTGTCGAAAACCCACCAAAATGAATAATAAAACAATAAATAAATTATTTGAGAATGTTGGAACTTGGAAATGATGATGAGTTGTAAAGTCATGGCAAGAAATATCATTATTTCAAATATTTAAAGTAGTCAAGGAGATGTATCATCTTATTAATTGTATACCCAATTGGTTGTATCACTCTAAAATCACTTTAGGAGTAAATGATCTGCCACATACTTCAATTCGGAAATGAGTTCTCTACTTGCACGTTATGACTTCTTTGCTTTCGTAATAACAAAAACACAATACTCCATATATAGAAAAGGTGACAAAAATATGTAAAAGTAATTAAAATCGCGCCTTCCCAAAAATCTCATAGAAAGAGATGTGGTCTCACTACTAAAATCATGAGTTAAATTTTGAATTGGACATTTCGTGGTTTTTACATAAAGATACGACTAGGACTGTTTTCGAAAGTATGGAACATATCGAGATAATCAAATTGTACATAAGGTTTCATGTGATTACTTACGTGATTAATAAAAGATGTATATTTTCTATGTACAATCATAGAGGTATGTGGATGGATCATGAGTTGTGTCAGAACGTTGTCTTATGTCAAAATTTGTTTTGGAACCTTCTTTTGAGGACCCAAAAATAATATAGAAAGGCTTCTGAATATTTTGATGCTATAAAGTTAGAAAGAGTAGAGTCCAAATCACCAATATTATATTAAAAAATCACACAGAGAGCTAATATAACTATTGATTATTCTATGTTAACAGTAGATAACTAATTAGTAAAATGTTTTGCAAACACATAATGTTTCAGAGTTATATAAAAAGATAATAGGAACCATTTCTTTTAATTTTAAAATATACTAATGCGAGTAAAATAAACTCAGTTATCAGATCCCCAATACTCGCCCTTTATTCCACCAAGACATTAATTTAAAACTCAGCCTTTTCCTTTCCTTGTAATTTCAACAAAATTAAAATACAAAAAGAAAAGATTTGTGTTTCCTCGCACTCGTGCATCTATAATAACTTAACTGCAAAATTCGATTTTTTAATTTTCGTCCTACCTGCCATTGTTGCACTGCTTTTTTCTCATTTCATCATTTCTATGACTAAATTAATTTAGGGCCAAAACTGTTATAAAACAAAACTAAAAGGACCTAAAAACAATTTTTAAACAATGCTGGACGCGGAGGCACGGTGGGACCAAGCGAGCCATCTCGAAATCACCGCCGTGGCTTGTCGTTGTCTCGGCTCTCCTCCCCATCTCCTCCGTCTCTCAATGCTCGTTAACTCCGACACGCTTCTCCCGTTTATTACGTCTCTGCCATCCTCCACGGCTGCTAGTTTCCGGCAATCACTGAGTATCATCTCCGATCGTAAGAAAAGAAGATCGGATGGCCTCACTTCGCTCCATCTCTGGTCCTTATTCCCGCCGGAGATTATTATCCGGTGTTCGAATCTCCCTTCCAAGCTTTCTCGATTCGGAATTAATAACAATCCGTCTTTTCTCTGTGGACGGTCTAAGCATCCGACGGCAACAGATTCCGTTTTCTCCTCGCCGTCGTTAGTCCTCAATGAGCTATCAAGCGATCTTCGAAACGAAATCGGATTCGGTTTAGAGGTAGAAGCCGTTATAATCTCGTGGAGTCGACTCGCTCGTTCCCCAGCCGACGAATGCCGACCCGAGATCCGACTCACCGGGACAAAACGGGACGCTCCGGGAGGAGTGTTACTGTTCGATTCCACCTGGCTTTTAGAAAAACGGAGCTCGAACCAGGAGTTACAATCGCCGATCAAGAGAATGTCTTCCGGGTCGACCTGGTAACGGCAAAGCGGGCAGGTGGAGTGAGCGTCGAGCCACGTGTCAACACACTCCACGTGGAAGGCGTGTTTGCATTTGGGCAATAGCCTCAAAACTTCAGTCGGTTCGAACCGAGCGAGACACACGGCGCATTCGAGCCCTTCCTTGTGACCGCTCAATGCACCGAACCGGAAAACCGGTAGAGATTCGATGACGGACCGGTCTATACCGGAATTTTTCCTACCTCCTCCACCACCGTTATATCCTCCTCCGTATCTGGAGATTGCGAAACGCTGCGGATGGTTGTCGTAAACGCTGCCGTTTCTTCGTTTGCAGTGTTTGACGTAGAGGAGGAGCAAGAAGGTGAGGGAGAAAACTGCGGTTAGGACGGCGATGACGACAGCGATTCCGGGCATGAATGAGGAAGTGATGTTATGCCGCTGCGGTGGAGAAGGCGGCGGAAGTGGTGGCGGAGCAACTGGGTTTGTTATAACAACCGCCGTGGTATTGTCAGCGAGTGAGAAATTGAGGAAGAAAAGAGAGAGAAGAGAGAAGAGAAGAGGCAAGGAAGAAGAAGAAGCCGCCATGGGTAAAAGGCTTATGGTTGGAAGAGAAGGTTTTTCGACTTAAAAATGGTTTTGTATTATCTTTTTGTTTAAGTGCCTGGAAATAAGGGAGACACTTTTCTGAGTGTGAGAGAGAGAGATTTTAAAGGGAAAGAAAACAAAGTGAGTAAGGACAAAGTGTATGCATTAAAAACATGACTCCTTCTTTCATCTTTCACGGCTTTAATTGATTTTAGCAGAGGAACTAACCAACATTTTTATAAAAGAAGTCGAGAATTTATTATGGAAATTAGTAGGGACAATGATGATATTGTAATTCAATATAGTAGTGACTAGTGTGAGGTTGATTTCATGCAGTGATTGCATGTGTTTAGTTAGCTCCTTTTAACAGATGTTTCAAGTGTATAACAGTATAAGTTCGTGGAATACTGCAGATTTTTTGGAACTTTCAGACAAAGGTAATGAGATGTTAATATCCTATAGTCATGTGTATTTTGTTTTATCGCGATGCCTTTATGTAAACGTTTAAAGAATGCAATCACACTTTAACCGTTAGACAACATAACAACCCTTGGAATCTGTAGAATTTCGACTTTTCAAAGTCACACTTTCAAGCCATATATCCTCCTTTATTTCTTTTGTAAGAGTATACTGGAAAAAACACGAGCAAGATGATGGCTAAAAGATCAAAAATGTTAAAGCAAGTTACTAGGATCTTATTTGTTTCCGAGCTATGCTATGTAATCACTTATACGTCAATCACTCGCACTCGCAACGTTTACGTCATATGAAGCCAATAAATTCTGAATACAAGGCAGGTTGTTCCCCTAGTGACGACGAGGAACTGTATTTCTTGGGAGCTGAAGCCAATAATTTATTTTTAAAAATTATGTAATCTTTTGGACCAGTTTCCATAATTTTTGTATCTGGATTTATACGCAACGGCCCATTTAAAAGCAAATGTTATTTATTATTTGGTCGGCACCATTTAAAGCTATTAATATGGGTTATCGTGGTCACACCCTTCCCCACAGATAATATATACTCTCATGCCCATAGTACCTTAATATTTTTGATTGGAACAGCTTCATAAGTTCAGATTATCTCGATAAAGTCGAATTTAGTTTAATCGAATCGAAATCAGCAGTGGACCCAGCTCAGCCCACACAGAATTCAAGTCCATCAAGACTCATACAAACCAGCGGAAGGCATACGAAATCTAAAGCGTGTCAAAATCAGACAAAATGTGGACCGGACTCAACACAAACCAGTCTGAATCCGGTTCACCTATCAGAGAGTTACCAGGAAATGAAAATGAGGTGGTCTAATTGATTGGTCCAAATGATTCGGCCCAGCCCACAATTCTAAAAAACCTTGCAACTCCATATACTGCGGACAAACGCAAAAAAACAGAGCAAGCGAGGAAAAATCGCGATCGGCTTCTTCAGCCACACCGTCACAGTGTCGCCACTCAATCGCTGTCGCGTTTCTATCGGATTCCCGGTAACGTTTCCCCGTTCTGTTTCTGCAACGTCCCAATTACGGCCGTTGATGTTCTAATCGTTATCGTAATTCTCCAATCCTCCGATTACTCGAATTAGGGTTTCGTGCTCATTCCCTCATTTATCTTGTTCGATTAAAGGGATAACGAAGCAGGGGAACAATAAAAACCATATTTTTCCATAAAACACGTTTCATATGATAGTGGGATTACGTTAGCCATCCATAGATTTCGTACATTGTCAGCAACTTTAGGAGCTAATCGGTTTCACCATTTTTACAAATTCAGTTTGCCTTTATGATTTGTGTTCAATCTCTTGAATATTTAAGTTAAGCTTATGCAAATGTATTTTATGGATTTGTGTGTACACTAATGAAATGTCTTTGAATTTTGTGAAAAGTTAGAGAAAGGTAAGTGGAGAAAGATGAGGCCAAAAGCAGTGTGGGAGCCAGATTACCACAGAGTGTTTCTCGACCTATGCGTAGAGCAAACGTTGCAAGGGAACAAACCAAGAACGCATTTCTCAAAACAAGGTTGGAGGAACATACTGAAATCGTTTCAGGAGCAGACGGGCGTGACTTACGATAGAATGCAGCTTAAGAACCATTGGGATACAATGAGCAGGCAGTGGAAAATTTGGCGCAGGCTCGTTCAGTGCAGCTATATGAATTGGGATCCTGAGACCAACACTTTTGGTGCGAGTGACGAAGAATGGGCTTACTATCTACAGGTTTGAGTTTTACTAAACAAAATTTTGTTTTTCTGAGATATGGTGTTTGTTCTTAAGGCTTAAAATGGTGATTACAGGAGAATCCTGATGCAGGGCAGTATCGGTGTAGTGTTCCACAAGATCTGGAGAAGCTAACGGTTCTCTTTGAAGGTGGTAGTAACGTAGAGGTCGAAGATGATGAGGTTTTGGGTGTGAGGAAGAGGCTAAGGAGTTTTCAAGAAGATGATGATGAAGAAGAAGATAACCAAAGCATGTGTAGCTCATCTAACCCTCAAACAAAAGGGTACTGGTCTCCTTCTACGCACGAGCTGTTTCTTGACCTGTTGGTGCAAGAGACTGAGAAGGGAAACAGACCTGACACACATTTTAACAAGAAAGGGTGGAAGACCATTCTCGAGACGATCAATGAGAACGTGAGCGTTGGATATACAAGAGCGCAGCTGAAGAACCACTGGGATTGCACTAGGAAGTCTTGGAAGATCTGGTGTCAGCTTGTTGGAGAAAGTAGCATGAAATGGGATCCGGAGACTCGTAGTTTCGGTGCCACTGAAGACGAATGGCGAGCCTATATTCAGGTATGTATGATAGATAAAATGTTATTGTAGTCTCTAGTCTCTATCCATTTGGATCTTTCACGGAACGTTTCTCTTTGGTTTATGACAGGAGAATCCAAGAGCAGGACAGTTCCGGCACAAGGAAGTTCCTCATGCTGATAAACTCTCCATCATTTTCAGTGGAGTGATAGAGCCAGGAGAGACATACACTCCTCCTACGCGCAAGAAGCACCTCCGAGGTCGTTCTTGTGAGTCGCCACAAGATGAAGCGAATCTGATGATGGACAGTGAGGCCGGTCAGCCACTGGATGTTGTGAAGTTGATGAGTGAAGGTATGCTGCAGGAGAGTCCGGTATGCGTTGAGATAGGATCGGCGAAGCGGATGTATTGTATCGGAGAGTGCATTGAGAGCCTGGATGCGATGAAAGAAGTGGAGGAAGGAAGTGAGCTCTACTTGTTTGCGTTGGATCAGTTCCTGAAGAGAGAGTATAGAGAGATCTTCTTAGAGCTGAAGAAGCCGAGCTTGAGGATCGCATGGTTGCAGAGACTTCAATCTGCTGCGCTTTCTTAGGTTTTTGATCTTTTACTGTTTCTTTATACCCAAAATGAATTCTTTTATTTGTTAGCTTCATTGGATTTATGGAGGGAATAAACAGGTGGAGCTAATTCTCCATCTATATATAAGGACCCTTTGGAAAATGGAACTAAACCTGAATTGTCAATTTCTCCAAGTGTCATGTGTGACAAGTGTACTATATGACTAAATCGTAGATTTGAGTTAAAAAAGGTTATCCATCAACCATGTCCAATATTATATTCCACCATAACTACATAAAGTCTAAGTTTTAAAAATCTAATCAAGTCAAACCCCACTTACTACAAACTAAGATTTGTGTTATTTCTTTTAAAATTTGGTGTTGTAATTGGTGTACTCTAGAGTCTAGAATGTGGTAGGATTGCTTGTTCTCTTTCAGTTTTGTTGTGAGTTCTGTGTCTCGTTAGACAATTTTCAAAATGTGCTCAAATTTCAATGTATATATTTTTTTTTGTTTTTTTAGAGAAAGTAATATTTCCATGTATTCGCACACAAGTTTGGACGGTTGGCACGAATGATTCGTTTTCTTACCCAAGGAGCCACCGACAAATGCAATGCAGTGTGAAAGAACCTTTTGAGCTTTTGAGAAGAAAAAAAGGTGAAATAAAGCGAGAGTGCTGACAAAAACTATACCAAAGTGGGAAAAAAGGTAATTAGTCGCATCCCAATAATTAATAACCCCCTTTTTAAAGTGTTTAGGGCCAGGCCCACTCTTTTTCTTATTTGGTCTTCCAATAAAACAAATCAATAAACTCCATTAGGCTCTGCAAAACATAAATCGCGCCAGGGGTAGGGGTCGAACCTACGACCTTCTGCTTAGGAAACAGACGCTCTATCCACTGAGCTACAGGCGCTTACGTATACCAAATCATCATTTAGAAGTTAAATACGTAATACTGACTCGATTCTCACATATCCACTGAGCTACAAACGCTTACGTAGATTACGTCGGCGGCTTATGATCTCTAGCCAAAATCTCTTATAAAAATGAAGTTCTCCGTTCAAAATCTATACGTAATACAAAGAATAAAGTGACATTAAGTTTTGACGTATATGTTATCTCGAATAACCTTTAATTTAGCCTTATAAAATGTACACAATAACAAACGCGTGGTGACACGATGATGGTCTCTAGACTCTCTGCCATAAACCTAAAGTTGCTACCGTTTCCATTTCGATTCTACCATATTCGAATAATCCGCGTAAATCATTCAATTTCGGGCATGAAGCTTGCTCACCATACATAAATGATATATCGAAAGCAAAACTAGATATTTGATGTTTAGAGTTTTAAAACTAGTCATATACCCATAGACTGACACACAAAGCCGACGTATAACATGCAAACTATCATTTAATAAGAAAACTTTATGTGTTGTCAATTTATTTTGGAACAATATTACAAAAAACTACCTAACAACAAAAAAACGTTGAATTTTAGTGGTTATCAAAATTTTGGAAGGATGTGAAATGTTGGCCTAATAATAAGTTCATTTTTATAGATTTATTGTTACTTTAATTATTTGAGTCAATTTATAGGTCACTCTAAAGAATCATCTTAGAATAAATTGAAGCCAACTAGGAGAGTGGAGTGGTTCCATTGGCTAGAACATTTACACACTCTCTCTCTCTCTCTCTCTCTCTCTCTCTCTCTCTCTCTCTCTCTCTTTCTCCATTTCTATATTACAAACCACAAAAACCTTCTTCTTCTTGCCCTTTGCTTCACCATCTCTTTCTTTCTCTCTTCAATTTCTGCACTGTTTCGTATTGTTTCTCTCTCTAGCTACCATCTGGGTTTCGCCTGTTTTGTCTTCCTCTGACGACCCACTTTTGCAGATTCTCAGGATCCTTCAAAGTTGAAGTCTTTTTTTCAAGATTCTTCAATTTATGCTCAAACTTCAAACCAAATCAGGTTCTTTGATTCCGTCACTATACTATTTGTTATTTTTGCCCTTTTGATTCCTATTTATCATTAGATTTTTATAAAACGTCTCTAAACATAATTAAGCCTGAAGCTTCCAAAAAATATTAGAGAAAAATATGCTAATTACTTTATAGGTTAAACTTTCCCCTCGTAGCCTTTAAACGATGGAGACTCTGCATCCACTACTCTCTCACGTGCCCACTTCTAACCCCCGCTTCGTAGTTCAAGAGATGGTGAGCTTGCAAAGCTCAAGCTGGACTCAAGAAGAGAACAAAAAGTTTGAGCGAGCCCTAGCTATCTACTCTGATGACACGCCTGACCGCTGGTCCAAAGTTGCTTCTATGATCCCTGGCAAAACCATCTCAGATGTCATGAGTCAATACTCTAAGCTAGAAGAAGACCTCTTCGATATCGAAGCAGGACTTGTCCCCATCCCCGGTTACCCTTCAGCTACTCCATTAATTATTTTAAAATATGGAAAATTATTATTTAATTATGAGAATTATTTAATAATTGAGAAATTGAGTTTTAATTATTAAAAATTATTTAATAATTGGAAAATGGTATTTAATAATTATTGAAGTTTATAAATATTATTAAATATCTAGTAAATTGCGTAAATGGCTCGTAGGCAGAGTGATTGCCTCACTAAGTATTTATTAAATACTTACGCAACTCCATTCCAATGTGTTGCAGGTAAAAGATTTGTGTGATCGCGGAATCAAGGCTGAAGAGGGGGATGATAGGATGTTTACTGTTTTATTGTTTTGCATTATTTTGCTAGACTTGTTTAATTATTATTTGCTTCCGCTGAGCTGATTTATTTGTTATTGATATTTTATTTATTTAATTTATTTTTAAGACCTTCGCTAGAATTGATTAATATTTATTAAAAAAAAAAAATGTTGGTTGTTTCATTTTGGTATCAGAGCCTAGACGGTTTTAGGACTGTTAGAATTGCTAGGCTTAGTATCATCCCCTTCAGCTACAAGAGATTCCGCGGTGAGTTTATGTTTGTTTTGAGTTTTGGTTGCGTGTTCTAGTGTGCTCTTTTTCGGTTCCATGAGTGAGATGGACTGAGTAGCTAGAGGTTGTGGCGCGAGAGGGCGCGGAGCTAGAGGCCGTGGAGGCCGGGGCCGAGATTGTGGACTTCGGCGGATTCGGGAGAGAGTGTGGTGCCTAGTGTGGCGACTGCGTCGGTGACCCAGTCGGTATCCGTGGCGAGTGAGGCCAGTGTGGATGCGAGTGTTGGTTTGGGAGCGGGGGCTGCTCCGGGTTGGGGTGGTGCTCCGGCTCAGGGTCTTGATGACTTAGTGGTGGGTTTGCTGACGCAGTTATTGGCTCGTTTTCCGCCAGTGGTTCCACAGGGGCTCCGGGAGTACCTCCAGTGGCAGAGGTGCAGCAGAGGGCTGCGGGATTTGTTCAGCCGCAGGCTGTGGGTTTGATGGTGCCGTCCTATTTGGATATGTTGGGGCACATGCAGAGGATTGGTACGCCGTACTTTGAGGGCGGAGTTAGCCCAGAGGCGGCAGATGAGTGGCGTCAGAGATTGGAGCGGAATTTCCAGTCTATCAGATTTCTGGTTTAGTACCAGGTTGAGTTGGCAGTCCACTATCTGAGTGGAGATGCACATTTGTGGTGGCGGGCCATCGAGGGCATAATGGTTGTTTTGCTGTGTGTTGTTCATTTATCTGTGATAAATTTTGAGGTTCTCAGCGCATGTGTTTCGTAATGACCTTGTTAGTGGGCGGTTTTGAGTCCCACGTTTTATTCGACTCTGGAGCATCGAATTGCTTCATTACACCGGAGCGTGCCGAGAAGAGTGGCATCCGGAGTAGCGCGGGCGAGAGCGCGGGCATGGTCAAGGTGGCGGGAGGTGGATTCTTGTCTACTTTGGGCCGTGCTAGAGGAGTCGAGATCGAGATTGCGGGGCAGTCAATGCCAGCAGACTTAGTCATCAGTCCGGTGGAGCTGTATGACGTTATTCTCGGGATGGACTGGTTGTCACACTACAGAGTTCATCTGGATTGCTACAGAGGTAGAGTGGTCTTCGAGCGAGATGCAGGGAGGTTGGTTTATCAGGGAGTGAGACCGACTTCCGGGAGTATTGTGATATCTGCTATTCAGGCCGAGCAGTTGTTAGAGCGGGGCTGTGAGGCGTATCTGGCGACGATTTCTATGTCTGAGTCAGGAGCTGGAGTTGTTATGGGAGATATTGAGGTTGTCCAGGATTTTGAGGATGTCTTTCAGTCACTGAAGGGATTACCACCATCTCGGTCTGATCCTTTCACGATTGAGTTAGAGCCGGGGACAGCACCGATATCGAAGACGCCTTACAGGATGGCGCCAGCTGAGTTGGCAGAGCTGAAGAAGCAGATAGAGGACCTTTTGTCTAAGGGGTTCATTCGACCAAGTGTTTCACCGTGGGGAGCACCGGTGTTGTTTGTGAAGAAGAAGGATGGCAGTTTCAGACTTTGTATCGATTACAGAGGTCTTAACCGAGTCACTGTGAAGAACAGGTACCCACTCCCGAGGATTGATGAGTTTGGATCAGTTGAGGGGTGCTACTTGGTTCTCCAAGATTGACTTGGCATCGGGGTATCATCAGATCCCGATAGATGAGGCAGATGTCAGGAAGACTGCTTTCAGGACGCGTTATGGGCATTTTGAGTTTGTGGTTATGCCTTTCGGTTTGACTAACGCGCCGGCAGCCTTCATGAGATTGATGAACGACGTGTTCAGGGAGTATTTGGACGTGTTCGTCATCATTTTCATTGATGATATTCTGGTATACTCGAGGAGTCAGGAGGAGCATGCGACTCACTTGAGGTTGGTTCTGGAGAAGCTTCGGGAGCAGAAGCTTTTTGCTAAGTTGAGCAAGTGCAGTTTCTGGCAGCGAGAGATGGGATTTCTTGGCCACATTGTTTCTGCAGAGGGAGTTTCTGTGGATCCGGCTAAGATTGAGGCTATCAGAGATTGGCCTAGACCTAGTAGTGCCACCGAGATCAGGAGTTTTCTGGGTTTGGCAGGATACTACAGGAGGTTCGTCAAGGGGTTTGCTACCATGGCGCAGCCGATGACGAAGTTGACCGGGAAGGATGTCCCTTTTATTTGGTCAGCTGAGTGTGAGGAGAGCTTTAGTCAGCTCAAGGAGATGTTGACTACTACACCAGTGTTGGCGTTACCCGAGCCAGGGAAGCCTTACATGGTGTATACAGATGCTTCAGGCATTGGTCTTGGTTGTGTGCTGATGCAGGAGGGCAGAGTGATAGCATATGCTTCGAGACAGTGGCAGGGCAGTGAGCGTAACCGTCCTACACATGACTTAGAGTTGGGAGCAGTGATCTTCGCGTTGAAGATTTGGAGGTCTTACTTGCTAGGTGAGACAGTACAGGTCTTCACGGATCACAAGAGTTTGCAGCATATCTTCACTCAGCCGATGATGAACGCGAGACAGACGCGCTGGGTTGAGTTCTTGGCGGATTATCAGGTGAGCATTAACTACCATCCGGGCAAGGCTAACCTAGTGGCGGACGCGTTGAGTAGACGGAGGTATGATTCCGCAGTTGAGCGAGATGTGGAGTCTCTAGTTGGCGAGATCAGTACCTTGCGTTTGTGTGCCATTTCGCATGAGCCTTTGGGTTTAGAGGCAGTGGATCAGGCGGATCTACTTAGCAGGATCAGAGTTGCTCAGCAGAGTGATCAGAGTTTGCTGGATGCGACGAGAGTGACTGGTTCTGAGTATGAGGTCTCTGCGAATGGGACTATCTTGGTTCGTGGGCGAGTTTGTGTGCCTAAGGATGTGGAGTTGAGACATCAGATTTTGGGAGAGGCTCACGCGAGCAAGTTTTCCATTCATCCGGGAGCGACCAAGATGTACCATGACCTCAAGAGGTACTATCATTGGGTCGGGATGAAGAGGGATGTAGCAGACTGGGTTGCGAAGTGCAACACTTGTGCCTTGGTGAAGGCAGAGCATCAGGTTCCGGGTGGTCTTTTGCAGAGTTTACCCATTCCCGAGTGGAAGTGGGATAGGATTACGATGGATTTCGTGGTTGGACTACCTGTTTCAAGGACTTTCGATGCTATCTGGGTGATTGTGGATCGGTTGACTAAGTCTGCACATTTCTTGGCCATCAAGAAGACAGATGGAGCTGCTGTCTTGGCTAGGAAGTTTGTGCGAGAGATTGTGAGGCTGCATGGAGTGCCAGCTAGTATTGTGTCAGACCGTGATCCCAGATTCACTTCAGAGTTTTGGAGGGCGTTTCAGGCAGAGATGGGCACTAAGGTGCATCTGAGTACAGCTTATCATCCGCAGACAGATGGTCAGTCAGAGAGGACTATTCAGACTTTGGAGGATTTGCTGAGGATGTGTGTGTTGGATTGGGGTGGCCATTGGGCAGATCACCTAAGCTTAGTTGAGTTTGCATACAACAACAGCTTTCAGGCGAGTATTGGCATGGCTCCATTTGAGGCTTTGTATGGGAGGCCATGTAGGACACCCCTATGCTGGACCCAAGTGGGGGAGCGCAGCATGTATGGAGCTACTTATGTTCAGGAGACGACAGAGAAGGTTCGTGTTGTGAGGCTGAACATGAAGGAGGCTCAGGATAGGCAGAAGAGTTATGCAGATAGACGCAGACGAGAGCTTGAGTTTCAGGTTGGAGATAGAGTTTATCTCAAGATGGCTATGTTGAGGGGTCCTAACAGATCCATAGCAGAGAACAAGCTGAGTCCGCGATTTATGGGTCCGTTTCCAGTAGTGGAGCGAGTTGGGCCATTGGCTTACAGGCTGGAGTTGCCTGAGATTATGAAAGCCTTTCACAAGGTTTTTCATGTGTCGATGCTGAGGAAGTGTCTTCACCCTACAGAGGAGTTAGTGGCTAGGATTCCAGAGGATCTTCAGCCAGATTTGACCGTGCCGGCAGTGCCTATGAGGATTTTAGAGAGGAGGGAAAAGGTTCTGAGGAACAAGAGGATTCCCTTACTGAGGATTTTGTGGGATTGCAGTGGTTCTACAGAGGAGACTTGGGAGCCAGAGGCAAAGATGAAGTTGAAGTTCAGGAAGTGGTTCGACAAGCAGGTCGAGGAGTGAGCTTATTTCATCTTTGTAGCCTCAGTTGTTATTTTTGGCTTTGGTGTTATTGTATTTTCGTTTTCGTTGTAACGATATACATTTTGGAGTTTTAATGAGATGCAGTTTTTCCTCATTTTGCCTTGTGTTGTGAAAAGGTATTCGGATGTTACACATGTTTGACCAGTTTTTGGTTGTGAGACGGTCTAATCTTATGGTTATAGACATTTTCCGGAATTTTTACTCTAAGGATTGCGATCCTGAATAACTCATCATGTTTTTGGAGACTTCGTTCTCTGGCAGACTCTCTGGGTGCAAGTAGGCCTCAGTTGAGTGTAGCTTATATGGGTGCAAGTAGGCCTCAGTATAAGCAGTTTAGTTCATCTGGGTGCAAGTGGGCCTCAGTATGGACGTTTTCGGGTTCGTCTGGGTGCAAGTGGGCCTCAGTGCGGACCGGTGTGGACTTGTCTGGGTGCAAGTGGGCCTCAGTACAAGTTGTTTGGTGTGTTTGGATGATGAGTTAGGAGTGAAATTTTCTTGGAACGTGTTTATGACATAAGATATGACGTTTGTCTCGGGGATCAAGTGAGGATCTCCGGTGTTGCGGCCTTGCGAGGTTGGGTTTTGTGGTCTTTGTGACGTTTGCGTTGGGATTCGAGGACGAATCCAGTTTAGTGGGGAAGAGTTGTAACATCCATAAACCAAAAATAAAAATTGGGAATTTTGTCGGTTCAATTTAAGTGAATTGGTTTGGGTCGGTTTAGTGGAGAAAGCCCTAAAATCAAGTTTAAAGAGTGCAGCCGTCTTCTCTTTGGAGAATTTTCGAGTTCAGATGCTGTAGAGGAGAAAAGTTGAGTTTTTGGAGAGATTTTCGAATTTTACTGTTCATCGGTACTGTTCACGGGTTACTGTTCATCGGTACTGTTCACGGGTTACTGTTCATCCGCGATTCGGCACTGTTCATCGTCTTCCTTTTTCCTTCAGTTTCAATCATTGTCAAGGTGAGTGCATGACTGTGGGTCCGTGATTTGCTAGATTAGATTTGGTTTGTGGTTGTTCTTGATGAGTTTATGTTTTAATTGTTATTTTTATGATATTTTGGTTGTTCATGTGATGAATTGTGTGTTTGTGTGGTTTAATCTGGTTTATTGGTTTAATTGAATTTAATTGATTTGATTCTGGTTTATCTTGGTTCAATTGAATTTAATTGGTTTAATTGAATTTAATTGGTTTAATGGAATTAAATAGATTTAATTCGGATTTAATTAATTAAATAATATTTATTTAATTAATTGGTATTATTTTAATTATTTTAAAATATGGAAAATTATTATTTAATTATGAGAATTATTTAATAATTGAGAAATTGAGTTTTAATTATTAAAATTATTTAATAATTGGAAAATGGTATTTAATAATTATTGAAGTTTATAAATATTATTAAATATCTAGTAAATTGCGTAAATGGCTCGTAGGCAGAGTGATTGCCTCACTAAGTATTTATTAAATACTTACGCAACTCCATTCCAATGTGTTGCAGGTAAAAGATTTGTGTGATCGCGGAATCAAGGCTGAAGAGGGGGATGATAGGATGTTTACTGTTTTATTGTTTTGCATTATTTTGCTAGACTTGTTTAATTATTATTTGCTTCCGCTGAGCTGATTTATTTGTTATTGATATTTTATTTATTTAATTTATTTTTAAGACCTTCGCTAGAATTGATTAATATTTATTAAAAAAAATGTTGGTTGTTTCATACTTAGTACGAAATATATAGGAAAATAACTATTAGGTTAATTATCCTATGACCTAACTCCTTAGTTTATCCAACTGATTTAGGTCTGTTCCATGGTTCTAGTTTTCCATGGGCAACCTATACGTTGTATTGGTTTTGTTTTTCACTATCTTTTATGTATGTTCACCGTGTTTATATTTTCACTATTTAACAATCAAGCATTTCTCATCCATCCGCTGAATCAGTAGACCATTGTGTATATGCATCTACTCAGTCTACTTCATTCGCCCCGGTTTCATTAACTGTCACCATTCAGAATTTTTAGTATCTTTCTTTGTGTGATTAATAATACATTGAGACTTTATATTATATAAAAATTAGGAGAGGATGTAATACAAAAACACACACGCGTGGAAAGTGGGAGTAACGGTGGGATGCAATCTTCGATATTTGCTAAGAAAGCACTCAGAATGAGATCACAAATTATATGACACTCTCACCAATCATCTTCTCCTCTTTCTTTTGATAACTCACTTTCTTTATATTATCTTCTTCGTTTCACATCATCTTTTTTTTGTTTTTAATGTTTTTTTCAGTCGTAAATAACTGAGTGATGATGACTTTTAAGAGTAGTTACAAATTTACATTAACTAGTTAACTATGCATGCCGTAGAAGAAAAACAAGAAGTCATTGTTCACAGAGTAGTCACCGACTCTTAAAAATTTACTGTAACTAGTTAACTATGAATGCTCTAGTCTCTAGACAAAGAAGAAGAAAAGTTATTGTTCACATGTTAGTATACCATTAGAGAGTGTTAAGTATGAGATCTTATATTATATTTGTAATTGGTTATTTTTCTTGTAAGAATGTGGCTGGGAAACAACTCAACAAAAAATTGTATATATTGGCTCTAAGATAATTAGATAAATAACTCAAGTGTTTTTCGTCGAATTGTGTTAGGGTATATCAGGGATAAATTGTGTAAGATGAATATCTAGTTCTGAAATTATCTCAAGAAAAAATGAGCTGCAAGGATTTTCACCTAGAAATACCAATGACACAAACAAATACATAAGAGTATTACCAACAATGAGTTGGCCTAATTGTTAAGTAACATTTTAAAAAAAAGTTTGCATACATTAGATGTTGTAGTCATGATATGATGTTTGTATACGTATGCATACGAAAGACAAGATGGGAATAAAGTGATTAAAAGAAGATCTTTCAAAGTAATGTTTGTCTCTTCTCATTTGATTTTATGCCCCCACCCCTTACCCTAACCAATAATTTATATTAATTATAATAATATTTGGCAAAAAAAAAAAAAAAAAAATAATAATATTTGGCAACAACTGATTTTTATATTGAATATATATTTGTATCTATGTGTAGATTCAAACAAAATTTACTCTAAATTATTGTGGTTGATCATTTTTATTCACGTGATGAAAATAGACCACATCAACCTAATCAATTTTAAAAGAAAAACAAACCAAAGAACTCAATGTATTCACCGTGATACTAGTGTAAGACAAAATGTTTTAAACTTTAGGAAACAGATACGAAAGAAATATATCGGACAAAGCGTGAAAGACCGATCTTTTAAATGTGTTTTCTTTGTCTGTTTTTTTTTTTTCTTTTTCTTTCTATTAACTCATTGTTAGATAATACTAACCACTCGCACGTGATTGTCCCTTTAATTATTTTTACTATCCTATATTCCTATCACACCAAAATATTACAGTTTTTGTTGAACCATTTTAGTTCAACAGGACAAAACAAAATATAACAATGTTTGATTGTGCAAAGTTTTATATTATTTACTGAATATATGTGAAGAAATATAGCTCAATTTTAAATCAGTGAAGTATAAGTTTTGTCGAATAATCTTATATTATAAAATAATTTTCCGAATGAAAAATGCAAGTCAGTCGTTAATTCTTTCTGCTATATATTTTTCAATATTTGCAAATAATAAACAGATTGTCTATGAATCTGAGGTTACACTAACAAGAGATAAATTGGGACACAACATACTAGGAACATGTCATACTTTTGTATAAACATGGAGATTGTCTCATCAAAAATCAATGTTATTTTCTATGCATGATATTTAAGTTACTCCCCCATCAAAATTTTGTTTATGCCCCCCAACATTTTTTTTCGTTTTCCAAATTGTTATACCCAAAAGCCCTACAGCTAATACATACTGTTTCTATCAGTGGCATAAAACTCAGTTTTGATCAATATATTATACTATATATGATTAGTTGATCAAAGAAACTAAATAAATAACTCAGAAGAGTAGTATATTTAATTAATACATTCGACGCGCGGACAAAGCTACTTAAAATAAAAACAACCTTCGGTCGCATAATATTCAATATTCATGGTGCATATTAAAAATAGGATAACTGGAATCTAATACTACGAATAAAAAAAAGGCAGGTAATACTACTATAGTAGTAAAAACTATTACTATTACTATAATAAAAAAAAAAAAAAAACTATTACTATAACATACGTGCTCAATGATTACTAGCTAATTACTTACCTAAAAACTATTCTCTTTGTGAGTGGAGGAAAATATTTGATATAGTTTTCGATATCATTGTGAAGTTGACTATCTTAGCATATCATATCATTGTAGTGCGATACCCACACTTACACACACATAATAATGATCACAAGTGAAAAATAATTAGCATAAATGAAAAATCATATTCGGTTTTCAACTAGGATTTATAAGTAAAACTGTATCATGTATACATATATGCTGTGTTTGTCGCGGGTCCTATTGAACTAATTCCAACTAAAGAAACTAGTTTAATTAAACCAAATTAAAAACACATTTGACGGTATTAATGACAAGTCATTAGGCTGCAAAACCTGTCAATGTGAAGTTGTTATAGTGTACACATGCAAATAGTTACTGCATGTATAACCGTCGAATTAGAGTATGCATTACAACGTACAAAATATGTGGTATTCCTTTGGAATTAATCCATTTTTTTTTGTCTAAAGAACTTATAATCAAGATGATTAATGTAGTAAAAGTTAACTTTTTGTCCTTTTATGAGATTTTTTTTTTACCAAATATTAATACGGAAATTTTATTAGAGTAAAAAAGTTATATATGACCATTTAATTATTTTTTGCGAATATAAAACCTCAAGATTATGGACCCTCTCTCTATCCATCCCACTTAAACTGGGCATCGACACTATGCAAAATGCACGATACGTACGTATTGGTGACAGAAGAAAACAAAAAAATTTCGTGAA